ATCTTAGTTTTTTTTTTTTCTGTACAGCATTAAGATCTTGGTTAATAATGATTCTTCTTCTTCTTTTTTTTTTTAACCAAAATTTTTTTTTCACCTGAGTAAGTTTTTGCTTCATCCATCACCACATTCAAATCAACCATTTCATTTTCTGTAGGAAAAGAAAATTCAGGTATTATGAAAATGATACGAATAATTAAAGCTGTAATAGAAAATGATGGGATTTAGCTGTTTTTCATCAATTTGCTCTGGAAACCTTTAATTCAGATAAGAAACACAGGCCAGAAAGAGAACAGAATGCAAATTGAAAGTCCATTTCCAATTAATTCCTTGCCACTTTATGTGAGGTATTAAATGGTTCAGCACGAATATGAAGCAAGTTTGACTGATTCACTAGACCTCTTCCTTCAAACTCATAAGAGTATATTTCAACTGATGAATTAAAAACCTAGAAGTTTATTTATGTAAGCAGCTGATTCTTGAATGTTAACAGCATGCCATTTTCTCTCTCAAATTTTCTTATGTTTCTTCCCTACCCCTCCAGGTAGTAAGCTGTTTGACAGCATGGGCCATGCCCTAGTTCTCTTTTCACTAGGAGATATAAATGGTCCACTGTGCTCTGTATGTAGAGCTTGTACAAGCCAAATGGGTAAATGAACTCCAGTAATACAGAAAGGGTCACCTGTTAGAACAGAGAAAAAAAATTCTGTATTTTTTTTTTCTAAATCAAGGGTTTGTTATGTGGGTCTCTGTTTTCACGTGTTTTTGAAATAATTCATAAACTTTTCAAAGGGATTTAAAATAATTTCAGAAAAACATTTTTAGAAGACCTAAAATTCCTCCTTGGTACAATGGTATCTGAAATACTTACCATCAACTGGCAGATGACTCAATAGTTCCTCAAATTCCTCTTTCTCAAGTTCAATTTCCATGTCCTCCATAAGAGTTTCCAGCTTACTGACATGGGTTTTCTTTCCTTTGGAAATAAGAGAATGAAAACAAAAATGTAAGCAATTCCAACAAATGGAAGATGCTAGCTTTGAGAACATGTATCATTCTGAGTGGTGAGTGAAATGCATTGGCCATTCAAGTGACCCAAATAGTGTCAAGAGATGAGAGAAGCTCACTTCATATTGAACTATACTATCCACTAGTAGTAATCATGGATGAAAAAGAAGTTTTTGGCATATCTGATAAGTTATAATAAAGATTTAAAACCTAAATGAAAGCAAAATTTTAAACCTGTTATAGTGAATAGTTAACAGTTGCTTTCTGAAACACAATTAAACTCCCAAAGAATGGCAGATTGTGAGGCATACATTTAGAATCAGAAAACGAGAGGAACAATAGAATAGCAGGATTTTAACAAGTAAGAATTTTTAAGAAGCAAATGAAAAATGAAATACATTTTAGTATCTGTTCTCATCATTCTTACCTTGAAGAGCATTTATATTATCCAGCAGTATTTTTTTATGTATCTTTCCATCTGCTGTAAGATATCGTAAAATTCAAGTCAGAAAAAAAAAGAACAAGAAACTGTGCAACTTATAACACATTCATTCATCTAGAAATGTATTCTGTTCTGCTCTGAAATAATAATAAAAGATTAGCACTGCTCTCAGTGTGGTCAGTCCAGTTCCTAGTTGGAACAGCTGGCATTGGGGCTTGTGCCCTGTACACACACACACACACACACACACACACACACACACACACTTCTTTCTTTCCCTTATCTTTTTTTCTTTATTTGACTCTGATCCTTTGGCTTTCCCTGTTTTTCCTGCCTGTGTCCTGGCTTATGACATATTCCTATGTGATTATCTCAAAAGAATAGACCTCATAAGGGCACAATGAATGAAAAAAACCCAAATATTTAGGTAAGAGTTTATTTTTCCTCTGAACAAACTGTTTCCACAGATAGAGGTGAAATTCTGCTGGGACAGAGGGCAGGTAGAAGCTACTCACCCATCCCACCCTCATGGGCCCTATGTGTCCCACTCTCCAGCCCAGGCCAGGTGTGGCCACGGCGCTGCAAGCACCCTTAGTACAGCAGGTGCGCAGTTTAGCTGCTGTGTGGGACACCTGCGTCTCACATCAGAGTCCTGGCCTCACTTCCATTCCAGCCTCCTGCTCCTGTGCTCCTTGGAAGCGAGCACGTGGTGGCTCTAGTGCTTGGGTCCCTTCTACCCATGTGGGAAACCTGGATCAATTTCTAGGCTCCTGGCTTTGGCCTTACCCAGCCCCGCTGTTGCAGGTATGTGAAGAATGAATCAACAGAAGGTAGAAATTTCTCTATCACTGCCTTTTTGTTGCTCTGCCTTTTAAATAAGTAAAAAGTAAATAAACATGTGTCTCAAGTACAAATCTCCTTCCTATTTTCTCTGAGTCCAAGTGCTAAGGAAGCTTTAACGTCCACACTGGCCTCTTGAGAGAGCAACCTGAGAGGAAAAGTTAGGCACAGACAGTGGCCACCGCCTTAGGTGTATGTGGGGAAACTTCAGATGGAAATTGAACACCTGCTTCCCATGGTGCTATCTGCAATACTAGGGATGCTACAATCCCTGGTGGTGTGCAAGACAGGAGGACCAGGAGCTACCGAGCATTGGGATAACGTTTATATGATGAGGCAGAAAGCACAGCAAAAGTGCAAGTTGGCCTCCAGGGCTTTACTGGATGCGTCTGTGCAAGTCCTCAGGAGACTGGATGTGAGTGGCAAGCTGGCCGTGTCACTGTCCACTTAAAATGGATACAAATGGTATCAGTGCATGACCCCAAGGGCCCCTTCTCTCAGCTGCTTATCTTTTTGGGTTTTGTATTGTGGTGAGATAGGACAGCCTGAGGATGGGATGCACTGGGGCCTACAGAAGAACCCTACTCAGCAAGCTCCCGCTGGCTGAATACAAAACATTCTCACTTGCAAATTAAAACATAAATGATGAGGGAACGGGAGGAAGAGGGGGATGCCATTGTGTTCTTAGAATCATATCTAATGTTTTAAATATTCACTAAAAATAAAATAAAAATTAACAATGTTTTAAAGTGAAGAAAGCATACATGACAAGAACAGAGTTTTTAAGTGCCAGAAGCATGTTTTTCTCAGGGCATTTTCACAGTTCTTGCCTACAATCCCACAATACCTTGCTTTCCTGAATGCCGGGACAGCATGCTAAACACTTACCACTGATGGGCAGAATTTTTGACAGCATGGACTGTTCTTGTTCACTGAGCTTGATTCCCAAATTTGCCAGCACATTTTTTAAGTCACTGGATTCAACCATTTCTCCTATTGAGTAGACAAAAATTGCTTCAGTTGAGAATATTAAGATATTTCATTACTCCGAATGATGAAAAAACGTAATCTAGTATGCATTATTTATAAGTGCAGAATGAAGTAGAAATGCCTGAGCCAACTTCACCTATATAGATAGTTATTTTGAATTTCAGTATGTGAAAAGGTTCTTGGATAAAAATAAAACACACTTACTCTGAAACTGACCAATGTAATAGCAAGGAATGACATACGGACTGTGTACTTTCTGAAACACCTATGGTAGTCTTAGGGTGTGAATGTCTGGTCCTTCTCAAAATTCCTATTGAAACTTAATCCCCCGTGCAGCAGCAGTAAGAAGTGGGGTCTTTAGGAGCTGATGAGGTCATGGAGCTCCTTCCTCATGAATAGGATTCAAACCCCCTAAAACAGGCTTCACACAGTGATTGGCTCTCTTTGCTTTCTGCCTTCCACCAAGAGGTGGGACAAACAGCATTTGAGGCACCCCTGATCAGACATCAGGTCTGCTGGCTCCTTGATGGTGGACTTCCCAGACTCTAGCTAATGAGAAATCAAGTTTTGCTGTTTAAAAGTTAACCAGTCTGTAGGATTTTGCTGTAGCAGCACGGGTAGACCAAGACAGACGGTGTCTAGAGTCTACAGAATTCTGTCTGAAAAGCGTATCTCTGGTCGCACTTCATGGCCTGAATTATGGGACTGACTATTCAAAGTGATTGTATTTTCCACTGAATTCCAAAGACTTTGAGATCCACAGTCTTCATTTATACTTTGGTTTATAAACATTATTGGCCCAAATATTGAGCCAGTTAATACTTTTTAAAATTGCCCATATATTTCCTAAATCTCTAATAATCTCACTTCTATCAGTAAGGCAAAATTATCAACAAATAGGCAAGAAAGTAGGTTGAATTTATCAATGGCTGCTGAAAGGGTAAACTGCTTTGAAAAGATAATTCTCTACAGAGATCATGATGTCAACTTTATAGTATCCTCCATAAACTCAATCACCTGTGAAAGCTTCGGCTGACTCCATCAACATATCCAAACCGACTTTTCCATCTCCTGTAAGAAAATTCAAAATTTAAACTCAGAGATGAAGATACTGAAACTTTCAAAAAGAGTCAAATAGAACTTCTTAAATAAAAGGTTTGTTTATTTTAAAGGCAGAGTTATAGAAAGACAAGGAGAAACAGAGATCAGCAGTTGGAGCTGGGTCAGTCCGAAGCTAGGAGCCAGGCGGTATCCCAGGCCTTGCATGTGTGTGAACGTGGGTTGATCATCCAGGGCTAGAATTGATGTCCATATGGGATGCCAGCTCTGCAAATAGCAACTTAACTTGCTATACCACAGTGCTGGCCCCAAGATTCTTAAAATATGTATGGAATTATAGTAATATTTTTTGTTTTAGGGTTTTTATTTTTAAATTTGTAGGAACATGTAACAGAGGAAAGAAAATGTAAGCTTTAAGTGTGTTTACATAATTACTATAATTTGTTTTTATCTCATAATCTGTTAGATTTAAAAAAATTGTTTTTAAAAAGATTTGTCTTATTTGAAAGGCAGAATTGCAGAGAGAGCAAGCGAGAGCTCGCCTCTATCTGCCATTTTACTCTGCAAATGGCTGCAGCGACCAGGGCTAGAGCAGGGTGAAGCCAGGAGCCGGACACTCCAGTTAGCTTCTCTGACGGCAGTAGGAATCCCAGTGTCTGGGTTGTCAGTCCTGCCTCCCAGGGCGTGTGGAGGAAGCTGTGCTGCCAGAGGGGGGACCAGGACTCCACGCAGGCGCTGTGATGGAGACGCAGGAGTATCAATGGCGAGTTAACTGCTGCACTAGACCTGCCCTTCCCAGACTACTTCTTTACTTTTACTCTTCTCTCATCTCTTTCTTGTATTTTTTCCTTCCATATCCTGCTCTTTAATTCTACTCTTTACCTCTCAAATATTTCTTCATTGTATCTTTTTTCTTCTTTTGTTTCCCTGTAGCTATAGGGACCTTGTGCTGCCTGAACTCTGCTAGTCTTTCTTGGGGTGGAGGATTAGCAAGTTGTGCATTGTGCTGGCCCCTCTGGCTCATACTTTCAGTACCTTTCTCCATTTTTCTCCATCACGCAAATTTGGTTTTCCTCATATATGAGTGTGGCTCCGTAGGTAAGGCCCATCCATGTCTTATTCATATCCTTTAAAATAGTGTCTCTGTCCCCGGATTTTCCCTCCCCAACATTTGTTTCCTCATTACTATAGAATGAAAGTGTTGTAAATGCTTACCGGTAACTGGTAGGTGAACCTGTAGGTCTTTGATGTCTTTTTGTTTAAGTGTGAACCCACTGCTTTCTGGAACACTCTTTATGTTTCCAACACTGGCTTTTCTTCCTTAAGGAAGACAAGAAAAATAAAGATGCCATAAAACGAGATATACAAGCCATAAGTCCTCATTCAGAAATAAAATGACAAAAATTTGCTCATTGTACATCATGTGAAAGTCAGGAAGAGATGATACTTCTGTTGTTAAGTTTATACATTTTCTATATGGGAGAAGTTACAAAGAAGTTGACAACTCTGCAAACTAGGCAAAGATGACAACAAATCATGTTATTCTGATCAAAATCTAAGATTTCAAACTGCTACAGTAACACATTACCTCCAAATATAATTATCGTATAAAAGAGAACTCTAGTAAAGGAAGAATTCCTGAAAGCATTGGGTGTTGAAATGCAATAAGTGAAATAACAGAAAACAAGAAGAAAGTAAAGAAGAAATAGTTGCTAAAGTTAAATAGTAATGAAAAATGTCCACATGTGAAAAATATAATGCAATGAACCAAAGTTTCTTTTAGGTGTTGGTACTTATAACAATGACTTCTAATGGGTGGAGAGTTTCTTTCTTGGATGATGAAATGTACTAAAATTAAGGATAGTGAAGACTGCACAAGTGTTAGGATACTAAACTCCAGAAAACTGTATACTCTAACTGGGTGAATAACATGGCATGTGAATTGCATCTTGATCAAGTTGTTACCAAAATGTAACAAAATAAAATGCAAATAATTAACAGAAAATATTTACTATAGCTATTACAATGTGTTAATCTTTAATATACAAAAGGTCATTCAAATTAATAGGAAAAATGCTCAAAGTCTAACGGAATAATGCGTAAATGGCATCAATTAAAAATTCAATGATTGATAGGCATATAAAAGCATTTTCAGCTGCACTGATAAAAAATAATGAAAACTACAATTTGATCCAATTTTTCTTCTATGTATCAAATTAATAAGAACCAAATAACCTAAAAATAACATATTGTGGGTGGGACATAGTGGTTATAGTTACTTTCACAATATGAAGGTACGAATTAACTCAGCTCTTGGGGAAGCAAATTGAGGCTTACATCAAAGCTTCTCCATGGTTAGCATTCAAGCTCTGTTGGAAGAATACATCCAAAGAAGATAACTTTAACATTGATCAAAATTTAAGTGCCAAGATTGCACGCATACAAACAAAATCCTGGAGATTACCTAGATGTTGAAAACTAGGAGAAAGATGTTCTAATACAACCACATGACCTAGTCATTAAAAGCAATGTTTACAAAGGATATTTTTAAAATGACACAGTGAAATTCTTAGACTAAAATTTTAGGGTTAAGTGAGGATAGATACATAAAATGTCCAGTAAGAGTTAAATTCACGATACACACAGTATACAGAAAAACTGGTAATATAATAAAGCAGTAATATTACTTGGTTATTAGTAATTACATTTTTTGTGTGCTACACTATATATTCCAAGTTACTTCTGAGTGCCAAGCACCTAGTGGTCAATTGACTAGTTGCTGAATAAAACATATCTTTTTATACTTATTTTTGTTCAGAAAAATGTACTAGAAAATATAGTTTTTTCCACTCACGTTTGAAAGGTTTCACGGCATCTAGTAATTCTTTCTTAAAAATACTTTTATCATCTGTAGGACAAAGCAATCATATTCTTGAAGTCATAAAAACCAATGTGTATACTTAGAGAAAGGTAAATTCATAAATTTATCACATTTTGTTCTTTTTGTAGTGAAAATAAATTTGTAAAACTCAATGTAATGAGCCTACTAACTGGATAGGATACAAAGCTATTGTTGGAGGTACCCCAAAATGTTAAAATACTGATAGTTTTTCCCTCTATTTTCTCCTAATTTGGCTTCATTTTCTTTCTTTTTTTCCCTTATGGACTTACTTATTTTTGTGTGAAAATCAGATATACAGAAGAAAAGGAGATACAGAGAAAGATCTTCCATCCACTGGCTCACTCTCCAAGTGACCACAATGGGCAGAGCTCAGCTGATACAAAGCCAGGATCAGGAGTCTCCTCTACAGCCCCTACATTGGTACTGGGGCTCAAGCACATAAACCACCGTCCCCTTCTTTCCCACGTCATAAACAGGGAACTGGATGGGAAGAGGACGAGCCTGGACATGAACCAGCACCCGATGCCAGCACTGCAAGGTGGAGGATTAGCTTTGAGTCACCATGTCAGCCCCTTCTTCAGTTCTTTCTGTTCTTTCTTCTTTCACCTTATGCTTTCAACCTTATATTTCTTCCAAGAGAAAAAAACAAAAACAAAAAACAACTTGTTTGCCCTATGATAGAACTTCTGACCGAAGAGGTCCCTGTTTCTAAATCAAAATCTAAGAGATAAGAACAGTATTTTCAGAAGTACTAGGTAGGATTTGGTCTTTAAAATTTTTTAAAAATTGACATAACAATTTTCAAATGTTAAAATTTCCAGTACAAAATTGAAAAAAGGTGCGCATACATTTAATTTTTATTTATTTGAGAGGCAGACGTACAGAGTCTGAGAGAGAGCAATAGAATGTCCATCACTCATCCACTCCCCAAACGCCCACAATGGTCTGGCAAACCAGGAAGCCAGAAACTCCGCTGGAATCATCCACGTAGGAGGGAGCCGTGGCTTGGGCCTCACAGGGTCTGCATTAGCAGGAAGCTGGAAGTGAGAGTGCTGCTGAATCAAACTCAGCCACTCTGTGACAGGCGTGCCATCCTATCCTCCTAAGTACCAAGAAACGTGTCTGCCTCTAAAAAGGTTTTTTCTTAAAATGACATTATTTCAGATGTTAAAATTCTTAATGCAAAACTTTACAACCAAAGTTTCCCTGAAGTTTTTAGAGGAAAGGATTCAAGGAAGCCGAGGTCATGCTTCCCTAAGATGGAAGGCAGAGCTCTGCACAGCGTAGTTTTAGACATGGGTGAAGTGGAATACGCTCACACACTTACAAGACACTGGCAGTTTTTTCATCAATCTTTTGTGCTCCTTATTTGTCATCTTTACTCCCATGTTTCCCAGAAAATCTCTCACATCTCTAACATGAATCTTCTCTCCTTTAGTAAAAAGGGACACAGTGTTAGTGATACGTGATATTTTTATATCATGATAATATAACAACATGGATAAAATGCTAATGTTGTCTATCAGTATCTATGTGGGTCCTTACAATGTTCATGGAGCAATATTTTAAAAAAATTATAAAATAGTAATCTTTAAAATGTAAGGAAAAATGTTCCTGGAAAATAGAAAAAATTTTATTTTGGTAGGAAAAGTCTGAAATTTTTTATTATTATTATTATTTTTTTTTATTGGAAAGGCGGATATACAGAGAAGAGAGACAGAGAGGAAGATCTTCCGTCCGATGATTCACTCCCCAAGTGAGCGCAACGGCCGATGCTATGCCGATCCGAAGCCAGGAGCCTCTTCCTGGTCTCCCACATGGGTGCAGGGTCCCAAAGCTTTGGGCCGTCCTCGACTGCCTTCCCGGGCCACAGGCAGGGAGCTGGAAGGGAAGTGGGGCTGCCGGGATTAGAACTGGCGCCCATATGGGATCCTGGGCGTGCAAGGCGAGAACCTTAACCACTTGCGCCACCACGCCGGGCCCCGAAAAGGCTGAAATTTATGAAATTTTTTCATAAGAACATTCCCATGAACTTCTTGAAGACCTTCTCACACTTATACATACACATGTATAATATGTGTATATTGAAATAGATGTAAAATATTTTTCAGCTGCAGGAAGAGGAGCAAAGCACCTTTTTCTCATGCTCGTATTCTTACAAACTGGACAGTTTCAGTGTAGTTCACAACCTGGTTTTGGCTTAGCTCAGCCTTGGATGCCGCAGCCACCTCGGGAGTGAACTAGTGTGTGGAACATCAATTTTTGTCTCTCTCCCTCCCTCCCTCCTTCTCCCACTCCCTTTCTCTTTATTAAAAGAACTAAATTGTGCAAAAAGTATACCCAGAACCCAACTGTTATTATTTGTCATTTCCCTTGCTTTCTACTCTGGTTTATGTCACCATTAACCCTAACATTTGTTACTCTACAGGTCCCATACATCCCAGAAATATGATTAAAACATGAAATCCCATCAAGTCTCTGCTCTAAACCTTACAACAGCTTTCCCTTATCTCAGAAAATAAGGCCAATTTCTTGGAGAACTTTGATAGTCCTGGCGGATTTAGTATCCATTTCCTTTCTTCTTGTCTTCTGTTACTTTTTTCTTTTTAAAATTTCAATAGCAAAGTTACACACAGAGAGAGGGAGAGGCTGAGACAGTGAAAAGGTGAGAGAGAGAGAGTTTCCATGTGCTGGTTCACTCCAAATGGCCACACAACAGCCAAGTTGAAGGCACAAGTTTTCCTTTAGGTGTGCAGCATGGGTGCAGTGACTCATGCACTTTGGCCATCCTGCCCAGCCTTCACAGTGCATTGTCATGGACCTGGACAGGAAGTAGAACAGCCGGGGCACGAACCACTGATCATATGGGATGACAGCACCACAGGAGGTGGTTTTATCTACTGTGCAGTTTTTTTTTTTAGTTACTTAGCTTAACTGACCTTCTTGCTAGTCTTTGAACACTTTGGAAACACTGCTGTTCGCGAGTCTTTGTTTCCTCTGCCTGTCACACTCCATCTCTAAATCCCTACACAGCCAAAATCCTTACCTCCTTCGTGTGCTCAAACGTTACCTACTCTAGGAGTCCTGATTATCGATTTAAAGACGTAAAGGCTTCTCCCACACATCCTGCTCCACCAATGTCCTTTGCTGTTTTCTACTTTTTATTTTCTTTAGCCATTCATCACTTTCTAGCAATGCCATATTCATAGTATATACTTACATATTAATTTTATTTTTTAAAGGTTTGATCACTTAATTATTTGTAAAATTTATTTATTTCAAAGGCAGGTTACAGAAAGATCTTCCACATGATGATCCCAAATGGCCACAACAGCTGGGGCTGGTACAGGCCACAGCCGGGAACCCAGGGTTTTCCCCAGGTCTCCCACCTGGACGCAGGAGCCCAAGCACCTGGGCCATCTTCTGCTGCTTTCCCAGTCACATCAGCGGGGAGCTAGTGAAGTGCAGGAGTCAGCACTTGAACTGACACCCATGTGGGATTCTGGTGTGCCAGGCGGGGGCTAGGTATCGCAAGAAGATTTCCTGTTTTGTTGCTTGTTTCCCCTTAGAATATAAGCTCTAGGAGGGGAATGAAGTTTGTTTTATTTACTGAGGTACCCCCAGTGCCTAGAACAATGCCTGGCATGTTAGAAATGCCCAATACATTGTTAAAATGACCAAACAGAGGAAACGTTGTGTTGAAACACAGCTTCTTACTGCACATAAACATCATACAGTATAACGTGTGTGGTAGCATCTCACTCACCTGTAATCTTTTTAACTTCATTCATCAACATGTTCAAATCAGTCTTCCCATGATCTTCAAGATAAAAACATTTATAGAAAAATGATATTATAAAATCCTTTCATTATAAAGTAGAAACATATAATTCAAGCTTTTAAACACATTTTCTTGGAAGTTTATCATTTTATCCCTTCAGAAACTTATCAGCTTAGTGGCTGCAGTGACTGTTATTTGCCCTCCAAACTGTCCAGATCCAGACAATACAGTGCAAGAGTGAAGCTCAAAGCACGCCTCTTTTCTTAGGACAACTTATTAAGTTATTCTGTAAGAGAGATTTTTTTGTTTTACAATTTAAAAAAATTGCCAAAAATTTCCATTTTGCCCATGCCAATTTTATATCCAAGTTTACAGTGGCTTTGGCACTAAGAGATCTGACTGTTACTGTGCAGGTCTGGAAGCTCTGACTGCCAGCATTTTCATACCATGATGTAGTCCAGGAATGTCCACGCAGCATGACAACTTTGTTTCTCACCTGAAACTGCTTTTTATTGACATTGTTCCTAGTTTCTTTCATCAGCATTTCTCACCCTGAGTTTGAAGCCACTAAAATTAGTAGATTTGTTGTCAACAGTTTGCAAAATTACAAATTTGAGAAACACCATATGGACTGTTGGGGTAACAGCAGATGTTACCATTCTAATAGTTGGGATTCAGTTTGGAACTTTCAAGATGCTGACAGACATCCTCACTTCTTACTTAGGGCTTGGCCAAGGATGCCAACGCCTCACTGCTCAGAAACATACTGTTACAGAACCTGTACTCTCCTGGGACTGTAAACTCCCTTTACAGTGAGATACAAAGAATCACTTTGTATTCCTACTGTTATCTAGTCATTAGTTTAGTGGTTTGCACATGAATAATGCTCCATAAACGCTTATAAAATTCAGTTACAGCAAAATGCAATTATATAGAAAATGCATTGGCTTTACAGTATACATAAATTTCTTATTGGTATTCTTTTACAGTTTTATATTATATATATATTAAATATTTATTTTTTATTGGTAAGGCAGATTTATGAGAGAAGGGGAGATACAGAGAGTAAGATCTTCATCCATTAGTTCATTCCCCAGGATTTCATTCTGAAGTCAGGAGCCATGAGTTTCTTACCGGTGCAGGGTCCCAAGGCTTTGGGCTGTCCTTGACTGCTTTATTAGGCCACAAGCAGGAAGCTGGGAGGGATGTGGAACAGCTGGGAAATGTACTGGCACCCACATAGGAACTCAGTATGTGCAAGGTGAGGATTTAACTCTAGGCTACTGTGCTGGGCCCAAAATTATATTGTTGATGTGATTATATCTTACCATCCACATGATGAACAAAAGATCATGTCACCAACAATATGATTGGTGAGATTATGTTTTGGTCACATATTTATATTTGGTCACATACTGTATATAGCCCATGAGTAATGTTATAAATATGATTGTTGATGTGATTTTTTATGAATATGGTTGGCATATTAATATTTTAAACATATCAGTAATATAATTAATAGTTTCATATTAGTTTTAAAAATATTTGTTTATTTAATTGGAAAAGCAGATTTACAGAGAGGAGAAACAGAGAAAGATCTTCATCCTCTGGTTCACTCCACAATGGCTGGATGCTGAGCCAATCTGAAGCCAGGAGCCAGGAGCTTCTTCCAGGATCCCGAGGCTTCGGGCAGCCTCTGCTGCTTTCCTAGGCCTTAAGCAGAGAGCTGGGTGGAAAGTGGAGCAGCTGGGACATGAACTAGCACCTATATAGGATGCTGGTGCTTGTTGGCAGATGGTTAGCTAATTAAGCCATCATGCTGGCCCCTTTGCACTAGTTTTAGCTAATAATATGATACCTTAAAAAGGACAAGGATGAACTTGTTTTTGTTTTGATAAAGATCTGTACCAACAGAGCAGAAGTGGGGAGTATCCAGCATATGGGCCGTGAACGGCTTGTGAAATCACTTGGTCCAGCTCTGCCAAGACAAACACAGTGGAACTCAAAATTCAGCACATTCATTGCAGATGAATTTTCAAGTTGAAAATTTTATATTGTAGAGCACTGTGAATGATGTTACAAGTATGTAAATGACCCTTGGCAGAAAAAAATGTCCCCACCCATGAAAGTACAGATGACATCATTCCCTTAAATTTGTATGAAACCAATGGGCCCTGAAACAATTTTCTATCCTATCTCAGATGATTACACAGATGTACAAAGTGCTCCACAAGAATTTTTAAAAAAGAACTGCATTTATTGCCTTGCACTTTTGATCACTGTGCTAGTAATATTTCCAGATACAAAGAAAGAGGGGCAGTCTCAAGTATCTACAGCAAATTTATCGCATTGGGAGAGTAAATGAGGTATACAAGGGATTTAAGAAGAGTTATTTTTGGAAAAAATGCTTATCTCTTGTAAGGCAAAAGCTGGTACTTGAAATGTCATGCATTAAAGTAGAATGAAAGCATGATAAGTTCTACTGATCAGAAAAGTGTTGTTGGTTCTGGTACGGTAGTCTAGTGGCTAAAGTCCTTGCCTTACATGCACCCGATTGCATATGGGTGCCAGTTTGTAGCCTGGCTGTTATACTTTCCTTCCAACTCCCTGATGTGGCCTGGGAAAGCAGTTGAGGATGGCCCAAAACCATGGGACCCTGTACCCACACGAGAGACTGACTCCTGGCTTGGCTCAGCTCTGGCCAATGCGACCACTTGGGGAATGAGTCAGTGAATGGGAGATCTTTTTGTCTCTCCTTCACTCTGTAAATCTGACTTTCCAAGAAAAATAAACAAATCTTTAAAAAAAACAAGTGTTACTTAATGACTTGCATTAATCTTATCCTTTTACTATTTGTTCTGGAGGGAGGCAGCCCAAAATATTTCCTGATGAAGCTGTGTTTATTTTTTTTAAATTTGCTTTATTTATTTACTTACTTATTTATTTTAAAACAATTTTTAATAAACATTTTGCTATATTGTTTTTTCGTGAATTTTTTCAGTTCCACTGTCATGAGTTATTTCTAATATGAGAATATTTCAAAAAATTCATGGAAATTGCAATTATAAGATATGTTTATTTAAGTGTAAAAATTTGAAATTCATTCATAATTTTTCATATTCATTTTCCAATAACTTTTTGTGTCAACTTTAGTTAATTTTTTAAAAAAATATTTTATTTGATAATTTTTACATAGTTGATTAGGGCACAAAGGGTCTAGGGCTACATGAAAATGAGTAATACCATTATTTCTACATTATTATTATTATTTCTTCTGTATCTGGAGTAAGGGGGGACAAAAAGGGAGAAGCCCCACCCAGCCTCCCACCCATCCCAGGTCCCCAGCATGGGGCATACTCTGAGTGTCCAGCTCAAGTGGTTTTGATCGTTCAGCAGTTCTGAATCACTGCCAATCTCACTATTTCAAGCATGATGAAATCTCTCCAGAATCTGCTGGCTGACATAGTTCAATTTAGAGTCTCCATTTGCCCAGATTTTAACTGTTAACACATGGCTGGAGTAGTTGATTGATTTGTTTTGTTCTCTGTCCTGTGTTGTGGTACCAGGTGTCTTCTGCAGGTTCTGATGGACTGCCATATCCTCCATGTGCACCTGGATTGCTGTCCACTGCTCTGTCTGAGCCTCTGAAGAGGCTCAGCTTTGACACCTGCACTCCACGGCCCACCATGGAACCTGCACTTCTCTTCATGGTTGGGATTCTGAGATCAGTAGTTCAGTTGGAGGGATTCCCAAAGAAACTTCGTCTGAGGTGATCCCAGACCTAATTCTTGTGTGTGTGCTCACCAGTACTGGGTCTGGCACAGTCCTTTGCCCCAATCAGCTTATGCACATGCCGGTGGTTACAATTGCTGGGTCATTTCTGTTTCTAGCCCTGTCATCCACACAAACCAATGGGGTGTTGCAATTCAGCCTGATTCTGCCCACCACACATTCGGCCCTCACACAAACTAGTAGGAGCTGCAGCCTAGTTGGAATGACTGCAATAACCCCCATCAGGTCTGTACCCTGCCCTGGTTCCCATGCTTGCCAGTATGTACAGTCTGTCCCACATCCCATTTAGCTCTCATACATGTCAATGGGCATTGAAGCCTAGTTCCACCCAACCAGTCCCACTATCCAGCCTACACACATGCTGGCAGGTGCCATTCTGTCTAGCCACTGCTATCCCAGTCCTGGTTTTCACGCTCTCCAGTGGGAATGATAACCCCAGAGGGAAGTGCCCACTATTTCCCTACTGGGCCCACTCCCATTCCCGGAATCTGCACTCTCCAGGTGGTTCTGCAGTTTAACTTGACAGAATTAGCCCTCAGTGCCAGCCTCTGTCAGCTGATGCCGTGGCAAAGCCCAACTAACCCTCACCCACTCTGATTTTGCTTGTACCAGTAGCAGCAGTCACCCCAAACTTGGATTTTCCCTGATCTATCTCACATGAGGCCCACAGGTGTTACAGCCCTGCCTGGTCTGGTCTGCCCCCATCTCAACTCAAGCTCTCCAGTGGGAGTGGTGGTCCAGCAAGGGCAGCCCTCCATATTCCCCCTACCAGCTATGCCCCCTGCCCCCCTGGTTCTCACATGTGCTGGTGGGATGCTGTGGCCCAGTCCAACAAGGTCGCCCTCATCTCGGTTTTTGCCAGTTGGTGCTGTAGCCTGGCTTGGTCCAACCCATCCCCAATTCCTGCTGACACTGGTGAGGGTTACAGCCTGGCCCAGCCCAGCAGGCACCCAGTCCCAGCCGTAATGTGTACTGGTATGTGTTATGACTGAACCTGGCCCACACTTGTTCTGGTGCTCGGATTCGCCAGCAGGCGATGTGAACTGGTTCAGCCTGGTCCGGCCCCAACCTATGCCAAATGTATGCCAGTGGGTACCTTTCCCTGGCTTGGTCTGGGCTGCTCCAATTGTGGTTCTTGTGTTCACCTGCAGGGACTATGTCCTGTTAGAGGAGTTAACTTTAGTTAATTTTATTCACAGCATTACTCTTAAATTTGTAAATATCCTCTTAAATTTGTAAATTCTACTAGTTCATGGTAGTAAAGCACTGTGGCTAACAGAAAGCTTCTAAAGCCAATTTTTTCACCCTCTCTTGATTTTGTGCAAGTTAGTAACTTCCTTGTGCCTTGGCTCCTCCTATGCAAAATGGGGAAAACATAGAAAATACCTTGTAGAATTGCTTGGAAAGTTAAACAATCTGATCGATGTGAAGTGCTTAGAGCAGTGCCTTGCATACATCAGGACTAGAGTATAGATAACTGTTATTTATGCTCATTAGCATTAAGGACTGAAAGGTTAATATCCCAAGCATTCTTGTTAGTGCTATAATTCAGTATTAACATGTTCCACTTGTGTCGGCCCCTTTCTTGCAATCCTGCTATATGGTTAACTTTGAGCTAAGTCTGCCTGCTGTGATCAAGGGATTATATTTTTTTCATATATGTTCTAGCTTCAAGCATCCCAACCTTGATAGGAAGTTCATGTTCAAAGTTTTACTAAGGGGCATATTGGTATTCAAAAGTCTTACCGTCAACTGGTAGGTGGTCTTTAAGGACCCGGGTGTCTTTCTCTTTGAGGTTAACTCCTGCACTTTTCAGGAATGTTTCCACCTTATCCAAAGATACCTTTGTTCCTTAGGAAAGAAGGGAATAGACAGGAGAAATATTTGTATGATGTAACAGATGGATATTTCTAGAGCATGCCTAAGCATCAATAATATGTAAAGAATGAAGAACAAAGAACAATTAACTATTTCAGTAAAGCTGGTTTTGGTATCTAAATTGTGAATCCCTAAACTGTGATCTGTGGGAGTCTGTTATGACTTTTAGGAGAATTTTAAAGAGAAGACAATGTGGAGTTACAAGTTTCTGGCAAGCTAGGGCAAAACCAAAATTAGCTTTTGTAAATATGTCTGTACAGCATGATTTGAAACTTGCTAAATCAGTGGAGAAAAATAAATCAATGAATTAATTAATAATTTATGGTGATGTCCTGGAATTCTAAAAAAATGATATTATTTTCACTTGAAAGTCACAGAGAAAAAGAAAAAGTTAGGGAGACACAGAGAGATAATATCCAGCCACTGGCTCACTCCCCAAATGCCTGTAATAGCGGGGCGTGGGCCAGGTCTTGGTCTAATCCACACAGATGGTAAGGACCCTAACACTCAAGGAGTCACCTGCTGCCTCGCAGGATGTAAATTAGTAGGAAGCCAATTTGCAAGCGGAGAATGGGTAGTTCCCAGATCCCCAATTGTTTACATAATATGCTATTCCAACATCAAATGGCTACAAAATGTCCTAGTGATTTGAATGCTGGTCTCTGGCTTTTCCTACTATTTTGATGTGCAACTTAATTTTTTTAAAAAAAGATTTTATTTATTTTTATTGGAAAGTCAGATATACAGAGAGGAGGAAAAACAGAGAGGAAGCCCTCCTGTCCACTGATTCATTGCTCAAGTGGCCGTAACAGCCAGAGCTGAGCTGATTCGAAGCCAGGAGCCCAGAAGACTCTTCTGGGTCTCCCACGCGGATGCAGCGTCCCAAGGTTTTGGGCCATTCTCAACTGCCTTTCCAGGCCACAGGCAGGCAGCTGCAAGGGAAGTAGGGCTGTTGGGATTAGAATTGGTGCTCATATGGGATCCTGGTTGTGCAAGGTGAGGACTGTAGCTGCTGGGCTACCGCAATGGGTCCACAACTTTATTTTGGAGCCACATTTTTTTCTACTATAGCTAAGCAATTTTGATGGCCATAATGTCTCAAAATGTATAAAAGTAAATGCTGAACTAATAAATGGTTGGGAAATCAGGATTAATAACTGGAAATTGCAAAATTGGAATGTTTTAAAAAATAATAGAAAAAGATCAGCTTCACATGCCTTTTCAGCATGTCTCACTTACCTTTAGCATTATTCAATTCTTTCATCAGTCTCTTCTTATATACCTTCCCTTTGCCTGTCAGATAGGGGAAGGTCTCAGGCAACAATGCAGTTATTGAAAAATGCACAAAGCACGCATAATCTATAAAGCTGATCTTTAAATGTTTCATTCTAAAAATTTATAGTCTTCACTTTTTGCCTGGTTTACTTTTACTGTTTCTAAAATTAATTAAAAATCATGATAAAGTTCTTTAGGCTCAGGGATTTCCTCTCCTGCCCTTCCTAAGCCCTCTCCCCCTCAATGTTTACCCCTAGAATACAGTATAGCCCTTCAACAACCCAGAGAACCTCAAACTATTAGAAGACACAGGAAGCATTCTACAAGATATAAGCATTGGTAAAGTCTTAGAAAAGTCGCCAAAAGCCCAGGCGATCAATACCAAAATAAACAATTGGGACTACATCAAACTAAGAAGCTTCCGTGCAGCAAAGGAAATTGATCAACAAAGTGAAGAAGCAATGAACAGAAAAAATAACAGAATGGGAGAAATTCTTTGCAAATTATGCAACTGATAGGGACTGATATTTTTTTGCTTCCAAGAATAAAACTTGGGAACGGAAGTGAACCTCAACTTGAGGAAAGCATTTTGGTAGTGGGAGGCATGAAACATTTTTTACACACGGAGTATGCTCAACCTTCAAAGTCTACCATAGTACATTAAAAATTATAATTTGCTCCCCAAGTGCTTGCAGCTGCTGGGGTGGGGCCAGGGGAAGTCAGGAAAGAATTTAATCTACATCCTCCACGCGAGTAGCAGGGACTCAGATACTTGGGGCACCAGTTGCTGCGTCCCATGGTGCACATTAGCAGAAATAAAAGTCCAGTGTGGGACTGAAATTTCACCCCAGGCATTCTCTCATGAGATGTGCCTCAAACAACATCCTACTTTCTATACCAAATGCCTGCCTTGATATATATGTTAATTTTATTATGTTAATATACTCATACAATATTATTATGGTAATATTTACTTATTGAGTGGTAGACACAGACACATGCATACACAGAGAGGTCCCATCTGCTGACCCACTCCCTAAATGCCCACAACAGCTGAGGTGTAAGCTAGGATTCAGAAGCTCAACCCAGGTTTCTCTTGTGGGTTGCAGGAACCCAACTATGAGAGCATTCAGCACGGACCCTTAATTAGAAGCTGGAACAGGAACTGAACCAAGGTACTCTGATGTCAGAGGTGAGATCTTAACACATACCTAAACCACCAGCCACACACCAGCCCCTAGGATATTTTTTAATACTCACTATCAGTTGGCAGATTATTTAACAGCTGCATCACTTTTTCTTTTGTAAGCTGTATCCCCAAATCTTCAAGAAAATTTTCCAGGTTACTAATATCAATCTTTTCACCTTAAAAATCAAAAAGTGAATGTTTGAAAAATCATAAAAATAATATTTCTATATTACAAAATAGTCTTATGAGGCATGATTTTATTAATAGGAACAAAACAGATTTTATGCATTTCATAGGTGTAATTCCAAGAGAACAATCATATTCCCTTGCTCCCTTACTCATCTCTCGTGCCTCATCCCTCCTTCACTTCCTTCCCTTCAATAATATTTATACAGACAGAATCTTAATCCACTATTTTTTTTTTACATTAACTTTATGCTTCCTTCCCTAAGGGAAGGTTAGTTAAACCCTCTCAAGTTGCTGCTCATTTTTGTGTCACAGAAAAGCTAACATGTAGAGATGTTGTTATTCTAAGAACTTTAACATAAAATGATGCGAGGAAACAAGGCCGACTCAGCTATCATAAGCAAGGGCAAAGACACAACGGTCAAGGTGTGGCAATGAGTTATGAGACCGAAATCATCGTTCATCTCTGTCCCGTGCACCTCTCTTCCCATCAGCTTGCAGGGTGATATGGGAGTCTTTCTTCACCGTGCTTCTTTTCTGTAAGTGGTAGAGGCATTTTAGGCCAACAGTTTGAATGCTCTACTCATTTTCAATTACAGCATGGAAAAATTCTTCCTTTTTATCCCCTGGAACTATTGTGCAATTCTGCTGTGGGGAACATCTGAGAAATGAAGCCATCAACTCTACAAGTATCCAGCAAGAAGCGCGCACTGGGTTGTTTCTCCCAAGATGCTTCCTGGGGTTGCTAGAGTTTCTAATTCCAAGAAAATGACTCTTCAGCTAGAGCATAATTTCTACCATAACTTCATTTCTTCCCTAGCCACACTGTGCCACTTAACTATTCTCTTTCCTACCTATTTTAAAGTCGTTATACTTCCATTTTTGGCACACTGCGAATCTCCTAATTTGGTACAATTAAAGAATATTGTATACTATGTGAAAGGTTGTTATGATGCCCAACTGTCATTAGTCTCTTGGTACTTCTCAGCAATATCTTTATGTGTTTCTGATAAACTCTAGTTTCTATTCTTTAACAAAGTTATCAACATTCACCTTGAGGTCTCTTACTCCACTAGTGTACCCTTTCTCTCAATAGATGTTTCTGTTTTCTTCTATTCAGAGAGTACTGCGTAAGAATCAGCTCAGAGGTTGGTGTCAACTCTGTTAAACCATTTCTTAAACTTTCTTCCTCAGGTGCAAGCAGCCATTCTGCCCATATTTTACTTTACTTAAAGCATTGTATCTATATAATTTATTGCATTTATATATTTATTTCCTGTCTGAAGAATATTACTAGAAATTTGCTTTTTGTAGAATTTAATAACAGTTTTTAATAACCAATTAGTCAAAATCAAGCCCACCTGTAAAAAGATTCCCTTCATCCATTACAACCTCCAAGTTTACCTCCTCTGCATCTGTTAGAAGCATATACAAGAAGATGTTAATAGAAAGGAATAAGGTATAAACATCATGCATACATGTTTGGATTTTTCTCTAGAATTTTATCCTGTTTGATTCCAAATAAAAAATGAGAAAAAATAAACCTGATTATTCAAAGACCTCTTACTTTAAATAGCTAATATAATTTATTATTCTAGCCAGAGAGTGAACCGTGCCCATAGAAAACTGGGCTGACCCTGCATGCATGGCCCTCTCTGCTCTGTCCGGAAGAACTCTATAGTTCATGGATTATAACACTGGAGAGAAAATTAGACCAGAAAAATTCTCCAGCAGGAAATATTTGATATAGAACATTGCCAATCTATATTTCTGTCTTGAACCCACAGAATGGTTTAGACTGTTGCTCTTTTACATAAAAAGAACTTTGATGAATCTAATGAAATTTTGACAATATTTAAACACCTTCAATATTTACTTTGTATTTTTCTTTTAAATAGGTTACTAAAAAGAGACAGCATGATAGAGGGACAGTACCTCATAGAAGACGTCTTATTCTCTTGTGCCTATGATCTGAGTATTAATTTGGGTCCTGAATGTCCCTCCGAGGTCCATGTGTGAAATATTAGGTTTCTAAACACAAAGTCTTGTGTTAAAATGATACTAAGGGATTAGAAATATACTTCATGGGACCGGCGGTATGGCCTAGCAGCTAAAGTCCTCGCCTTGAACGCACCGGGATCCCATATGGGCGCAGGTTCTAATCCCGGCAGCTCCACTTCCCATCCAGCTCCCTGTCTGTGGACTGGGAAAGCAGTCGAGGATGGCCCAAAGCTTTGGGACCCTGCACCCATGTGGGAGACCAGGAAGAAGTTCCTGGATCCTGGCTTCGGATTGACATAGCATCGGCCGTTGAGCTCACTTGGGGAGTGAACCATCGGATGGAAGATCTTCCTCTCTGTCTCTCCTCCTCTCTGTATATCTGACTTTCCAATAAATAAATAAATCTTAAAAAAATATATATATATATATACTTCGTTATGGCATTGGCATTTGAATGTGAGTTTTTTTTTTAAGCTTTATTATTTGGAGGGCAGGAGGACAGAGTGAGTGAATGAGAGAGAGAAAGAGAGCAAGAGAGTGAGCGAGCTACTTTCTGCTGGTTCACTCCCCAAACCCAATCCAGGAGCAAGGAACTCCAATTGAGTCTCCTGCTTGAGTGGTAATGATCCAAATACTTGGCTCATCATCAACAGTTGCTTATGAAAGTGCCTTAGGGGAAACTGGACCAGAAGTGGAGCAGTTGTGACTCAATCTGGGACTCTGAAATGGAATGACAGCTTTGCAAATGCTGGGTTAGTTTACTATATCACACTGCTGGCTCCTGAAGGGGGGGCTTTTGGAGAATGATTGGATTGGATTGAATCGTCTGGGTGGAGTCCCCATGAGTGAATACTGGTGGATTTGTAAGAGACCACACAGGTACACATGCGATTGCTGTCTCTTGTCATCACTATGCATGACCTTGGGCCTGCCAGCAAGCTTGACATCAACAAATTCAGAACCAGTGAGAAAAACCTAGCCTTGGACTATGAAGCCCCAAAACTCTGACCTAAAACAAATCTATTTCCTATGGAGAGATGATATGGGAAAAGCGTGCCTCAGTTTTTTTATTTAGTTTTTTTTAAAGATATTAATGAAAAGCTAATTAATGTGTATTTTTAGTTACTTCTACTGACTTACGAATAGCCTGAAACAGGTGTCTAATGCTGTTTCCTGTGGGACGATTGTTTTCAAAAGTAGTACTCAAGAAGGACTGGTACTTCAAAACCAAGATCACCATGGAACTCCAGTAACATTTCAAAGTACTGGAAGATGGGATTAAAATTGACATCCTTTTATAGGTAGATAAAAATACTGGGAATTATATATTTCCATTAATAAAGAAAATATAGCTTATGGAAAATTTACCTTCTTCTGGCTAGAACAGGTGTAACTAACTGGCTTTGTGTTGACATGAATAAAACTTGGTTCTTACTCTTAACATGTAACTCTTAAATACCATGTGGTAAGGCCCATGTTAAGAATTTACAACTATGAAAGATACTGCAGAGAGAGGGAGAAACAGAAAGAGAGAGCGAGAGAGTGAGAGAGAGAGGTTGAGACCTTCCATTCACTGGTTCACTCCCCAAATAGCTGCAAGAGCAGGGCTAGGCTAGGCTGAAGCAGCGAGCTACGAGCATCATGTGGCTCTCTTACAGGAATACAGAAGCCAAAGTACTTGGGTCAGCTTCTGCTTTCCCTGGCACATTAGCAGGGAGCTGTATTAGAAGTGGAGCAGCTGGGATCCATTGGTGTCCACACGGGATGCTTGCATTGCAGGTGGCCTCTGAATCCTCTGTGCTACAGCTCTGGCTCCAGTGTCTAAATGTAGAATTTCTACCCATCTTCTGACAAGCTGTCCTTTGCTCTACTTCCTGGCAAGCTGAATTCCACCACCTCATTTTAATATCACTGAAAATGCTTTAAGTATTATAATTACATGTATTGTGATTGCCTGTCATCATTTTAAACTTACTAGATTACAAACTCAGAAGGTTAAGAATAACTGTTATTGGGTCTGTTGCGGTAGCCTAGTGGCTAAATCCTCACTTTGCATGCACCGGGATCCAACCTGGGTGCCAGTTCATATCCTAGCTGTCCACTTTCTATCCAGCTCCCTGATTGTGATCTTGGAAAGCAGTAGAGGATGGCCCAAAGCTTTGGGACCCTACACCCTTGTGGAAGACACAGAAGAGGATCCTGGCTCCTGGCTTCGGCTCTGTTCAGCTTCAGCCATTGTGGCCACTTGGGTAGTAAATCAGTAGATGGAAGATCTTTCTGTCTCTCCTCTATAAAATCTGACTTTCCAATAAAAATAAATAAATCTTTAAACAAAATCCGATATTTTGTCTTTATATTCTTAATAGTTTATTAGGCATGCAACAAAGTTTACTATATGAATTAATGAATTTGTATGACTGGATCCCTGTGTTTTACTAATTTTTAACATTTCTGTAATTTCAAATACATTCTCAAAAATTTTCATATAGGAATCCAAAATTTCACTGAAGGAGCAACTCACCATCAATGGGCAGGTGTTTGATCAGGTCTTGATATTCGTCTTCTTCAAGCACAAAGCCCATAGTTTTTAAGAAGGGCTCTAGCTTATTAGCATCGAGTTTTACTCCTTAGGAAAATGAGGATGGAAAAAAGAAGCAAATAATAATCCTAAGGTTAACCATGCTAGGCACGTCCTCATGTTAATCTGAGTGTGAACAATTAAAGGAACAGTGAAGGTGTTGAAACAAGAGCTGATATAGGAGCAGGACATGTTTTCTAATTTTCCCCAAGGATTTGACGATAGCTGTCATGAGACATTTACAAGGAAGGAGTAGAGTTAGGTAGCGTTAAAAACCATTTCTTCAAATGCAGTGCTTTTCAAGGAAGTGAATAAGTTAATAGACATATTTGTCATCACCAAAAATCCATGCTATTTTTTAAAAAAAGTGTTGATGTGCAAAACTGCTTGAGCAGGACCCTCGGAGCACGCCTCGCACTGGGGACCTGGGACGGCTGGGAGGCTGGGGGGGGGGGCTTTCCCCTTTGTTTCTCCCCTGATCCCAGATACAGGAAAAAAAATATATTAGTCTAGAAACAATGGTATTACCCACTTTCTTGTAGCCCTTGACCTTTGTACCCTAAGCAACTAAGAAACATTATTAAAAAGCAATAATTAAAAAAGCGCTGATGTGGATGTCTGGCAGACATTCCAGAGCCACATAAAGAAGACACCCTGTGCATGTGCGAGAGACTTGCACAGGTCCGGAGTTCTGGAAGGTGCCAGAGCTGGATGTCTTATCGTCCCTGGGAATGCCGCCTGGCCTTTACTCCCTATTGTAAGAGCTCATTATCTGCTTGGTGCTTGGAACCGCTATAGGTCAGCTTGACACCACGTAAGCCTAGTTTATCATTACCCTGCACTTAGCTAATCTTACCCTGTGCACCTGCTCCCCCCACCCATTAAGTCCTATGCCTTTGTAAAAGTATAAAAACCCTAATTTTCTTTGTCTTGATGCATCATCCTGCAAGATGATGGCTGCCCTGCTACAATAATAAAAATTTAGTTCTGCATAACCTCATGTTCTCCATGTATTCACCTTTAACATGTATATGGAAAATACAAGTCGTCTTATTTTTTTCTTCTGATTTCTTACCTTTGAGAGATCTTAAGCCATCCAACAACCTGTGCTTATACAACCTCCCAGCAGCTGTTAAGACAAGGCAGGGCAGGGTGAGTGGTAAGAAGACCTGCTCAAACAATCATAAACTCACCAATTTCAGGAAAAATAACTTCTGTCATTTTACTCAGACTATTTTCTATTCCTATTCCAATTAAGAGTTGAAAGGACAGCAGGAAGCTCTGAAGACAGTCAAAGCGATGATCCTGGGTAACTCAGCCTGCTTTTCTCCCCTCATTTTTAGATGCCTTCTCCATTTCTAACCCTCGGCGTCATCGCACACAAACCAGTGTTCCTAAGAATGTCATTAAATAGTGGGACTCATGAGTGAGGAGATTACTGAGCTAAAAAAACTTATAACCATGCCAGGGTTTCTTTGAATGATAACATGGGATATTTCTAAATACTTCCATGTGACATAAAACGGATGTTATTTTAGAAATTTTCAATGATAAGCCCTTAGAAATAAGCTCTTCTACAAGGTGATCCCTTAGTGACATATCATATTTTCTATCACAGATTTCATATTTTACAGAAATTCAAAAGTGATTTCCACCTACACACAGTAAACTAGTTTCTGGTTTCTTACATACAAAAAGAAAACCTGGAGTACTTAACTTCTATTCTGAGAAGAAACTTAGATTTTAGGACCCAAGAGGAAAGCCACAACAAAATTTCTGGGAGATGGGAAGCTCTAAGTGTGTGTGTGTGTGTGTGTGTGTGTGTGTGTGTGTGTGTGTGTGTGTGTGTGTGTGTGTGTTTACAGCCTAAAGTGGAGGAGTAATCATTGCGGCAGTAAAATATTAATGGAGGAACTTTTTTCTTAATAAACTACTACTACTATCTGTCTGTCTGTCTGTCTATCTATCTTTCATCTATCTACCTACATTTTTTTAAAAGATTCATTTATTTTTATTGGAAAGTCAGATACACAGAGAGGAGGAGAGACAGAGAGGAAGATCTCCTGTCCACTGATTCACTCCCCAAGTGAGTGCACTGGCCGGTACTGCGCCAATCTGAAGCCAGGAGCCAAGAACTTCTTCCAGGTCTCCCACGCGGGTGTAGGGTCCCAATGCTTTGGGCCATCCTTGACTGCTTTCCCAGGCCACAAGCAGGGGGCTGGATGGGAAGTGGAGCTGCCGGGATTAGAACTGGCACCCATATGGGATTCTGGTGTGTTCAAGGCGAGGACTTTAGCTGCTAGGCTATGCCGCCGGGCCCTATCTACCTACATTTTTTTTAAAGATTTATTTTAATTGGAAAGGCGGATATACAGATAGGAGGAGAGACAAAGAGGAAGATGTTGCATCTGATGATTCACTCCACAAGTGACCACAACGGCTGGTGCTGCACTGATCTCTAGCCAGGAGCCTGGAGCCTCATCCAGGTCTCCCATGCAGGTACAAGGTCCCAAAGCTTTGGGCCATCCTCTACTGCTTTCCCAGGATACAAGCAGGGAGCTGGATGGGAAGCTGGGCTGCCGGGATTAAAACTGGCAACCATATGGGATCCCGGTGTGTTCAAGGCGAGGACTTTAGCCAGTATGCTATCGTGCAGGACCCTATCTACATTTTTTTTTTAAAGGCAGATAGGCAGATGGATAGCAGAGCTTCCAACCTCTGGTTCACTCTTCAAATGCCTACAACAGCATCTGGGGTCTGGGTTAGGTTGAAGCTAAGGTCTTGGAATTTGATGCAGGGACAAAGAAGGCTGTATGTGTCTTTAAGAAAACCAATTGAAAAAACATTTTCATTATAAATATACATTGATCTAACATATGGCTTTAAAATTGGTATATGAAACATCAGCTGACTATGACAAGGAGAAATTCTTATATTAAAAATTGTATTTGGAGATTTTTAAATATTCCATTTAGAATCATTAAGGAAGCAAAAAAAAATGCTGTTGGGCCAGTGCTACAGTGAGCTAAGCTGCTGCCTGCAGCGCTGCCCTCCGCATCAGAGCACAGTCCAAGCCCTGGCTGCTGTGCTTAGTGTGCTCAGGTGAGCAACGAAGGACGGCCCCGCTTCTTGGGACCCTACCACACATGCAGGAGACTCAAACGCAGCTCAAAGCTCCTGGCTTTAGCCTGAACCAGCCTCAGCTACTGTTGCCATCGGGGAATGAACTAGCAGATGGAAGACTGCCTTCTCTTTCTCACTCCCCCCTTAAGATAAATAAGTAAAGCATCAATAGAAGAAATATTATATAAACCTCAACAGTATGATTAAATACACTAACACAAAGTGTTCTCTTTTTTAAGCACTCATAGAACCCTGCAAAAAACAAATCACGATTGCATGTGCTGACTGCCATGAGTGCCCACCGTGGAGCTTAAGAACCAAGGCTGGGAGCAGCCCAGACCAGGGCAGGTTACGGTACCTGCTGGCATGTGTGTGGGTCAGGTCAGCGGGCAGGCCAGGCTGGACCAGTTCATAACACTCACTGGCAGTCTGAGAACCAGGACTGGGTGCAGTTCAGGCAGGCTTGGGTTACAGCAGCAGCCAATTCACATTAGGAACGGGAATCAGGGCAGTCTAGGCTGGCCTAGGCTCCAGCACCCATCAACATGAGCCTGGCAAATGCCAAGTTGAGGCAGGCTATGCTAGACTGGGTTGCAGCACTCACTGGCATATGTGAGACCCAAGAGGAGGGATTTGAGCCCAGTAGGAGGGCATCGTGGGCTCCTCTGCTGGGCCACTACTACCACTGGTGAGCATGAGAGCTGGGACTTGGGGCAGATCATGCTGGGCAGGGCTACAACACCTGTTGGTCTACATGGGAACTGGGTTAGAGAGAGAGCCAGGCTGGGCTGACTCTATCCACTGGTGCATGCATGGGCCAGAGTAAGTGCCGGCTGGTTAGGCTTTGTTGAAGCTCTGGCTGGTAAGTGCTTGGACTAGGGGCAAATCTTGTCAAGCTGGACTACAGAACCACCTGGAGAGTGCAAGATCTGAAATTGAGAGTGGACCCTGTAGGGAAACTGAGTACCTCTGGTGGGCTGCAACTCCCCGTGGTGAGCATGAGAATCAGGGCTGGGAGTGGGTGTGGCCTGACAGGTGATGGCACCACCTGTATGAGTGTGGGCTAGATAGTGGGGTTTGCTGGGTTGAGCTAGGATACAATACCTGTATGAGACATGTACGAGAGATGAATGGGATGTGGGACAGACTGGACCAGTTCACCGCACATGCTAGCATGTGCAGAAACCAGGGCTTGGGCTGGGGCTGGTGTGGGTTATTGGGGGTTGCTCCAGTTAGGCTGCAGTTCCTGCTGGTGTACATAGGAGCTGAGTGTGTAGTGGGCTTGGTTGGGCTGTGCCTCAGTGTCCATTGGTTTGTGTAAGAGATAGGGCTGGAGACAGAACGATCTAGCAATTGCAACTAGCAGTGTGTGCATAGGCTGATGTGGGTGATGGATTGAGCCAGACCCCATACTGGCAAGCACACACAAGAATCAGCTCTGGGATCACCTCTGGTGAGGTTTTTAGGGGGATCCCCCAAACTGAACTACTGGACTCAGAACTCCAACCATGGGGAGAATTGCTGGATCTATGGACTGACTGTGCGCATGTGTCAGAATTGGATCTCCTCAATGGTTAAGACAGGAGTGGACAGCATATCCAGAAGATGCACATGGAGGCTACGGCAGTCCATTGGGGCCAGCAGTGGACACTTGGTACCACAGCAGAGGAAGGAGGGAAGAACAAACTGGACAACTGTCCCAACCAAATGTTGACAGCAAATTTCTGGGTGAATGGAGACTCTAAAGCGGACTATGTCAGCCAATGGACCTTGAAAGGATTTCCTCATCCTTGGAATCAGTGAGATCAATAGCATTTCAGAACTATCGAAACCACTTAAGCAGAACCCTCAGCGCATGGTGCACACTGGGGACCCTGGGATGACATCAGGTGGCTGTTTCCCAACCCTGGGCTCTGACGCAGTTAGGGGGCTGGGTGCAGCTTCTCCCTTCCTTTCTCCACTTCCCCCAGATTCAGAAAGAAGAAAAAGAAAATTTGAAACACTGGTCTCATCCACTTTCCCCTAATCCTTGACTCTTCCCACCCCGATCAACTAAACATCATCACAAATAAAATAACAAACAAAAAACCAAAATCATATTTTAGGTAATAAAAATATGCAAAGAAACATTCCCCAAGGAGAAGTATCATAAAAAATATATCCTCTGAGAATGATGTAATAAAATTAGAACTTAATAACAATTATCAAATATACATATTTGAAGAGGGAAAACATCATCAAAGTAACTCAATCTTTAGGGAGCTAAATCATGATAACAAACCTTAGGGGCAAGGTGACCAGTACACAGAGTCTCTACAATATATTATCTACAACGTCCAATTTCTAAGAAAAAAATCATGAGCATGCAAAGAAATATCACTGCATCTTGTGTGCCACACCAACGTAGGATCATACATGGTGCCCTAAAATTGCCATTTTTAGGTTTGTTTCTTTTTAATGTTTTTTGCTTCAGCCAACTCCCACTATCAACCTTTTCAGGCTTATCTGAAATAATATTGGTTGCGTGAAGTCTTGCTGTTTCTAGGCACATCTCTGCTTTGTACGTCCACATCAGCTTGTTTTGATTAGCAATATAGCACTTGCCATCTATGCATTTAGTTCTCTTAGGAGCTGGACTTTGTCCTACTCATATTTATGACTTAGAACCTAGTGTATGTCTAGAACTAAAGGAAACCAGTAAACGTTCACTAGATGAGTGACAAATTCAATGCTTACCATCAATTGGCAAACTTTTCATGATCACAGGATTTTCTTTCAGATGTAGTCTTAACCCTATGTTTTCCAAAACATTTTCAAGGTCATCAAAGTCTATTTCTTTTCCTTAATAAAGAAAATGGCAGTAAAGAGCTAAATTCCAGATTCAAATAATAAATAAATCTATGTTCATGTTGTATCATCCTTATACATAGCATAAAAGGCAACAGAAACAGTGACTGCTGCCCACTTACTGGGATTAGAAGGGGGATGCAGAAACACAATTTCTTTCTGGTAAAAAAAAACTCTTCAGTTTTGGAAACAGGAAACAATATAGCAGGAAGAAAATAGTTTCTTTTTTCCCTGTATTCATCATCATCATCATCATCATTATTTTACAATGTGGGTCCACAGGCTCTGGGCTTTCCCCTCTCCCCCTCCCCAGGTCTCCTCCTCTCACTGGTTTCCCCCATATTATTGCAGAACTATAGCCCTTCACAAACAGTCACATGTCCATCATTCTGCTATTTAAGTGTATTCTGACACTGTAGGTACGGACAATGGCAGAGAGTCCAACACCCTATTGTCAAGACATTTTCACAGTTTCTTTGGAAGTTCATCTTTGGTTTGGAAGTAGAGATGCATACTACATTGCCTCTTCACAACTGGTAATAATAGCAGAAAATTGTTTATTTTAAGACCATTAAACGAGCCGGTATAAACAATACTTCCAGCATGTACTATTTGCTTGAAATTGGGGGGATTTACTTTTACTTCGATTATGAGTTATATATATATATATATATATATATATATATACAGTATATACACAGTATATATATATATACACAGTGGCGATTGCCTTGCTATATTGCTGTTTAGCCAATAGAACAGGAACTTGGAGGCCTGCATCCCGTGTGAGAGTGCCACTGGGTAAGTCCTAACTGCACTTCCACTTCCAGCTTCCTTCCAGTGCACATCCCGAGAGGCAGTAGACGATGGCTTGGGTGCTTTTAGTGCTCCTGCTCACGGTTCCTGGCTTTGGCTTGGCTCAATCCCGGATACTACAGGTATTTGAGCTATGTTATGGATAGTTTGTCTCTGTAAAACTCAAATTGTGATGTCGTGATGTTAGTGACGGTGGCTCTTTGGGTCACTGGAGGTGTGCCCTTGGAGGGTGGTTCTCTTGACAGGTTTGATTTATTTTTATTCAAGGTGTCATTTTTCTGCTTCCTGCCTCAAAACAAGGTTTTTATTGCCACTGTATCTTCTATAACCAACTTCTACAGATGATGGACTATGGGGTTGCCTGATCCCATAATCTCAACTGAAGCTGAAAAACACCTTTACTTTCCAAAGAAGCTCGTGTTAGGTGTTTCAGCTGAAGTGAACCAATGAAGTTAAGATCTCCTTGTTTCCATCTCATTCTCCCTGCCTCTCAAACAAAGTGAAAAATTAGTAGAAATAAAAAAAGAAATTGTATTATTATACATTGCATTATTTATTTACAACTGTATTATATTATTATTTATAAGAATAGCCTTATTATCTATACATTTAAAAATTACAATAGCTGGGTTAATATGTCATGTGCAAGACAACAGAAAACACTTGAAAAATAGATTTTCTTGTTAAACAGCAAGAGATCATTTTTATTATGTCTTCTAATAATTTCTTCTTACTCACCTAACAATTCATCTGCTTCTTTCAGAAGTGAATCCAGTTTAACTCTCCTCTCCTCTGCAAGACAATACACAGCTTAGATATGGCCTTGTTGTGGACTGCATTACGTCCCACCCAAATCTGCACGTTGAAGCCGTAACCCCCATCGTGACTGTCTGCAGTAGTATCTTTAGAAGGCACTTAAAGTTAAATGAAGTTAGGAGATAAGCCATAAAATTACGGTTTTCCAAGATGAGAAAGACCTTTACCCTTCCCTTCCCATCCTGTGAGGACATCAGAAGGAGACCACTGTTTGTCAGCCAAAAGGAGCGACTTTCCAGAAACCAAACTGGTCAGGCTCTTGATTTTGAAGTGCCCAGATCCCAGAAACTGAGAAAACAATGTTTGTTGTTTAACCCACCAAATCTGTGGCTTTTTGTTACAGCAGATCCACTAGAGTCCCAGTTACATAAAGTTCTTAAACACTGAAGTAAATTGTTATGGATTTAACAATTGCCTAGATTTTTTTCTAATTATATATTTTGTTTTCTCTGAATACAAGCATAAAGTTGATAAAATAAAATGAAACTAAATATGACAAACACGTGCGTCATATTTAGTCCAGGGCTGTGTTCCTCACTTACTGATGTGGAAGTTGTTTTCATTTTTTAACTTATCCAGTGACTGCTGGGAGTCTCTGACAGGCCGGGTCCTTTCAGCGCTGGGAGTACAGTAACAGGAAAGAGCAGCGAGTCTGAGGCTGTGTCTAACGTCAAAGCTACTACCACGTTATGAAAAGCTTTAGGCCCAACAATGCAGTGTGTAATTGAAACACAGAAATTTATGTTTCTCTAACTACTTGAAGCATTTTAAATGTCTCTCTGGCTATTCTTTATATCCCTTTGGTTTACTTCTGTACCTTTTGCTTCGTTTGTTATATTTTTGATATTCAGCTTTTTTTTTTTTTTTTAAAAAACCTTCTTGGCACAGAACTTCAGTATATTTACTTTAAGGTGCTCAGCTGACCTGCTTTCTAGGTAATTTAAAGTAGGACCACATTCTGATTCCAATAAAAGCTTTACAAAGTTGCTTGGCTTATGTGTTACACAAAGTTTAGTAAAAAAGGATTGGAGCCTGGGCAAGAAATAAGACACACTCTCTTGGCAAGCAGTCTCAGAATTTCTTAAAAAAATTTTTTTAAAAAAAGATTTACTTATTTTTTATCGCAAAGTCAGATATACAGAGAGGAGGAGAGAGACAGGAAGATCTCCTGTCCACTGATTCACTCCTCAAGCTGCCATAATGGCCGGAGCTGAGAGCTGATCCGAAGCCAGGAGCCAGGAACTTCCTCCAGGTCTCCCACACATGTGCAGGGTCCCAAGGCTTTGGGCCGTCCTTGACTGCTTTCCCAGGCCACAAGCAGGGAGATGCATGGGAAGTGAGGCTGGATGGGAACTGACGCCCATATGGGATCCCGGGCATGTGCAAGGCGAGGACTTTAGCCACTAGGCTGCCACACCAGGCCGAATGTTAGGATTTCAAGCATGATCATGTTATGTTGGATAAGCTTAAGTAAATCAGTGTTTCTGGGATACTTATCAGCTATTATTCTGATATATCACCTTGAGATGTATAATAGATACTCAAAAAGTGTGCTGACCAGCTCCAGCTGTCTGTCAATGCACCTGGGCCCTGATACCCATGGATACACCAGGATGGAGTTCCTGGCTCTTGCTTTCAGCCTGGCCCACACTTGGCTGTTAAAGCCATCCAGAAACTGAACTAGATGAATATCTCTTTTTCTGTCTCACTTTTCATCTCTGTAACTCTGCTTTTCAAATAAATAATAAAATCCAAATAAATGAATAAGGTAATCAATTAAAAAAATAAAATGAAGATTTATGAGCTCAACTCCAGATCCACTTGACCACAGTCTTGAATGTGTGGGTGACTTCTATGCAATCTACAGTTTGAGGCCTGGGAATTTATTAAGCATAATTGTTAGATGCATGCATTTTATTATAATACAAATAGCATTTAACAATTTTCATCATTTTCTTTTTTTCTCTTTTTCTATTTATTGCTCAGTGAATTATTTCACCATTTTCTTTTTCTTTCCTAAAAAACTGATTTTAAAAACACTTATCTACTTGACCCTAGCCTGACCATTTGATACTTGCTGGCATGGGAACTCTGGTAGCAGAAATATAAGTAAATGTAGATATTTGATCTAAGTTTACAATTAAGGGAAAATATTTATTTGTTTTTTAGTAATGGGTCTCTATATGTTTTTTTGACTTTCTAGTTGAAATTAACAAGTACATCTGAGGTGTTCCCATGGAGAAATAAGTTTTTCTTACAGAGAATTCTGTATTTGAAATGCTCACCATTAATTGGCAGATGTTGATACAATTCCTCAATTTCTTCTTCATCAAATGAGAAGCCCAGGTTTTCAAGAGCATCTTCAATTTTATTGACATTAATGTTTCCTCCTTAAGTAAAAGGGGGGATAAAAGAAATTTGTATTTATACTGCTCACATCAATCATCATAAATAGAAATAAAAAATAAATACACTACCATGCTTATAACTGCACTGTCATGGTGAAGGGCTATATTACTGTAAGAGACGGGGGACAGCGGGGAGGAAGCCCTAGAACTGCAAAATTGTGAAACAGAAAACTAAGAATTTAAAAAACCCATGAAAATAAGTAAACAAATAAAGTTCTCGAACAAAATAATCAGTTGGAGATTAGGAATAGCAAAGTACCCCCTCATCAATGTTCCAGGAAATACAGTAACAGCAATTTCTTCAATTTACCCAGCAGACAGGCCCAAGTAAGAAAGACTGATGAATTATAGCAACAAGACAAACACTGTCCACAAATTTTAAGCAGTTATAATACTGAAATTTGTTATTTTTATAAAATGGGGTGGATTATCAGCCCAAATGTAACTGAGAAAACAGGTAAGGATGCCAACTCATAATTTACAGAACACTTAGCCACCAACAGGCAAAGAGAGAGATTCTGGACAAGTAAGGGTCAAAACTCGAAGGTATCAGTTTTATCTTTCTCAAAATGCTTTTTACTTACTTCTGTAAGCCTTTACTCCATCCATCAACCTGTTTTTATACACCCTTTGATGATCTATAAGATAAAGTCAATTTATTTAATAAAATTCGTTTGCTTAAACATTGCTTCACTGCTTCACATCACATACAAACATTACTGCATGCCCCTCTTACCACACACTGTGAACACTGTCATGAATAGCTCACTTTGTAACATCAATAGCTTTGTCTTTAAGAAAAATAGTAGATGTGTATATAATCTCTACATTTGAAGTGAATGTAGCAAAAATGTTAAAACGTTGCTGATTTCGAAAACTAAAAAAATGTAAAAAGTATAAATCTAGAAACAGTAAATTTCTAACTACCTGCAAATTTTTATAAATTTTTAAAAGTATAATCTAAAGAAGGCACCACAGAAATTACTAAGAGTCAGAGGGTTAACTGTTTACTCTTTCCCATATTATTTCTATTAGTAGAACTCCAACATGAAGATCACCTTTTCCCCCTTCCCTTTTTCAAGGTGTATCTTCCTTCTTTCTATGTCTTTCCTGATTACAAACATTTCTTGTCTTAGTTTTAGGCTTGTTATAGATATTGGGGTGAATGTTTAAAATGATTTATATATATCACTTCCCCAATGATAATAATGAGAATATTATCATCCAAATTAAAATTAAAGGTAGGAAGGATAGAATAGTCTCATATAAGAATTGATTTTTCTATACTTGTTGTTTTCTTAATTTTTAGTAGAAGGTTATGTATACTTCTGAAATTTTATCTGCATAACTCCAAAGCCCAGAACTCTCTGAAATCGGCTGCCACAGCTGAAATGCTCACCGTCCAGTGGCAGTGTGTCCACTAGTTCCCGGTTTTCCTCGTTTGTTAGTTCAATACCCAACTCATTCAGATACAGTTGTGTGTCACTGGCATTAATCTTCTCACCTTTAAAAAGATGAGATATTGGAAAGGCTCCATTTCTTTTTTTTTAATGTTTATTAAGAAGAAAGCTCCATTTCATACATAATAATTCTAATAATAAAACAACAATTTATTAAATACAAGAGATATAATTGCAGGTGAACAAAAAAAAATCAATAACACTTATGTAACTATATCATGAAAAACAAAAATAAAAAAGACCTAAATTGCAGAGCATCACAAGAAGGAGCTCAAAATAGAACACATCACCTTTAATGCTGGTCAAAGAACGCTCTTAATAAAACGCTCTTTAAATAGTAGAGTTAGCCACTCAGTCCATAACGCAAGAGATTGCTTAAGAACAAAAAACAAAAACCTGATACTTCATGCCTGGTGTGATAGTCTAATCCTCGCCTTGCATGCCCAGATCTTTCCATATCTCTCTGTGTATCTGCCTTTCCAATAACTTCCCAAATTCCCTGATACTCCTACAAAAGTAGATAATCTAAAAATCCATCTATATTCTTTTTTTTTTTTTTAAAGTAAGTGGTTTTTTTTTTTATTATTTTGTTATTGGAAAGGCAGATGTACAGAGAGGAGAGACAGAGAGGAAGATCTTCCATCCGATGATTCACTCCCCAAGTGAGCGCAACGGGCCGATGCTATGCCGATCCGAAGCCAGGAGCCTCTTCCGGGTCTCCCACGCGGGTGCAGGGTCCCAAAGCTTTGGGCCGTCCTCGACTGCTTTCCCAGGCCACAGGCAGGGAGCTGGAAGGGAAGCGGGGCTGCCGGGATTAGAACCGGCACCCATATGGGATCCCGGGCGTACAAGGCGAGGACCTTTAACCACTTGCGCCACCGCGCCGGGCCCCATCTATATTCTTAAAAATAAATATCATTGGTACATTGTTCAAATAACCTTTGTTTTTCATTTGCAGAATACAGGATATAGAACTAAAGTACATGTACATACAATAATGGATCTTGATTTTTATCTTTTCATCTTGACTTCTTACCAGAAAATAAGCTGGCTGCATTCATTAAGGAATTTAGTGAAATCTTTCCATTATCTGAAATCGAAAGTATAAATCAGACATACACATAATTATGGCCTTGAAAATCGGATTGTATTCTTCCATAACCTCTAAGTTGTTCTCATTTTCAGAGGACAGTGGCAGTTTTTTAACTTTTCTTGCATTCTATGACCTTAGAGAATTCTGAGATGCTCAAGTACGCTAACTTGGCTCTCAGAGTCTTTTCATAAATGGTCATTTTGATCTCACTGACATCCCTTTGGAGAACTATTTCAAGTCAGGAAGCACTGAGTCCCTGTTTCCACTCTTCCCTCGTATTCACTTACATGTAATAAATGAAAACAAGGTCACTTGTATTTGTATTTACTTGTCAAACAGTCCCAAATTCTTTTTTCTTTCTCATTTGGCTTTATAAATCCCTGACACTTTCCAACATCAATTTCCTTAACTTCCACTAATTTCTTCTGAAGTTTCTCTTTGCTTTTTCTTGTTAAATATAAATGTACCCATTCTTGCATTGTTCCTCTGTCAATATTGAGTTTAATAATCAGAAGTCACATTTTCATCCTTGACGATTATTCTTACTCTCTAAATGAAACTGAACTCTAGTACTCTAAGAAGTTCCTTTCTCAGGAAGACTTCAACGATTCTTCTGAAAGGAAATGGGATACTTACCGTCAACTTGCAAATGGTTCCGTAGATCTTTCATTTCTTTTTCTTCAAGTTCATATTCCAAGTTTTCCAGAATGGTTCCTAATTTATCTTCAATGACTTTCCCACCTTTAAAAAGAAATATATAAGATAAAAATATGAAATTATGCCTAAATTAAAAAAATTATAGTTATTTCCATGCACCTAAGCTTCAGTATGAGAGGTAAAAGAAAATTTGCAATTGGGCATTCAAAGTCAACATATAATCAAAATGTCAGGCGAATGTTTAAAGGTTTGAGAAAAAAGAGTATCTTCTTATACTTTACAAGATACACTGCTAAATTTTTTAGAAGACAACTGAAGTAAAGAAAATTCATAAGGTTTATTATTTATTCTTCATTTGTGATTCATGGTTGGGAATAAGCCAGAAACAACAGCCATAATTGTGACTGCTTTCAAGTTTGAAAATTATCTCTACAAATTTAGAGGTTATCTGAGCTTGAAATATAAGTTATAATGGAGGATAAACAGATTAACAAATTAACTGTTAAATATAGCACAGTGGTTAAGAATGTGGGTTCAAATTTTGTCTATTCCCAGGATCAAACTGTGTGACATTAGGTAAGTGAATCATCTCCTATGTGTGAAATAGTTACAATGAAATTACTTTATAGTACGTCTATGAAACCTGAACAAATTAATAGTTTTAGAAGGTTGTTTGATATTACACTCAAGAGAAATGAGCTATTTGGGGGATCAGCATTGTTGTATAGTGCGTAAAGACGTTGCCTGTGAGAGCAGCATCCCATATAAATGCCAGTTTGTGTCCTGGCTGCTCCACTTATAATCCAGCTTCCTGTTTATGGCCTAGGAAAGCAGTACAGGGTGGCCCCTATGTTTGGGCCCTTGCCACCCATATGGGAAATGTGGTTGAAGCTCCTGACTCCTGGCTTTCACCTGTCCAGCCCTGGGCATTGTGACCATTCGAGGGAATGAATTAGAGCGAACGGGAGAGCTCTCTCCACATCCCACCTCTGTAACTCTAACTTGAAATAAAAACAAACTTAAAAATAATAAACTATTTTTATGATTATGTAATAGCAACAATTTTCTAAGAAGGAATTGAAAAGCTCACAGATCTCAGTTTTGCTGGAATTCTTGCTATGCTGATCACTTACCATAGAAAGTCTTTAAACCTTTTAGCAATCGATTTTGATACACCTTTCCATCAGCTGTAAGAGGAAACAAATTAACTGATGTTATTATAGAGGAAATGATACAGCAACTCATTGCTAAGTCAGTACTTTCAAATGATTTGTCGTCTGGATTTATCCAGTTTCTCATCCACACATCTGTCTCTCTTTCTTCCCTCTGCCCCATTCCTTTCCATTCCTTAAAGATTAAAGTGAAGAAATAGAGAAAGTTCTAAATTTACCCGTTTTACTATGCCCAAACTTTTTAACCTCCTTTTCGGCACTTTTCAATCCTGCTGCTGTTGCATAGGTATAGGCTGACATTCTGAATTTAAAATCTTTAATCAATAAAAAAATTCATTTATTTATGCATTTTACATTTTCCTAACATATATTAAAAATGTATGCTCAATCTTAATATAATAAGTTCACTCCCTACTATATTCTCTATTACGGCAAGGATTTTTCATTGTCATTTTAGAAATATCCAATAAACATGTTAAATACAAATATAAGTGCAGTAAGTGTTAAAAAATATTTCCCACCTCCACCAAATCATACACATAAATAAATTCCACTGTAGACCAAAGTTACATAAAAAACACTCACAAGTAAATGGTAGAGTTTTCAGCAGATTCCAGCGTTCCTGAGGTGTGAGTTCTATCCCTATGTTTTTCAAAATACCATCTACTTCGTCAGTATTGATCCTAGGTCCTTTAAAACGAGGGAAATGGTGACTAATGAAAAAACACTTAAGAATAAAAACGACTTAAAACTTTTTAATTGTAGTTTTAAATGGTCAAAGTGCTGAGTAGTTAAGACTCTGAAAGGCTGTCAGAAGGACTGAGAGAACTCAATTTCCTAATTCAAGAGAGAACAGCCACTGATGCTCCAGCAGTAACGGGATCAGCCAGCATGCCGAACTGGGGCTTGGTGAGGGTCTGGGGTGAACATTACATAACTGACTACTCCGACAACTCTGAAGACAGACAACATCCTATTGCTTTTTATAGGCCTAGGTGATAAGGTGATTTATTCCTAAAAACTATCAATTATTGTGATAAGATAATCACAATATTCAATATTAGATCACCAGATTCAACATATTAGCAATAAAAGGGTATGTCTAAAAATTAATAGGAAAATGGAATTAAAAGATAAAATGCATTGTCTATGAATCTTTTGAAGTTCCTTCATGTACCAAGTAGCCTAACCTGTCTATACGAACATAATGAGATTCAGGATATTAAAAAGCACAACAGAAAGTGTTAGAATTTTGCTAGTTATAATAATTTTCCCTTAAGCCTTTCACTCACCTGTAAAGAACTTTGCATTTTCTACAATGTCACTCAGTTTAACTGTGTTTCCATCTGTAAGATAAGGGACAAATGAGACCCTGCCATCATAATGACTCAGAAAATATGCTATAAAGAACCTGTATTGTGGAAGACCACACAAAAATCGAGTTTACTCAGTTTTTTAAAATAAATGTATCCATTTTCATCCACAATAAGCATGAGATTTAAGAAAGAAGATTAAAATATGATAATTATAAAACACTGAACAAATGACAGAGCAATATACTAAATGCTACATGCAATGGGACTGGGAAGTTTTACAAACACTACTTGACTGCTTTCCATTTGGCCAATTTCACAGTAGAATCCAGGACTAGTCTTACGTTTGGCCATCTTAGTACAAAAGATTTAAAGACAATATACAAGGGTATTTCAAAAATTTTGCTCCCCAAATGATCGCAGCATCCAAGTCTGGGCCACGTTGAAGCCAGGATCCAACAAATGAGTGGCAGGAGTCCAAGGACTAGAACCGTCTTCTGCTGCCTTTCCAGGTGCATTAGCAGGAAGCTGGATTAGAAGCACAGCAGCCAGGATTTGAATCAGCAAGCTGATACTGGGCACCAGCATTAAAACAGCTTTGCTCACTATAACACAATGTTTGGCCCCAAGAGAAAATATCTTCAAGAGCTGATTATATCATGAGTTGACCTCATGAATGGACTAACGTCACTCCACAGGTTGAGTTTGCTATTGTGAAGTTTGATTTGTTACAAAAATGAGTTCATGGATGAATGTTTGTTGAAGAAATTAAGATGAAGCTTGGGGGACTGGCACAATAGCCTTGGTGTCTAAAGTCCTCGCCTTGTATGTGTGCCAAGACCCCAGATGGACACCGGTTCATGTCCTGGCTGCTCTACTTCCTATCCAGCTCCCAGCTTGTGACCTGGGAAAGCAGTTGAGGACAGCCCAAAGCCTTAGGACTTTGGACCTGCGTGGGAAACCCATAAGAAGCTCCTGGCTCTCTCAGCTTTGGATCAACTCAGCTCTGACTATGTGGTCATTTGGGGGGAGTGAACCAGTGGATGAAAGAAATCTCTTTTCTCTCTCTGAAAAATCTGTCTTCCAAATAAAAAGAAACTAATCTTAAAAAAAAAACACTAATGTATGACTTTCCCCAAGAATTAATACTAGTCTGTGATTCAGTCCTTCAGGATGCAATTCAATTTTGTTTCATATTTTTATGATATCAGCAAATATATTAAATAGTTTCATCCATAGAACATTTTTGATTCTTTATTAACAATATCTATTATCTAATTTTTTTAAACCCACCAAATCTATTTTTATTTTTATTCTAATCCTGGCAGCCCCACTTCCCTTCCAGTTCCCTGCTTGAGGCCTGGGAAAGCAGTCGAGAATGGCCCAAAGGCTTGGGACCCTGCACCTGTGTGGAAGACCCAGAAGCTCCTAACTCCTGGCTTCAGATCGGCTCAGCTCTGCCCGTTGTGGTCCCTTGGAGAGTGAATCAGAGGATGGAAGATTTTCCTCTCTGTCTCTCCTCCTGTCTGTATATCTGACTTTGCAATAAAAATATATAAATCTTTAAAAAAAAGTAAGCTCACAAATTCAAAAGATTTTAATTCTATAATGGCGTTGTATAAATCTCTTATGTCTTTAATATGAAAACTTAAGACAAACTAATTAAAATAATAAGGACAATACTTTGTTAATAAATATGTAATTAAAAATAGGTAAATTGTGACATCACCATTCAAAATTTAAGGTGGTAGTGGGGTTAAGGTTCAGACTATTTTTCTTAACCCAAGTTAAGTTAACTAACTGAATATAACCTGTTCTAACTACAAAGTTTTAAAATATATTTGAATATGATAAAATAGATGTATGATATAATATACCATATATTACATTTATATGATAAATATATATTGTAAAGTTTTAAAAATATATGATTCCCATGAAAAACACTACAATAATCCAACCCAAAACAGCTATAAGGAATGAAAATACAGTATTGGAGAAAATCATTAGCCAAAAAGGCAGACAGTAAGACAAAAACAAAGAATTTATAAAAGAAAATGAACACAAAAGCAAAAGCTAAATAGTAGTGGTAAGTCCTATGTACCAATAATTACTTTGAACGCAAATGAATTAAATTCTTTAAAGACATCCATCCATGTACTGCCTACTAGAAATTCAGTTGACTCACAAGCAGACAATTAGATTGGAAATGAAGGGATGGAAAATATATTCTATGCAAATGGAAATCGCAAGAGAAGCAGGACACCTACGGAGGATAAAAGGCAAAAGCACCAGCTCACCGGTAACCGGCAGGTGGTTCTTCAGATCTTCAGCCTCCTCTTCCTCCAGCTCATATCCCATGTTTTCCAGGATGGAATCCATTTTGGAGATGGAGCACTTCCCACCTTATAAAGTGATGACAAATAGGAGCTGACAGCTAAGAAAGATCCTGGTTATATTTATGTAGCAACTACAATTGGATGGGATGAATCTACTGCACAACAATTAATAAAAATATTCAGCACTACAAAGAGACATAGGGAGGAAGCAGGAATATGATACATTCAGCCAATATCAGTTCGTGCAAATGCCTAATATACATTTTGAAAAGGCAGAGTTTAAAAAAAATTTAATTGCATACAACATAAGCTATAGATAGTTTTACCAACATATTAATTATACACTACATATGTATCTTTTAGGCAAACAGTGTTGCAGATAATAATCGTAGTTCTGGGTAACAAGTAGGGTTTGAAAATGTGTTAGAGAATATCAACACATTATAGTTGGATCTAAAAAAACCTACAGGCTATTGGGAGAATCAGACAAACTATAGTTATTTTGCAATGATGAAGTTTTTTTTTTTTTTTTTTTTTTAGTTAGGGTAAAACATACAGATCTCAGTCGTATTTGCATTCTTGTTGGGATTTGCACTTACCTGGAAATGCTTTTATATTATCGAGCAATATATTTTTATATATCCTTCCATCATCTGTAAAACAAGTCACATGCAAAGCAAAAAAACCCTAGTCAGTTAAAAAAAAAAAGAGCAAGAAGTACATAATTTTCAAATGCAGATTTTAAAAACTTATATTCCTATATTTCCCATTTATACACATCTCTTCATAAATAACTCCAGAGATGATGAGGAAAATGTCCTGAATGTGGATGCTTTGTTCATTTTTATATGCTGTTTACCCACTTTGAATTTCCCTTTCCCGTCTATCGCTTGCTAATTCAGCTTTCCTTTCCTTTTAGCCGTCCTTAAGCTTTGAAAAAATATCTGTGTACAAGATATCATAGCCTTTCAAAACTACAAATCTGAATATGAAAGGCATAATTCACTTACAACTAAGAGTTTATTTTTTCTTCTAGACTTCTATGCAGAGCAGTATGGATCGTCCTGATGGCATCTTCACACCTCACACGGGGATGCATGCCACAGTAGTGCATGGAACACTTACCAGTAATTGGCAACATTTTCAGCAGTTCCCAAAGCTCCTTATTCGTGAGCTCTATCCCCATGGTTTTCAGTACTGTTTTCAGGTCTTTGGTTTCAATTTCTCTTCCTTATAAAAGATGGAAATGGTGAAAGTGAGATTTCTATACTGATTCTAAACAAAAATAAATTTAATCATGTGCAGTACCATCTTTAGTTTTCAGATGAAGGGTACAAGATAGAAGTTATTTATTTAATCTACATAAAGCACTTATAATTTTCTTAATGACATAAGAGCTATTAAGCCAGCTCATAGGAAAGGAACACATAGGAGTCCCAGTGACTTAACTATGTATAGACTATCACCTAACCAAGATCAAATTACCATTAGGGAAGATCTGCATTATTCTTTGCTTTTCCTTAATTACAAGATGGGTTATAATCATGATCACATTATTTTATCCTCCTGTTAGTGTCGTTTACTGTGTTAAAGTAGATTTCAAATAAAATATTCTGATTAATGTGCAGGTGTATTGCCTGTGTGCCATGCGAAATGAGTGACAAACAAAATGGAGGTTTCAGAGTATACACAGAATATATATGGTATAGAGATACAGCACGATAACATTTCTGCTATAATTCACCCCGTGAAATCTCTATATCATTAAACTAGCACATAAGCAATTAAAAACGCAGAAGTATGTCAATGATAGAATAATAAAACACAGCTTTAAATATGTGAGTGTGAAGTATTCACATTTCATTTTGCACATTAACATAAACGTCTGCTCACCTGTGAATTCCTTTATTTCTTCTAACAGTTTATGCAGATCAGGAATACCAGAAGCTAAAAAATAAGGCACAATTCATACATACACAATTATTTACTAATTCAGAAAGAACACAGCAAAGGGATTTTATCATGATTTGTTCTGAGTTATAGTTTAATGACATACACAGATGAGAATAATCATGAAAAAGGAAAATTTATTCTCTAATCCTATTTCATCATTTATTAATTTTTAAAGTTGTATACAGCTTTATTTTTAATTAATTATTTTCTTAAATTTATTTTTCTTGGAAAGTCAGATTTACAGAGAGAAGGAGAGATAGGAAGATCTTCCATCCTCTGGTTCACTCCCCAAGTGGCTGTAATGGCTGAGCTGAGCCCATCTGAAGCCAGGAGCCTGGAGTTTCTTCTGGGTCTTCCACATGGGTGCAGAGTCCCAAAGCTTTGGGCTGTCCTCTATTGCTCTCTCAGGTCACAATTAGGGAGCTGGATGGGAGGTGGAGCAGCCAGAATATGAACTGGCACCCATATGGGATGCTGGTGTATGCAAGGTAAGCACTTTAGCCACTAGGCTACCATGCTGGGCCCCTCATTATTTATTCTGACTTCTTCTTTCAATCTCTAAACCACCACACACCATGAAATTTTTCCCTCCTCAGACTTGTTCTCTCTCTCTTTTTGAAAAAACTTATTAAAATATATTTTTATTTTTATTCAAAAGGCAGAGAGTTGCAGAGAAAGAAACAAAGACAGATCTTCCATTGCATGTTTACTCTTTATATGACTGCAACAGCCTGGGCCAGGCCAGGAGTCAACAGCTTCATCTTGGCCTTCCAAGTGGGAGCAGGGAGCTAAGCACTGAACCACCCTCCATTGCTTTCTCAGGCACATTAGTAGGGAGCTGAGTGCAAGTGGAGCACCTGTGACTCGAATGACACCCATGTGAGAATGTCACCTTGCAGGTGGAGGCTTAACACACCACGCCACAACACTAGCTCCATAACGTGATCTTTTGTATCTGACTTATTTAATTTACCATAATAGTTCTGTGGTTGATTTATTCTGTAGCATGTATTAGTGTTTCATTCCTTTTGATGGCTGAGTAACGTTCCGTTTAACAGTGCTATGGATTGAATTATTTCCCCCTTTTCTCCATTCATATGGTGATCTTTCTTGTTTGGAGATAGAGTCTTTAAAGAAGTAATCCAGGTAACATGAGATCACATGGAAGGGTTCTCCAATAATGCCTGTCCCCTTTCAGAAGAGATTAGGAAACAGACAACACAGCGTGACAACCACGTGAGAACAGAATGAGAAGGCGAGCACCCAAGGAAAGAGGCCTCAGAATAAACAGTGTTCTGACAGTGTGAACTGGAACTTCTAGCCTCCACAGTGGTGAGAAAATAAGCTACTTTGACTGTGGTGTTTTGTAAGGCCACTTCAGCAAACAGATTCGTAAGGATACACACATTTTGCTTATCCATGCATCAGCTTATGGATGTCTATTTGTGTCTACCTTTGAGCTAGTACGGATAAAGCTACTGTATTTACGTGCCTGGTATTGTAAGTGTATATACCTTGCATAGATCTATGGTATATGTTGTTCAATTTTTAGTAGATACTGACAAATGTTTTCCCAAAATGGTGGTTGTAACAATTCACACTTTCATTAGTAGTGTAGATATTTTAGAAGGAAGAGATATGTTGCAGTACAGTTATAGTAGGAATCTTCAATGTCCTCCTTCAAAAATAGACTGCAAAGGCAGAAAATCAAAAAGGAATTCTAAAGCATATTTAAAAGGATTATTCACTATGATCAAGTGGGATTTATCTCTGGGATGCAAGGATGGTCAACCTATGCAAATCAACCTGATAGACCATACGAGTAAGATGAAGGAAAAGCCCAGAGATTATCTTAGTTAATTTGGAGAAACTTTTGAGAACATTCTACATCTCTCATGGTCGAAAGAAAATCCTCTCAATGAATTGGCTATAGGAGGAATATACCTCAACATGACGGAGGCCATATTTGACAAGCCCAAAGCTAAATCATACTCAACTATGAAAAGTTGAAAGATTTTCCCAACACAATATTGGAAGACGTTGCTGGTGCAATTAGGAATCAAAGAGGTCAACACTGTAAGTTCTTAGATAAGAACCAAAGTGGAGTGAATTCTCCTTGAAAACTATGATTAAAGTCTTAGGTTTTAAGATGCTATTCAGGTTTAAAAATGTGTTTTAGAATTTACTTTTCAATTTCTCTTTTTGATTCATCTGTATAATATGTCTTGGTAAATAAATTATATTAAAAAAGAAAAAAGCAATGAATAACAGGACATCTTTGGTATAATATAAAATAAAATATGTTGTCATGAGAAATTCGTCTAGAAACAGATTAGACATTCACGGGAATCATTTTCCTGACATAAGAAGCAATCAAAATTTGGAAAGATGTATAGTAATGGTAAAAGCATGAGACAGCATGAAAAGGACTTGGAAAATAATCGATTCCTTGAAGAAATACTTTCTCATTAAGGAAATTGATAATTGTTTGTATTTCCTGCCACTCTGTCTTCAGTTAAGGTATGTGTTACCTGATAGACATTTTAAATTTTAATAATTTTATATTCCTTGACAGGGCAACAATAATGCATATTGTGGCACAAGATAAAGAGTGGGACAAAAAGACAGGTGAGTTAAAATGTAGCTGTATCTTCCAAAAAATATTTACTGTGATTTTACTTGGTGCTGAATCAAATGAATCAAGCTTCTGATTTCAGAAATTTGGCTAATTTTATCTGGACAATTCAAGATATAAATGATAGAAAGTGGTTTTTATAAATTTGGGGAGAAGGAAAAATCCATTCTTTTGGTTGTAAAAATGTCATTGTTGATCTTTAAAATGAACCAATGCCTTTTTAGAAGGATTACAGTAGCAATTTCACCCTTTATAAAAACTTACCTTTCTGAAAAAAGATTTTATTTTTATTTGAAAGGCAGAGTTACATAGAACAAGAGAGACAGAGATCTTCCATATGATGGTTCACTCCCCAAATGGCCCAATGGCCAGAGCCGGGCTGATCCAAAGCCGGCAGCCAGGAGCCTCCTCCAGGTCTGCTACATTGGCTCAGGGTCCCAAGAACTTGAGCCATCTTTCCCTGTTTCCCCAGTCCATAAGCAGGGAGCTGGACTGGAAGTGGAGCAGCCGGGACACAAACCAGCATCAATATGGGATGTTGGTATTGCAGGTGGAAGATTAGTCTACTAGGTTACGGTGGCTCCCTTTTATATCAAACTTTCTCTTATTCCCTGTCTCAATACCAACTTGTGTGCTATAAAAATGTTATGGGCTACTAAATTTATGAACTATCATTAGGCTACCAAACATACATTAGTCTTTACTGAAACAGAATGAAATTTCTATGATGATTCCTTTGTATTTATCTTTCAAAGGATCTATTCTACCACAACAATACAAAATGAGAAATAAGTAGCAAGAGTCATGAAAAACCCATAAATATGTGGAAATTAAATAACATTCTTGTAGACAATCATGTATTAACGAAGAAATTAAAAGATGAACAGCAATGTCTTAAACACCCCAGATAAACGATGATGGTGATGCTCATTTCTTCCCACAGTTGACTCCACTCCACTTTGCTTTCATCCTGTATTCCACAGGCTTCCACATAAGTAGCTTCATTCAAACTGTCTTAAAATAGTAAACTTCTCCCCTAAAAATCTCCATCAAAACAAGTCAAAATGGGGTGTCAGTACTTAAATATACGATCGGAAACTGGAAAACTACCAGAAGAAAACACAGGGAAGATATTATGATAGGATCTCAAAGTCATAGGCAATACATGTGAAAACTGAAAATATGTGAACTGTGCAAGGGAGACTAGCATACTGGGAAGGAAAGGTACAAAACAGTACGTGTCTCCACTCACAAATAAAGGTAGGACTCCCAATGAAACATATAAACATACCTTTACACTATAATGCTATGTTTTCTACCTTCCCCTATACTTATCATCTCATGGTAACTTAAATATCAGAAAGTAAAGCTTGTAACTTACACTAAGGGACTATACTATTGTGATAAAATGGGGACAGTGGTGGAAATGAAAAATTGGGGCAAAGAAAGGAAGGAGGGATGAACCTCTATGCCTATAAAACTGTGTCATGAAAAATAATAATAAAAATAAATAAAGTAAAAAGATAGATGTACATTGAACTAAAAGCTCTTACACAGAAAACAATTAGCAGAGTGCAGAGACACTCATATATTGGGAGAAAATATTTACAAACCATAACTCAATAATGAGTTAATATCTGTAATATATAATGAACTCAAACAATTTGATAGCAAGAGAAAAACCTGATTAAAAAATAGGCAATGGACCAGAATAGACACTTCTCTGAAGAAGATATGAAGATTGTCAATGGATATATATATATATTTAAAAACCCTCAAAATCTCTAATTATCAGGGAAATGAAACCTTAAACAACAATGAGATACCATTTTATCCCTGCCAGAACAGCTGTTAACAGGAAGATGAAACTTAACAAATGTTAGCAAGGATGATGAGAAAAAAAATGAGAACTTCAGTATACTGTTGGTGGGAATTTAAATTAGTATAGTTACAGAAAGCAGCTAACAATGGAATTACAATATTATCCAACAACTCCACTTTGGGGTATATATTCAAAGGACTGGAAATAAGTATGTAAAAGAGACATCTGAATTCCCATGTTTTTTATGGCATTACTCACATTATTCACAATATGGAAACAACATACACGTTCACCAGTAGATAAATGAGTAAAGAAAATACAGTATATGTTTACAATGCAATCATGTTAAAATGATAGCTATCTTAAAAAACAAGTTGCAGGGCCCGGCGCGGTGGTGCAAGTGGTTAAGGTTCTCGCCTTGCACGCCTGGGATCCCATATGGGCGCCGGTTCTAATCCCGGCAGCCCCGCTTCCCTTCCAGCTCCCTGCCTGTGGCCTGGGAAAGCAGTCGAGGACGGCCCAAAGCTTTGGGACCCTGCACCCGCGTGGGAGACCCGGAAGAGGCTCCTGGCTTCAGATTGGCATAGCATCGGCCCGTTGCGCTCACTTGGGGAGTGAATCATCGGATGGAAGATCTTCCTCTCTGTCTCTCCTCCTCTCTGTATATCTGCCTTTCCAATAAAAACATAATAAAAATAAATCTTTAAAAAAAAATAAAAAACAAGTTGCAGAAGACTAAACATTTATTTATGACAACATTTTTATAAGCCAAACCAATCAAGATATAAAATGTGTTATTGTCACATCAGTGATATATCTATTATATTTAACAAGGCAATGGGGTCAGCTTTGTGCTATAGCAGATACTAACTGCCTGTGATGGCAGCATTGCATATGGGTGGTGACTGGAGTCCCAGCTGCTCCATTTCTGATCCAGCTCCTGGCTAACGTGGCCATTTGGGGAGTGAATTAGTGGGTGGAAGATCTCTCTCACTCTCTCATCGTAACTCCTCCTCATAAAATAAAAATTTTTTTTTTAAAGGAGACTAAACAGTGCAAATTCAAGATAGTATTTTCTCAGAGTAAGAAGTTAGAGATGGGACAGCAAAGGAATCATGGGTTGATGCACTGACACTGGGATTATTCTAGTTATGTTATGGATTAATTAATGGGTATTGTAAAATATTCATGAGTTTATGTATTAACTGAACAGACAAGATGAGAAACCATCATTAAAGAATTAGGATTTTAAACTTCTATAATAAATGTTAACTTGCCTATAACTGCTTCCACATCATCCATCAACTTTTTCAGAGAAACATATCCATTAGCTGTAATTCAAAAGCATAAACAATTTGAACACTGACATAGAACTTGGAAAGATTACAAAACTAATGACATATGAAATTCTATGTATTTATTAAATTATTTGTGTTCACCTTAAATTTATATTTCTTCACTTGAGTGCTTGATTCCTTATTATAAAAAAAAAAACACCATGAATTTTGACTCATGTTCCTTAATCACAGGTTTGACCATCATAAATATCTCTGGTTCCTGGACCTTCAGATAGGCATGGCAAAACATGGACATAAAAGATTTTTTGGGTGGTGAACCTTCCCTCTAATGCAGGTATTCATCCAGGAGCTTCCCATTGTCTGTTTATCCCACATATGCTTTCCTCTGATATTTTCAACTTTTGTGTGTTTCTCAAAAGATAGCAGCATGTGCTTGTTAGACACTTGACAGAGAATTTCGGATGTTTTACTATTCCCTGATATGGGTGTTGTTTCTTAATCATTTTGGGCTATCTGCTACTAATTCACTAATTTCCTTCCTCTTTCCATATTTGTTTCTTCCTACCGTTCTCTGGCCTGGTAACAGTTAAGCATGTCCTCTTAGCGTTGCTCTAGTTTAACAGGATAACTTCTGATGAACAAAGTAACAGAACACAGGAATTCTTACTTTCAGGACAAGTTTTTGTTCTATCTTCTGAAAAATGTCTTAATTCCCTACCTTAACTTAGTTTTAGAAATTCTAATCATAATCCCACAATTCCAAGCTCTCATACAAATGCAAAATAGTTATTGCTAAGCTTACCATCAGCAGACTGATTTTGTATCACATGTTCAAGTTCCTTATCGTTAAGCTTGATTCCCATATTCTCTAGAATTTTGTCCAGGTTATTGATGTCAATTCTTCCTCCTTATAAAAATATAGAATATGATAAATAATCTTATAACAAAAAAATGACTTTTAATATACTTGGGTGCCAGCAAAAGCTAACTACAATTATCTTATTGGGAAGTGGCGTGGCAACTATTTCAAATGTGCATAATCCAATGCACTAATTCCACTTATTACAGATAAAGCTTACAATGGAAGAGTAGGGGGATTCTGAAAGATGTGTTTAATACGATGGGGTTATAATACATAATCATTAATTTATAAATGAATTAAAATAGTATGTCAGTGAAAACAGACATAAGACAAACAATGTAATGCCAGCAATTTCCCTGGCTATTCAATAGACAGCAAGCACATAGAGTAAACATGAGACTGACAACATCAGCTTATTACTCCTACATCTGGATTAATTCTCTGTAGGTTGCCATGCTGTGAGCATCTAACTCAATGTCATCACGGGTTAGATGTGTTTTTGTATAATATGGCTCTTATTCTGCTCCTTCTGATTACTCAGCTATTGGCATAATCATCTATTCTGTCACTGGAAAAACTATTATGCTGGTATTTTAAATTTAATCTTCCAAGGGGATTTCAGAGAAATTTTGAGTATTTTAATTATATAATTCAAAATATTAATAGTAGTTGTGATTAGGTAGTGGGTCTATGAACAGTTCTTTCAAAAGACTTGGATGGGCCTGGCACAGTAGCTTAGTGGCTAAATTCCTCAGTTTAAACGTGCCGGCATATGGGGGGATACCATATGGACACTGGTTCTAATTCCAGCAGCCCTGCTTCCCCCATCCAGCTCTCTGCTTGTGGCCTGGGAAAGCAGTTGAGGATGGCCCGAAGCCTTGGAACCTGCACCCATGTGGGAGACTCAGAAGCTCCTGGCTCCTGGCTTTGGATCAGCTCTCAGCTCGGGCTGTTGCAGCCGCTTGGGTAATGAATCAACTGACAGAAGATATTCCTCTCTGTTTCTGTTCCTCTCTGTATATCTGAATTTCCAATAAAAATAAAGCAAATCTTAAAAAAAAAGCTTGGATGTTTTATTTAATGGGCATGTAATATCTTTTATAAAAAAATCAACAATTCATAATCATTATAATGATTAATTTCACACTATGTCTTAATTAGCTGTACCATAGAGAACACAGGAAGATGCCTATGAAGGCAGTAAGCACTAGTTTCTTTGAGTCTGATTCTGGGGTTGAGTTTACACAGCATACACATGTAAGAGCACATCATCACTACATAATTAAAACAAAGAAAGAATGGCAGAGGAATTATAATGTAATAACTAGGGAGAGTACACAGCAAAGACTGAGGATTTCAATTTTGTGTACCTTCTTAAAACACAGATCACTCACCTTTGAAAGACTTCAAGCCTGTTAGTAATCTGTTCTGAAAAACTTTGTTATCACCTGGAAATAAATTCAGGATAGAGAATGACTCACTAAGAAAATTGAAGAATTTAGATTTATTTCCTAACTGTCCTTAAAAATCATTACTCTTTCCCCCTTCATGTTGAAATCATGATGAAATTATGCAACAAACAAAATGGAATGGTAGCCTGTTAAGAGGTCTGGTCTCAAATTCTTGCTGTATTGTTAAATAGTTTTATGGCCTTAAGCAAATTACTTCCTCCTTTTACGCCTGTGTCTTCTACATTGTAAGATAGGGATAATGAGTCATCCTTGGGAATGGCAAGAATGGTGCCTGCACATCACTAGGACTGAATAAATGTTCAATGTTACTACTTTACTGACCCTTTGATCCACAACTCAACTGTTGGCTTACATACTACAGACCTGAAAACTACATACTCTTTGCTTTTGTATTTTTGCTTATGTATTTTCCATGTATTTAATTCTTTCTACTTCTAAATTTGTACATGTCAGTGCTTGAATTGGTAGCATCAGAGGTTTCTTTAGTCCTCGATGGCAAAGCTCTGACTTGAAGGTTTTGCTAACTTCCAAGCTGGTATGATTGTATGAAAGACTTTTGTCACTTAAAGCAGACATAAAAATGACTTGTAGGAATAGACAGGTCTTGGTTGTAAAGATGCTTTTTAAAATTTTTTGACCCATCTGTGAAATCTTTATGTTCTTTATCAGAGTGAGATTCCTGGCTGGCACAGAGTGATGTGTTTACTAAATAAAGACCTGTGCTGAACGTATGCACCTACATCCATTTTTCTTATATTTTGCCTGTGTACAAAGTGGCTCCATTTATAAACTTTCGTACACCGAAAGTTTGAATTTTATCAGGCTGTCCATTACTTCGCTTTTGAAAAATTGGCATTTAATTTCTGCTGAATTTTAGATAATTAAAATGCTCGTGTATTAAGTAGTTTTCAGCATTTTGTTCTCAGAACAATAGCATTGTGAAGACAGACCACTGTCTTATACAGACTCATAGAATTGAGTTTTATGCTAGATACATGTGACTAAAACAAAAAGAGAACCCTTAACCATTTGGGGTTTTTTACTCTGAGAGCCAATTTTCTTGGCCACAGTTTATAAATGCCAAAGGAGACATGCTAGCAATGAAATTATGTAGACCTTGATTTGACAACATCGTATTTGTTTGCTAATGGGAGAAACTGTTTTTTTTTTTTTTTTTGAGACTCATTTTAGGATGTTGTTGAGCTTCTGTATTCAAAAAAAGAAGGAAAAAAAAGCTCATAATAGATATATTTACTAAGCAACAAAATTTGGCAATCCTCTAAAAGATGAGAAGACCAGAGGGAAGAATTCAGGATTAACTCTGAGGGATAAGCTCATTTAAAGGGACTCCTCAGTAAATAGAACCAAATAACTTTCAGAAAGGATAGGAATTTTCCAGGAGCTTTTTGTAATTTACTAGGAAATATAGGGTGTATAACTTTATTTCTCTTGCTTGCACATTCACCAGTAATGTCTTTCTTCCTCAACAATGGTTTTGTGTAAGAGGACTGGTTGGGGAGTTGAACTCTGCATTTAAATTTTCACAGAGTAATGGAAAAAATTTTCAGATGGATACAACAGTTTGAGGGTGGGTTCAGATAATATTTGAAGACACTTTAAAGCAAAAATTGCAAAGATACAGTTATAAAACGGAAGCCTTTAAATGACAGTCACCATGACGCTGGTGTAATTCTTGCAGCTCACCATCAACTGGCAGCAGTTGAAGCAGTCCCTCACATTCCTTATCACTGACGTCTACCCCCATGTCTTTAAGAACAGTTTTCAGATCCTTGGCATCAATCTTTTCTCCTTTGGAAAGACAGAAATTTCAGAAATTCAATGTTATTAACCTACATGAGCTACGATGGCTTATTTATGGGCTTAAGTCAAATTTTGTTTTAAATTTATACACAGTAATTGTACATATGAAGTATAGTGTAATGATCACATCAGGGTAACCGGCGTATCTATCACCTCATACATTTATTATTTCTTTGTGTTAGGAACATTCAAAATATGCTTTTCTGTGTTTAGCTTTCAAACTGGGGTCAAGGACCACCATTCTCAACCTGAGGTTAAAGAGAAAAGGCAAATGGGAGATGCAAACATAAAGTGTTGATAGAAGACAGGGGCATTTGAGGATGGGGATAATATGCAAAATGAAGTAAAGATATTGGATAGTGAGTTGTCAATGGAAATAATTCTGGTAGGGAGATACTATACTGACATACTGTTATAATTCACAATAACATCACCTTGAGCTTTCCAAAGCTTTACCCAACTGATTAATGCACTTAACTGGAATTTATCTATAAATAGTACAGGCAGAGAAGCATTCATAAGGGAAAGGTAGTACACTGTATTTATATGGAGACTATGTTCTGAGGCTGGCATTGTGGCAAAGTAGATAAAGTCGCTGTCCATGGTGTTAGCATCCTCAGTAGGCAGTGCTTTGAGTTTTAACTGCTCCACTTCTGATCCATCTCCCTGCTAACAGCCTGGGACAACTGCTGCAAGATGGCTCAAGCGCTTGGGACTTTGCTTCCCATGTGGGAAACCTGGAAGAAGCTCCTGATTCCTGGCTTTGTGGTAGTGCAGTCCGGGCTGTTGCAACCATCCGGGAAGTGAATCCGTGGATGGATTCTCTCTGTCTCCCTCCCTCTCTGTAACTGGCTTTCAAACAAACAAACAAATCTTTAAAAAGATTATGTTCTGTGGTTTATTTTTAAAACAAAGGTAACCAATGATCAAATGAATTTTACCAGGAAGAAGCATTTCACAGGGATTGCATGCAATTGGTAAATTAATAACAGCAACATATTGAGAAAATGACACCTCAATATGATCTATTATATAAAAAATACGTTTCAGTGTGATAAAAAGTTACCTGTAAAATCTCTCATCCTCTGCATCATGTCTTTCATATCAACCTTCCCATCAACTGTAAAGACACAGAGAGCAGTCACAAGTCAAAAGCGAGAGTGAGTTTCTCCACCCATGACACTGTACTCAACTAGAATGTTAATATCACCTTGCATTTTAATTCTAGTAAGATTATATTATTTTACTTTATAATAAACACTCAGATTTAAGAATAAGTTATTTAAGTTCTTTCATCTTCTTTATTTCATATCTCTATCTATTCCTAATTTGTCTTTCCTGTTATTAGAATACACCTTCTTATAATTGGTTAGAAAAAGTATGTAGCTAATAAATGTTGGTGTTCGTGTCTGTATGAAAATGTCTATTTTGCTTTTATTCTTTAATGTTAGGAGCTCAAAGTTACTGTCTCCAGCACTTTGAAGGTAATACTTTTCCATTTCTCCCTGCAGCCAGTGATGCTTGTATGAATCAGACTCTTCCATTTTTTGTTCAGTCTTTAAATATTATCTGTTATCTATCTATCTATCTATCTATCTATCTATCTATCTATCTATCTATCTATCTATCTTTAGAACACACACACACATTGCATCCATGGGTTAATCCTTTAAAAGCCTATAACGACCTGGGTAGGACCAGGCAGAAGAAGCTCAGAACTTAATTTGGGTCTCCTATGAGGGGAATATGTATCCAGATGTTACCGCCTGCCTTCCAGGGTTTGCATTAGCAAGAAACTGGACTCAAAAGCAGAGCCAGGACTCTATTACAGGCACCACTCTGTGGGGTATGGATGTCCCAAGCAGTGTTTTAACCACAATGTCTGCCCCCAATTTTATTTTTATTTGATCAATTTTTATTATTTGATTCTTTTGTGGTTGCTTATAAAATCTATTCATACACATGACTTAAAAAATTTTTTTTGGAAAGGCAGATTTACAGAGAGGAGAAACAAAGAAAGATCTTCCATCCACTGATTTATTCTCCAAATATCTGCAATTGTTGAAGTTGAGGCAATCCAAAGCCAGGAGCAAGAAGCCACTTCTGGTCTCCCATGCAGGTGCAGGGTCCCAAGGCTTTGGGCTGTCCTTGACTGCTTTCCCAGGCCACAAGCAGGGAGCTGGATGGGAAGTGGAGCAGCTGGGACACAAACAAGTGCCCATATGGGATGCTGGTGCTTGGAAGGGGAAGATTTATCCAAATGAGCCATTACACCAGTCCCAGTTCCTTATAACTTGTAAGAAAGATTTTCCTATTTCTGTGAAAAATGGTATTGGTATTTTGATAGGGATTAAACTGAATGTATAAATAACTTTGGGTAATACAGACATTTTAACATTTTTTTCAATTCATAAACATAGGATGTCATTCATTTTTGTGCGTGTGTTTCCTCTTCAAACTTGTTTAATCAATGTTTTGTAATTTTCATTGTAGAATTCATTCAGTTCTTTAAGTTAATTCATAAGCATTTTTTTCCTTGCAGTTACCAAAAATTAAATTGCTTTCTTGATTTATTTTTAGAAGTAGCTTACTAGTGGTGTATAGAAAGACAGCTGAATTTGCATGCTTTTTTTAAAAATCTTGAAATTTAACTGAATGGGTTATTAGTTCTAACAGTTTTTGAGGGGGAGGTTGGGGGAAAATGTTTGTGGTGGAGAGTTTAGATTTTTCTATATCCAAGATCATGTCAGGAAGTATGGTGCAGCGGTGCAAGGCTGGCATCTCCTGGGGCACCTGCTGGAGTCCCAGTTCCTCCACTTCTATCCCAGATCGCTGATGCATCTGGGAGGGCAGTGGAAGAATGGTCAAAGTCTTTGGGCTTCTGCCACCCTTGCTACAAGCAGGGTGGCGCCAAGTTTCTGCTTGGTTCAGCCCTGGACATTGTATCCATTTTGGAGCAAACTAGCAGATGGAAGATATTTTGGTCTCTCCCTCTGTCTCTGTAACTTTTTCAAATAAATAAATGAGTAAATATATTTTAAATTGTATTACCTGTAAACTGGGATAGTTTAACTTCCTCCTTTCAAACCTTGGTGCCTTTCTTCTCTACCTGAGTGCTCTGGTAAACCTCTTAGTAGGCTTGAGTAAGAGTGCTGAAAATGGGCAACACTGCATCCATTCAAGATTATGTTAGCTGTGTGTTTGTCATAAATGGCCTTGGTGGTGTTGAGGCAGGCTGCCCTGATATGTACCTTGCTGAGAGTTTTTGTAATGAAAAATGCTTGTTCTGCATCTATTGAGATGAACATTTTTTTCTCATTTTTATAACAGCTTTATTGGGACATAATTTGCATAACAATCACTTAAGGTATATTTTTAATATATTCACAGTCATATGGTTATCATCATAATCTATTTTATCATGCCAAAATATAAATCCATTATGATTAATTATGCCCCATTCTTTTCTGCCCCCTTAAACAAGGCAGCCGTTGATACACTTCCTGTCTCTATGGACTTCAAAATTTTGGATATTGTAATCAATAGTATCATATACTGTGTGGTTCTTTGGCTTGACTTCTTTCCTTAGTTGTAAAGTTGTGTATCTGCCTTGGAAAGCAGGCTGGTATTTCTTCAAAAGCTTAAATATTGAGTTACCGTATTGTTCCACAATTCTTCCTTAATGAAATTGAAAATGTACATCCGCAGTAAAACTTGTACATAAATATTCATAGAAGTTTTATCCGTAATAGCCAAAACTTGAAAACAAATCAGATATCCATCAACTGAAGAATGGATAAATAAAACACGTTGTAGCCATACCATGGACTATGAGGCAACCATAAAAGGAAATTCAGTATTGGCACATGCTACTACATGGAGAATCTTGTCTTTTCCTTAAAATGTCTAACTGATATCCAATCAGTACTACTTTTAACCTATGGATGTTTTCACACCTAACTCTGGTCCTAAAAGGAATACATTTTAATCTATAATGCTCACCATCAACTGGTAGATCTTTTGAAAAATCTTCAAGTTCTTTTTGTGACAGATTAACGCCCATATCTTCCAGGAACGTGTTCACATTATTTTGATCAATTTTTCCTCCTTATGAGAAATAAAGCATCAATTTATAAAGTGAAAAAATTCTCTTATTTAATCCATATGTTCTATGCCTATCACTTTCTTTTCTTTTTATTAATTACGTTGCATTATGTGACACAGTTTCATAGGCTCTGGGACTCCCCCAACCCCTCCCCTGGACCTCCCCCCATGGTGGATTCCTCCACCTTGCTGTAGTTGCCTATCACTTTCATCACGAAGACACCAGGTGTAGTAGGACTTTCTCAAAGCCATAAGGAGAGTCAACATCACAACTAAACGTAAAGGCTCATCTTCCAATTATATCTTTTTTCAACAGCATATCACATGTTCAAAAGGAGGCTGATATTTTTTCATTTTAGTATATCTATAAATATTTGAGAGATATATATCTGAGATATTTAATTTTATAAAAATGAACTCATATTACTGAATAGAGAAGTTTCAGACTTTGTGGCTTTTTCATCATATTTTATACTCACTTTCAAAAATCTTCAGACTACCCAGCAAAGTTTTTTTATGCACCTTTCCTTCAACTGTAAGAAAAGACATAATTTAGATCCGAGAACTCTAATAAAGGAGACTAATAATAAAGAATAATACACATTTACAGCTTTTTTTCTAACTTCAAAAAATAGACATTATTTTCTAAAATCCTAAAAGTAGAATTTATCTACTTTTCTCTCAGCATGGAGATTTGTTTAGAGAAAGGCAGTAATAAGGTAAATTTGCTAACTTGCACAAAAGGTAATGATTACCAGTCAGTAAAATGGAAACATACTTATTTACTCTTTAATTTCTCCCTTGAAGATTAATTAATTTATTTGAAAGGCAACAATATGGAACGAGAGGAAAAGATAGAGTTCACCCATCTGCCAGTTCACTCCTCAAATGGCCACAATGGCTGAAACTGAACTGGTCTTAATCCAGGAACCAGAAGTGTCGTCCAGGTCTCCTCCACGGGTTCAGGCCCCAAGCCCTTGTGTCACCTTCTGTTGCTTTCCCAGACACATCACAGGGAAGCAGATCAGAAGTGGAGCAGCTGGGCCATAGCCCAGATCCCTGATTTCTCTTTTTTTACATCATTAGTCTTTTCTTTTTCATCCTTCCTTGTACTTTCAGGCAAATGTTCCAGAACAACAACAGATATGCATTATTAACAAGAATGAGCAAAAAAGATAAAATTGCTTACCACGACAAAAACACACTAATTTTATTTGGCAAAGCCTAGTACTTCTAAGAATCTACAAAAATAATTTGTAAGAACTTCAAAAATTCAGCACAATTTTAGAAGAGAAATCTGTCAGTCACCCTGAAGCCCTTTGAAAAAGACATATGTATATTGAGTACTTACCATCAAGTGGTAGAGAGTGTAGTAAATGCGAGTATTCCTCATCTGTCACCTCTACCATCAAGTCTTTCAGAGCATTTTCTAGGTCACTGACATCTATCTGGTTTCCTAGAAAAAGGAAAATGATGGCAAAAAGGTATTTGAGAACACAAAATTATTGAACAAATAATGATAATTATTGATACTTTCTCAAATTCATTCACCATTAACAAAGTTTTATGATAGCATAAATTTGGAATCAACCTAGGAGTCAATGAACTAATGATTGCATAATGAAAATATGGTGTGTGTATATATAATACACACATACATATACACATATGTATATATGTATATACATGCGATCGATTATATATATGATGGACTATACACACGTATGTATATATGTATATGCATATACACATATATGCACACACATACAGATTAGTATATATGATATATGTGACACATGTATACACATGTATATAGGCTATCATATATACATATATGCATATATTCATGCAAACATATATACATAAATGTGTACATATGTATACATATGATGGAATATCACTGAGCCATAAAAAGATTGAAATCTTGGCATTTGTGACAAAATAGATGGAATTGGAGAATATTATACCAAGTTGAATAAGCCAAACATAGACAAACTTTTCTCTCACATGTGGAAGTTAATATATACAGAGAGGTTATGAAAATGTACAGAAGCCATATAATTTGATATCAAGTGTTTAAATGTATGACTTGGTACCATAAAATTACTACCCTGATGCCTTTCTCTGGTGCCTAGGCAGCCTCAGGGTGCCTGGGAACTCCTGCATGGGGGGCTGGTGGAGTGGAGTAGGCCTGGGAACTCCTGCACTGTTTGGGTCCCAGGTGGGCAGTAGGGAGTACGGTGTGCTGGTGGACTGGGCTTGGGGACTTGTTAACATGCTTGAGTCCTGGGTGGGTGGAAGGCTACGGTTCCAGGCTAGCAAGTATGCAGGAGTACTGGATCTGGAGTCCTGGGTGGATGGGCAGGGCTTCAGGTGAGCACACCACCCCACCAGAAGACCAGGCCGGGGAACCCATGTGCTCATGGGTGCCGAGGGCTGTGGATTGATCAGGGAAGGGGATATAGGAGTGTGGCAGGGGGGACAATTGAGCGAGTAGGTTACAGGTGAGGAATGATCTCTTGGGGACTTTCACCAACAAGGACACTGTACTTTCAGGGAACAAGGGAGCCCATGGTTTCAAGGAGGGAAACTGAAGGATCTTTCTGGGTCAGACAAATGTACCCACACACTTGGAAGACCAGAGCTGAATTAGTTAGCATCAACCACTACTCACCAATGCACACAAAGGCTAGACCTGGGGGGCATATTTGACAGGGCTGGACCACAGTATCTGCAAGTGAGTGTTGGAGCAGGATGGGTCATGCAACACTGGGTCATGACACTAAACAGGTCTAGGGCAGATTTTAACGGGATTTTGTGGGCTCACCCCTATGGGACTGCAGTATCCTCTGGCTTGCTTATGAGCTGGGGGTGGTGATAGATTTAGCTAAGTATAATAATGGAACTCTCCAACATTCATGGGTACTAGGTTTGGGAACAGGTCAGGATTGTCCAGATTGTACCACCTATAGGCACACCCAAGAATTGGGAGTGGGCAACCATATCCAGAGCACAAACAAAGAATTGGGACTAGGGGGTGGACTATGCTTGGTAAGGGCCTAGCACTTGCTGGCACATGTGAGATCTGGGTCTAAGGGTGAGCCTGGTGGAGGAACTTGAGAAACTCCCCTCGTGGGCCGTAACTCCTGATGGTAAGCATGTGAATCAGGGCCGGGTGTTGGTCAGGCAGGACAAGGCTGTTTCATTTGTCAGCAGTTGTGTGGGGTTGACTCTTGGTTAGTAGACCAGGCAGTGCCAGGCCAAACAGTAGCACTGGCATGTGCTGTAGCCAGGATGGGATATGGACCATACAGAATACCTACTGGTATTCATGAAAGCCAGGGATGGGATCAGGCTGAGCAGGGCTAGGCTATAGCACCCATCAGCAAGAGTTGGGACTGTGAGCAGGTCAGGGCTAGGCCAGGCTGCAGCATTTGATGGCAAAGGCCAATATGGGAGATGTGCTATGCTGTGCTGGGTTAGAGCAACCACTGGCATGAGCATGATCTGTGGCTGGGAGCAGGCCTGGTCAAGGAGCTAAGGGGATGCCCCAGCTGGATTTTGGTTCCTACTGGTAAGTACAAGAGTCACAATGTGGGCAGTGATCTTGGATTGACATGGCTGTAATATGCCTTGGCAGGAGTGTGGATTGGGTCTTGAGTATGCCAGACAGGGCTATGCTTCAGCTCATGCAGATGCTTGTGAGAGCCAAGGGTGGGTGTAGGACATGCTGAACCACTCAAGATCCAACAATAAGAGCTGAAATGGGTGTGGGCTGTTTGGGCAAGGCCACTGTTCCTGTTAGGACATGAGGTGGACCCAGACGTATGAGATCTGCGATTTAAAGGTGTCCATATAGAGGAACTTAGGAATGCCTTTGCCAGGACACAGTCCCTGCAGGTGAGCACAAGAATCAAGACTCCGAGCAGCCCAGCCCAGGCTAGGTTACAGTACAAGTTAACTTACCTGTGGGTCAGGTTTAAGGGCAGGCTGGGCTGAGCAAGTCCCTAGCACCAAGTGGCAGACATGAGAGCCAGGGTGGAGTGTGGGACAGGCCAGGTTGGGCTGCAATGCCAGCTAGTCTACATTAGGGCCAGGAATGGGGGTTGTCCAGGTTGGGCCAGGCTGTAGCACCTGTCAGCATGAGCTGGAACTTAGGGTAGACCAGGTTAAGCCATGCTGTAGCACCCACTGGCGAATGCTGCAGTGAGGCAGGCCATATCAGACTGGGTTGTAGCACCCACCAGCACATGTAAGACCCCAGAGGGAGTGGTGAACCAGGTAGGTGTCCTGCAGGGACTCCCCATGGCATGCGCATGAACTGAGGCTGAGAGTGGGCCTATTGGGAGTTATTGGGGCCACTCCAACTAGCCTGCACTTCCTGCTGATGTGTATAAGGGCTGAGTGTTTAAGATTAGGCTAGGCCTTAGCATTCATTGGAGTGCGTATTATATAGGGCTAAGGACAAAACTGGGCAGCTGCAACCACCTGGTATGCATGTAGCCTGAACTCGGCGACTGGTTGAGCTAGATCTACACTGACTGGCACACACAGGAGTCAGGTCTGAGGTTTCTTTGGGGACCCCTCTTCCTACACCTGAACTGGACCAATGGTCTCAAAATTCCAACCACAAGGAAAATCACCAGATCTGTGGTCTGACTGTGGAGTGCATGTGTCTGAACTGGGCCTCCTTGTTTGCTGAAGACTGTGCACTGTACAGCACGCCCATATGGGTGACATGACAGATCATGCAGGTCTGCCTAGAACATCTAGTCCCATGGGTACTAGCAAGTACCTGGGTGAGTGGAGACTCTAAGGTGGGCTTTGTCACCTAAGGTGGAAGGATTTCCTCAACCTCGGAACAATGAGATCAACACCTCAGAACTGCTGAAACCTATTTGAGCAGTGCTCTTGGAACATGTTCCACACTGGAGACCCTAGGATGACACTAAATGGCTATTCCACATCCCTGAGTTTAGGGTGCTGGGATCCACCCTCTCCCACTCTCTTTTCTCTCACTCCAGATACAGGAATAAAAAAAAAATTGGAAATAATTGTTTTACCCACTTCCCCCATTCCTTATTTCCCACCCTGATCAGTGATCCATACGGACACCTGTCCCTCTCAACTAGGTAAACATCATCAACAATAAAATAAAGTAAAATAAAGAAAAAAAAAAGATTACTAGAGGAAAACATTGGAGAAAAACTTATGAGACATTGGCAAAGACAATGTCTGTTCTTAGAACACCCCCAGTATCTTGGACAATAAAAGCAAAAATTGACAAATGGGATTACATCAAGCTTCTGCTCTATAAGAGAAGTCATCAATGAAATGGAGTGATAGCTTTCAAAATGGGAGCAAGTATTTACGAACCATGCAACTGATAAAGGAGTAATATCCAGGATCCATAAAAAGCTCAAGAAACTCAACAACAAAGCAAATAATCTAGTTAAGAAATAGACAATGGACATGAACACAGTTTTTCAAAGGATAAAATTCAAATGGCCACAAATACATGAAAAAATGCTTAGGATCAGTATTAGAGAAATGCAAATGAAAACCACAATGAGGTTTAATCTTAAACTAATTATAATGGCTACTATTCCCAAATTAAAAAGCTATAGATTCCTGTGAGGCTGTTGTAGCAAGGCATTATAATATGCCATTTGTGGCGATATGAACTATTACAAGTATTATGGAAGAGAGAACAGAAATTCCTCAGAAGTCTGAAAATATATTTGCTACATGACCTAACATTCCCTATTCTAGGAATTTACTCAAAAGAAATGAAATCAACATTTGGAAGAGTTACATGTATCCCCATGCTTATTGCAGCTCAATTCATAATAGCTAAGATATGGAATCAACCCAGATGTTTATCAATGTATGGCTGGATATGGAAATGTAGTATGCATAACAACGGAGTTCTGCCTAGCCATAAAAACAGAAAACCTATCTTATCCAACAAAATAGATGCAGTTGGAAATCAATATGCTTAGTGAAATTAGACAGTTTCAAAGCACAAATATCATGTTTTCCCTAAATATTATAATAGACTTTTGTATACATAAATGTATTTACAAAAATGTAGATGAGCAAAATTGATATTTTGAGATTTACTTATTGCTTTGTCTAAAATCTTGAGAAACTTTTTTCCTATTTAGTATATGTTGCATTCTTAATGCAGGGTTAAGCTTGTGGTTTTAAAATAAACTGAAAATATGTCATTGTAAAAATGAAAAGCAAATTAAGACAGGAAGCAGTGAGGGTTGGAGCACAGACAAGAGGGAAAACTGGCCAGGAAGTGTTACTATGCTCCCAAATCTAAACACATGAAATACGTGAAATCTGTTCACCCTATATGAATAAAAATTAAATTTTTAAAATTACCTACATTTTAAAATATTTCAAGTTGTATGCAAATACCTAGTATGTCTGTTTGAAAACAAAGAATCAAAACAAGTAGTGAAATCATTTAATTAATAAAATAGAAGTAATTAATGATAATGATTAGCTCTTAGAAAATAATCATAATGGTGTAAAAAGTTAAATAATTTCTCACTTACCGAAAACATCACCCAATTCTTCCTTCAACTTACTAAGTTTGATTTTTCCTTTATCTGTAAGACAGAGTTCACACAGTAATAAACTCATTCAGAAAAAAATGCAGAAAGCACTAAATACAAGAAGTAAAACCAGATAAAAGCTATTAATTATATCTTGTTTAAATATTTAATACTTAGACTTTAATGAATAGCACTGTTATTTTCAACAGATAATAAGATTGCTCCAGATGGAACTGCATCATGGAATTAAAAAATATTGCCTCAGTCACAAAATTCATTTTAGGTGAAATGTTTTCTCAAGCGTTTTGAGGGCATTCTGACTCTAACCCCATGTTTCATTTGGGATGACTGACAACACATATTGGTGTACATTTAAGACCCTGCATGTCACATTGGGTCTTTTTTTTTTTTTTAAGATTTATTTATTTATTGGAAAGTCAGATATACAGAGAGGAGGAGAGACAGAGAGTTCTTTAAAGGAGGAATATAGAGCACATAGTATGGCTCATAAATATTTCTTGGGGAAATAAACACCACATATGGAATGGGAAGATGAGTCATAAGAAGCTGATTCGAGTCAGGATAGTACTTGCAATGTTTAACAGTTTCACTTTGACTTTAGGATGCCTGGTTCTGAGAATACAATAGTGAAGTAAGAGTAAAAATCCTGACCCTACAATATTTACAACTTTATTGTTCATGTCTTTATTCTTGTGATGAAACAGAGACTGATACATAGTAAGTTGTTCAATAGAAATGTATATCAACAGATATCAGGTATATATAAATTAATTGAATGAAACAATACATAAAATGCTTAGCAAGGGGCTGTCATATTAAAGACTCAAACTTTGTAATACAGATATAAGAAGTCATCAAGGATTTTAATCTGAGGAAGAACAAGGTCAAATTTTCATCTTAGTTAAATTGTCCTGGTTGGTTCATGGTTGTTAAGAAAGCCATGAGGTGCCTACAGTAATCTAAGCCAAGAATAATGAGGATCGGGATTAAAGGTCCAATAGTAAAGATACATAGAGTGAGACTCAAGATATTTTTAAGGGTGAAATGAGACAGCATGAATAGTTAAAGATAATTTGTGGTTTTTCACAGAGGTAACTGGATATTAATAACACAGAAATAAAATATAATCAGGAATCAGGAGTGAATTAGTTTACTGTAAATATGCAGAATTTTATTTGTTAAGAAAAATCTCTGACGGGGGAAATTTGTTGATTTAGAAGAGCCATTTTAATTGATTTCCATTTAACTAATCTGATGATTTGAACATCATTTTTCATTCATAAGCTCTTTTAAATTATTTTTTTTTAGTTTGAAAGGCAAGTTACAGAAAAAGAGAGACAGTGAGAGCGAGAGAGAGATCTTCTATCCATTGGTTCTCTTTCCAAATGGCTGCAATGACACTGGTTGGTGCCAGACCAAAGCCAGAAGTCAGGAGCGTCTTCCCATGTAGATGCAGAGCCCAATCACCCAGAACTGTATTCTAATGTTTTCCTAGGAACATCAGGAGCACATCCGGGAAGCTGGATTGGAAGTGGGGCTGCCAGGACTTGAACTGGCATCCACATGGAATGCTCTAGAAGCTGCAGGCAGCTTTACCAGCTATACCACAACATCAGCCCCCATTCCTAAATTTTCACAACATTCAGTTTGGGCCCAGCATAATGACTCAATGGCTAAATCCTCACCTTGCAATCACTGGGTTCCTACAGGCACCAGTTAAGTATCCCAGATGCTTCACTTCCCATCAAGCTCCCTGATGACGGTCTGGGAAAGCAGCAGAGTATGGCCTTTTTTGATGTATGCAAACTTTCATAGCTTGTTGTAAGGGATATGTTTTGGTAATCCAGTACATTTGTGTTCTCTTGGGTTGAGTTTCAGAGTTTCTTTGAGACTAGCTTTACTACTACTTCTTCTTCTTTTTAAAAAATCAAACTGAAGACAGCCTAATCATTATAAAAACTTTGAACTATAAGAAAGAAGGGGAATTTCTCATACGACTAATTTTAAATGTTTTGGAAAGATCTGGCAGAGAACAAAATAAAAAGTGACCTTTGGGAAGGCATAGAAAAGGATGATTCTGAAGAGTAGGAATTCACAGCAACAGGGATTACAAAGAGTTCCAATAAAAGAAAAAAAAATCATTAACAGTGACAAAGTTAATGTGAAGGAAAAAAGGAGAGGTACCCACTACATTTGTCTACTTGGATGTTCCAGTTAACTAAGTAAAAATACCTTTAAATACACTGCTGAATGTGGGAACAAGACAGTTTAGGAGAAGTAAATGGGAGGTGATCATCCTCTCCCTTCTAGACCTTCCCCTTCCAGTTTGAATAGTACTTCCTGAGCAATTCCTGGCTAGACAAAGGGGTGGCTCCATTTTATGTTATGCTTAGCGTCTATGGAGGATTTTAAATGAATGCAAATAAGAGAAAGAATTTTTCTTTCTTTAAGACTGAGCTGTTAGCTTTTGACACATCCCTGATGTCTTGACAAGCTGCTTGGAGAAATTCTATTTTTGAAATTTAAAAGAGTAAGTACTTCTTGAAGAATATCCGGGTGATTACAGTACTCACCATCACGGGGCAGTCTCTCTGTAAGATCCATTAACTCTTTTTCTGTGGTCTTGATCCCCATGTTTTCTAAAAAAGTACCTAATTTATCAACATCAACATTACCTTCTAAGGGAAGAACAGAAAAAAATCTGGTGAAACAGAGTGACTCTAAAATGGATGATGCACCAACATTGCTGTTATTATTTTTCTTGTTTACTAAATATGTATTTTTATTACCATTGAAATAATTTTTAATGTTATTAAGAGTTCATGGCAAACACGTAACTTTCAGTTTTGTCAAGTTAATAGGAGAACAAAAACGATTCAACTCCCTTAAAGCTTGCATTGGGAACATGCCTACAGAGTGAAATATCCTTTCTTTTAATCAATACATAACAATTATATATGTTTATGAAATATAGTGGGAAAACACTCTTAACACAGGATGAAAAGCTGTGGGTGGGACAACAGCGAGCTACGCATGTCCTAAGTCAGGAAAGAACTCAATTCTGACTCAATGCATTTTACTAGTCCCACAAGGAAAACAATACTGCCTTGGCATCACATGGGTTCCATCCAAATAGGTCCCCGTTGCATCTAATTAGACTTAATTGCCAGCAGGTACCAGCAAGAAGAACTCCACAGATGATCAGGTGGGAAGGTGTTTCACCAGGAACTCAGGAGGTGAACCCAGCCATAAAACCTTGTGTTCTGTTGATTTTTTCTTAATCTGAACATGAGCAGAAGCAGAGCAGCAGAGCCCAAATAGTTGAGTGTGGGAACAGGGTGGATTTCATGGCCCAGACCACCCCTCAAACCCCCACCCCCAGTGCCATATTGTTCACCATTTTGACTATTGTGGCAAAGTCTCTAAGAGTTGGGGGAGGGGAGCGGGACAGAGGTAAGTTGCACATGCACAAAGCTCAACACATTGCACTGACCCCACCAGGAAAACACTGACTTGGAATCGCACGAATTCCACCCAAAGTAAGTCCAGGTTGAACCCAGACCTAAATGTCAGCAGGTTCTGGCAAGAAAAGAAAAAATACTCATGCAGCTGGCACCGCTGTCAGGAGGCATAACAATACGAAGCTTTAAGATGTACCACACTGTAGTTGTAATCAAAAGAGAGTGAGACTGTCACAAAAATAGACATGTAGTTGAGTGCAGCAGAATAGAAATCCCAGAAATTAACTCACACATCTACAGCCAACTAATTGTTGACACACGAACCTGATTCAATCTATGGAGAAAGGTTCTCTTCAACCAATGGTGCTGGGAAAATTGAATGTATGTGTGTAAAAGTATGAAACAAGATCCCTATCTTACACCTTGCTCAAAAATGGACTCAAAATGGGTAAAGAATCTAAATGTATGACCTGATGCCGTCAAAGTATCCGATGAAAACAATGGGGAAACGTTGCAAGACATAAGTGCAAGCGAAGATGACAGAAACACAACCAATTAAAGGGAAAAAAGCAAATGGGATAATGTCAAGCTAAGATTTTCTGCACTTCAAAGGAAACCATCAACAAAGTGAAGAAGTCATGAACAGAATGGAAGAAAATATTTGCAAGCTTGCAGCTGAAAAAATGATTAATATCCAGGATCCATGAAAAACTCGTGGAATTCAACAAGAATCACTCCAGTTAACCAATGGACATGAACAGGCATTTTTTTCAAAGATGAAATCCAAATGTTCACAAACACATGAATAAATGCTCAGGATTACTAAGTATCAGGGAAATGCCCATGAAGAACAGTGAATTGTCAACTCAACCCAATTAGAACGCCCATCATCTGAAAGTCAGGAAACAATAAATGCTTTTGAGGTTGTGTGTGGGAGGGAGGTACTGTAATCCACTGCTGGGAAGGTCAACACCAGGGAGATTCCTCAGAGATCTGAAAAAAGAGCTATCATATCTCCTAGCTATCCCACCCTGGGGAATTTACTTAAGTAATGGAATCAGCATAGGAAAGGGTTCTCTATACTCCCATGCTTATAACACCTCAATTCACAATAGCTAAGATATGTAATCAATCCAGGTGCCCATTAACAGATGACTGGATAAAGAAATTTCAGCATATATATATACACTAGGGAATTTCATAAAAAATGAAATTCTGTTTTTTGCAACAAAATGAATGCAACTGAAGATAATTATGCATAGGCAAATAAGACAGTTTCAAAAAATAAATATCATATGTTTTCTCTAATCTCTGATAACTAATACACATTGTACAAACATGTAATCTATATGAGGGAGATTGACATTTTTGATAGTCGATTATTGGTTACAACCTTTGCCTACACCCTTGAGAAATAGAGGGTGTTTTTTCTACTTGCTAACTGTTGTATTCTTTACATAATTGAGTGTGAAGCCTGTGATTGTGAAGTGACCTGAAACTAGTGGGTACCCAGAATCACCATGCCACTAAATCTGCACTGTGAAACACATTAAGTTTGTTCACTCTGTATACATCAAACAAATTTAAAAAATATATATATATATAAAGAGAAGCTAGAGTTAAAGCTGAATGACAATATTCTACAAAACCAGAGCTGGTCTGTCCTCTGTACTGGAAAATTGTCTCTTTTTATTGAAATCCTATGGCAGCTTTCACTGTTTTTTTTTTTTGTTTGTTTGTTTGTTTTTAAAATTTGCTTGTTTGTTTCTCTGGGAATACAGGAGAAATCCAGCAAGTCTAATATTTTCTACTAAATTACAGTACAGGAATCTACTTAGTAAACTGTAGATCTACTGATGGCAAAAAGATAAACAGAGACTCAGTTACATAGGATATATATGTATATCTATATATCTTAGCAATTAAAATAAAAATGTACAAGCCTTTTTTCTCCATTATTCCTACTCACGTTTGAGAGACTTTATTCCCTTCATAAGCCTTTTCTGATACACTTTTCCATCAGCTATTAAAAAAATAGGATATTTTGAAAATAGGGTTAAATATATATTTTTTATTTGTGAGAAATAATTTTAAGATTTTTGCCTCAAATGCGAACTGGTAATTAATAGAGCACAATATTTACTCTCAGTAGCACTTGAGTAAAATGCAAATAATAATACAATGCTATATTCTTCTTCTTTTTTGTTATTCCTGCTCTTTTCCTCCCTTGCTTTCTAGTTTCTTATTCCTTAATTTGGTTTTTAAGTCTTTTTTACACATTTATCCAGTTAGTAACCTGACAGTATGAGTAATCAATTTTAAATATGATAGCAAGTAAATACTGAAAGGTTGATGATTTAAAAATTTAAAAAAATGATCAGAGTTTCCTTTATAGTAACATTAACTTCCAATTGTTTTTATCCATTTTTAATATTGTCTTAAAGTTTTCACCTGAAATCTCAGATAGCAGCCATTAGACTTACCATCAACTGGCAATGTCTTGAGCAAATCCAGGTGTTCATCTGGTGTGAGTTCAATTCCCAAGTTTTCTAAAACAGTTTTAAGTTTATTTGTATCAACTTTTTCTCCTTTGGAAGAAAAAAAGTGTTACTGACACATGGAAACTATATGACATTATAATTATATGAATAAATAAAAAGCTAAGTCTCATAATGTCATCCCCACATATTTTAATAGTGTTTAAAGACAAGTGAGAGTTTTTTCTTTTTTGTATAAAAAAAGAATTGTCTTTCAAGCTTCTTGTCAAGATACCCTACCACTAACAAAAATAAGATTATATCAATAGCCAGTACTTAAGAGTCATCTAGCCTATGGAATTGTACCATAAAATTGAAAATAAAATAGAAGGGAAAAAAAGAGTCATCTCGTCAATTTTTCTCTGGAGAAAAATAACACGTATTATTTACAAAAAGTGGCATGTGATTTTTATTTAAAGCAATCCTAACAAACAACAGTCCTTTAAAAATTGTTATCCTTCTATTTGCTGTGCCTACTGAAGCAGCTACATTTTTGAATGTTTAAGTTAGAAACACTTAAGAGCCTAGAAGTAGGAGAAATGTGTTAGACAGGCTGAGTGGACAGCACATGTCTTTTTCAGAGAGAAAAATACCAGTTATTACTGTTTGAGAATGTAGATAAAATGCTGTCAGACCTTAAAAACTTGACAAAAATTTGGATTCACCTCAAAGGTGGTCAGTCTGTGACCTCTAACTAAAATGTTAGTTAAGATAAGCATACAACTGTTTGAGCTTCCACAAAAATAGAATTTGTTATTCAAATATCACCATTTACTTTGATGACTGAATTGTAATGAATTCATAGTCAAAAGTCAAAGAAAACCTGGTTGCAAATATTTCATTAAGATGTATACAATACTAACACTTCTAAATTTACTTTGTACTTCTGGGGAAATGCCATCCAGAATGTATGAGTTAGTGTGAACTTTGAATATTTTGCTATTGTCTTTCTTACCTGTGAAAGATCTCATGTCATTCATCATCTTTCCCAGATCTACTTTACCGTCAACTGTAAAATCAGGAGCACATTAGATAGGAATATGATAATGAGACTAAATGGCCAAAGTAGAAGAATTTATTACTGATTTACTCAAGAAAATTTAACATCTTGCTATACCCTTTGTGAAAAGTATTTAAATATATTAAAAACCCAATTAAAAGATAATCAGAGTATTCTGTTTAAATATATAGGCATAAATAGGTTCAAAAGGAATGAAAGAAAAAGATGAGGCTGTCATTGTGAAGTAGTGGATTCAACTGTCTCTGGCAACACTGGTGTGAGTTCTAGACCCAGGTGCTCCATCATTGATCCAGCTGTCTACCTATGCACCTGGGAGAATAACAGAAGATGGCCCAAGTCCTTGGACCCCCAGTACCCACATGGGAGACCAGGGTGAAGGTCCTGCCTCCTGGTTTCAGCCTGAAGTATAATCATTTGGAAGATATTTCCCTCTCTCTCTGCCTTTCAAGTAAACAAATGAAATAGTTTTTAAAGGAAAGATTGAGTAGAAAAGTACACACACAAAGCAAGGAGGAAAGGGCGGGGGGAGAGAGAGAGAGAAAGAGGGAATAATTAAGCTAGTTTCTGTAGGGTTCAGTAATAGTAAAATTCTTACCATCAATTTCCAGATTTTGTGTTAGGTCTTTAAGCTCCATTTCACTAAGATTTATGCCCATGTTTTCCAAAACTGTATTCACTTTATTGGAATCAATCTTCGCTCCTTATAAAAATATATATAAGAAAAAGTTAAAGTAAAATATGGGAGGAACTGTATAATTATTTCCTGAGATTTACAGATCATTTTTTCATTTACAGACCAAAACTTAATGAGACTCAGTAGCAGAGTCATGGTTAGATTGTGTGTTAGTCTTCATGGTAAGTGTACCCATCCTGAAAATTGAAAAGTGAAGAGTAGCTTCTCACAGAATTCCAGCAAAGAAACAATAAATCCAAGGTTTCCAAGCAATTTTGTCTCCTTTCACTGAATATATTTTTAAATTAGCTTATAGTTATGGGAAGGGAAAGCTGGTTTTCTGTTAACATTTTCCATAAAAATACTTTATATAACTTAAAGGATAAATCAATTCTAGAGATTTATTTATTTAAATGAAAGTCAGGATTACACGGAGAAAAAGACAGTGAGGGGGATCTTCCACCTGTTGGACCACTACCGAGAAGGCTGCAACAGCCAGGGCTAGGATTGCTCAGAGCTAGAAGGCAGGAGCTTCTTCCAGGTCTCCCACATGGGTACCAGAGACCCAAGCCTTGAGTCATCATTCCCAGTCACATCAGTAGGGAGCTGGATGGGAAGTGGAGCACCCAGAAAACAAACCAGGCCACTATGGGATGCAGGAATTGTTAGGTGTGGCTTTATTTATTATGCTACAACACCAGCTTCTGCCAGCAACTTAATACAAATGTTAACAATAGTACCAGCAGCATGTTTTTGAAGATACAGTGATGGTGGAATTTAATGATGAAAGAATGGGAGTCCAGAAAGGACATGACTCTTTTCTGGCCTACTCCAGTCTTTTGCATGGGTTAATGTGCTTCTATTTCCTTGGAACATTTTTAGCCTTTTTATTTACTTGTTTGTTTATCTATTTGGACTGAACGTCAGAGCAGAATTCTTTGCTGCTGAGTAAAGTAACTGGAGATGAGCTGTTTTTCCTTTTACTGCTGTGCAACCACGGCTGTGATAATTTCTTTCAAGATCAAAATTTAAAATCCCAAGGGAACATTGAGATTCTTTTCACGTTACACCACTAGAAGTAATTTCCTCAAGTACAGGCTAATGTACAAATGAAATGAAAATATTTAATATATGTTAGATAACAAGATATATATTTTCATCCCAAGGAAGTAGTACAAAAGCCAAATATGATCTCAGATCTCTCTGCACTTAACTAAGCTCCTCACTCACCTTTAAGAAGCCTTACGCCATCCAGCAGTCTTTTCTGATAGACCTTCCCATCTACAAGAAAAAGTGTTATTCAGACCATACAAGAGCAAAGTAGACACTGAGAAAAAAGATTCATGTGAACTACCTTATACTTTTTCTAGTTTACTGACAAATGATGAAATTATGTAGAGTATGAAGTTTTAACTGCAGTGACATAGATAACTAAAACTGACACTCTGTTATGTTGAAACATAGCTTCCTTTTCTTTTGCAATATTCCTTTGTTCTCTGGCTATTCCCTTTTCTTTTTCATATTTACTTTTATTTAAGGCTTGTATTTTTCAGTTTAATCAAAACTAATAAAAGACATAAACGAACTTTGGTGACAGTAACCATGATGATGACAGTTGCTACTTTTCAAACTAAGATTAAGTGGCACAAATATTCTTTTAAGATCATAGACTCAATATCCATTATCTGAAGTGCTGGGAACCAGAACTATTTCAGATTTCATATTTTTCAGATTTAGAATATCTGTATTTGCATAATGGTATGTCTCAGGGCATAAGATCCAGGTTTAAACACAAAATTCACTTATGCTTCATTTAAACCTCATAGAAACACCCCAAAAGCAGCTTCATGCAACATTTTTAGTGCACCTGTAACTCATTAGATGAGGTCAGGTTTGAAATTTTCCACTTGTATGGTCATGTTGATGCTCAGAAATAGTTTGGATTTTGGAGTATTTCAGATTTTCAGATTATGGATATTCAACATCTGATGGGCTCATTTAAATTTATGTAACATGAGTCATAGATTATTTTTGGTAAGCAGATGGAGATAATTTTAGAAGCTCACATGGTTCAACAGCATGAATTTCTGAAAGAGTACCTTTTTATTTGAAATACTCACTATCTACGGGAAGGTTATTCACCAGAACTGAGAGCTGCTTTTCAGGGACCACTATCCCCATGCTTGTGAGCGCTGCTTCCACACCACTGACCTCAATTTCTTTTCCTACAAACAGACAGGTTAACTTACAAGATGTCAAATAATTATTTAATTATTCTAGGTAGTAATTCAATCTTTCACTGCTTAATTATTGGCTTCAACTACTCAATGAGGTAGCTATAAAATGGAATGAAATGGAAATACTTGAGCTGAAGAATACAGTAAAGCAAATTAAAAAAAAAAAAACAGCCTTACAGATAGACGAGTGAGGCAGAAGAAAGAATTTCAGAACCTGAGGACACCTCATTGGAGAACACACATTCAGAAATAAGGACAAGGGAACTATCCAAGAATTGAATGACACTATTAAAAGATCAAATATAAGGCCAATAGGAGCTCCTGAAGGCAGAGAAAGAGAAGCAGGGTTGAAGGATGTATTTAATGAAATTATAAAAGAGAAGTTTACAAACATCAGGAATATAAGAGGAAGCTGAATACAGGAAGGGCAGAGAATCCCAAACAGATTCAATCAAAAATAGCCCTTACTTCAATACATCATTTTAAAGTTCCTTTCTGTTGAACACAAAGAAAACCTACTGAGCAGATACAAGAGAAGGATCAGATAACACATGTGGAAACAATCAGACTCATTGCTGACTTCTAAGAGGAGACCCTTTGGGCCATAAAAGAATTTTGTGACATATTCTAGATCCTAAACCAAAACAATACAAAACAAAACTATCAACCCAGAATAATATTTTCAGCAAAGCTTTAATCTATATGTGAAAAGAAATTAAAGGCTTCCAAAGCAAACAGCAGCTGAAAGACGTTGCCACTACCAAATGAGTCCTAAATGTTACTGCAAGATGTGTGGAATATAGAAATAAATTAAGCTAACCAATGATGACAAAGGGGTAGAGCCACCGAATAAAATCACAAAAAACTGAAATAAAAAAATGACAAACCTAATGGAAAAAGCCAGGATCAAAGCGCTACCTGTCAATACTAACTCTGAACATAAATGGCTTAAACCTATCAACCAAAAAACATAGATTAGAGCCCTAAATCAAAAACCAGAACCCATCTATTGGGTATAAAAACCAAATGTATGCACAGCAAATTTCAGATCATCTAAGTATGTGAAACAAAAGTTGAGACACTTAAAGGGAGACACAGGCCCAAAACAATATCAGTGTGGGACCTCAAAACCCAAAAACCTCAATAGACAGATCAATGACACAGAAACTCACCAAGGAAACAACAGAGTTCACCCACCCAGACAACAGAACAAATGGGCCTAATTAATATCTACAGAACCTTACATTATACAGACACTGAAATAATACTCCAGAAAAAAATGAAAATTCTCAAGCCTGGTGTGGCAGCCTAGTGGGTAAAGTTCTCATCTTGCATGTGCTGGGATCCCATGTGAGTGCCAGTTTGTGTCCTGGCTGCTGTTTCCCATCCAGCTCCCTGCCTTTGGCCTGGGAAAGCAATAGAGGACAGCCTGAGGCTTTGGGACGCTGCACCCATGTGAGCAACCTGGAGGAAACTCCTGGCTCCTGGCTTTGGATCAGCTTGGTTCAGCCATTGTGACCACTTGGGAAATAAGTCAACAAATGGGAGCTCTTTCTCTCTGAATCTCCTTTTCTCTGTATATCTGCCTTTCCAATAAAAATGAATCTTTAAAAATATTTTTAAAATGAAATTCTTGGAAGCTAAGCAACAAGCAATTGAATGAACAATGGATAAGACAAAAACTCAAAGAAGAAATAAAAAAATTCCTTGAAATGAATTAAAGCTTCAACATAACATATCAAAACATGTAGGACACTGGTGCTGAGAGGCAAATATATAGCAAGCAGCGTCTGTCTGAAAACGAGAGGCACCAGATGATCGAGCTAATCATACACCTGAAAAAGTTACAATCACAGCAGCAAAATAATCTCAAGATTAACAGAAAAGAAGAAATACTAAAATAATGGAGGAAATAAAATAAATTGACACTAAAAGAACAATATTGGAGAGTTTGTTCTTTGCGTGAATAAACTGAATTAGATACCCCTCTAGCCAAACTAACACACAGACACAGACACAGACACAGACACACACAGACACACACACACACACAGACACACACAGACACACACACACACAGACACAGACACACACAGACACACACAGACACACACAGACACACACACACACAGACACACACACACAGACACACACAGACACACACAGACACACACAGACACACACAGATACACAGACACACACAGACACACACAGACACACACACACACAGACACACACAGACACACACAGACACACACAGACACACACACACAGACACACAGACACACACACACACACAGACACACACAGACACAGACACACACACAGACACACACAGACACACACACACACAAAGAGGAAGAGGACACAAATGAATAGAATCAGAGATGGAAAAGGAAACATAATAATGGACATCTTGGGCATACGTATAATAATCATGAACTTTTATAAGCAACTAGATGCCAATAAATCCGAATACCTTAAAGAAATGGATAGACTCCTGGACACATGTAAAATACAGGGGACAATGGGGAGAAGAGGGAGGAAGAAAACGAAGGGAAGGGGGTAAGCCTTATACTTACAAAACTGTAAAATCGAAAATAAGAAATAACACAGAGTGGGCACTTGGGCTAATGGTACAGATGCTGTTTGAGTCACCATGGACCCATATTGGAGTATGGGTGTCTTCCACAGGTGATTACTCTAGCTTAATAATTATGCAGACCCGTGGATGTAGCATTTACTGCTCAAATAAATATGTCCTTGAAACCATGTGGATGATCTGAATGGAGTTCTTGTTCCTGTCTTTGACATGGCCCAGATATATACACGGTAATTTCTTTCTCACCTGTAACAGATTCCACTTTATCCATCAGGTTTTTCAGATCAACTGTTTCATCAGCTGTAAGATAATATTTAATCAGCTGGAGAAAACTATAACAGTCTCAGAAGAGAGTACAGAAATTAATTTCTTATCAATACTTATTGTTAACTAGATATCAATGAAAATAAACGAGTCAGGCAGTCATACAAGTGAGACTGTTAGATGGGCCACCAGACCCTCCTTCATGTTGCAGCCTGCTCTCTGCCGAGGCACCAAGTCTTCCCACTTCAGTGTTTAACTTGTGCTAAAGCAGTCTAATAAACGAAAGTTTAGACAAACCAGAAAAGCCAAAAGTCACACTATGCAGTAAGCAGAAAGGTCAGTAAGTAACTCCCAGTTGTGAAACGCGCCAATCAAGTGCAGCATGGCCATATCCCCAGTCCATGCCCCTAGCAATTCAGGCATACGGGTCTTGAACCAGCAATTCTTTTGAACTTTAAAACAAATCATATAGAAGTTAGTTTTTAATAAGGGTTCATCAAAGTCATTTTAAAGTCCAAATCACACTATTTGAATGGTATATCAAGTCATTATAAATGTAGAATTTTTGTGCTTCAATTATTAAGTAGCCTAATTCTGGAAGTCTTTTTTTTAGTGGTTTTGTGTATGATTTAAAGAATCCTTCAATATTACTCTCATACACTTTTAAGAACTTTATTACTTGTAGATATCATCATCTTACACTGACATATATTGATGCAGTGTTAAACAGGGAAAAATGTTTCGTAGAAACTGATTACTTAAGTGGTTAGTTCAATAATTATCTGACTCAAGCAGTGAGTAAGAACTCAAAGTTCAATTATTTTACCACATTATTTGTGTCTACCTAAAAGAGAATAAAGATTCAAGTTTTCAGATGCACACAAATATTAACCCTTTTACTTCTACTCCTCTCATTGCCAGGCCCCAGCATTCTTAGCAATTTTTATCTATCCTTCCAGACTTACCTTATGTTTATAAAAGCATACTATACAGCTTTAAAAAATAACACTATGCACTGTTCTGTAACTTGTCCTTTACATAAAGTGACATAGAAGAGTAAAGAAAGCATTGTCATAGTCATGAGCAGAGGAATGAGCAACAGCTGAGCAAATGAAGTTCTTCCCCCTGGGTTAATGTCAGTGGTAATACATCAGTGAGAAAGCAAGGTCACTTGTCCTATCTTTTGTAAAACTAGGCAATATTTTTCTCCCTAGCAGTTGCCCCCTATTGCAACAGGTATAGAGAACAATTACAGGTTTTAAAGAAACAAAAATGAACAGCCTACTTTATTTTATGCCAAAAGCTGCCCAAATGTCTTTTTGCCAATGAATGAATTAAAATTTTAAATCAGCCATTCTTAATCCTGTAAGTTCAATACCTAATAATATTTTCTGTAATGCTCACCATCGTTTAGAAGATCCTTTATCTCTTCAAGTTCTTCTTCTGTAAAGTTCACATCCATGAGTTCTAAAATAGTCTCCAGATTATTTACATAAACCTTTCCTCCTTGTGAACATACAAAATGATTGAATTATTATAAAATATTAAAAATATATTCAGTCATATATTATCTCCAACTGACTGGAATTAACTATGAAACAAATATATATTGAGGAAAGAGAATGACTTCAAAATCTAGTATTAATTACTAATGTTTTTGAGGAAAAAAAGCAAAATTAATGTATTTTCCAACTCTCTAGAAGGTTGAAAGTAGCATTAGCATTTGTTTCTTTGTATTTTAAACCTATCTCCCCGTGAAAGGCTGGGGAGGGGTAAAGTTAAGTAACTGTTGCTGGGGATAATGGATCACCTGTGCAAAGAAGGTGGAGATTGTTTATTTGTGCCCTAACCTGTATTCTCAGATTGCTTCCCAGCTCAAATTCTGTAAGAAATGCCAAATCTTTTCTCTCCCTTCCTCCTCCGTATGTTTTTATGTTTTCTATTTGTCTGTATGTCTTTTATTTCTGTTCATATAATTTTTTCAGATGAACTTTGAAAAACACAAACCAGTGGAGAACATCCTTAGAAGATAAACAGGATTTCTAGGAAAAACACAGATGTGCTACAAGAAGTAAAATACTATATTTGAAACCTGAGATCATCTCATTGGTCTTTTCACTGTGCTTCTTACTCACTTTTGTTATTCTTTACTTCTTTCAGCAACCTGTTTCGAAATATCTTTCCATTAGCTGTAAGCAAAGTCAGAACTCAGGTCTCTGGGAAACTGATACAAATTCACCATAACATAAAAAAGTACATTATCACAGAAAGGCATATTTTGATGATTTACTCTTGTTTTATAGCCACAAGATGTTGATATTCTAAAATGGGAATTTCTATAGGGATGAACCTATCAATTATTTTATTTTATTTTATTTATTTGAAAGGTAGAGTGACAGGGAGAGAGAGAGAGAGGGAGGGAAAGAGAGAAAGATTTTCTTTGCTGGCTCACTCCTCAAATGACTGAAATGGCCAGTTTAGGGCCAGGCCAAAGCCAGGAGCCTGGAACTGTATTCAGGTCTTCTATGGGTGGCAGGGTCCCAGGAACTTGAGCCCTCTCTCACTCCTTCCCAGGCACCTTCCCAGGGAGCTGCATCCCAGTGGAGCAGTGCTTCAGTACAGCATGCGGGTGTCACAGGCGGCTGCCTCACAGGCTTTACCATGCCGCAAAACTACTGTTTTTGTCATATTGTCACTCGGTTTTCTTTCTAAATTCTTTCTCTGTACATTCTGAGTATTATTAATTACTTGCACAACTACATGGCAGCACAGTAATACCCAACAAACTGTATTTGAAGAGGTAATGAAGGAACTCATTTTAATCCTAGAAATGTTTACTAACTTACGACATTGCTAAGATGAAATGAAAAGACAGAGAACTGCTCATGCACTCTCATGATATCGAATTCCCTGGAAGGCGTGTGAGGCTTACCATCCATGGGCAGTGATGTCCGCAGTTGCTTTTGCTCCTTATCTGTAAGCTTGATCCCCATGTTTTTTAGAAAATTTTGTATGTCACCAGAATCTATCTTTTCTCCTTTAAAAAGAGAATAATGAGTAAAATATTAAGTAGTTATTTACTTCAAATTATCTAAAGTATGCTTGTGTGGCTATAGTCTTTAATACAAGAATGTCGAAGAAAAATGACATGAAGTTTATCAATAAAATCATCAAATAATAACTTGAAAATAGAATTTATACCTTAATATTTATAAATAAAATATATTCTTAATACTAACACCAGAAGTACAGAAGAAAATCTGGTCAAACATTCAGAGACAAGAATACTTAGTACAACAAAATATACTTAAAAATATCTATTTTCCTGTATGTGGTGAAATTATGCAATTATCTATATATAGATTTATTATTTTATTTTAATTACTCAACATAGTTTTACCATTTTTGTTTAGTTTTTCAGTCTGTAAATAACAGTGAAATAATTTTTTTTTGAAAAAAGGTATTAAAGAATTTGTTTAGTTATCAAGAAATAGTCCTTTTGTTTTACAGATAAAACCCAGAAAATGTTAGATTAATCTGTTGTTCATTACATGTAAATGTTTAATCAAAATCAATTTTAAAAATTTATTAGTAGTAGTTTAGAAAAATACAATTCTAAATTTTAGTGTAAACCATGATTTGTTGCAAATCATTTGTAACAAATTCTTACCAGTAAAAGCTTTCACTTCATTCTGCAAAGTTTTTAGAGCCACTTTATTATCATCTGTAACAAAAACAGGATGTGAAGTTTATTTGCTGAGAACATTTAAAATAGTCATTGCATGAATATTAACTCAGAATATGCTAATATGAAGTAGAGGAAAAGAAATGGCAAGTTTTGAAAATAAAGTTATTTCAAAAATCTGAATTTGACTTTCTATCCCATAACGTAGCAATTCTTGTACTTGATAATGAGAAGGAATTAAAAAGTGGGTATTTCCTGAGAGCCAGCCTTTTTATTCCCACAATTGGAAGGTTCTTCTACTGTCAATGCCCCCTGTGTCTGGATTATTCCATTCTCATATTCTTTGCCAATGTCACTGTTTCATCCACCTTGCCATCTTCATAAAAAGTTCCCTTAACATAAAATACAATGGTATCTTGCACACTTACCACTGACTGGCAGGTGTTTTGTCAGATCTTCAAGTTCCTGTTGAGTGAGCTTCACCCCCATGTTGTCTAGAACTGTTTCCAGGTTTTTGATGTGAATGTTCCCTAATCAGAAAGACAGAGGCCTGTGAGGGAAATTTAGTGGCTAAAAAAGTGACTACATATATATTTTAGAGACACCCAAAATGTAAGAATATTTGCAAAGAGGTCCTTACTTCCTTAGTAGGAGTGGCACTCACACACCTGCTTGAGCAGCATAGTTATCTGATGGATTTTCAGATCTGATGTAATAGACTCATTCTGGCATATTTAATATTTAGGAACATTTTGTTTTCAACATTTTCCTAAGGAACGCTGGGAGTTTTGCCTAATTAATATGTAGTATTACTTTCCAAGCTTCCAGATGCCTTTTTGATATGTATCTGACAACTTCAGGTACTATTTGTAAAGGTATTTAAGCCTTCACAATTATCACATTACCACATTATCAACAAACTCCTACTCAGCCTTATATTCCACATTCCTCTCTGATTTGGCACTGTTAAGGTCCTTCTAAGGACACGCTTTCCTGGTTATTGTTCATTCAGGTAGAGTGTAATTTCTTCCTCTCAGCAGGGCCAGCATTTCCCAGTTGGTTGAGTCTTGAGTCTACTTATAGGTGTAGTATCCAGGAAGGGAAATACTGTCTTTCAAGGCATTTTCCTCTTTGAGAGTTCTGCATATTTTTGGGAAAGGAATTACAATCCATCCTCTAGTTACTAGAAGTGGCTCACTTTCATGAACATTGAAATTCACGAGATGCAATTATGTGAATTTTTAACAAAGATTTAGCTTACTTTTATTGTCATAACCAAGAGAATTATCTTGGAGAATAAAGATGTAGTTTTCTACCAAGACATACACTAAAATTTTGCTTTTAAGGCTCCGATTTATTATAAAGTTCAGTCTGGATGAACACTCATTATAAGAATAACATAAAAGGATTAATATGGCAGTTAAAGTTAATGGCAAAATATAATTATTGTGCCAATAAGAATACTAGATTTATAATAAGCATGTATTCTGCCCGCAATGATGGACAGATGACTGAGTATGACGAACTATGTTAGTAATGATATAGAGGAACTAGGTGGCGGGGAAGGGATTTGGGGAAGGGATAAGGGAATATGGAACTGTATCATAAAATGATAGCAATAATAATAAAAATTTTTTTTAAAAAGTATGTATTCACCTGTAATGGCTTTCACTGCTTCCATCACATCATGCAATTCATAATATTCATTTTCTGCAAGCAAACATTCAATGAAGACATTAGTGGTATAAGCTTAGAAAAAATTTAAATTTTAATACAATGTTTCAAAGTCCAGCTGAATATGATTCACTTTGTAATTTTGATTGACACTCTTTGAGAAGTTTAGATTTTTAAGGATACATGCCAAATTAATAAGAATGTCTATTAGAAACCATGACCAGAGAAACTGTACTCAACTGAGGCTACCGGGGTCTTTCTGCTTCACAATCACAAGTGAGGTTTCCCTTAAGGAGGGTTAGGTATTCTTGTATGGCCACAAGAATAACGTAGCCACATGTGAGATGAATAAGCTGCTAATTAATAAGAGTTAACACTAAGAAGACATAGGAAAAATTATTTCTTTTTTCTTAATATGGACAAGATGAGCTAAGAAAGTGATTTTCAAGTTACAGTACTTGGACCAACTGCTTTGGCACCACTTGAAAACTTATTTAGAAGTACAAATTCCACTATTCATATCTATTGTGTTGGTAATTCTGGGGATTGGGACAGGCACTGTGGCGTTAAACTTCCCTGCAATAGCAACATCCCTAATAAACACTGGATAGAATCCTGACTGTTCTACTTCTGATCCATTTCTCTGTTAATATGCCTGGGAAAGCAGCAGAAGATGCCCAAGTGCTCAGGTACCTGCCACCCATTTAGTAGACCTGGATGTGGTCCAGACAATTGGATCACTATTTAATGTTAGGCTGGTCAGAGCAGACTTGATTCTACCACTCTTCCAAAGTTAAGTTGACACTCCCACCAGGAATGTCTGGAATGCTGAATCACCCTAACCTTGTCTTACTGTGCAAACTGAGGAGCGGCCGCCTTCTCCCATTCCCCGTGCCTACGATGTGAGAAAGACCAGTGCTGTACACCCTGCGTGACCATTTCTCTCATGTGGTCACCCCACCATGTGGAAGTGGTCCTGGGCCATCTGTCAGATTCTCTTCCCGACTCATGAAACCCTTTCCCTGAACTAAACCTCTCTCTCTCTCTTCTCTAACCCTAACATTTAACTAACTTGGTGCTAGCTGGTTTACCACAAAGGGCAGGAGCCTACAGCAGATTGAAATAGGGGAAAAAAATAATAGGTAAGCACATTTTCTCCTGTTTTGCTTACTTTTTAATTTAGTATTAATTACTTACTTGTGATTCTGGTAGCCTCTAATTATTCTTAAATTCATAGGAAAATATGATGTTGATTTTAGATTAACTATCTAATTTTCATATTGGGCTATCTTCCAGGCTTTCTAATGCAGATTTAAGACATAGATTTTAAAAACAATGTCATACAGAAAATAAGGGTAAAAGGGCTTAAACATATCTTAAGTGCTTACCATCAGCATGTAGATTTTCTGACAGTTCTGCAAATTCCTCTTCTGTGAGCTTGATTCCCAAGTTTTCCAAACTAGAACGGGGGTTATTTTTCTTAATTTTCCCTTCTGAAGAAATAGACAGTAAGTAATACTGTACAAGTAGCCATATAATTGCAGAATAAGAAAGTAATATATTTACTATTAACTTTAAATACCATTCATTTTAAAAATAAAATTGATGAGAGATGAAATATGCCTTTATATAATCAAATTTCAACAAGACTAAAACTCCAATTATAGTTTTCCATTTGAATGCGCAAACAGAAAGTCAATATGAGTTAGAGTTAGAATGTGTTTCTCTTAAACAAGTCTTGCTAATGAGTCTACATAAGTAAACATTAAAGGAGCTTGAATAAGTAGAACTGTAGATTCCAACTTAATTCCTTATCAGTGCTCACTAATAACAGTCACATATTTTTCTTTTGTTGATCATGATTTTTCATTCTTCATGCAAAGTGTGGGGTGGGTATTTAGCATGGTGATTATAAGACATGCATCCATTTGGGAATGCCTGGATTTAAACACTGATTTTTTCTCCAAATTCTGGCTTCCTGTTAATACACAGTCTTGGGGACAGAGGTGAAGAAACAAATTGTTGGATTCCTGCCATTCAAAGTGGAAGACCGAGAGTGAGCTCATGGCTCCTGATTTCAACCTGACAGAATCCAGACACCATAGGCATTTGAAGAATGAATCAGGAGAAGTGAATTCTCTTCTTTTTGCTCCCTGTCCACTTTCCCCTTGGTGTCTCTCTGCTTTTCAAATATAAATAAACAATTAACATTTTAAAGAGTAAATGATAATAGCAGATAAAATTCAGTTATGTTAAATGAATCATAAAAGGCCAACCTTCAATATTGAATGAATATAATCTGGAGAAGTTGGATAATATGCTTTATAATTTGTTTCTTACTTACCATTCAGAGACTTTACACTCTGCAGCAACCTATTAAGATACAACTGTCCAGCATCTATAAGAAAAATCAAAATTCACATAATGACAAAATTACTATGAAGCTCAAAAATTAGTTTGAACTGGTAATTAAAAACTCAGAACATTTAAAATATTCTTCCCAATAATAAAAATATTCTTAGTTATATAGAAGCAATTAACAAATAGAACTGCATCTAAGAAAACAACTTCATTTAAAATAGCATCTAAAAGAAAAAAGTGCTTAAAAATAAGTTTAACAAAACATGAAAACTTACACTAAAAATTAAAATTTGCAAAATACTATAGTGAGAAATTAAAAAGACCTAAATAAACAACACATTCTATGTTTATGTATCAGAGTCCAGAAATCAACTCAGAGACTCACATTTTTTTGACAAATGTGTTTAACATCATTTAGTATTTTCACTGAATAGTGTTGAAATCCACATGTTAAAAGAAGATATATTGTGCTATTTTGCAGCAATGAAAAGGCAAAAAATGAAACTAAGAAAATATTCTTTGTACCATATCAAACCACATTAAAAATTGACTCAAAATTCAAAAACAAAATACCCCAAATATAAGATGGCTGAGTAGAGAGGCCTTATATTCACCTGTGCCACAGAAAAGAATAAGAACAACAAATGCATGTCTGTTTCCAGGAAAATGGGGGAAAAGGTGTCAGAAGCTTAAATGACACAGATTCTGAAAGCTGGAAAGAGAAAGCAACAAAACATACGGCAGCTCCTACTCCACACTTCTCCAATGGGGCTACTCTATCTTCAAAAGAAAAAGCAGTGGAAAACTTCATGATGTCTTGACATCTCTGTGGATGGGTAGCCTGAACTACAGCAGAATTCCAGTCCCAACAGTTTTAAATCCAGAAGAGAAAGCAGATTTGGTTTTCGTTACTCTTTTGCTCTGGAAGAGGAATCCCACATTGTCTCCCTTCATCTTCAAAGTCCCAGACGAGGCTTCTAGGGAAGTTCAGCCTTGCTCCTGGGACTTGGTGCAATCAGTAGCCAATGCACAAGCCCAAAGGACCAGACCCAAGGAAGTTCTCTTCAGCATCCCTTAGTACACGGTGCTGGGTTGCCTGGGCATAAGACCCAGCACCATGAAATGAAGAACGGAAATCATCTGATCATTTCAATAAATACCGAAGAGAGATAATATTCAACATTCTACTTCTCTGAGTCCTTGATGCAGGATTAGTCATTTGAAATCTTTGTTTTTAATATATACATTTATTACTGCAAATCTCTTAATGCTGCATTTGCTATATTACACAGGTTTCAATTCTGTTGTATTTTCACTTTTATTATTTCAATAATTAAAAGAAATATCCTTTCTAATTTACTCAATGATCCATTTGATCATTCAGGAGTACGCTGTTCAATTTGTAAATTAACGATTGTTATTGTTGATTTTTAGTTTTATTCCTTTGGGATATGAGAAGATAGATGGCAGTATACTGTTCTTCCTCAATGCTATTTTTTTTTAGTCTGTTTCATACTGTGTGAGTATACCTGCTCCAGCTCATTGTTTTTACTTGCATGGGGCATCTTGTATCAACCCTCTGCTTTCAGCCTATGTGTATCTTCACCTGTTAAGTGAATTTCCTGGAGATAGTGTGCAGCTGCATCTTATTTTTCATGTTCATTCACCCAATATATATCTTTTGACTAGGGAATTTAGGACATTTCAGCTAATTCCTTCATTTTGTGGATTACTTGATGATTGACATATTGTCTATTTCTTTCTGCCTTTCTTATTGTTTCTCATGTTTTAATAGATTTCAGTCATAACAAGGATCAGTATCTTCTCTTTCTTTTATATCTATGCTCTGTTAGTGAATTTTTTTTTACCATAACATGTTTGTATCACAATTGCTATAATCTTTTGATCTCTAATGTAGAGATCTCTAATTAGGTAAAAACCATATGATCATCTAATTAGGTACAGAGAAAGCATTCAATAAAATTACAAAAAAACTTCATATTAAATATCCCATGCAGGATAGGCAGGGAAGAATCCCTCTACAACATAATCAAAGCAATTTATGAAAAACCCAATGTTAGTATCATACTGAATGCGAAAACACTGGAATCTTTTCTATTAATTCTTGAACTAGACAAGTATGTCCACTTAAACCACTGCTATTCAACACAATATTGGAAATTCTCACTAGAGCTGATAGACAGGAGAAAGAAATGAAAAGAATTCACATTAGAAATGAGGAATTAGAATTATCACTGTTTGCAGATGACATTATTCTATACATAGGAGAACCAAAGGATTCAACCAAGAGATTATTGGAACTCATAGGAGAGTTTTGCAGGGTAGCAGGATTTAAAATTAGTTAATATAAATCTGTGGTCCTAGCATATACAAATAACTGCATGGCTGAGAAAGACCTTGCAAATATAATCCACTTTAAAATGGCAGAGAACAATCTTAAACACTTTGGAATAAATCTAACAAAGAGGTAGGACATCTCTGTGATGAAAATTACAAATTATTAAATGAAAGAATAGACATCATTAAAAGGTGGAGAAATTTATCATGTTCATGGATCAGCAGAATCAGCACCATTAAAATGTCCATGTTACTGAAAATCATATACAGATTCAATGTGATCCAAATAAAAAAACTAACAGCATTCTTCTCAGAACTAGAAGATGATAGGAAAATTTATCTGGGAACTCAAGAGACCACAAGTAGCCAAAACTATCACGAAGAATAAAAATAAAGTTTGGGAGAAATCACAATTCCAGACCTGAAGACATAGTATGGTATAGTAGTAATCAAAACAGCCTGGTATTAGTACAGAAACAGAGAAGATCAGAGGAATGGATTAGAACCCCAGATAGGAGCCCACACATATACAGCCATCTAATCTTGGACAAGGAAACAGAAAATAATCCAGGGAAAGAGCCTGGTCTCTTTAACAAATGCCGTGAGGACAACTGGATAGCAACCTACAGAAGTAAGAAGCAAGACTCACACTTGCCACCTGATACAAAAATCAGCTCTACATGGATCAAGGATCTAAATCTTCCTCTAGAATCCAGCAAATTATTAGAGGAAAACATGGGAAGCACGCTACAAGATATAGGCACTGGTCAATGGAGGAGACTTTTAGAAAAGTCACCAGAAGCACAGCAGGAAAGCCAAATGAACAAATGGGACTACACCAAGTTAAGGGAGCTTCTATACAACAAAGGCAATGAGAAACAGAGTGAAGAAGCAACAGATAGAATGTGAGAATACTTTTGCACACTACACAGGCGATAGGGAACTACTATCCAGGAACAACAAAGAGCTTCAGAAACTCATCAACAGCAAAACAAACAGTAAAAGATGATCAAACAATGAAAGAAGGAAGTACTGACACAAAATATGGCATAGATAAACATTTAAAACACTGAGGTACGTCAAAGAGATACTAAAAAAGAGCAAAATATGATTTTATTTATAGGAACAATTCAAAGTAGGCAAATAGATGGAGACAGAAAGTATTAATTGGCTGATCAGGGCTCAATGAGATGGAGGGATTGAGGGCTGACTGCCAAAAGATACTATGTTTCTTTTAGTACATGTGTTGCCAAAGTAAGCACAGATACTGTGTTTCTTACTGGATTGGCAAAGGTATTCTAAAATTAATGTGGTGATGGATATACAATTCTGTCAACATAACAAAATCCACTGAATTATAAACTTCAATTGAGTTAATTTTATGAAATATGAATTATATTCCAATAAGGGTATTAAAATATTTAAACTTACAATCCTTCACATTAAGACGAAGCATAAGCAACATGATAAATGTATCCTTTCCTTTAAACTTACTATACTGAAGAACAGTTTCTTTGTTAAAAAAATTCTGATGTCTATTATTTTCAATTTCTTCTATTATTTTCTTTTCTTTCTTTTCCTCTTTTGGATAATATTATCCAACTAATATTCTAAGGGGTAATGGTAAAATATTAACCTAGATGGTTAACTTAAACCTAAAGGGTTACTTTGGTAAAAAAAAAAAAACTCTACATTATATTGGTTATTTTTTATTTATAGCATATATTTCATTTAAAAAATTACTTATTATGGTTTAGAAGAAACTAAGATTTTCACATTGAACCACAGACATTCAGACTCTCCAGTAACACCCCCAGACACTAGTATGGCTCACCATCAACTGGCAATGTTTCCAGAAGTTTCTCTAGCTCTTTTTCTGTGAGCTCAATATTGAGGTTTCCCAGAAAACTTTTTATGTCACCAGAATCAATCTTCTCACCTTAGAAAATAAGAGATTAGGCACACATTATTATTTCATATAAAAGTAATTATGTCTAAAAAATTATGATAAATGACACCATCTTAGTTTTCGGATTGAAGTAAAAATAAAAATCAATGAATCAATGAATATGTTAGGTCAAAATGATTTGATAATATGTTTTTCCTAATCCTATTGAAAAATAATTTCCAGAGTAAAAATCTGATGAGCCAGTTGAAAATTAGGCATCTACATAATTTTTCTTCAAAAAGCATTTTTAACTTTGAAATAAAAATGATATGAGACTGCAATAAATATATTACCTTAGTCATTTTAACCTTCACCCTGATTTTCTGTTTTTATATATTATAATTTTAAAATACTATCAATGTTAATTATATTATTGGCATAAAACCAATATTGTAGGATTTGAAAGCAGGAAATTGTCTTGTAATTTCATTCCAAAAATGTACATCATTTTATGTTATTATATATGTAATATTAGAGGTGAATAGTTGATTTGTTAATACGGAAAAATAACCTGAATGTAAATTCAAGGAACTATAAGAGAAAAATAAAAATTAATGTAGATAGTTAGAATCCTAATTTTATAATTAATTTTTACTTACCCGTAAAATCTTTGATTTTTTCCATCAGCGTTTCTACAGGAATTTTCTTATCAACTAAAGGAGAAGATTAGAATCATATTGAAGTGTAAGAAAGACTCTCAAATTTCTTAGAAAATCACAGGAATGGCTAACAGCTATATATTCCACCTGCTAGGCATCATCATAATTACTGTACTTAACAGACATTTGTTGAACACACTTTCCAGGCGTTAAGTTGTGGATATTTTCGGTGCCCTCTAAGGGTCCACATATTAAAGACTTTATTTTCTAATTCTTCTTAGAGGATTAAGGATGGAAATTAATACAATTTCGATGTTTGAATGTAGAGTCTGAGGAAGTGATTAGGTTGTTAAAATTGGAGCCTCAAATACTGCAGTTAAGGTGTCTTTAAAATGAGCATGCTCCTGTTTCCTGGCTTGTATTCTGCCATCACACACCCTCATCACACACCGGATGAAGCCACTTGATATGAACTGTGAACCTCCAAACTGTGAGCTGAATCAAAACCCTTACTTACATAGTTTTTGAGTAGTTTTACGGTGAGAAGAGCTGATTCATAGAACAGGTTATTAACTTTACTCAGTCTTTCCTTTTTTAAGGTATATGAAAAAGAAGAAAATTCTAGAGTAACAGCAGTGAGTTGACTGACTACACATGCCTCCGACTTGTCACTCATTCTACACCCATAGCACCCAAACAATGACTACACAAGTACACCGAGGGAGAGAGTTGGTGCCGAGCAGGGGACTGGTGGAAACACTGTGGACACAGAACAGCAGGCTGGCTGTGAGGAATGGGGGGAGAACCCCTGCCTCTGCCACCTCCCCTGCTCAAACAGAAACTGCTCGCTTAGGGCAAAAAGTAAGGTCCTATTAACACTGTGGATACCCTCACTTTAAAAAAAATATTTACTTATTTATCTGAAAGGCAGGATCAGAGACAGAGAGTCATCAATTGATGACTGGATAAATAAATGTTAGTATATACCCACTATGGAACACTACCCAGCCATTACCAAGAATGAAATATTGTCTTTTGCAAACAAATGGATACAATCAAAAACCATTATGCTTATGAAATGAACCAGTGCTCAAAAGACAAATACTAAGTTTTCCTTGATCTTTGAGAACTAACACACAGAATAGAAGAAAAAAAGTACTCCTATATAGGTGAGATTGACACTCTGAGATTTGATTATGCTTTACAGTTTTTGTTTGTACTCCTAAGGAATTGTAGGTTGCTTTTTTTTTTTAACTTTCTACTTGCTATGTGTTGATTTTTTATTTTAATATTTTAAAAATATCAACATTTTTTTGCCTGACACAACAGCCTAGTGGCTAAATTCCTCTCTTTGCATGTGCCAGACCCCATGTGGATCTTGTGGAGGCTGGCGCTGTGATCTCTTGGGCTTAAATTACTGCCTGGATTGCTAGTATTCCATATGGGAGCAGGTACAAGACCTGACTTCTTCACTTCTGATCTAGCTCCCTGATCATGCATCTGGGAAAAACAGCACAGGAAAGCTCTGGTTAGGACCCAGCATCCACGTGGGAGAGCCAGATGAATCTTCAGGCTTTGGCCTGGCCATTACAGCCATCTGGGGAGTGAACCAGCAGACAGAATCTCTCCTCTCTCTTAATCTGTATTTTAAAAAAAGATTTATTTTATTTTTATTGGAAAGGTAGATATACAGAGAGGAGGTGAGACAGAGAGGAAGATCTTCTGTCTGATGGTTCATTCCCCAAGCAGCCACAATTGCTGGGGCTGGGCAAGTCTGAAGCCAGGAGCCCAGAGATTCTTCTGGGTCTCCCATGTGGGTGCAGGGTTTGAATGCCTCGGACCATTCTCAACTGCCTTCTCAGGTCACAAGGAGGCAGTTGGATGGGAAGCGGGGACACCAGGACTAGAACTAGCACCCATATCGGATCCTGACTTGTGCAAGGTGAGGACTTCAGCCGTTAGGCTATTGTGCCAGGCTCTTACTCTGCTCTCCTCATGGCAAGACCACAACTGCTTCCACAGACTCCAAGGCTCCTTAACCTGAGGTCTCTGTAGCAAGCAGTGGTGCTGTGGGTTGAATGTATGCTTCCTCCAGAACTCATGTTTATTTTAATTACCGTTGTGATAGCTTGAGGAAGTGATTAGGCTATGAGGCACTCTCAGGTGGGATTCATGCCACTATAAAAGCCAGTTTTGTCCCCATTGTCCTGTTCTCCTTCCACCACGTGATGAGGCAGTAAGAAGACCCTTGCCAAGATGCTGCGGCCTTGGTACAGACCTCCCAACCTTCCTAACTGAGAAAACATCTCTTTCTCTTGCTAGATTTGAATCACTTTATTCATTTAAATGTTTTATGTGTATAGAGGAACAAATATGATGTATCTCATAATACAATTTTAAGAGCATATTGACACTTTTCATCCTATCTTCCCTTCCTCCCTCATTCCCAACCATCCTCCTCCTTGTTTCCATATATATTTTTTAATTTTTACAATGTTATACTTCCAACTTAGTTTATAAATGCAAACTTAACTCTCCACCAAATAAAGAAGTCAACAGTAAGTAGTAAGGCTGCTGTTCCTCAAGGGCATAGGCAAGGGTTATAAACAGTAAATCTCAAAATGGCAGCTTTGCTCAGAAACACTACCTTTTTGGCATTCTACATATTCACCATCACAAATCAGGCCAAACATACGGTGTTTGTCTTTTTGGTGCAAGATTCTGTTCTTTCTAAATTACTCAGCCTGTGAAATTGTTAAAGTAGCACAAAGGGGACAAGGAGGCGTGGGATCTGAAAAATGCTCACCCCCAACTTGTATGCTTTGAGTCAGATCTTTAATCTCCTTATCCGACAGCTTAATTCCTAGATTGTTCAGGACGGAGTTAACATTGTTGGCGTTTATCTTCCCACCTACAGAAAATAACAAATAATACTAAGTGACTATAAAAGTTTTTAATATCTGTACCCATTATGAATTTGTTAAGCAAAAACATAATTTGTATGCTATTTCAGGAAGGTTATTACCTGCCAATGCCTGTTCAAGGATTTATCAAATTCTACAAACCTCAGGTTCAGACTATTTTAGAGTGAAAAGATCAATTAACTGTCAGTAGTATAAAGACTATATATTTTAAGTCCAGAAAAAGTCAGCCATGAAGTTGGACTTAAACCCATTTCCCTTGAGACTTGTCTTAAGGATTGGCCTACACACAAAACAAAGTTTTAAATGACATTCGACATACATTCAGGAAACTCTAATTTTGGAGGCAAACATTGTTTATTTCTGAACAATATGTAGGTTTGAACTTAATCACTAAACTTCATGCTCAATTTTTATCTACTGCTGATTCAATTCTCTGAATCATTACTAATTATTTCTTTAACTTTCTGCTATGAAAATTTGAAGTTTCTTGTTCCTATTTCTGTAAAGTTTAGAAACTCATGAGTATGAGGCTTTTATTCTAATACAAATCATAAGAGAATAGATAAAGTATAGATTAGGCTTTTCAAAAACTGTAAGTTACACATGTATAATTATAAATTTATACTTTATGAGATATAATCACCTATAAATTCAATGTTAACATAAATTCAAATATAGTATGAAAGTTTCAACACTATTTGCATTTTCATTATGTTTCTCACTTACGTTTGAGAGACTTGACAACCTCTAGAAACCTGTTCTTAAAGACTTTGTTATCATCTATGAAAACAAAGATAAAATTCAGATTGTAGATAAATGGCATGGATATTAAAATTGTTTCAGAAAAACAAATATTTTCTTTATTTTCTGTGGCATTTTCTTCCATTAAGATAAAGTCTGAGTGAAAGCTAAGAAAATTTTATAATCCAGTGAAGCTACTAAAAAAATTTAGCACAGAAAGCATCCCACAACATGCATAAGACATTTGTGTCTAATTATACCTTTTACTTTTAATGTCTATTATAATATCATCACTTTCTCTTTTCCAAATCTCTCTCTCTCTCACACACAGTATGACTAACCCTATAGATATTTTCCTTCTGATGACATAATTCAACCTGGTGGAGATGCTTATTCCAAAATTAAAAGTTAAACTGCATTTATGGAAATTCCTTCAGGAGTAAACTTGGAAAATATTTAGAGATGGCATTAGAGAACTAAAGATAGTTTTAGAAGTTTTCAAAAATAGAAGATTAAGAACATCAGCGTTTGAAATGCTTACCATTGAAGGGCAGATTTTTTGCCAGTTTCAAATGTTCTTCATCGCTAAGCTCTATTCCCATGTTTTCCAGAATAGTTTTCACATTTTTGGCATCAATCTCCCCTCCTGTAAAATATTTATATAACTACACATATGAATGTAAGCCTTCATCTAATGCTTTTAAATTTGGAAAAACAATCTAGGGCTGTGTAGTACAAGTAAGTGGTACATGAAGAACAGAGGAAAATGAGATTTCTACAAGTGTAATGACTAAGATGGCCAAAGAAAAATATTTTGGTCTCTAAGTGCTAATAAAAGAAGACAAACTCATGATGACAGTGGCAAGGCAACTCTGTATCCAATGAAATCCAGACATGTCTCTACTGAATTATAAAACTGTGAATAATTTATTTAACTAGTTGTATCACTTAATGTAGATCTGTTAATCTCATCTCTGTCTCGAAAAAGCAGAAACAGATGCCAAGTGAGGCAGAGGAGGGAGGAGGTAGAGGAAGAGGAGAGAGAGCAACAGATCTCCTGTCTGTTATCTTACTTCCCAAATGCCTGCAACAGCAAGGGCTGAGGAAGGACAAGGCCTCAAGCTGGGTCTCCCACATGTGTGGAAGGGACACCCTCTTGTTATCACTTGCTGCTTCCTAGGGTGTGCGTTAGCAGGATGCTGCAGCCAGAAACAGAAGGACTCAAACCCCAAGCAACCGATCTGCCAAACCTCGAATCTTACTTTCTCCTTTTAAGTTATTGGGGTTGTTACCAAAGCTTCACCTATTATTTTAGCAATTTTGGCTGTTTTAAAAGAAAAACAATAAAACGCATAAATGAAAAACACACAACAAATTAGGTAAAATGCTATTAGCTGGTGCAAATGGTATATAGAATGAATATAATGATAAAATATAAATATTAAATCTTATATTTATAGTTTCTGGCTTACCTGTAATAGCTTTAACTCTATCCATCACCTCTTTTAGATCTGCCTTTCCATTAACTATAAGAAAAAGCTCAGTGAATATAATGTCACAATATTAGAGAAAGTTAAGACATTTTTTTGGGGGAAAGTTATATATTTATAATTTAATCTTATCTGCATTTATTAAATTCCATGATCTTATAAATTAGTGCTATCTTCTTTAATACTGAGGTCTCAGATACTAGAATCTCGGTTGGGAGAAATGTACTCTCCACAGTGTTTTGAAATCATAATAAACCATAGTTGAAGACATCACTGGAGCTGATCAAGTATACTACTCATAGCTGAGGCCAGGACCATTGCCCTGGCCTGGTGTGTGTTAAGGCTTCTTGTTGCCAGAAGTAATATTAGTGCATTAGTAGGAGTTGATATGTAGAAGGACGAAAGAAATTTCACAGGGGGACAGGGTGAAAAAAAAAGTTTAAGAGCATAGTGCTATATATGTGGGACTACAAGTATTAAAATACAATTGAGGAGTCAAAGTGCAGAAAAGGAGGAAATATATGATTTCAAAGAGGAAGATGGACCTGAGGGTCTTATGCCCTGCTATAAGAAATTGAATTTATTTCAGAGTTAATATTTCAATAGATAAAGGTGTGGACAGAAGAATGGGGCTGTTGGTTTCTATACAGTTTTTCATAACTCAATAATTATATATATTATATATTTTTTACAGTCCTGATAGTACACTAAATAATTTGATGCTGTGTAGTTTAATCATAATGAATAGCCTAGATTTATTTATGGACTCTCCTCCATTTGTTTCAACCATTTATATCTTTCTCCAATTAAATCTACCTTTGAAACATTATCTGATAATAAAAAGGTGGCCTGAAGATAGTTACAGAGCTTACCATCAGCTTGGAGGCCTTCTGACAGCTGTGCAAGTTCCTCTTCTGTGAGCTCAATTCCCAGTTTTTCTAGAGTATTGTCTAGGTTATTTACATGAATTTTCCCTCCTTAGAAAAAGTGAGAATAGAAAATATTGTATCATGCAAAATGTTATATAAGAGATGTTAGCAGTAGTAGTATTCATTGCTAACTAATTCATGCAAACTCCCGTTTTCCTGCAATGTTCTGTGGAAGAATTTGTCATGAGGCTTTGAAAGTAGAAGTGAAACAGCAATTGCTGCACTCTGAAAGTTGGTGCAGGATACCTCACAGCTGCCTCGTGATGTCACTTCCTGTTTACTGGTTCACCTCAGTTGGCTCGGGGGCAGACAACTTATAATAGCTCTATCAGAAGCCTTGAGATCCTGCACCCATGTGGGAGACCCAGAAGAAGTTCCTGGCTTCAGATAGACTCAGCTCTGGCCATTGTGGCCACTTGGGGATTGAACCAGCAGATGAAAGATCTTTCTCTCTTATTTTCCTTCTATCTGAAAATATGACTATCCAATCTTTAAAAAAATTGGATTTCAGGGTGAAGACAAGATGGTCAATCAGGGTAGGCAGGTGTAGCTGGAGCACAGAGAGAGCTAGGAGACAAAATTAGGTGAAACAAAGAGCTGAAGAAGAAAAATCACCAGGTGGGTTGAGCGAATCTCCCTGGAGGCCACCAGAGAGAATCTGGAGCCATTCAGACAAGGCAAACTACTGAAGATGCCTGAAGTGCAGCCAGCAGCCCAAGAGGAAGGTAAGCTCAGAGAAACTATGAAAAGGCAACTCAACCGACAGACAAAATCCTAATGAATTTGGATCCAGCACAAAGGGAATGGGAGCACAAAGACTCATAGTGGGAGCCTTCCCAAAGAAACTGGGAGACAAAAAATTTTTTAAGAGCCATAGGACAAAACACTAGTGGAGGGAGGCACTACTGCAGAAGCCCATGGGCCCCCAATCAATCACTCACCCTGATCTCGTCATTCGAGAGCAAGCAACTGGGGAGGGAGCCGCTAGGTACCAAGCTAGTTAAGGGAGGGCTTCACAGGTCAGATTCAGAACATAGTCTACCCCATACCCATAGGATTTGTGCCCTAGACCCCTGAAAGGTACCAGAACTACCCAAGAGGGATATGCTGGATGCCTGGGCAGCAGAGTTTGAATTAGAAGTAGCTGCATGAATCCCAGTGTGAGCTGCAGCATCACCCAGCCAAAAAATTGGAATGACTAGAGAAAGAAAACACAGGAAAGTAAAGGCCTACAGAGGCATGCATGTCCACAACAGGGGCTATCTAGAGGCACATCTCAGCAACTCTTGTAATTGAGAAACCTTTAGGAAGTGTGCATGCCCACTCCACTTCACAGCTTCCTGGGCTGGGGACAGGGTGAGCCAGAGAGGAACTCTGCCCAAGCAGGTGCATAGCATGTGTCCCTGCAATGCTGTCTGCACAGTAACCTCCCTGATCCCAGATGCCACAGAAAACACTAGCAAAGCACCCGAGGAGAGAGCAGACATCACTCCTGATTACTGCGCATATTACTGGCAGGAACTGTCTGGAAGCACACTTGAACAGCCCCAATTAATAGTATCAAAGTTGAAAAAGGAAATATAACGACAGATAATACAGCCATACAGAAAATAATTAGAAATTATCATAAGCAAAACCATAAAACCAGAAGACTTTCAAGAAATGGATAGGCTTCTGGACTCATACTTTCTACCAAAACTGAGTCATAAGGCAACAGAAAATTTTAACACAACTATAACTGAGGTACAGGTCTAATCAGTAATTAAAGCCTTCCCAACAAAGAAAAGTTTGGGTCCAGACAGCTTCACTACTGGATGCTATAAAACATTACAAGTAGAACTGACCCAAATACATCATAAACCGTTTCAAACAATAGAACTGGAGGCAATCCTTCCAAACTCTTTCTCTGAGGCCAACAGCGCCTTAATACCAAAACTAAACAAAGACACAACAGAGCAAGAAAACTATCGACTAATATCTCTGATGAGCATAGACGCTAAAATTTTCAGCAAAATACTAGTCAACCAAATCCAACTAGACAGATCATTAACCTGGACCAGGTGGGATTTATCCCTCCCAGGAAGGGATGGTTTAACATACACAAATCTATAAATGCAATATACCACATCAAGAAATTGAAGAACGAAAATTACATGATCATTTCAATAGATGCAGAGAAGGAATTTGATAAAATCCAACACCACTTCATGCTAAAAAAACTCTAAGCAAGATAGATAAAAAGTAACATTATAAAACATAATCAACTTATGAAAAAACCAATGCCAGCATCATACTGGAAGCTTTCTCACTAACATGTGGAACTAGACAAGGATGTCCACTATTGCCACTGCTATTTAACATAGTGCTGGAAGTCCTTGCAAGGAGCTATTAGGAAAGAAAAATAAATTTAAGGAACTAAGATTGGAAGAGGGGAAGTCACACTATTTCTGTTTGCAGACGACACGATACTATACATAGAACCAAAAAATTCAATAAAGAGACTGGTAGAACTAATCAGAGAGTTTGGTAAGTTGGCAGGGTACAAAATAAATGAATGCAAAATCAATGGCCCTAGCATATACAAAGAACTCCAAGGCTGAAAAAGATCTAGTCAGTACGGTACCTTTCAAAATAATAGAGAAAATACTGAAATACCTTGGAATAAACCTAACTAAACATGTGGAAAATCTCTATGAGGAAAATTACATAACAATGAAAAAAGAAATAGAAGACTTGCAAAATACTAAGAACATTTTTTACAGAGCTGGAAAAATTTTAATTTAAAAAACGTTAATCTGGAAACAAAAGAGACCACAAATAGTCAAAACTATCGTAAAGAATTTACATGGAGGGAATCACAATTGCAGATATTAGGACATATTATGGGGCAGTAATAATCAAAACAGCCTGGTACTGGCACAGAAACAGGGAGGGAGATCAATGGAGTAGAACAGAATCACTAGAAGAGTGCCTACACATGTAGAGCTATTTAATCTTTGACAAGAGAACAGAAAACAACCAATGGAAGAAAGAAGTCAGTTCAACAAATGCTGTGGGATAACTGGATAGCAGCCTGCAGAAGTAGGAAAAAGAAGTAGGATAAAGCATCTAAACCTACACCCAGAAACCACTAAACTTTTAGAATAAAACATGGGAACTACTCTATAAGATATAGGCATGGGCAAAGATTTCCTAGAAAAATCATTACAAGCACAGGCAGTCAAGACCAAAATAAATAAATGGGACTACATCAAACTAAGCCGCTTCTGCAAACAAAGTAAAGAAGTAACCAAGAGAGTGGGAGAACATCTTTGCACCCTGTACAACAGATAGGGGGCCAATATCCAGGACTTCTTGGATAACACTCCAGAAACACAGCCAATAAAGGCAAAAGTAGATAAACGGATCACATTAAACTAAACAGCTTTTACAAAATATTTTAATGAATTAACCTCCTTCTGCTGTATTGCTAATAGTAGCTGGCCTTATATCTAATTGTGTCAATTATAGGAGGAATTTAAACATAAGTTAGAGATACAAAAAGGGTACTGAGATTTTGTAATATCTCCTAAGGAAAGGGCTAGTGTAGTTTGATTATATGAGACTACTGTTCTTGTTTTCACTTGAAAAATAAGAAAGGCTCAATAGGGATGTAAGTGTGTTAAATTGCTATGGTGGGTGATTATGGTAGATATTTTATGGCATCAAATCAACCAAACTGGAATTTGTCTCTCCAAATTGCCTTCCCATACAGTTCTGGCTGGCTTCAGGGATTTTTTTTTTCCCACGAAATGTTGAAAGGCATAAATGAAGCAGCTACTATTGTTCCCTGAAGGTTAAGGTCAGCGCAGAGGGTGCAAGTGTCATTACAGCTTATGACACTGGCTCACTTGGAAGAACACAGGCCTAAAAGTCCGCCTGGTCTGTCGCATCTGCTCCTGTAGGTTCTCCCAGTCCTGGGCCATGTGGGAGTACAACATCAGGAAGAGGGGAACCAGCTTCTTTTGCAGCTCACTCGTACTCTAATGGGTAGGGGGACTATGACAGACATGAATTCTCATTTTCCCCCATGAGTTATGTTTTGTTGCTGTTCTTTCCAATTCTTTCATGTTTATTCAGCTTTCTCTTGTCTTCTGGGCATGCTACAACAATGATTTCAACACAGCAGGACCATCAATAGAGGCAGACCTCAGCCTTGAGAGATTTCTCCACTAGCTTCACTAGCTTTCACATTGCACAGAGTCTAATTCTCATGACAAAGGCACCAACTGACACATTAATTATAAACTCTATCAAGCTAAGACAAAAGAAATTTTACATCTTTGTGTAGCTGCTCTTTTTAATAGACCTTCCAAGTATACAAAGCCAATTAATAAGTTGAATTAAATATATAATAGTGACAAGATGGGGAGCAGGATTAAGCTGAAAAGGTGCTTAAGTATACAGAACTTTCTGTAACATAAAAAATATATTACAAGCTAAAGTGTAACAGATTGAGGATAGACATAAGAAATTATATTGAAGTGCAGACCCATAATTTCATGGTGTGAAAGTTGTGGAATGTCAAACAATATGTCATTTAATTGAGTTACTTACTTACCCTTGAGAGACTTAATTGCCTTCAGTAATCTATTGCGATATATTTTTCCAGCATCTGTAAGAAAAACCAAATTCATTTAGTGGTAAAATTTTATCACCCAAATGAAATAAATAATTTCAGAAGTAACATCTTTAGAAGAACTGTCTCTAATTTCTAATCTTTCACTTGATACAATTAAGTTAGGGAAGGGACCCTTTTATGATTATTACAAATATTGCTATTAGTGCCTGAATCTACTTGTTCTAACACAAGTATAGCTCCTTCTTGTTCTTTTTTTTTTGATTCCTATATTTACTTTTTACCACCAATTTCATACTTTTCCCCCCCATTTTTATAACATAAGCAAATTAGAGGCCTAGCTATAACAGCATATTTCTCTGTTAATGTCAATTTATTGTCTAAAAGAAAATGAATTTAGAATGCAAACTCTAAATGACGATGGCAAGCCTACCATATAATTTTACATTTTAACGAGTTGGAGCTCTTTCCACAGAATCCTAGTGAAGTTAAGGGATGGCTTACCGTCGGCTGGCAGTGTCTCCAGCAGCCGCTCCTGCTCTTTCTTCGTGAGTTCAATCTCCAGGTCCCCCAGGACGCTGCTCAGGTCACTAGAATCAATCTTCTCACCTTTGAAAGCAGGATAGATAACATGAATTGTAGATTCTATGGTAATATCCCAAGTTATCAGAGGTTCTATGCAGGTTAATTGCAGCATAATTTTCAAAATGCAGCGTGAACTGTAGAAGTATTGGCTATGTTCTGTGATATTTATTGGGTTAATGTAAACTAATGAGAGTTTTTGATAGATTTGGAAAACAAGTTCCAAAATAAAATCTGACTAGTACATCAAGATAATTCTCACTGTTGTATAAATTATTCTTCAAAAATGTTTAATTGTTTTGGTGAGAGATATTTGATGTTTTCAGTGAATGCATATCTTGATTATTTCTAAGCTGCATTATGGCACACTCCATATGCTCCTCGATGACGTTTATTCAAAAAAACAGAGCCATGGGGTTTTCTGACACATATTCTTATGTTTTATTGTAAAAAATTTCACAATTTTATATCAATTTGAGGGTGCTTAGATGTAAATAATTAACTATAAAACATAAGTTTTCATACCACTGAGTGTTGGAGGGAAGAAATAAGAAAGATTGAAATACCAGTTTTATGGCAATTTTCACTCACCTGTAAACATTTTCAATTTATTCACCAATGTTGCTAGAGAAACCTTCTTATCAACTGTAAGAGAAGGTCAGAATCACACTGAGACAAAAAAAAGACTCACAAAATATTATGAAGTACAGCACAGTAATCTGCCAGATACTATCTTAAGATTCTTCTATATACTTAAGAAATATTTGTTGAAAAACATTTTCTGTTATCACTAAATTTTATTGCCTTAATGGGAATGAGAAAAAACTTTACATATAAAAATAACATTTCAATTAAGTAAGCTCATCTTAGAAGCCAAAATATATTACTGACAGAAAAAATTTAGAAGTACTATTATCTTAGGAGCTAATTTTTTTTACAATATACTACTGAACATAATATTGGTAGAGAATATAAAAAATACATACAAAGGAAATGTTTTAATGTTGATTTTGTTAATGGCTGCTTAATGCTTTGTTCTCATTTATAGCTTCTTGATTTTGGCAGATTAGACCACCATTCCTAAGATTTGTATTGCCACAGGTACAACTATAACATATTAAAATTTGCTTACTACCAACAGGGAGATTGTGAGTCAGATCTTTAAGTTCATTATTCATTAGCTTGATGCCCATATTATCCAGTACATTCTTCAAATTGTTGATACTGACCTTCCCACCTAAGGAGACAATCCATTAAAAAATTACAAAAGCTCAAGAAACAAATCTTTAAATTTCTACTTAAATAATTTATTTACTTTCTTGAATGAATTAGGGGGAGTGTGAGAGACACACAGAAAGAAAAGGAGAAAGAATGAGAGAGACAGAGAAAGCAGAAAGAGAGAGAGAGAGGGTAGTTGGGGAAGTGTTGGTCAAAGGTTATAAAGTCTCAAATAGTAGAAAAACAGTTCAAGAGAGCTATTGTGCAATACGATGACTATGGTAAATAGTTATGGACTTAACTAATACCTTTCATCCTGCCGACAGAGAATACACTTTTTTTTTTATCAGTATGTGGAGCTGTCTCAAGCATTGATCATACTATAGGCTATAAAACAAGCTGTTGCAAACTTTTAAAAATTGAGATTCTACCAAGTATGGAGAGTGCTAAGAGAACAGAAAATTGACCTGCCATATGACCCAGCTATTCAACTTCTGGGAATATATACAAAGGGAATAAAATCTGCATATGAGACAGTCACCTGTACTGCTATATTTACAGTAGGCACAATTTACAATAGCAAAATCATGGAAATATTCCAGATGCCTGTCAAAAGAGGAATGGATAAAGAAACTGTAATATAGCTATCCTACAGATTACTACTGTCATTAAAAAGAATGAAATTCTACCATTTGCAACAAGATGGTCCCAACTAGAGACCATTATGCTCAGTGAAACAAGCAATCCCAAAAGGACCAACACCGTATGTACTCTCTAAGGCAAACTTCATGCAAAATAAAAGATTAAATCAGCAAATACCTAAACGTGTATGTACACAAAGTCATATAGAGGACCTGTGTAATAGAGATGATCATAATGAGATGTGAAGATACAATGCAGTATGCATCTCTACTTCCAAATCAAAGCTGGATTCTCAATGAAACTGTTAAATATATCTTGACATTAGGATGCTGGACTCTGCCATTGTCCATACCTACAACGTCAGGATACTTTTAAATAGCAGACTGATGGACTTAGGAGTATTTTTGAAGGACTCTACTATTGTAGCAATATAGGGGAAATCATTGTGGGGAGGTAACTTGGGGAGATTGAAAGGGAAATCCCAGAGCCTTTGGAACTGTATCATAAAATAAAATAATAAGAAAAGAATGGCGTGGCTGTTCTGGTTCATCTGACTTATCCCTGTGTCAGTGATGTCCCCACCAACATTGTCAAAGTACATGCCATGCCAGCGGGGCACTGCTTACGCAGCTGTTCTGACACACTGTCTTTGTTTTTTTTTTTTTTTTTTTTTTTGTAATTAACTGCAGCATCAAAACCCAGTTCTGAGGTTATAAGGGACATTTCTCTTCTGTTCCACAAATTCCCACCACTCTGGAAGGGCCCAGCCAATCTTCCCAGGGAGGGATCCACAGGCCCCCACAGCTGCAATGACAACCACAGTTTGGTAGCTCCAGGAGTAACATAACCTTTTCCCTGTATTCCAATCAAGGGAGTTAAGCCAGGCATTCCTATGGCTCTAAGAATATAGGAAAAGTGTCCATGTACAAGTTGTGGGACCACCTTTTCATGACTATTTCCATCCAGAATAGTTCTTTTTGCCAGGGTCAGCAGAAAGAAGTCACAAATTCACCTTGTATAAAAGTGTATGTGTGTGCTTGTTTTCTTTTGTAATTTTGATACCTCCACCATCAACCACATGAGACAACTGCCAAGGTATAAGATAATCAGCATTGATGTCTTCATTCATTCCACAGTGCATGTTAGGATCCACAGAAAGACAAAGAATTCTGACCTTTACTTGTCCTTCATTGATATTATCTGGTAAACTGACTTCTTCCAGTTGGAAATACCCTGCCACCGGATTACCATTTTTCCGGTTTGAGAATTCAGTATCTCTCATACAATCATTCCTGTTTATTCTTTGGCCTCACATTGTTTCTGTATGAAATAACTCCTGGTTTCCAGTGCTTCTGCACCAGCAGACTGCCATGCATGCCTTGTAGCTGTGGTTTGAATTTTGATGGCAGAGCTCTCAATTTAGTTTTTAGCTTCTTCTGATCAAATTCCTTAAATCACTATCAATCTTCCATTACTTTTATTATACAAACTTAAAATTCCATTTCTTTTTTTAAAAATTTGGGAGTTATTGAGAGAGTGGAGAGTTTTGTTTTTATAATAAAAATAAAAGATCAATTGTTTTGTTCCAATTTCAGTCTATGTGCCGCCGAAGCAAGCACAAGATCAATTGTTTTGATCTTCAATGCGATATTTAGTTTGTATTCAGTAGATAGGAATGCTGGTAGTATCTGCTGTTTTAACACGTTGGCAACAGAATCCATCCGCATGATCTGCTTTTCACTCACCTTTAAGAGATTTCACACTTTCTAGCAATCTGTTTTGGAAAATCTTTTCATCCTCTGCAAGCAAATAACATGATTCAAATCACAAAGAAGCATGGATAATTATTAGAATACTCTCAAGAAAATGACTTTCCAAACATTTTTATGAGAAACCTTCAATAAAACTTGAGAGAAAGCTGGGTAAATTAGCAAATCAGGCACTGTTCTGTGTTTATTCTGCCCAAATTCAGCTTTTATTTGCATAATATCAACTATCAATCCTGTACCACTTTCAACAAATCTCAGATTAACTTTTTTTAAAAAAACACTTATGTAATGGTTCCTTGTAATGGGGGATATTGTTTCCCAATAGAAAAGTATAAATATACAGTTATTCACATCAGGTAAAAACGTTCATCGGACCTTTTTCCTTTTTTTTTTTTTAATAAACTTCTTCTATTCTGAAGCTTAGTAAGTGGAAATAAGTTTTTAGACAAAGAAAACTAAAGCTCCCTTTTTATTATTTGAAATACTTACCATCAAATGGCAGGTTTTTCATAAGTTCCAAGAATTCCTTATCGTTGAGTTCTATCCCCGTGTTTTCCAGAACAGTTCTCACATCATTGACATCAACCTCCCCTCCTTAATAAAATATTAAAATAATGACAAATATTCCAATTAAGTACAGTGTGGTAGTATAAGTAAATACACTTATGAGAATAAGATGAGGCAATAATATAGTTATAATGTCATTCATACAAAAATAATTTGTTTTCAAAAGACAGATAAGAGAGGCCCCTCTTGATGGTGGCCTGTGTGCTTGTAGGACCTCCAACTACAGAAAACATTAGCTGATCAGGGGCTTCAATAATTGCTTTGCAATTCCTGTATTTGCAGTAAGGCCACACTGACAGACTTCTCTTGACCCCTGATTGATTGTAACCATGACATTAGGAGAGGAACCTGTTCTTAGGATTCCTGGAGAGGAGAGCCTTTCCAGACCTTGCTAGACTGTATGACTACCTAGGGTGCTCACATCCAATCAGTCTCTCTCTCTCTTTCTCTTTTCTCCTGCTCATTATCCTGCTACTCTTTCTTCTCCTGTATCTGGGATTAGAATAGTGTTGTAGCCTGACAGATATCCATTTTTTCTTACACACATAATTCCATCTATTAATGTCCTTGCCCAGTTGAACCCGTCTTATCTGTTTTTCAAATAGCTAAGTTAACACACTCATAAAAGCTAAAATCAATATTAATGAATCTCTCTCTTCAGTTAATAGATTGCAAATGGTTTATTTTAATAACTCTACTAACATATAGCATCTAAAATCTCTCCTTCAAGTGATTGCTAGGATAATTTTTGAAGATTCATTAAAGCTTTCAATGTAGATTTTGACTGTCTTAAAATGAAAAAAAAAAAATCAATATATTGCCCACTCTCCCCAAAAAGCCACACCAGACTCCAATTTGGGACTATTACATCCCAAAATGAAACAAATACAATGACAGAATTAACACAGCAATATAAAGAAAAACTGGGATTGTGTGTTTACATTAACTTCTCACCTGTGACTGCTTTCAATCCATCCATCACTTTATTCAGATCAACTCTTCCATTAGCTATGAAGGAAAGAGCCAACTGAGTCACGTAATCAATGTCATGAGCTCAAAAAACATACATGAACGATGTATATTGGGAGTAAATCCATATACATTCTACTCATATAATTTTATGCATACATACAAATCTCCAGATTTCAAGACTTTAAGCATATTATACATGCAAAAAGATGTCTTGGCAGGTATCTTCTTTCTGGTTCTTTTTGAGCTATTAGCATTGGTCAGAGGGACAGAGGTATTTACTAAGCATACCATGCACAGGCAGGCTGTCTTTCAGTTGTGTAAGCTCTTTTTCCGTGAGTTTGATATCCATATTTTCCAGGATAGGATTCAGATTGTTTATGTCAACCTTTCCTCCTTAAGAAAAACAGAAAAGGAACGTGAGAGTGACTGAATGATATAAAACATAAACATGTTTAGATTTTGAATGATGAATACATGTAACTTCTACCACAAAAAAAGGCAACAACAAAAATTTATATCCTTATGTTGTTAATATTTATTATAAGGGCATAATTTCCATTTGACTTTTCTAGGAATAAAGAGAAAGTCAATAGTAATAACAGAAATGGAATGGATGTCCTTAAAATCTATGCTGGTGACAAGCCTACACAGCAAGTAAATTATTGACGGTGGCATTGCTTCAGAGTAAATGGACTGGAGTTCACGCACATATTAGCTTCAATACTTCTTATTTAAAGAGTTTATTTTATCAGCAATACTTCCAGATTGGTTATGTGTGTTGCTGAACATCTATCCTACAAATTCTGAAGTGATTCTAATCCTCCATTTCAATTTTGTTGTCCTATATTTGGATATATATACTTGTGTTTAGGTTACTGTTACTACTTATGGAAGACAAATTGGAAAATTCCAAGAATGACATTTATTATGAAGTTAAAAGAATATAAATAACATCTGTGTAAAGTGTACTGCACAAGATAAAAGATGAGACTAAAAATCTTACACAAACTCAGTATTTCAGACAGAAGCACAGTACAGTACAGTCGCTACTCACTTTTCAAAGATTTTACGCCTTTCAGTACTCTCCTCGGGTGCACTGTTCCATCAGCTGTTAGTGAAAATGAGTAGGAGTTAGTTCATGACACCATGAAACAGTGAGGGATTTCATAAACACAGAAGGCATTTCTTTTATTTTAAAATTTAAAATTTTTAAATTTTAATTGTTATTATCATTTTATGACACAGTTCCATAGGTCCTGGGGTTTCCCTAGCCCCTCCTCAACCTACCCCTTACACTGAGTTCCCCCACATCATTACAACAGCATAGTTCCTCATAAACAGTCATAAGTCCATCACTGCAGGCATGAACAATGGCAGAGAGTTCAGCATCCCATTGTCAAGACACATCCAACAGTTTCACTAGCAGCCCACCCTCGATCTGGAAGTAGAGATGCACACTGCACCATATTCTCACATCTGGACATGTCAGTCTCCACTACACAGTCACTATATATCCCCCCAAGTGAAAAGCCACAAAATAAAGTCAACAGGAACAAAGTCAGAAATTTGCAATGTCACAAAGTTAAACAACATGCCAGTGGATATGACAGTCTCCATTACGCAGTTACTATATATCCCCTTAAATGAAAAGCCACAAAACAAAATCAGCAACAGGAGGAAATAATTTACAAGCCCATGAAGTTAAACAGCATGATATTGAATGACTAATATGTCGCTGAAGAAATGAAAATGAAAATTAAGAAACTTCATGAAGAAAATGATGTTTCTGTATGATTTATGAGTCAGTGAAGAATTTAATGAATAAAAAAGTGTTTTGAAGAAATGAAACTAAAAACAAAACCATCAAAATCCATGATATATAATTTTTGCTGATCTTTGTTGGTGAGATGCATCTCCTGTAGGCAACAAATAGATGGGTTTTGTTTTTTAATCTAGTTTACTAATCCATGATGTTCAACTGATGAGTTCAATCCATTTATATTCAGGTTTAACACAAATAGGTGGTAATTTCGTCTTGTCATTTAGCAATGAGTTGTTCATTGATTTAGTCTTCTGCTGTTATTTTTACTGGGTTGTTCTTCACATTTGCCTTTGGTTTTGGTGGGTGCTATTCCTTTTCTCTATCAAGAAGACACCTTTAAGTATCATTTGTAGGGCAGGTTTTAAAGAGGCATATTCTTTTAACTTTTCTTTACTGTGGAAGAATTTTATTTCATTTTCAAAGACAAAGGAAAGCTTTGCTGGGTATGTTATTCTGGGCTGACAAAGTTCTGCTTTTAGAATCTGGAATATGTCGCTCCATTCTTTTTTGGCCTGTAGAGCTTCCTGCAAGAAGTCATTTAATTGCCATTTATTTGCCATTGCTCTATGTGTCAATTGATTTTTTTTCACGTACACATTTAAGAATCTTTTCCTTATGTTTGATTGATGAGAGCTTTATTATCATGTGCCACGGTGAAGATCACTTTTGGTCAAGCATGTTGGGAGTTCTGTGCTCCTCCTGGATGTTTTTTTCCCAATTCTTTCTCCAGATGAGGAAAATTTTCCTTTATCATTTCATTAAATACATTTACAAAGCCAGTTTCTCTTTTGCACCTATGGAACTCCCATAACTCTTATATTTGGCCTTTTAATAGTCTCTTAATTTTTGAATACTTTTTTTTAGCTTGACCTAACTCCACTTCGACCTATTTGATTACTTCCCTATTGTGACAAGAAATATCTATCAATTCTGAGATTCTTTCTTCTTCCTTATTCATTCTATTATTGAGACTTTCCACTGAAATTTTAATTTGTTCTATTACATGCATCATTTCAAATAATTTGGCCTGATCTTGTTTCAGTGTTGCTATTTCCTGTGTGACATATTCCTTAAATTTCTTGAACTCTTGTATTACATGCTTCTCATTTTGATATGAAGCTTTACAACAAGTGTTTTGAATTCTGCATCCCTCACTGTTTTGACGTATTCCTCAGTTAATTCTGAGGTTGGCTAGAGCTTTTGATCCTGGGCAGGGGAGTCTTCAATAATATTAATTGTGTTTCTGTCTCTTGCTCTTGGTCATTGTCCTCCTGGTTAGCAGATTCTTTTTAAGGTAGACTTCTAAGCTGAGTCACCCACAGGTCTACAACTCGATTTTACTTATTGTGGTTGGCACATGGCTCTTTTTTTGCAGTCACTTCTGCCACTCCCTTTAGATCTGGGCTCTTATGTTAGACTTCCACCAAGGTCCTTGTAGCCCCAGCTCCTGTCTCATCACTCTCCACCTACTGTGATACTGTGCTGAACCTGCACCGTTGTCTGTACAACCTTTCTCCCACTTCTGGTTTGAGCAGTTCCCAGTTTTAGCGAGACACAAGGTATCCTAAATAGCTAGCTTGTTGGTTGTGCCGATCTTGCCGGAACCTGCCTACCATTAGGTCTGAGGGCCACAGGGACCTATTTTGACCCGTATGATGCCAAAGTTGGTATTATTTTCAATGTGGGATCAGTGCAATGCACTGAGCTCAGTGAGTTTGCTGCCAGCTCAGTACATGTTCAGCTCACTATTTCCCCTGCAGTCTCAAAGCTTTTGCCACAATGTACAAAATGGTATCTGATGTGCAGCTGGTGGAGTTCTTGATCTGCTGGCCATTAGGTCTGAGTGCTACTCACACCTATTTTGGATAGAACATGTCAACCTGTAGGATGACATGTTACTACAGTTTATTGAGCTGTAAATGAGTTTGCTCCCAACTTAGTGCATGTGCAGTCCTGTCCCCTGGGGTTTGCCTCTCTACACAAAATGGTGCCTGATTCAGCTCTATTTCTTATATTAAAAAAATAAGCTATCCTCTAAGAGTTGTTCTAGTTTGCTTTTAAGTAGCAAAAAGTTAAGGGATGTTGAAATCTTTAAACGTACAGAATTACATTGTGCTGTCAAAGAGAAGTTTAGCAGATCCTTTCATGCTGAAATATGCTTCATCATATTTTTTAAAAAGGGGCAGTTACTTCAGGCACTTCATGATTGCTTACACATGCATGTTGATACCTTATTTCCAATGTCCACTTGCTTGTTGCTGGCCATTTATTATTAAAAGACTTGTTTAGAGAACAGCATTGTGATTTAGTGGGTAAAGCCACCACTTGTGACATCAGCCTTCCCTTTACTACTGGTTCATGTTCTTGCTGCTCCACTTCTGATCCAAATTCTTAACAGCTTGAGAAAAACAGTGGAAGATGTCCCAAGTACTTGGGCACCTACTGCTGGCTCTTGGCTTCTGTCTAGCTCAAGTTCTGGCCATTGAAGCCACAAGCAGATCTCTCGCTCTCTCTTTGTCTCTCCCAATTCCTTTATAATTTTGTCTTTCAAATAAGTAAATACAGTCTTTTTCATTGTCAAGTGATACAGTTTTGTAGGTATACAATCTTATTTTTGTTTTTCTTCTTTTTTTAAGACTTCTTTTGGGGCTGGCTTGATGGCTCAACTAACTAATCCTCTTCCTACAAATGATGGCATTCCACATGGGCACCAGTTCAAGTTCCAGCTTCTCCACTCCCCATCCAACACTCTGTTTATAGTTCGGGAGAGCAGTGAGAATGACCCAAACCTTTGGGACTCTGCATCCATGTGGAAGATTTGAAGGAGTCTCCTGGCTCCTGGCTCCTGGGTTCATGCAATTCTAGCTGTAATGGCCAGGTATCCCAATATAGGAAGTGTCTTAAGCAGGGTGTTAATCATTACGTCAAATGCCTGCCCCTGAATCTTACATTTTTCAGGAGTACAAGCCATTTATTTTATAGACTATTCTTCAATATGGGAAGAGGCTTTTGAAAAATAATCCAGAATTTAAATTTTCCAAAAAACTTATGGTTAACTGACTCACTATGACTGTAAAGAAGGTTCCAGAAGCATTTTTAAAGCTTACCATTAACTGGCAGTGTTTTCATCAGCTTTGCATATTCCCCTTCAGAAAGTTTGATCCCCATGTTTTCCAGTACTGTTTCCAGGTTATTGACATTAATCTTTTCACCTATAAAAAAAGGATGGTGACATGTATACATATTAATATCTTGGAGAAAATGGGATTTTAGTTCTTCAATCGGAATAGTCAAAATTCGGCTTTATATTATAGGGGGAAACGTTCTATGCCATATAGGTGGCAGCATGCTATTCTCAAATATACATTTTCTTTAGGTGAATATATGTATATACATGTTTACTTATATAATGATCTATCTTGCTGTATTTTGCATGAAAGCTGCCTTATATCAGAGAAAACATATGATATTTGTGCTTTTGGGATTGGTTTATAACAATGTTAATTCTTCAAAAATTCATATTGCCATTTATCGGGTCTGACTAGAATTTCATGGAGGGAACTAATAGAAAGAAAAATTATACAGAATGTGAACTTTCTAAGATTTAGTTCTTTAGGTATTTTGTATTGTTTTTCTTCATGTTGCAAAATTGTAAATCAAGATTAAACTTTTCATTGGATCAAGTGGTAGTATATTGAGAAAACATAATAGAAGAATATAAATTATTGTAAAGTTTTTGCAGTCTTTGTTTATCAGTGATTTATCACTAACCTGTGAAATCTTTCACTCTACTCATCACTTTTTTCAAGTCAACTTTCCCATCATCTGTAAAAAAGCATGTAAAATACACCAATTTAAAACACTTAATAGAAACTGAAGCAAAAATAATTTAGTAAAGTATTTGCTGCAGAATCTAGTCCTCCTTTCTACCTTTACTGGTGTGATTTGTCTTTCAATTTCATAGTTCCATTATACTAATAAAATAACAATGACTTTTGTTTTAAAACATTAAGTCTTGCAGCCATAAAAAATGATATATAAAGGTGGTAACTTTATCTTAGTTACTTTTAAGCATTTTGATCTTAGAAGATTCTCTATATTCTAGCTAGATTGCTGACACAATATTTCAGTGTTTAAAGTTTGGAAGATTTTCATTCAAATAAAATTGGCAACATTAACTGATTATTCATTATTACAATTAAATTAAAATACTTCATCGATTCCTTAAATTACATGTGCAAATTATAAAAAGTAAATTAACAAAATGTCTTTCATGAAAGTTTGTTTCTGACAACCAGAAAGACATGGCCAAAACTCTGCTAAATGTTAACTGAGTGTGATAAAGGGGGGAAAAAAGCACTTGTCCACTGGGAGTGGATGAGCAGCAAACGTTGCAGGTGAAACATTCTTGATCTGAGTGGAATCTTCTCAGGTTAACATTTTCTAAATCTTGTACTTGCCAAGGGAATTTGTTTGTGAATTGTCATTCTCCAATGCTACATTCACCATCTCTTAAAAGTCAAAGCTTTTTCCCAGCGAACTGAAGTCTAGTACCAGATCTTTTTCTTTTCCACAATGAATTTATATGCTAATATCAAATATCCATATAGTTTTTCTTCCAGATCTCGTAGAAAAAAATTCAGTTGCCTTATATTTTCCAAATTACTTATATCTTACTAGTAAGAGGAAACCCTGCCTCTTTTTGCCTTTCTATGTATTTTACACTGAGCCTAGAAAACATGATTCTTGTACATCTGCAGCACTTGGGGGTAGATTTTAACTGCTATGTTTGAGGGCTAATCTGTGTCTCCTTCATTGACTTTGACTTTATTTCTAACTCTCTGGGCTTCCACTACTTAGGAGGTCTGCTTTCTGTGTCATTCTCCCAGTCGTTTTCTTTTTCTTTAGCTTTTTGGCATTTCAGTAGCCTAGGCAGTATTCTCAGAAATGTGTGTTAACTCACAATGTAAGGAGTTACCAACACTAATGCACACAGTAACAGAAAGGATTTCCTATTTTAATATTGCATTTCTTTCAAGGGCTTTCCAAATGGCTTGATTTCAAGGTAGAGGTACAAATATATAATCCTATTAGCCTTAACATTCATGGGAGCTTAGTAATAGTAGCAAGGATTACAACAATGATAACAATGATAATAAGAGCCTTAATGGAATACCTACTACTACGTGCCGGCTCTGGGTATAATTTATTCATCATAAATTCTGTAAAGTAGGTACCTTTTTCAGAGGTGAGGAAAACAAGGTACAGACACATTGAGGCGACTCCTCTACTAACATATGGCCCATAGCAGAAATCCAGGTAACCTGGCTTAGAATTGCTGCTTTTAAACATGCTGTTTTGAGTTCATGGGAGCCTGGATGCTTACCATTCACTGGGAGGCCCTGTGTCAGATCTTCAAGTTCTGTGCCTGTGAGACTCATTCCCATGTTTCCAAGAAGCATATCTAGTTTATTGACATCAATTTTCCCCCCTTAAAAAAAGGAAAAGGGAAAGAGAAAAATACAAGAATTCCAAAATGTGCAAAAAAAGAACAGTCTAATTTTTGGAAGCAATTAGTAACATGGCATTTGTTTTAGTCTGGTTGATTTTGGTACTGATAAGATTTCTTAAAATGGAAGTCTTTGATGGTATTCTTTTTTATGGCACGATTATTTCAAGTTCTATCAAAATTTGGGCAATTCCAAAGAAATATGGGACATTGCCCTAAAAATCAACATATAAAGCTCAGTAGTATCCACTTATGGCCCTAGAACAAGTAAACCCAGAAGAAGTGGAATAGAGGTTACCAGGCCAGGAGAGGGAGGAGGAAATGGGAAGTTACTCCTTAATCACAACCATTTCTGCTTGTGTCATGATAGGAGTGTCTGCATGACATGTGATCATGCTGAATGTTACTGAATTGCACCCTAAATATTGGCTAAACGTAAATTTCATATTATGTATCTTTTATCTAATTTTAAAAGATGAACTACACAGCAATCTATAGAATTGTGTTGTGTTTCCTTATTGCTTCAGCTAGAATCCTCTCTTCTCTAAGCCATTTATTTAGAAGTGAATAAGCCTTGTACCTTAGGATCACTACTTTGACCATTTTGGCTTCTCAAGTGAATCAAGAGATCTTGGAGAAAATACTTTTTATCCTATTCACCTTCCCCAACCCATAGTAGTACATGTACTTCTAGACTTGAGGAATATTACACATGACTTTAAGAATATAGTAAAAGCATCCCTCAGGGAAAAATACACATCTACATAGAGTAAAGCTTTGTACACAATTTCAGAAGTAGACCTGGGTATCTGACCTAGCAATTGTTTAATGAATACTGATCATTATTATGACAACAACATCAGGTATACAGACGAGGTTTACAGATGAACCCCTTAGAGTGGTGTCTTGGCTAATTACTATATGACCTCTGACAGTTAACTTTGCTTGTGTCTTAGTACACTCTACTGCAACATGGGAATAATAAGCATAATTTTCCTTTTAATCTTGTTGAAAAACTAGGAGAGACAATAAATTGTTCATTGTGTTTGGCTGTTAAAATGTACTTAATGATTTTATATTTTTTTTCTGTATTAAACCATCTGATTAGATAGTCGATGCAGGATTTACATTTGGGTTTGTCTGACTCCCAAAATAACTGGAGCTAGACAAACTAGGATATAAATACATGCCTTAACCATTTACTAACCACCCGAGTCAAATCACTGGGACCGTCTCCAACACAATCAGGTAGCACAAAAATGAGTTAGTGCCTTCTTGTGTATAAATAAAATTATGAAAAACATCTGAGATCACCAAGAAGAAAGGCACAGAATCTGTCTCCAGTGGCTTTGCAGTCTCTTTGAGAAAGAAGATACTGAAGAGATGAATAATAAGAAAGGCTTCATAAATGAAGTGCCAATTTCCTGTGCAGGTTTCAGCATGTGAAGCAAAGGATGTGGAGAAGGCCCTCTGGAAAGGCTGCAGAGACTGACACGGGCAGCCAAGGCTTTCTCATATAGACCTTTCACTGCATCCAACATATTTAATAGACATTTATTAGTGTGGCTTTTGTGGTTTTTCTCATCAGTTTTTGCTTTTGTTCTGCCTTGTTTTTCCATTTGATTTTACTGATTTTATGAGGCTGCTGCATAGTAAATTGTTACTTTCAGTATGTTATCACAAAACAATATATATTAGCTTTCTGTCAAAAATCAAAATGACTTCTTAAATTGCTTTGATGATTTATAAGGCTGATTTTAGTGCGATGTTTTACTTTTTGATGACTAGATTTTGTTAGCTAAAAGGGACTGAACATGTTTTGCAGAATAAATGTAGACCAACTGCAAAACCAATTGAAAAAAAAAAGACAGTAGAAATATACAGATTCAAATTTAAATCTCTAGGAAATAAGTGGAAATCAACAGAATTTCAAACTCATTTACCTTTTCACTATGATTCTGTCTTACCTCTAAGAGTCTTTATACCTTCCAGCAATTTGTTCTGCAGGATTTTTCTGTCAGCTGTAAGAAAATACACAATCCAAATTAAAGAGAACCTAGTTATGGAGATGGTTATAATTATTAATTTATTCTTTATTAATTTATTATTAATTTATTCTTTATTTTCCTCATTTTGATTTTTAATATATGGCCAAAGGTCTTTTTCCTTAAGTTTCCTTTCTAAACTTAAGTATTCATAGTAGAACTAAGAATGGTGACAGACATTTATTTCTTAGCCTAGATTTTTTCTTGATTTGCAAATAAAGAAGAAAATTGCAAAGTTAAAGATTTATTCTACAGTTAAACATTTATATCTATAACAAGCTTTTCACTTGAGAGTGGAATGTGACACATTTTTCCACAGCAGCAGAAATGCCCAAGGTCCTTAGAGGCCATACTGCTGACTTTTTCAACACCAGCACTTTGACATCTGAAAAGAATTCCTTGTTGTGAGGATCTGTCTGTTCATCCTGGGATGGTCACTAAGACATGGATTCTGTCCATATGCCATGGTACCTGCTGCTCTCCAACCAGAAATGCTTTCCCTGATACTGACAAATCTCTACTCAGCAGCACTGCCTCCAGCTAAAGAATCAGTGACCTGAACATATTAAATGCTTACCACAAGCTGATAATTTTTCCACCAGTTCCATGCATTCCTTATCTGTGAGTTCTATTCCCATATTTTGTACAACATCTTTTATGTCATCAATATCAACGTCTTCTCCTTCAATAATAACAAAATAGATTTCAAAAAATATGATGGCTTTAAATTTATCAGAGACACACACAACACGAGGTAGAAATACAATGAATTCCTTTCTGGTTATATGGAATTTTATAATCCCTGGAGACATGTAACTAGAGATACCTGGCAGACATATGAATGTTAACTTTCCAAAGCCCAGGAATTGCTGACATTATTTTATATATTGTGCTCACCATTGACTGGAAATGTTTTTGTCAGATTTTCAAATTCTTTTCCTGTGAGTTTGATTTCCATATTTTCAAGAACTTTGTTGAAGTCACTAACATTAATCATCCCTTCTTACAAAAGAGAACAAAATGAAATTAGCCAAATTAAATGGCATTAAAACATTAAAAATATAATTATTCCCATTGTTTATTTTATAAAATAATTTTTATAAGACATTGATTACAGTGATAAAAATGATAGTCATGATTGAGAAAGTCAATAGCAAAGTTATGAAGAGAACTGATCCAAGCTATAATTTGATAATGAAGGCACATAGTAACTGGACCTAACACACATGTGCCCTTGCATGTGCATGGTTCTAATTATCAGCCAATTTATGTAACCAATTTGGTATGTCTTTAAACAGATCTTCCTTTTCACTTACAGTCATAATCTCTTTATGTGGTTTCTCCATTGATTGTCTGTAAAGGTATTCATTTTCCCATTGCATTCTCAAGTTATGATTGATTCTTTATAGGCATAAAGTTTCATAGACATTTGTCAGTTGAAAAATCTGCCACTCCAACTTTCACTTTTATCTTTCCATAGAATCACATTTTAGAGTCTAAGGAAAAATGTTTCTAGAATTACAAAATAAGAAAGACTTTTGTGTGTGTGTCCGTGTCCTTGCAATTTTCATTCTGATGTGAATTTACCTTTCTCATAGATGCTGGACAAGTGGTTCAGAGTAGGATCTGGGATGGTTTAAAATCTCTCAAAAGTGACAGTTCAAATATGAAACTCCTGACCAGGTGAAAAATCATTTGAGATTCATCTATACTGGTCAAAGAATTGTTTTGGAAATTTGTCCAAGTCATTTGGAAGCTTAAGTGACAAGAAAAACCTTTGTGACTCAGCTAAGAGCTCTTTGTAGACAACACTTAAGTTTCCTGGCCACCCGTGCTTGCCCTGCAGGAAGTGGGGAAAGTCCTCTCCATTTCCCGTGGCTCAGAGCCTAAGGCTGACCAGGCACAAGACCTGGCATCAACCGTGCTCACCAGGGAACTTGAGGAAGGGCCCATCTGCCTTCCACAACTCCAGGCTCACTGCCAGTCTCATCCACCTTCACAAGTCTCATCTGAATTCCACAACTTCAAGACAGTGGCTGTAGACGCTATAAGCCTTAGTGCTGCCTGTGCTCACCCAGTGGGATTGTTCATTTAAACCAGTTGAATGCTAGGTAAATTACTCAGTCAATCCCTCTACTGACATTGTATTGAAAGAGAAAATAGACTACTAATTATATTGATACAAGAGAGAGATAAACAAGGACTTGAAACATAGCCAGTGGTTGCAGAGGCACATAAATTAGCAATAAATTAAAGAAATACACCAAAGCCCATTAGTAGAATGTTGACAAAAAAGGGAGAAGATACTGAGAAGGATGCTATAATAGTCTTTGGCTTGAATAAGCAAGTGGTAAAGGTCATCAGTTGAGAAGAAATTGTAGGAGCAAGAGTAAGTTTGGAAAGAAAGCAAATGCATTTAGATTCAGAATTCTTGGGTCTTAATTATCAAAGGTTCATTCCTGTTCCTAGTTCAAATTGACATGTAAATATATAAAGTTGAAGCTACAAATAGAAACCAAAGCAGAGATAGAGATGTGGAAGTCTATGAATGTCAAAGGGACTGGATGAGAAATATCATTTACTGAGGTCACAATTTATTTTGACTCCCTTTTTGTTCCCTCAGCTTACACTCAGTACCTTAAGCACTGTCTTGATCAAGTAATGATCTTAGTTTTGCTATGAGACATGTCTCATCCTTTTGAGAAGTTGATGTCTTCAGATTTTAAAAACGAACTTGGGATTTTTTTCAATGTTTCTATAAAAGGCTATCTGATAAAAATGATTTTAAAACTAATAGTTTTAGAAACTGTATACACCAATTTAGAAATCTTAGGAAAGACACAATTAAACACCTAATGTTTACCATCAACTGCCAGGTCTCCCGGTTCTGCTTCTGAAGGTTTGACCCCTCTGTTCTGCCGAGCAATGTCTATGCTGTTACCGTTAGCCTTCCCTCCTTTTGAGACACAAGTCAGGAGTAAAGAAATATGAACGCTTCCAAAACCATACTTGTTATTTTAATGATTATATCCTATTATGATATTCAGTACTTATGTGCTAATATTAAAATGATCAATAAAAATTCATTGTGGTTAATATGTTTGTGTTATTTCTATTTATAATTTTCCTGAGAGAACAGATAATGTCAATAGGAGAATTAAACCAGACTTTGTAAACTTAAATTTTACTGTTGGGTCAAGGTCACACTTAAAAATACTTAAAAGTTGAGCAACTTTGAAGCTTCTATTTGCATTTCCTAAATTTTCAGATTAATTATTACTGCTGCTTCTGATCATACTTTAATTTTTAATGCTTCTTTTTTTCTAATATCAAACTCTAAAATAATTCTTTTGGAATAAAATTTGGAAAATTCCAAAAAAAATGGCCTAATGCAAAGGCATATATTGAACATAAGCTGGTAAATTATAAATATGCTTTTAAAAAGTAGAAATTACACATTATTTATAAGAAAGACAGAATTTACAGCCACAAGACAAATACTATAAACTGAGCATTTAACAAAGTCTTGTTAATAGTTTTTGTAACAACCTTTGAGAGATTTCAGTTCATCCAATAATCTATTCTGAAATATCACCCAATGATGACCATTATGGATGATATTTATTCATTATTCTCTTAATTTCAAGATCTGAGTTCATACTTAGTTATTACTAGAGTCAAGAGCATAGTCATGGCAAAAAGAAAACTGAAAGTGGGTCTGGCACAATAGCCTAGTGGGTAAATCCTTGCCTTAAAATCACTGGGATCCTATATGGGCACTGGTGTGTGTCCTGGCTGCTTCACTTCCCTTCCAGCTCCCTGCCTGTAGCTGGGAAAGCAGTGGAGGATGGCCCAAAGCCTTGGGATCCTGTGCCCATGTGAGAGACCCTGAAGAAGCTCCAGGCTTCTGGCTTTGGATCAGCTCAGCTTTGGCCATTGTGGCCACTCGGAGAGTGAACCAGCAGATGGAAGATCTTTTTTTGTGTCTCTCCTTCTCTCCTTCTCTCTGTAAATCTGCCTTTCCAATTAAAAAAAAATCTTTAAAAAAGAATGCTGAAAACTATGCGGTTAATAAGAGAAATTCAAATATACTATTTTGGCTATTCTGTTCTCACCAACTGTCCCTCAACCCCTGGTTCTTTTAATCTAGTATGATGTCTCACGTAAGACTCAGCCATCGTTAGCATACCAAGTGAAAAATACTGTTTATGTGAAATTACTGTATCTTTTATGTTAGTTTATTTTAGGCTTAAGTTTTTCTAAATGTTTCCTTGTTTCCAATTTTTTTTTGAAGTTCTTCAAAAGATTCAAGTCTAGCTGTCCTGGAGGTAGGGGACAGGAAGTTCAATTATGTCTTAAGTACTTACCATTCACTGGTAGGTTCTTTGCAATATCTTTGAATTCCTTTTCTGAAATTTTCATCCCCATGTTTCCTAATACTGTGTCCAGTTTATTGAGATCAAGCTTTCCTCCTTAGGGGACCAAAGTTCATTAACAAAACAATGGAATGTGACAAATATGATTATTTTCCAGATATTATAGAAGTTTCAATGTAAGAATCACAGTTCATTGAAGTAAATTAAATGTATAAAAATGGTCACTAATAAAGTGAAAGCAAAAGCAGTATGTTTAACCTATTTTGAGGATCCAGCAATACAGAAAGTTTTTAAAGATTTACATATAACTCAGTGAATTCATCAGTAAAATCCTTAATGTAATGACCTTTTATTTAGTAGCATAGGGAAGTCATTTTTATGCTGAACTAATCTTGCACATTAATTTGCTTAGCTCCCAAGTAGATTTTCTGACAACCAACAATGCTATCTGCTTTGCTATTAATTGTTCACACTTTATTTTCTGCTATACCTAAAAATTGTAAAAGAAAACAAGACTTTAATCTAGTGGAAATATGTTAAATTATTGCTATGTTGAAGAAAATCTATAGATGAGGCATAAGTGCGAAATCATATACATTTTGAAAATATAAATATATGTGAAGAATTGACAATCCAATTACAAAAAAAATATTATAGGTAGAAAACATGTCAATATCAGACTGCACTGTTTCAATGCTTTTCACTTACCTTCAAGAGCTTTCACACTATTCATCATCCTATTTTGATAGAACTTTCCATCACCTGTAAGAAAAGCAATAGTTCAAGTCAAAGAGACATAAAAATTCACAGTAAAGTTGCACGGAAGTAATAATTTCAGAGAGATGAATTTTATTATTTCTGATTTATTATAAAATAAGAATAAAAACATGCAGTCTTTGGTATTCAAGACAATGAACTTATTAGCTAAACAACTTATATGCTAAACAATACTTCTTTTCTGCTTGCATTTCCCTTGTGTGCCTCTTAATTCCTTAAGGACACTTTTTAAAATTTTTTAAATTTTATTTTCCAGAATTAAATCTCTCAGTAAAATCGGGTTTTTGAAGCGTTGAGAACACTACTTCTGATTAAATAGGTAAATGTAAATCTACTGTATGATACCTCCAAATTTAAAGAGAGAAAAAAGGAAAAAGAGAGAGGTGAGGAGGGAGGGAAGGAAAGGGAGGAGAAAAATGTCATTGTGTTCTTAGAATTGTTTCTACAAATCACACTGTACCTGTTAAACACTACTAAAAATTAAAATAAAAATTAAAAAATTTGATGTTCATGTTGACTGAAGATGTACCTTAACATTTTTAGAAGAAAATATAGGATACCTTCAAGACCTTATAGAAGAAACACACAATAGTACAAACTGCAATGAAATTTGGATATAGTTTAAGAAGTATGGGCCTGGCACAATAGCCTAGTGGCCAAAGTCCTCCTCCCCCACCCCCCCGCATGCACCAGGATCCCATATGGTTGCCAGTTCTAATCCCAGCGGCCTGCTTCCTATCCAGCTCCATGCTTATGGCCTGGAAAGACAGTGGAGGATGGCTCAAGACCTTGGGATCCTTCACCCCCATGGGATACCCAAAGGATCCTGGCTCCTGGCTTTGGATCGGTACAACTCCAGCCATTGTGGTCACTTGGGGAGGGCATCAGTGGACAGAAGATCTTCCTCTCTGTCTCTCCTCCTTTCTGTATACCTGACTGTCAAATAAAAACTAGTAAATCTTAAAGAGTATGGTACACCATGATGAAACTGTAAAGCCAAATGAAAATTTTAAAATACATGTTGCTAAACAACAAACAAAACACCCACAACAGAGGTCAGTGAAGCATGGGCAGTAAGCCACTGACCCTTCATCTTATAGTTTTACTGCAAGATAGCTAAATCTAACTATGTCTATCCACTTACACATTAACTAGGGGTACTTTAGCCTACTACAAACTTCATAGAGTTGAGTAGCTGCAAAAAAGGCAGTAAGCATAAAACATTTCCCATTTTCTTTCCCCAAAAAGGTTTGTCTGTATCTTTATCTAGAATATAAAAAATTCTTAAAATTGCTAACAAAAATAGAAACAAACCAATAGGAAGTTGGACAAGAGACAGAATACATAAAAATAGGACACACAATTTTTTATAAGCTTATGAAATTTGAAAATAGTACATTCTATACTTACTCCATTAGCAAACATGTGAAAAACCAAATGTTACTACTTTGTGTTATGGGTACAACAATAAAATTGTTTCCTCAAAACTAATGCAAACATTTAAATTCTAATGTCTTAATGTTAGTGACTGATTGAGGATGTAGACTTGACCTAGCGGTTTGAGAGGTGGGTCCAATGGATCTTTGGGTCATTGGGGCATGCCACTGGAGGGTGTTTCTCCCAAGAAGTCTGCTTATTTGAGCTCCAGGTCTCCCAGCTGTTCTGTTTCCTGCCCCACCATGTGATCATGCGTCTGTACCACTATGACCAGCTTCCATCAGATTCCGGAGTATGGGGCTGCCTCATGCTATAACCTCCAACTGAGGGTTTCAACAAACTTTTATTTCTCAGTGACGTTCCTCTTGGGAATTTAAACTAAAGTAATGAAAAACAGGACCCACCACCCATTAGCCCAAAAGGCATTTTGAGCAAAAACTACACTTTTGTTGTTTTATGCAATTGGTTTTTGTTGTTATTGTTCTTTATTTTTGCTTTTTAAGTGCCTGGTGATACACTTGCAAGAAACCTGAGTGTAAACCTCAGAGAACAATAGGAAAACTCTGTTAAGTATCAAAAAATAAGTATTTTAGGCCTTGTAGCTCATAAGGTTTTAGTCATTACTAGTCAATTATTACAGCATAACAAGCCTGTAAGTAATATTTAGATGAACAGGAATATCTGAAGGGGACTCTACATTTTCTTCATTCTTGATGTTCCCTTAGCTATCAAAATGAGCGTTAATCCTCATAATTAAGAGCTTTGAAGGCCGCTATGTGACATGCCTACCATCAGCAGGTGACGTTTTCACCAACTCTGAGTCTTCTTTCTCTGTGCGATCCATGCCCACAGCTTCATGAATGCTCTTGACTTCTCTGATATTTACTTCACCTCCTTCAATGCAGAGAGAAATAAGAACAAATGTGGAATTTATGTATTATTTAATGACTAGAAAAACAATTGTAATCACCTACGAGTACTTGGTACCCCATATGAGCACTGGTTCAAGTACTAGTACTACATTTCTGCTCCAGCTCCCTGCTTATGGCCTAGGGAGCAGCAGAGTATGGCTCCAGTCCTTGGATCCCTGCACCCATGTAGGAAACAACGAGAGGACTCTTGGCTCCCAGCTTTGGATCGTTTCAGCTCTAGGTCTTTGTGCTTTGTGCCCACTTGAGGGTTGAATCAGCACATGGAAGAGCTCTCTCTTGCCTTAACTCTGTAATTCTGTAAGTCTGTAACTCTGCCTTTCAAATAAAAGTAAATCTTCAAAAAGTTATCTGTCGATACTCAATATTATCTCAACTGCTAGATAAACAAAGGCATAAGATGATCTAGTCAATTAGCTACTCCTAGCGGGATTTTAAAAAGAGAACCTTTGCATTTGATCCTAGTAAACTGTTATTTCATTACAAGGAGATATAGCACCCAATAAGATATAAACATTTAATTTAATTTTGAAAATTCAAATAATGTATCTAAATAAGTATTAATTATGTGATATCAAAAATACTCTCTAAATTATGAAATTACCTGAATCTACCAAAACTTTACTTTATTAATTTATAATTTGACTTTCTTAGAGTATTGACAGTACACTTTTGAAAAATACCGAGAAGAATAAAATCCTACTTTTAACAAAGGGAGTTAAAATAGAGCAATGTGCAATTTGGACGATTAGATACAAATGAGAATAAAGACAAGAACAAGATAATTATTAACTGTCAATAACTGAGCCTGTTAACAATTTGAGTCTTGGATTTATAACAATTCATTTCTCACCTGTCAAAATTTTCGCTTCATCCATCAACTCACTGAAATTAATACTCCCAGAATCTATAAGAAACAATGATGATTAAGGAACAAAAAATGTCAAAGATACAGGTCAAAAATCAAAATAAAACATACAGACCATTGTCTAAGTAAATTTTCTCCACTATTTTTATAAGTCATCTTTTAATTAATAGACTCTAGAGATGAACAATCTTTTAGTGAAAGCCCATTTGTCCCCTGAACAAGAGAGTAGTTTAAGGAGTGATTTCTAGTCCTCAGATGATACTCTATATTTTAAGTATAGTTAGACAGTAACTCTAGTATCGTTTATTGATACACACTTCTGTCACTATCAAGTTCAGAGTGATATTTAAAGAACTGAGAACTAAATTTCCTGTCTCTCTTCTTTTTCCAATATTCTCTTCTGAGCATATTTAACTCTTGAAAATTCTCTCCTGAGGATTTAATTTTATGACTATCCTGGAATTACTTTTTTATACTTTATCTCTTCATTCATCCATTCTTCTATTTCTCCACCTACACATCTATTAAAGATATATATGTTAAAGTTTTGTATTTTAGTTTTAAGGAATTTAACATGTGCCCAGCATGGTGGACAAATGGCTACGATCCTTGCTTTGCACGTGCTTGGGTCCCATTTGGGCACCAGTTCTAATCCCAGCAACCCCACTTCCTATCCAGCTCCCTGCTTGTGGCCTGGGAAAGCAGTCACGGATGGCCCAAACCTTGGGACCCTGCACCCACGTGGGAGACCTGGAAGAGGCTTCTGGCTTGTGGCTTTGGATGGGCTCAGCTCCAGCTGCTGTGGCCGCTTAGAGAGTGAAGCAATAGATAAAAGATCTTCCTCTCTGTCTCTCCTCATCTCTGTATATCTGACTTCCCAATAAATGTAAATCAACCTTAAACACACACACACACACACACACACACACACACACACACACACACACTATGAAACAGGAATGTGAAGTTCCCAGTAGAGGACAGCCCAAGTGCTTGATCCTCTGCAGCCATGTCAGAGACCCACAAGAAACTTGGACCTCCTGCTTTGGCCTGGCTCAGCCCTGGTTACTGCAGTGTAGGAAGATCATCTTTCGTTCTCCCTCTCCCTCCCCCTCCCACCCCACATGTGTGTCTCTGTGTCTCTCCTCTTCTCTCTGTAACTCTGTCAGTCAAATAAATAAGTAAATGTTTTTAAAAGTAGAATGAGGATAGTGAGCACTTTTGGAGAAGGGATGGTATGTTATAGCAGGGCATATGGAGGAGCTTCTGATATGGCTGGGATAGTTCTATTTCTTAATTTAGTGGGTGGATTCAAAAGTGTTCATTTTATAATAATTTTTGTGTGGTTTTCCATGTCATATCGAACAATTAAAAACCTATTTTAAAAAATAAGTGCAGGCAGCACATGGCAGAGGTTCAAGTCAGCACTTTGAACACTTGCTTCACATACTGAGAATGCCTGACTTGAGCCCTAGCTACTCCGCTTTGGATCCAAGTTCCTGATCATGTGCAGTTTGAGAAATAATGGCCCAAGTACTTGGGTCCCTGCCATCCACATTAGAAACCTGGATTGAGCTCTTGGCTCGTGACTTTGCCTGATGGAGACCTGGTGGCTATGGGCTTCTGGGAAAGTGAACCAGTGAGCAGAAGATCTCAGCCTGTCTTTCTGTATCTCTCTCTCCCCTTTGTGTCTGGGGTTGATTTCTGCCTCTGGCTCCCACTCCAACATTCTGTTAATGTGGATCCTGGGAAGTAGCAATGAAGATTCCTGGTATTCAGGTGGGAGACCTAGATTGAGGACCTGACTAAAAGCTTCAGATCATCTCAGTTTTGGCTATCGTAAGCTTTTGGAGAATAATTTTTTCTCTCTCTTTCTCTTTCCTCCTTCCCTCCATCTGTTCCTCCATCTCTCCTTCCTGCCTCTTATTTAAATAAAAATTTATAAAATAGAGAGATGGACAAGGCTCTACAATCCTTGCTCCCATTCCCATTCTGGAAGACTGAGTCTATGGAAACTTTTTAGCCAGGTAACCAAGAGACAACAGAACAAGATTCCTGTCACTGGGGGCAGGGCAGGAAAGTGAATTTAGGACTGCCACAAAGTTCAAACCCAGTACTTTTGCTGTGAGACAACACCACCTGATAGAGCCTGAGGCCTCCTTCTGTCTGTCCACAGACAGAATCCCTCGACTTTGCTGGCATGAGAGAGCTGTGCACCAGACACACACAGACTCATTTCAGTGGATGTCACCACATCCTTCTATCAGCCCAGCAAGTACTCCCAAGATCGGTTAGGGCCTGGTAACAATGAGAGTCTGGAGTGATCAAGCTTAGTGTCAGCCTAGGAGTCCAAGGACTGAACTAAATTTATCACTCCTTTCACACTTTTGGCAAACAGCAAGGGATCACAGGCCTGTATCTTGGGACTCCATGCCAGGCTGGCAGGACCGATCTGGAAGATCCTAACAGCCCCCCTCTTCAGGCCAGTGCTGTTTCTGCAGCCTCTGGACTTGCCCTGAGGTCAGCTGGAGTCTTGCAGCCACTGTTGATCCCAGTGCCATCACCTGTGAATCTACTCAAGCAATGTTAAGAACATAACAGTGTAGGCTTTGTTCTCAGAAGACTGCAGGCTCCAAATGTGACCCAAAACTGTGACACTGGTGACCACGGAACCAGGTATAAGGGCCTTCTTAGCCACACGGGCCCACTAAAAGGAAAAAACTTTTCAGGATGCAGTACCCCATTTTAGAAACTCCCTCGTTTCATTTTTTTTAAATTGTACTAATGCAAAAAAAAAAAAGAAAAAAAGATTTCACATATAAAACAGGTACTTTCCTCCCCCTTCTCTTTTCTTAAGCCCCCCCCCGCCATCCTTCCTTTTGTTCTTTAATTTTTATAAGAACATAATTTTAGTCTATTCTATAGTCACAAGCCAAATGTAACACTAACCAACAAATAAAAAGTACATGGATCACAATTACACATGAGTATAAACAAAGGGCTAAAAACAGCAATCAGACCACAAGATGTCCATTTTTTCTTATAGAGTTTTAAACTACTTTATATTAACTACTACATAAAAGAAAAGACATATTTGCAATTTGGGGGACTGGCTTATTTATGTGACAAAATGGTTTCAGTTGCATCTATTTTGTTGGAAAAGATGAGATTACATTTCTTCTTACACCTCACTTTATTCTTAAGGTGTCACTATAGATTTGAGACAAAAGAAAATGGGCTTAGGTTATTAACTATGACTGAAAAAGGCAGAATACAGCAACAGTAGATTTATGATGTATCTTGATGTAGGGTGTCATCTAGTGCCAAACTAGCAGAAGTGTCCACAGACTCAAAGAAAATAAGCACGATATTTAGAGTTTCTGGAAGGCGTGGCAAACCCAAATTCAGATAATGCAGACTGGAAGGACTCCTGGCATTTCAATGTGCAGGAGATGCTGAATGCCAACAAGTATCAAAACTTTAGGAACCATGATCTCACGTAATAGACAAAATCAAGTAACAGAAATTGATCTTCTGGCAAATTATCTGCAAACCCTGGCAAATAATTCAAAATGGCTGTTTCAAGGAAACTCACTGAGTTTCAACAAAAATAAATAAAACCTTACCAGAAATGCAGGACAATTAAAAAAAAAAACAGAAATCCTTGGGCATAGTAAGTAAAATAAATTAAAAGGAGGAAGCAATTAGTTAGCTCAAAGCTAAAATATTTAAAAATATATAACCAGAGAAGAAAAGAAAAGAAAATGAATAAAGCTTATACAAATTTTGGAGACAGTATTAAAAGCAAATATCTGAGTTACTGGGGTTCATGAGAAACTTGAGAATGCCAAAGGACAGAAAACTTATTCAGAAATAATAACAGAAATCTCCTTTTACCATTGTATAATTCCGATTTCAAAACCATTCACACTTAAGTTTGTAAGCAAACATGCTACTGAAAAGCACCGTAATGACCATAGCACTCACCACTGACTGGTATCTTTTCTGGTACATCTTCAAGCTCCTGTTCTGTGAGTTTAATTCCCAAGTTTTCTCTTTTACTGTTTTGAACTTTCCCTCCTTAGAAAAAGAAAGTGAGAAAATGATTAAGATGTAAGTAATTTGTTAAGCTTTACAAATATATTAAAATGCTTTACTATCAGGAAAAGATTAAGAGAAAAATATAATCTTTCAGTGTTAGTAGTCCCTACCTTTAATTATAACACTAACTTTGGACGAACAGCTTCCTTAAACTTTAAGGAAGTTATCTAGGTGAAACAATACCCAGGAAATAGTTCACAAAAACAATTGTAAACTAATGAAATGTTCAGCAGAGAGGATTTTGAGAAATTCCTCATTGCTAGAAAACTACTATTGGTTTCCATTGAAATTCTGAAATTATGTGGTTTTTCCATGGAGTGAAACAAGTTTACAAGTATAGATTATTTTTTCATTGGAAAACTACTTGTTTAATGCCAATGAGCACATGTTTATTAACTACCTGTTATGATATCAAAGATGACTTAACTATAAACACTGAGAAGATGAAGTAAGAGCTGAGGTTGTGAGTACATGGAGAGGGACATTCATTAATGTGGACATTTATATAAATTTCCTAACAATATGAATTTTCAAGTGTTTGCTATCAAAGGGTTTATAATATTTTTTAACATTATATCCATTGCATCTATACATTTACACTTCCTATTGTTTTAGTTTTAAGATGCTATGCTTAACAGATGTGTTTAAAACTTCCCTGATGGTCCCACCGAACTAAGATCTTCTATAAGGCAACGGAGCCTCATCTGTAAGACTCACCAGCCACCGGGAGCTCGTCCAGCAGCTTCATTTCTTGATTTGTTAGCTCAACGCCCATGTGGCAGTCTGGCAGACACTGTACGTCAGTCTTTTGTCCTTTAGAAAGTGAGAGTGTTATCAATCAAGAATCAAACAACTTATTAATGTCTATAAAAGTTTCTAATTTGAAGACATTCAAGTGTATGAAACACAGATTTATGCAGAACCAATAAAAGCATATATAACAAATTTATTTATTTAAAAATGCCAAAAATTGATTTGCCTCATCTTTGGCAAGTTAAAATAGAGGAGAGAATAAATTTTACTTGAATTACTATTGGTTCTAATTAGAATATCAGAATCATTTCTACACCTTATCAAAGTTCTATAATTTTGAAATTTTTTTGTGTTTATGAATTTCAAGGTGTTCTCTACATGTAGAAAATTTAAAAACCTTGTCTTGTTTTTATTTAATTTGTTCTGAATTGGGAGTTTATAAATAGTACAGAATGAATGACAGTAAGAAAAAATAAAGTTTACAAGTTGGTAGCAAATCAGAGACATTTAATTGCTATATGTAAAGGAAAATTCAAGGATACTAGAAGTATTTTAAAAGCTGTGAGGACAAAATTGACTAATGAAGAATAGAACCACAGAAACGTATCATTTATGATTCTCATATTCTGTATAAAGCTTGGGGAACTTGATATCACACTGACTTCCACTCACCTTTAAAAGCTTTCAATTCATCCCACAACGCTCTCATTGAAATTTCTCCATTTGCTGAAAGAAAAATAAAAACAATAAGAAGCAGTGGGCCAGAATGTGTTTCAGTGTTCCATTTTCAGAAACAGGAATAATGATGTGTGCTAGATACACATCTTTCAGGAACACTGAAACATCCAAAGCAAGGATTTTTTGCATTGACTGATCTCTTTTGCGAGAATTCTCAGAAGTAATTATGAGCCATGTGCATTATTCATGGAAATAAATCTTCTTTGGAGAAACAAAAAGAGAAATAAACTGTGAAAGTTAGAAATAATGTGAAGAGTCAAAAAATTACAAATTTTTATCTACTTTCATCTTCATAGGAATGAATAAGAGTAAAAAAGAAATCTGAGCCCATCAGAAGACAGGAGCCAGCAGAAAATAATTTAATACTGGTTCTTTTGTCTATTTTACAAGATAAGTTGTCTCAACTCCTAAATTATTTCCTTTAATGTTTTTATTTAGTGTTAGTGGCAAGACAGAGATTTTACGTCCCTTCTTGCCAAAAAGAAAGAAATTTCATGAAATCTAATGTGAAGATACTTTGCATGTAAATACATGAAAATAGGAAGATTTGAATGCATTGATATTTAAATAAAGTGGCAAAAGTAACCATAAATTGGAAATAGTAAATATGTATCTTATAGAGTCATCTGCTTTGTCACTTAACATTAAAAGACTTTAAGCCATCCAGCAATCTATTCTTGTAAACTTTATCATTAGCTACAAAAACATACGAATAAATGATATGGAAGTTCACCAAGGCAGCATAATCCATAAGTTAAGCAAAACAATTATGCATGTCACCTTTCCTAGAAAATTTGCAACTTAAAAAAAAAATTTAAGTTTATGCTCAATCAATGTTCTCTTTACAATTGTTGGTACCTAATAATTTTATTGTTGTTCTTCTAAAAAGCTTTTTATTTTAACTTTTTATTGTAGACATACTATACATCTTGTAGCACTTTATATATAGTGAATAGTTAGATAAGGCCAATTAACATATCTAAACCTTCATATACTTATTTCATGAACTTTGTAAGAAGCACTGATTGCTATATTAGTTTTCAATGCTTTGAGATCTTTTTCAGCTCTTTAATTCTCAGTTTCATTTGGAACTCTTTTCCAGTGGAGCCTTTTTAGTTATCAAAGTTATTTCTCAATTTTAGTGAAGAATTTGTGAATAGAGAAGTTATTGCTAAAATCATAAAATCTTAAATTTCAAGAAGCTCATTTTTTAATTTAAAAAATATTTATGATTATAATCTCATGTAACATGATAAAATTATATGTGAGAGTACCTTCTAATTCTGTTTGTCTCCTCGTCATCATTATTATTACCTGGATACCTTTTCCTATTATTTTAATTTCCATAACAGCCTCTATCATCCCAGGTAAATCATGTTAAGAAATTCCAATGTTTCCTTATATATATCAGGTGAGTGAGTGTGAATGTGTACAAAAGACAGAGAAAAATTATGTGGACATGGCATATTTTATTCCAAATGATTTCTAAAAGTATGTTTTCTATACTACCTAACAGAATGCTATAAAAACTTCCACAAACAAAGCAGGAACTTCTGTCAAGATTGTAATTATATTTTAGATTCTTACCTTCCACTGGCAAATTTTGAGCCAGATTCAGAAATTCTTTATCTGTGAGTGTTATTCCCATGTTTCCTAGAGCATCTTCCAAGTCGGAAACATCGACTGCTCCTCCTTGAAATGATGACAAATTGGCATAGTAAAATAAGTCTAATATTTTTCTTCAAAACATGAAAAAAACCAAACCATTGATGCCCACTCGATTTTAGCTATTACAGTAACCTGAGTAGAAAGCTATCCTCTGACCTAGTTAACATTTTAGAAGTTATTTCTTAAATAATTCAGTCATTATAATAAAGATATTCTAAATATATTATTCAAATAATAATTTTTAAATTATGATAATCTTTATTAAAGTTTTGTCATATTATCTGCTGTGTTAATGAGAATTTTAGCTCAAAATAAAAAATAACAACTATATTGGTAAATATTCCAGAAATGAAAAAATGACTATGAAAATCTTGTCCTGACATTTCAGTGATTAAGTCCAATAATGTAAGCAAAGTTCCAAGCACTTAATATAAAAGAAAGGAAATGTGGTACAATGCAAGGAATGATTAAGACTATGTAACATATAATTTAGCATAAAGATGAAGGCATTAGATTCATAACAACTTCTAACTAACCTGTAATAATATCCACTGAATCCAACAATGTTTTGAGATCAACCTTCCCATTTTCTATAAAAAATAAAAATCATTGTGAGGACATGGGTAACATTACAAAATACAGAGGAAATAAAATAAGGAAATAAATTAGATCCACAATTATATCTGAAGCAATAGTTTATGTGCAATATATGATAAAAATGCATTCTTTGTTAGTTAGAGGATTGGTTCAAGAACATGTTTTTAAAACTTTTACACTTGCAGGAATTTCAGAATGGGCCACTAGTGCTGACAACTCTATCTCCCGGTGCAAACACAAAGTTCTTTCCAGGATTTACTTTAAAAGGGGTTCAACTTTTTCTGGTTTTGGGGGGAAAAAAATCACTGGTTAGAGGTAGACAGTTATGGAAACATGGAACTTTATCAGAAAAGGCAGATTAGCCCATGGTTACATACATCATCTGGGCAAGGTACAAAATAAGAAGGAAAAAGACTACTTCAAGAATTAGGTTAAAAGAAGAAGAAGAAGAAGAAGAAAAAGAAAGCATTTTTCTTCTTTATGTAGTCTCCCCCTCCTCCTCCTTCTAGGCTCCTAAACTCCAGTCACTGAGGCCTGTCTTGTTGTTGTTCTTGTTGATTTTATCTGCTGTTTCATGTCAGCCTTCCTCATGTGGGGGATATTGTTGGAGCAAGTGTTGAGTGACAAAAGTGCCCTGAGGTGGGTATTATGACTGTTTGAAATGTTCCTATTCAAGCTACAGCCAGATGCTGCAATTCAGTCAGGCGTATTCCTTTTTTGTGGCCCTGTCACTTCAACTCCTGGCCTGTAAATGTTTCTAAAGAAAGTATAATCTTCATGCAGGCACACTGCAGGTCCTTAGAATAGGGTAGACAGGAATCTCGACCCTACAAGATGTATGGCACTGCTTGCCCAGAGCAGATACATTTGCTGTAATATCCTGCCACAAGATGCCTTTAGACATAGGTGGTCAACACCAACCTTTCCTGCACTGGTATCCACGAAACTAATGCATTTCTAGTTCTTCCAACTAGAGATATTTATTTCTTACTCCTCTAGGTCATTCTCTCCATGCATTCAATCATTCCCCAAATATTTAAGGTCTGTCAAATAAATTAAAGGAATCATGCTAGGCCAATGAAAATATACAAAATCTGAATCTAAACATACAACAGTTATCCAAAGGTTCCTACTTGTAATATAATAGCATAAGTGCAGTGACACAGATGGTCAGTATATAATGAGTGAGAAACCACCCTAAAGTAAGTCCTGCACTTACTTTTTAGTTTTATTCATTTATTTGTAAGGCAGGGAGAGAGAGAGACAAAATCTACCATCCTTTGTTTCAGTCCCTAAATTCCAGCAACAGTTGGGTAGAACAGGCTAAAGGCAGAAACCCAGAAATCCATCTGAGTACCCTGTGTGTGTGTCAGGGACCTAAGCACCTGAGCCATCCCTCGCTGCCTGTCTGGACATACACCAGCAGGGAGCGGGATAAGAAGCAAAGCTGGGACTGGACCCAGGCACTCCGACATGGGTCACAACTATCCCAAGCAGCAGCTTAGCTCCTGCAGCACAATGACTGCCCAGGCTCTGACTTAAATCACAATGGGTATCTCCCATTATCCTCACAAATTATACTTTTATACTAAATATCACTAGCTAATTGGAATTCCTTTTAGCAAGCCCATAAAGAATCTTCTCCTAAGACTTACCATTAAGTGGTAGATTCTCTGTCAGACCTTCTCGTTCCTTGTCTGTAAGTTCAATACCAAGGTTTTCCAGAACAGTGTCTATGTTATTGATGTCAACCATCCCTCCTTAGGAAAGACACAGAAGAGAATCATAAAGAAAAAAATTATATACAAATATTAATGAAATCAGGGGTAATTTTTTATCTCACGCAACTTTATATAAAATACAAATATATAAAACATATCAGTTATATATACACACTCATATATACCTATCAGTGGATAGGTATATTTAAAAAATTTTATACCTATCAGTGGATAGGTATATATGATTGGCTCAGCAAATTAACTATAATCATGATCAGGACAGCTTAGGTAAATAATTCCTGAACCTGTAAATTTTACTTGGGGGACTCTGTGTGGCTGAAGTTATTATCTGTAGCGTTGTCCCATAAAATATAAGGGAGATACTGGGCAGGTCTTTCTTCAAAACAAAAGTTAAGGCAACATTTGAGTGTATAATTAAAACATCAGGCAATCAATACTACAAGGTCACAACTTGTGGGTAATAATAAATTGAATAATAAATTGATCAAAGAGCGAAGAGCACCATGAACAACGCATTCATCACACACTTGGCTAGGAATGCTGCTGACTCATTTTCTCAAGGGTCATATGCCACCTCTGAGTATTTCGTCATCATTTATTAACCAGCAACATTGACCAGCCATATATTTCCCCCTTTCTATCCTATTTTCTCTTATTCTATGATCATAAACAGAAAACAGAAAATAAATGTTCCCACCAATCACAATTTATATACCTTTCATAGACTTCAGACCATCCAACAAACGCTTCTGATACACCTTCCCAGAAGCTGTAAGAAAAGACATGGTTTCTATCAGAAAATAAAAACAAGGAAAGTGGATGGTCACATAGCTGTGACACAACTGGGAAATTCCAGTAAGATGTTTTGTAAAATTCCACCCTTTGGGAAACCTTTATTAAAGTCATCAGATAAAAATTAGCTTTTTAAAATTATTATTAATTATATTATGTGATACAGTTATATAGGTACTGGGAGTCCCCCCTTCCCTCCCCTAACCCTCCCAACCTGGAAGAAAAGCTGCCTTGACTAGTCAAAAAAATGTACAGTGTTTGACATCCAAGGGAAGTGCTGGGGAGACTTTGTGATTATTCACAAATTATCCCCACTTCTGTCTGTCCCTTTTCCTTCTTCCCCTTTCTTGTAATGGTCTCTTGCTCTTCCCTCCATCTCAGTTAGGACTCAGTAACCCGATGGCTAACATGGTTACCTTTGCATCAGCTCTGATAGACAGCTAGAGAGCTTGGTGACTCCCACCTTAACCCTGCATGAGAGCGAGCTGACCCTTTCCTTGTCACTCCATCACTCCTAGAAGAAGTAGCTGAAGACACATTATAAACGTGCTCACATTGGCATCCAGCTCCCTGGGAAGGCCACCCTGCATGTGTTTGGCTCACCATCCGTGGGTACGTTTTGCTGTAGCTTCGCACATTCTCTCTCGGTGAGCTCTATTCCCATGTCTCCCAGAGCATGTAGCACATTGGCATCGACTTTTTTGCCTTTCAAAAGATAGGAACGTTAGTGCTTGACCACTTTGAGGATCTCTAATGATTCTAAATAATCAGTGATGTATCATCTGCGCTGTGTCACTTTCACCTTGAAGTAATGAACAAGTAGAAACACTCAAGACTACATAGAATTTCGGGGGAATCACAAAATCTCATCCCTTAATTTTATAAAAGGAACAATCTTTTGGTTGTGAATTTGTGAGCAAGTAATTTGCCATCAAGAATAATGGAAACTTAATTAATGTAAACAAATTAGAATAACAGAAACTTAACTGGTAACTTAGTTGTATATGAAATATTGCGATTAGCAACTTTCCCTTCACATATGCCTATGATGACAAGGCATATGTGAATATTTGACAAGGCATATTTGAATACTGGTGAAGTAAAATCATATGATTGATTTATTAAATTATTCCATCAGATTTCTTACCAAACTATAGACTTGAATTATATGCATTAAATTTAAAACGTTCAAGTAAATATATCACAGGATTTTAGAAGCAAATTTAGGATGGAAAAATGTTGAGAAAGTATTTTTAAATTAAAACAATTACATAGTAACTTTCTACTCACCAGTGAAATTTTTAACTTCATTCATCAACTTTGTCATTTTATATTTCCCATTAACTGTTAAGGAAAACATAAATCAAATGCAGATATGATATCTGCATCCATTAAAAAGATGAATTTTAAAAATCAAGCAATATTCATACGTACCGCATACTTGCCTCTCCCTGTCTTGAACCAAAGAATTTAAAATGACTTCCAAAATTTTGATTTATTAAACTATATGAAGATGAACTTCCAACAGTCAAGACTCAGGTATAAAATTAAATCAATGTTGTCCTTGGGTTCTATTTCATTATTTTATGCCTTTGAAAACTCTAAACTACTTATTATATTAAGCACAAAATAGTATTTGCAATTCATATGTACTGCATATTAACATTTGTACATGGCTTTAGATACTGCCTTCTGATGTAATTAGTTTTAAGTAATAATTCCTGAGTTTTCCCTGAGTCAAAATTTTTTTTCTTTTTAAAGTTTATTTTTATTGGAAAGGCAGATCAAATTTACGGAGTGAAAGAGAGACAGAAAGATTTCCATCCACTGGTTCACTCCCCAAATGGCCACAATAGCCAGAGCTGAGCTGATCCAAAGCCAGGAGCCAGGAGCTTCTTCCAGGTCTCCCACATGGATACAAGGCTCCAACGCTTTGGGCCAGCCAACATGAGGGAGCCGGATAGGAAGTGGAGCAGCCACACACAAACCGGGGCCTATATGGGAATCCTGGTGTCTGTATGTTGAGGATTTAGCCACTGAGCCATCCTGTTGGAACTGAGACAAAATTTGTTTCTTCTTTTATATCAGGAAATAAAAATCAATTTGATCAAACTTGAGAAAATTAAAGACTGTATATAGATTCTATACATATAATCAACTTTTAAAGAACACAAACATAAACAACTCAAGATAACCTGAGAAAACGGGCATCTGTAGCTCAAAGATTTACATGCTCACCATCAACAGGCAGTTTCTCCACTAAATCTTTACTTTCCATTTCTGAAAGTTCCATTCCCATGTCTTGCGAAACTGTGTCCTGTTTAGTGACATCAAGGATTCCACCTTAGGAAAAGGAGAGGAACAAAAACGAGAGTGAATAACCATAAGACATGAAGCTATGAATTACTGTGCATCACAGATAAGTTTCACCTGAAGACTGAAGTCCAGTGAAGTGTGATGAACTATACAAAGACTGCCAGTAATGAAGGCAGAATTGAAATGCATATGTTAGAATCTTTTAGGGAGGATCAGTTTACATAATTAGCTCTCAAATGTTGTGCCATGTTACACCATTTACAGAAATAAAGAAAGCAAGTGTTATACCCACTTTCCCCTCAGAAAATGTACCAACTAGTTTTAATGATTCTTACATTTTTGCTAAATTAGGAAAATATCACAGGGATATAAATCTTTATAGTAATATCATGGATATCTTTGTATCCATCTAAATTAAGGAATATACAGTTGACAAAACAAAGGTATCCCATGAATCCTTCCTTGTCTCCATTCTTTCATTTTCCCTATGAAGAACTTTGCCCGTAAATGTAGTGTTGACAATTCCACTTTATATGTATATGTGAAAGTGTTGCATAATTTTGAAATTTGCATGCTATATCATAATGTGAGTGCTCTCTTGCCATTTGGAATCTTTATTAAAATTTCTCCTTTCTTTTGGTTTTAAATTTGTCCATGTTGAAACATGGAGTTCTTCCTCACTTCAGCTAGCATTTATCATTAGACTAGAATGTGTCATCACACAATGATTCTCCTGCAGATGAAGCTTCCATCATTTACCATCATCAAATTGAAATGTAAATTCTTGAAAATGTCTTTTCTGTACAAGAGTGTCTGGAATACACACAGGAATACAATGTGTAAAGTGGAATGTGACCGTCTCTTTAATTTTTTGAGATTTTACCTTATTTATTCCAAAAGTATTGAATCAATTCAAATCCATACCAGTAGTACATGAGAGTTTCCATAGTTCCTATCATTGTTAGAACTTGGTTAGGATCGACTTTACAGTTTTTGTGAATTTGATATGTGAGCTGTTGCTCAACTTAAACTTTCATGACCACTAGTAGGGTGAAATTCATTTTATAAGTGATTAACTTTGAAGGGGAGATTGCCCTCTTTTGTCAAACACCTTTTACTCCCTTCCTTTAAGTTTTAAAAATTTTTGACTAATATGAAACACTTGTACACCTTTTTAGGACACAATTATTATATAAATACAGTATAAATCAGTAACAGCAGGCAATTAGCATCCGTAACTCCCTACTAAGCCTCCAAGTTTGGAGCTATCATTCTCTCCCCTCCGGTCAATTAAACTATATATATATAGTACATGACTGTGATCTACAATTGCTCACTGTGCGTTGGGACAGTAGAATTTATTACTTCCGTGTTTTGATATTCTTTATCCTCTATTCTTCTATCCACTTTTTCCCAAACTTTCCCAGTCCACAGTAACCAACATTCTTTTTAAGATTAAGCTTTATTTTTAAACTTGTACATATTAGGATATGGCAACCAGTTGCATCCATTTGACAACAAATGTTAATACTTCACTCTTTTTGTGGTTGAATAATATTCCAATGTGTATATAAATTTTCTTTATCCATTCTTCCATCTGTGTACACCTTGATTAACTCCATATCTTGTCTATAATGAATAGTGCAACAATGAATACGGAAAAGTAACTCTTCAATATAATCTCATTTCCTTCAGATACATATCTTAGAAGTGGGATGACTGGATCATATGTTAGAGCTGTTTTTATTTTTAAAAATGTTTTAAAGATTTATTTATTTGTATTGAAAAGTCAGATATACAGAGAGGAAGAGAGAGGGAAAGATCTTCTGTCTGCTGATTCACTCCCAAAGTGACCACAACAGCCAGAGTTGGGTTGATCTCATTTCCTGGAGCCAGGAGCCAGGAGATTCTTCTGGTTCTCCTATGTGGGTGCAGAGTCCTAAAGCTTTGGGCTGTCTTCTACTGCTTTCCCAGGCCCCAGGCAGGAAGCTGGATGGGAGGTGGGGCCATCAGGATTAGAACTGACATCTATATGGAATCCCAGTGTGTGCAAGGCAAGGACTTTAGCCACTAGGCTACTGCGCTGGACCCTGTTTTTAGTTTTTTAAGGAACCTCTATATTGTTCCCCACACTAGCTATATTATTGTCATTCCCATCAACAGTATGTAAGAGTTTCCTTTTTTCCCCCACATTGTCAGTGTCAGATAAAAATGCACCAAAACAGCGGGACTATCAAGACCAGAACTGTGATAAAACCAGGCTGTATTGGGGTCTGCTACTGAGTATGGTTCACCAGTCTGCAAGGTAGTGAGTGGCACCCAAAGTCATGCCCAGACTGACTTGCACCTCGTTTAAGCATGGTGCTGATGGGGGCTTGAGGTAGGTGTTGGACTGTTGTTTTGATTGGTTTGCCCCATTTGAATGAGTCCCAGGCGACTATTCTTGGCAGGAACTTATGGCGCCACTAGGGACTTTCGGCCTGCATCCAGGCTCTCTGGGCTAACACTCACTTGCACTTGTTATTTTTAATATTTTTTATTATAGTACTGAAAGTACTTTAAAGATTCCTACACAGCAGCCCCAATTCTCAGAGGTTCAGAGCAATTTAAATCCATCTTCACTCCTTACCACCAACTGGCATGCTCTTCTTTAAATCACTGACTTCATCTTCTCTGAGTTTCCTCTTCGTGTTTTGCCAAACAGTGTCCAGGTTACTAACATCAACAATCCCTCCTTTGGAAAAAGAAAGATGTGCAATATATTATCAATATCTTACTTCCAACTACTGCTGAAGGTTGTTATACCTGAGCACTATGATCATTACAATGTGCAAGGGCTAAGCTTCAATGAAATCTATTCAAGGGCACCAAAAAACATTCATGCAGAACTAGAACTAGAATATCTTCTTCTGGCCTGGATTTATTAGCCAGGTTGAACAACTATCTATCAATTTTTAGTCAGAGGAAAACAAATCTAAGATCTCTAAGAAATCGAGTTTGCTTTCATTTTCCCAACTCTAAGACATATATCAAGTCTTAATAAACTTTTTGATCAGCTTTTTATTTCTACAATTTATTCTTAACGATATAGTATCTGATTATTACCTTCCCTGCTAAAAGTAAAAAGAAAAATAATCCCAACAGGACCATCATCTGCAATCCAATGTACTAGATCAACTCCTAAAACTCATTCAAATATAAGAGTATATATGACATCAGAATACAGGTAAAGACAGCAGAAACTGCAATTTAGTGATTAGAAAGTGGATAAATTCAAAACATGATGCTCTCACATTCATCTGCTTTTTCCTATCATTTCACGCACCTATAAGGGATTTCACATCATCCTTCAATGTCTTTTGATAGAGCTTTGCATTTGCTGTTTAAAAAGATACAAATCAGGTCAGAAGAACAGATGTAGAGATTCATCAAGTTATTTCAAAAGTTACAATTTCAGAATGACACTCATCATTATTTGCCCTGAAGAATTTATAGTTTCATCTTAAACAATGAAATTATAGACTGGCAAAAGTTATTTATGGAGTCTTTATATCTCTTTTTGGCTACACACTAATTTTATCTGGCCTATCACTAATTTCTCTATTTCCCCTTTACTTCACATACATTGAGATCATCTCAGTTTAATCTTATAGATGCCGTACTACTAGTTTCCAAAGCAAGAACAGGCGATTCATTTTCCTGACATCAGGATTAGTGATTGGTGAAGATTATTCTAAAACTATTACAAAACAAGGTGGGATTTTCACCTTAAATTAGAGCTATTAAAATTCATTTTAAATATTTTTGGAAAGCCTTTCCTTTTTTAAGTTTACTATCAAGTAAAACTTAGGTATGAAGCAATCAGGAACATTCTCACAAAAATGTAAGAAACTATTTTCCCTTCCATATTACATTGATATTGGAAAACCTTACCACCAACTGGCAAAACATTTAAAGACTCCAGGCTTTCTTTAGGTGTTGGCCTATGTAACACTCGACTTATTGTTTCCTGTTTCTTAAGATAAGGTCTTCTACAGACATGCAGACCGGGTAATGTCTGACAGTAACAGGAACTGTGTTCATAAAGATGATGAAATCATATGCCTTTAGCTGTGCAATGTCAGTGATTCCAATTAGTATGACTAATAATGAATGCCAAACCCAAGTAGCAATATAAAAAGTTATAAAAAGTAATTTTATTTGGAATCAGTCAAAAAGCACACATAATAGCCACCAAAATTTGAAAATTATAAATTGTTTTCTTTGGAAGTTCTGAGGAGTCACACTTAGTCAACAAAGTCATAAATACTACAGGCAGTGAAAAGAAATTCCTTCCTTAGTCTTTTCTTATTTAACACTAGTTCACTTCAGAACAACAGTCTCAGAAAATTACTTTAGCTTTGTCGGTTTACATAGTAGCTGACTGAAGCAAACAAATATATACTGATAAAATCAGCACAGGATATTTAGTTCAAAAACTTAATAATTTTACTAAAATATTTGTCAATATAAACTAATTATCTCAGGAGAACAGCTCTATTATTTTTTACATTAACATTAATAATGAAAAAATTTTCTGGGACTTATGAGTGGAAGATAATGAAAAATAGGGTAGACAAATGGAAAAAAATTATTGTCATTTTATTAGGAAAATTTGCTTATACAGCAGTTGTACATACCATCAACATCAAGTGTTTTCTCTAACATCTGGTGTTCTTCAGGCTCTAAAGAGACATCTAAGTCTTTAAAAGCATCTCTTAGGTCATTAACTGGAATTCTATCAGAGTTCATCAAACTGACATTTTTGAGGGCAGTGTTTATATCTGAAAGCAAATGGAGTTTAAAACAGTACTGTTTGGAACTAATTTTCTACTTTCTAAATTTTTGAATAACAATATCTCCAACATTTTAGAATGAAATGCAAACATACATATAAATTATCTCTATGATTGTTAAATTCACAAAATTAGCCAAAGTTTTCTATATTTCAATTATTTCCCTAAGATCAGTTGTTTACATCTCATTATCAACAACGTAAAATGGTTTTCAGAAATTTAACTGAATATGACAACCATTTTATTAAAAAAATGAAAATATAGCTGCTACTGTATCACCTAAGGAAATACCTATTTTACTATCAGTGGGAAATAATTCAAGGATGATCTCTGTCCACAAGAAATTGCTCCAATTTCAAGTAATGGAAAATATCAGTTCTAAATTATCCTTTGCTTATATATTTTGCTATGTATTAGTTTTATGCTCATTCCTCAGACTTTCATTCTCTGATTAAAAGTTCCTCAAAAACTGTGTTGTCTTTTGAATGTATTATGCAAAAATGTTTAACCCAAAAAGTTGAACCCTAGCCTTTACTTTTGAACCTAAAAGACACCTAAACACAGGAATCAGCTGCCATGAAATTTATAGATGGAGTATAAACTGGAGTGTCTGAAGCTTACATGAAATAGCGGTAAGATGTCTATAGAGAAAATCAAACTGTCTGACATTCTCTCAAGCTGAGGCACTATGTATACTTAGACACCGCTGATGCTGCTGGGAATGTAAAGTGTTATAACAACTTTGGGAAACAGTCTTGCAATTTCTTTAAAAGTTAAACCTACTATCCCACAACATGTGTCAACTAATACCTCCTTGGTAGGTATACTTCTATACAATGACATGAGTGTCCACAGCTGCTTTGCTATAAAAGCAGAAACTGTAAACAATCTAATGTATGTCATCAAATAAGTGAACTGGCATATCTGTAAAATGAAATAGTACTCAGCAATAAAAAGAGTGCGCGACTGATGAATGATACACATGGATTCATCTCAAAATAACTGCTGAATAAAAGAAGTCACCTAAACAAGATTCATACGTTCATCTGAAATTCCAGAAAATGCAAACACATCTCTATAGTGATGGAAAGCAGCTAAGTGGTGGCTTAAGGATGTGAGGAAGAAGGGTGCAGAAAATACGAGACTACAAAAGGGTATGTGGAGATTCTGGAGGTAAGGAATATGCTGATTATCTTGGTTGTGATAATGGCATCATGGGTTGTGCATACATCAACACATATAAACCAATAAGTATCACACCTCAGAATGCTCTTTAAAATAATCATAACAAAGAGCAATTAAAGCTATGTCAAACATCTAAAATGAAATATGGATCAACCTACCTTCAAATACAGGTGCTGGCTTATTTGCACTCAAGTTCTCCAAAATTTCTTTGAGACTTACTTTATTATTTTCTAAAAAGTAAGACAAAAGAATTTGACATGAAATAGAAAAATGTAAATGGAAATAATCATTAAATAATCATGACAGAGGATGAAGAAAAGCAAATGCGTAACTTCTTTAAATTAGCAGAATAGAAATAAATCAGCTTTAACAATCTGTTCTTTCAAAAGAAAGAAATTCTAACTATATTAACTTATTTGGCTTAAATAATTGCATGCATATTTACCCATACACATAAACCCATGTAGGCATAAATATTTTAAGACTCATAGTCTTTATTAAATTCATTCAAAATATTTATATGGATTAAAACTTTTCTATATTTATTAAATATTGATGCAGGTACAAAATAAATATATAATGGATATAATCTATATTTATTTCTTTAAACATTTATTTATTTTTATTGGAAGGGTAAATTTACAGAAAGAAGAAGAAACAGAGGGAAAGATCTTCCATCTGCTGGTTAGCTGCCCAAATGGCTACAGTGGCTGGAGCTAAGACAATCCAAAGGCAGGAGCCAGGAGCCAGAAGCCCTCTCTGGGTCCCCGATGTTGGTGCAGGGTTCAAATGCTTGGGGCCATCCTCAATTGCTCTCCTAGATGACAAGCAAGGAGCTAGATGGGAAGTGGAGCAACCAGGACAGAAACTGTCACCCATGTGGGATGCCAGCATTTGCAGGGGGAGGGTTAGCCAATTTAGTCATCACGCTGAGTCTTAAGGTTGCTTCATATTTACAAATATATATGCTGGATTTAATACCAGTTTATAAATAAGCATGATAAATTTAACCATAAGCAGAAGATGACTTTTAAAAATACTTCCAGGATATAGAATAAGGCTTTTAATTAGCTTTCAATATCTTGTTCTCATTTTGTTTCGAAAACCCAGTTTATCTGTCTGTAAGAATGACCTATTATAAAAAAGACAATTATTTTCAAGGATGCAGTAAAAAGAGGATGGTTGCACATTGATGGTGAGGGCATAAATTAGTACAGCCATTATGAAAAACACGAAATTCCTCAAAAACAATTTAAAGTAGCACTATAAATATGATTCAGCAATTTCACTCCCATGGAACTGAAAACTGAAAATGAAATCAGTATATTAAAGGGATATCTGCAGTCAGCATTATTGGCAACAGCCAAGAAAACGAATCAACATAAGGGTCTATCAGTAATGATGAACCAAATGGGGGCAGGCCATCTCAGACTGGGCCACCGCATCCACTGGCATGTGCAAGAGTCAGGGCTGGTAGGAGAACCTTGAAGACACCCTTGCTGAGCTGCTGCTTACACTGGTGAGTGTGAGAGCTGGAAATGGGGGCTAGGCTGCCACACTTGCTGGCCTGCACTAGAGCCAGAACAAGTGTGGGTCGGCTGGGCTGGACCCTAGCACCTGTTGGCAAGTGCCAGGACTGGATGCAAGTTATGTCAGGCTAGACCATAATACCCCCTGGTAAGCACAAGATCCTGTGCTAGGAGGGGGCCTGGTAGAGAAACTGGTGTGGGCACTTCTCTGCCAGCTGCAGCTCCTACTATGTAGCACAAGAACGAGGGATGGTGACAGAGTGGACTGGACAAGGGAGCAGCATCCATCAGCATCTGTGTGGGCTGGGTCGGGGGGTGGGTCAGGCTGTGTTAAGCTGTAGGACCAATAGTTGAGCACTCGAGCCAGATGGGATGTGAGACAGATCAGAGGCTAGGCTGCAGCACATGCTGACACATGCAAAAACTGGGGCTGGGTGTGGGCCTGGTAGTGGTTATTGGAGGATACCCAGACAGGCCATAGTACCCATTGGTGTACATGAAGACTGGACCTGTGGCAAGGTTGGTCTGGGCTAAGTCACATCACCAACCAGTTCACATCAGAGATTGGGGTTGGGGCAGAACTGGCTAGGTAGCTGCATCCACTGGTATATGCATTGACTGCCACAGGTAATGGACTGAACCTGACCCTGTACTGGCGCTGGTGCATAGAATAGTCAATTCTGAGTTCACTCCAGGCAAGGTTTCTTGTGAGACTTGCCAAATAAATAGCTCAACTCAAGCTCTGGCCACAGAGAAACCAAGAAGATATGTGTTCCACAATCACAACATATGTGAATGCATGTGTCTGGACTGGGCTTCCTCAGTTACAGATGCCTGTACAGAGGTCAGCCTGCCAAGATTCACATAGGGGATATCACAGCCAGCTCATCCAGTTCAGCAGCGGATGTTGAGTGCCTTGTCAGAGGAAGGAAAGCAGAACAAATTGGACTGCTCTCCTGGCCAAACTTTGCAGCAAGTATCTGGGCCTGCAGATGCACTAAGCAGAACTTGCTTAGCCCATACAGCCTGGAAAGATTATCTCAACCCTAGCGCATTGTACCCACTAATGTTTCAGGGCTATCAAAAGCACTCAAGCAACACCCTGGGAACACTGACCCCACATCGAGGTCTCTAAGGCACCATCAATGACCGTCCCCCATCCCTGGGAGATGATGTAGTGTGACCACAAGGAGTTGTCCCACCACCCCTTCCTTCCCTGGGGACTCAGGAGAAAAAAAATTAAACATTTGTTCTATTCACCTTCCTACATACCCTTCAATTTACTTCCATCCCCAACCTAATCAGAGATCCACATGGATGTGCACCCCTCTCAACTATGTAAACAATGTTAAAAACAAAATAAAAATAAAAAAAATAAACTGAAAAACAAAGAATTTATGGACATCAATTATGTAGCAAGATGACTATAATTAGTAGCATTTGAAAATCAATGAGGGGGCCCGGTGTGGTGGCGCAGTGGTTAAGGTCCTCGCCTTGCACCCCCGGGATCCCATATTGGTGCCAGTTCTATCTCGGCAGCCCTGCTTCCCTTCCAGCTCCCTGCCTGTGGCCCAGGAAAGCAGTCGAGGACGGCCCAAAGCTTTGGAACCCTGCACCCGCATGGGAGACCTGGAAGAGGCTCCTAGCTTCGGACTGGCATAGCATCGACCGTTGAGCTCACTTGGGGAGTGAATCATCAGACGGAAGATCTTTTTCTCTGTCTCTCCTCTCTGTATATCTGCCTTTCCAATAAAAAAAATAATAATAATTAAAAAAAAAAAAAGAAAATCAATGAGGGAGTAAAGTTCAAGTTACCACAAAAAATATAACAACATAAGGTTATAGATATAGTAAGTAGCAAATCTAATATTCTACAGTGTACATATCTATCAAAACATAGCATTGAAAATAATAAATACATACAACTTTTTGCTGGTCAATTTAAAAAAACATATGGGGTCAGTATTGGGAAAGTTAAGCTTCCTATGACATCAGCATCCCTTAAGAGTGCTGGTTCAAGTCCAAGGGACTCCACTTCCGATCCAACTCCTTGCTAAAGCAGAGGAAGATGCCCCAAGTACTTGGGCCCCTGCCCACACATGGGCGACCTGGAAGTAGCTCCTGGCTTCAGACTGGCCCACCCAGCCCCAGACAGTGTGGTCATTTAGGGAATGCACCAGTGAATGAAAGGTTCTGTGTGTGTCTCTCTCTTTCTCTCTCTGCAATACTTTCAAGTAAATAAATAAACATCTCACTAATTAACAAATAAAATACATATGTGTAAAACAAATATCCAAAGTAAATGGTAAAAACTAGTACTTAAGCAACTTTAATATAGATTACTCTTTCATAAAGGATTCACCATCAACAGACGCTTGTTTCAAGATCTCTTGGAATGTCTCGTTACTCAATGCAATTCCAGCACTCGAGAGTTTGGAGCCCAGTTCATTTACAGGTATCTTATTATTTCTGAGACTATTAAAAACTGTAATCTCTTTAAGTAAATCTGTGAATACAAGGGAGAATACAGAACAGATAATGGAACTGGATAAGACTTTTTTAAAACTAAACATCCAGCTTTAAAGAGGCGGATATATTAACTATTTACACTCAAGGGTGTTTCTATCATATGCCTAAATCTTTAAAATTACAGAGCTTTTCAAGAACAACTATGTGATAACCCTTAGAACAAAGTCATGTATCAGAAATACACAGAAGCCAAGCATCTGAAAAACAAGAAAAAAGAAAAATGCAAATTCACCCCCATGTGGGAGACCTGGAAGAAGCTTTTGGTGCATGGCTAATAGCTAATGGCTCATGCTCCAGATTGGCTCAACTCGAGCTGTTGTGGCCATTTGGGGAGTAATCCCTGCTAATGGTCTGAAAGACCATCACGATACATCATTATCAAACTCTCTTCAATTGAACATAAAGAAAAGATACTTAAATATGCACATGAGAAAAATTAACTTATAGGAGAACTCCAATCAGACTCACAGCTGGCCCCTCAGAAGAATCTCTACAGTCCAGAAGAGAATGGAGTGATGTAGTCTAGATCCTAAGAAGAAAACAAATGCCATCCCAGAATAATATGCAGCAAAACTTTATTCTGTCTTTGAAAGTTAAAAAAGAAAACTTTCACAGTAAGCAAAAGCTGAAAGACTTCACCTCTGCTATACCTGTCACACAAATGATACTTAATAATGTCCTATTGACAGGGAAAAGGAGTGGCATCTACCAAAAACAAAGGTAAATGTGGAGAATGTCCCAATAAAATGACAAAAGAAGACCAAAACAATGAACAACCCATGGCTAAAATGACTAAACCATATGCTGCTAAATGAACAATGGGTTATAGAAGAAATCAAAAAGGAAATTAAAAAAATTCCTTGAAGTCAGTGAAAAGCATCAACATATCGAAACATGGGATACAACCAAGGCAATGTTAACAGGAAAGTACAACATTCTTCTCAAATCTAGAGAAAACTATGCTAAAATTCACATGGAAACAATTTTTTTGAGAGTGCAGATGGTATATTTTGCATGTTCTCAACATTTTAGAAACATTCTCTTAAAACCAACTTCATTGCAAATCCTATTAAATACAGGTTTTTTTCTATTTTTTTTTAATTATTATATTTTGACAATCTTTACATAGATAGTTAGGGTAAAAAGGTTCAAGAGGCACCCCATGGTGAAGACAGGAAGCCAGTGGATGCATGTCCTCTGGTTTCTTATAAAGTCATTGACATTCAATTATGCAGGTTCTGCCCCAACGACTTTATTTAATCCTTATCATTTCCCAAAGGATCTGTCTCTAATACCACTGGGGTCAGATTAAGTTTACACTTTTGATACTCACGATGAAGATTCAATCACAACCTAAGTTTCAGAGAGGACAAACCATATTCAAACTGTATCAAATACTAGTTCTATAAAGAAAGTTCAAGTACTAAGCATAAAGTTTGAGTGTATGGCCTTTGAATGAGTTCTATCTTTTAACACTTTTTTACTATAAAGCTTTTACCAGTAAAATTGTAAACATTTTGTGTGTTTAAGGCCTGTACACAATCTTTCACATTCACCATGTTGTCTTCTGGAAAGAAAAGAGAGAAGTGACAGACTAGAAATTCCAGATACAGTAATCTTAAAAGTCTTCTATCTGAAGCAACATTCAGCTTTTATATATTTCTTGAATCTTTTATCCACAAGGTACTTCTGAATTCATTCCCATTCATTATATCTTGCCATACCCTGACAAGGTTATTGACATACTATTTCTGATCTACTTATAATGGAATTAAAGTACCAACAAATGTCCAGTAACATCACTCAGGCAAAGGTGGAAAAACTAAGATTTCTACTCACATAACTAGAATACTTAACCTGTTCTTAACACACTGAATTACAGTGAATGTGAGCAGACAGAATTTCAAAAAGACCACTCCTCACAAGATTTGGACTTGCTTGTTTTAAGGTGTTCTTGAAACTTCAGAAAAGAAAATTAAAGAAAAATCCAAAGGTAACACTTAAAATACTTGCCAGAAACCAAACCTGATGGAAGACTTTTCTCTATCTCCTCTGGAGATGATTTAATCTCAGCACTTCTTAGAAGGTCTTCCAAGTTCTCAGCTATCCTGTCACCTCCAAGTGAATCAAGAGCTGATACAGCCCCCCGTGACTCTAGAAGTAGAAAAAAAGAAGTCATTTGGTAATTGAAGTAATTTCTAATTTAAAAACAACAGAAACAATCACTGCGTACTTCTGTTAGTGGCATCCTGTGGTTTAATATTATATTTGAACTGAGGAATAACAACATTTCAGAGTAATTCATCCCTCAGATGACTCTATGACCAGCAGCTCAATGTACAACCCTGCCACTCCACTTCCTGGTAATGCTCCTGGGAAAACAGTGAGTTATGGTCCAAATCCCTGGGTCCTTGCCTTGCATGTGGAAGACCCAGATAGAGTGCTCCAGGCTCCTTACTGCACCTGACCCAGCCTAGACCAACCAGGTCAATGAACCAGAGACAGGACATTTCTCTTTGATGATCTTTTTTTCTCATTTTTTCTCTTTCTTTCTCTCTCTTCTTACCTTTCACACCTCTGCTTTCCAAGTAAATCAATCTTATTTAAAAAAAAAAAAAGATATTCATCCTGAACAACCTTTCTAAGCCCCACCTTCTTATTTCAGAATTAATTCAAAAAATGATAACTACAACCTCAGAGGGGGCACCAAAAAAAAAAAAATCTATCATTTTCTAAGAAATGTCACCACATTTGATCCTGACAGCTCTGAAACAGGATGACATTAGCTTCTTCATTTTAAAGATGAGCAAACCCAAATGGCCTAGAGAAATCGCTCATGTTAATTGGAAATCCACATCTGTCTACCCCAAAGCCCATGCTCATTTCTACTTCCACGCATAGCTTCCTACAATAGGCAATCTAATATTTTATGTTGGAGGTAGTTGCCTGACCAGATAATATATTGACATTTTAACTGGAAATCAATTATTAAGCACTTTTGTTAACATAAAGGAGAAATTCTAACCAAAGGAATTTCACATGTAAAGCACTGAAAATCTGAAAGTGCTTGTCTACTTCTTATATACAGCAAGGATTATATTTGCCTCCCTAAACATTTTTGCTGTTTTGCTTTGATGTTTACTGAGCAGATAGCTGTTTGAATAGTTATTCAAATTCCCAGTGATGTTGTTTCAAACATATTCTCCAAATAAAAAGGCAGACAAAAACCATGTATATTGCCGTTACTAATTTTTGTCCTGTTTTTAATTTTTAAGTAAAAAAAAAATCAAGTAATAGAAGACTTATGCTACCCTAACTACACTCTTTATTTAGGAAAAACTAAAGACATGAGAAATACCTACTTGAGAAAGTGACCAAAAATATGAGAAATTCTATAATTTAGAGCAATAAGTCTAAGGCTTAAAATTATATGTGAAAAGCAACACCCAGAAAAATTTTTAAGAATTATATAGTCATACCTGGAAAAATTTTGAAGCCAATAGATTACAATCCGTGAGTCCCAAGAATCAAACAAAAAATGATTAGAGAGAACTTCCAATAAACCCCTTTTCTAGGGGGAAAGTTTTTTTTTTTCCTATATTATAGAAGCTACCTTTTTTGAAGAAAATAACGTCTTGTTTGCCTACAAGCAGATCAAGGCCAACATACTAACCAGAAATTAATGTAACACTAAAAGGTAAATTTAACAAATAGTTCAGCACTTGCCTTCTAACCTGGAGGTGTCATTCATACTCTTTACTACTTCTGCAAATTCTTCAAATTGTACTTGGTCATCTTCTGTAAGAAAAACATTTTAACAGATCAGCTTCAGTAAGCAATGAAAAATGTTGATAAAATGTGAATAACTTCATTGTTCATGAGAATTATATTTTCCTTAAATATTTTGAATACTGTGTGGAACTAATGAATTTTAAGACTGCAGAAGTCAAGCTGAGTTCTCAACTTCTATCATTAAAGAGAGACTGTATAATCAATATAAATAAAATGAAACACTAAAAAAATAAAAGACTAATATATATTCTTAGATAAGCCTAAGAGTTAGATCTTGGTTTTAGCTTAGTATTTCAATTATTTGAAAACAAAAAAATTTTTACTAGAGAAACTGAAGAACTTCTTTCAGTGCCTGATGTTTCTACGACTGTAATTTCTAACAACAGTTTATATCTGTTTCTTATACAAGAATACCCAAGTGATGAATTACACATTCAAAGTAGAGATACAGGAGGACAAGCAGCTTTACTTTTCATTTCCTATTTTATTAGGAATATGGAACCTAGTCCAAGGATTCAGAATTACTGTAGCATAGGATCAAAGACTAGAATAAAGCATAACCAGCAAGGTTATAGCCAATATGCAAGATAAAAACCTGTATATAGAGGTTTTTAATTTGTTCATTTTTAATATAGTTAGCTATTGACATCTTACCTTCTATCTAGCATGGCTTTTAAACCAACACTTGAGTTTTGGGAATTTTATTCTACAGAGAAACCATATATTTACATGCAGTACTTTTCCTGCTTCTGTATTTTGGCAGCCCTACATTTCCCTTATTACAAAGGCTCTTGAATCTATCATTTATCTCAAGTAGCACTAATAATAAAATTTGAAGAGTGCTCGTAATTCTCTCTGTGTTCTCCTGTATATGCTGCTTTCCGCTAATGTATTAGCTAACTACACACACACACACAGATACATATATACATGACTTTGCTTGAATATACCAAATGCATGTTTGTTCAATTTGGATAATAAAATTATATATCAATATAGGACAATCTGAAATTCCTTCATATTCCACATATATTGATAATTTAAGCACATTGGAACACTCTAAGATGTGATACTATATAACCAATAGAAAAAAAATTAGTAGTAAAGTTCCCTGACATTAATCTCGGGAGAGATATCTGAGATATGACTCCCAAAACAAAATTAATGAAAGTAAAAGTAGACACGAGATATCATGAAGCTAAAAAGCTCTGCAAAATGATAGGAAAAAAACTGTAAGAATGAAGAGATAGCTTACATACTGGGAGAAAATATTTGCAAATCATATGCCAGATAAGGGACTAGCACCCAAACCATACATAAAATTCAAACCACTCAATAACAACAAACATATATGCCCTATTTTTTAAATGGAAAAAGGACTTCCAATATAATTTTCTCAAAAGAAAAATAACCAAGAGATTTCTAGAGAAAAAAAATGCTCAACATCACTTATCATGAACGAAAGGCAACTTGAAACACAATGAAACAGCACCTCATAATTGTTAGATCAGAAGTTCTCAAAACGTAAGCATATCTTTGTGCATTCTTTCACAGTATTTTGAATACCCACCATCAACTTTCACTAAATTCAGTGCAGCCAGGAACTCATCTTTATTTAAATTGCTATTCAAACTAGCCAGAGTATTCCACAGACGAGAAACTCGCATCTTGTCCTTGCTGAGACTGTGGAGGCTTTCAACAGCATTGGGCAACCCTGAAAGGTTGAGGGAGACACAAGCTTCATCACATCCTTCTCTCCAGGGAATTATTGTAGCAAGCATTCATTTGGAATACAGCCAAGCATTTACGTCTTTATTCTTAATGGCAACTATGGCAAAAAAATATATTGCCAATTTTCAAATATCATAACATAGTAACTAATATCTAATTTAATATATCTCAGGGGATTGTATTTCCAGATTTTATAATATCCACACCCTTGAATAATTATTAGATATGAAAATAACACTTCACTTTTTAAATTATAATGATTTTCTAAAGTATTGAATATGAAAATACTTTTACTTTTTACATTCAACTTAAAATTTACAAAAGTCTGAACTCACAAATATTTCCATCTGATAAAGCAGTGAATCAAGTAACTTCTGTTCTGTATCTGCTCCTCCTTTCCTCCCCACCCCCTGTCCCTCCAACTTCTTCCCTGGCTCCCTCTTCAATTGATCACATCACACAATGGAAATAAACTTCATTCTTTGGAGGGTTTTAAACAGCAGAGTGAATTCACATCTTAGCAATTTGTAAAATGTCATTTGATACTAGACAGAGGAACCCTCCTGAAGTTTAGACAATTAGGAAACTACAAGTTCAGAGGGGGAAAAATTTTGTCAGTGGCTTTGACAGAGTGACAGTGATGGAGGCAATTATCAGTGAGTAAATTCAAGATACATTTTTAGAATGAAGATGAGCTTTCACTGATGAATTGAATAGGAGGTTGAAGAGATTAAGATCACAAAAAACTAAGCTGGAGACCAGAGCAACTAGACAGAAATTGACACTAAAGACTAGCAAAAAGCAAATAGTGAGAAAGTTGATCAAAAGCACATATTTCAGGAGGTTTTCAAAACACCTGTGGAAAACTGAAATTAAAATCTTTGAGTGCAAATAAAATTAATCCATGCATGTTTCTATCACGGTAATCACGTTACGTGAACTTTCTGAGGGCCTTTCATGTTATTTAAGGTAGTAGGATCATTCTGGAAGAGCCTTAGCTAGAAAATGGGACTCAACTTGCATTATTTTTAACATATTGTTAACATATTTTAACAACAAAAGAGATAGCAAACAAGATCAAAATGGAATGAGTAACAAAGTGGGAAGGAAACTGGGAGATTACTGTATCATAAGAAACCGGGGGAGAAAAAAATTTCAAAATGAAACTCATTAAGAGCTGCTAGATGGGCAAGAGTCTGAGTTTTCAGTTAAGATGGGCTTGGGCCACCTGTATCCCATGCAGTATGTGTATGTGTGCTTTGTCCTGGCTATACATCTGACCCTAGCTGCCTGTTGATAAGCATCCTGGGAAACAGCGACGGATCAAGTAGTGAGTCCTCACCACTCACATGGGAGTACTGACTAAGTTCCTGGTTCCTGGTGACAGCTTGGTCCAGCCTTGGCCATTGTGGGCACTCTGGGTGTGACCTAGCAGATGGGGACTGTGTGTGTGTGTGTATGAGTTTATGTGTTTCTGTCAAATTTTTAAAAAATAAAATTATAAAACAATAAAAGCTGCCAGAGCTGAAAAGATGAAGACATAAAATTAATCACTGGATTTAGCAAAATGACACTCTTCTTAAAAAGCTAGTATTAGTATGAAGTGCATGTTTTAATAAAATAGAATTGGTAGTATAGAAGACTAAGATTAGCCAGATTACTCCAATACACCAAATTTTAAAAATCAAGAAAAATAGTATTTTGTCACAGATGAAAAAGAATGGGTTGAATGGAAGAGTAGACACAATGGAACTAGGACTACCATAACAAGCGAAACAAAAGGATTAAAATGACTATTAACTATGGGCTTAAACAGCTGGATGTTAATGGATGCTAATTTCAAAGTAAAGGGCAATCACCAAGTTCCAGAAATGAGGAAGAAATGTGAAACATGTATGTACCTGAGCTGGTACCACAGTGGTCAGATGGCATAATGTGGAATTAAGAGGACGAGATACATCTGAGCTCTAATTTTAATTCTACCTCCTACTAGCTGTATGACATTAGGGAGAGATTTTTTTTTTAAATCTCTGTACCTCGGTTTTCTAGTCTATAAAACATACATTAGTGGAGTTGATATGAGAAATCTATGAGTTACATAAAAAGTATATGGAACAGTACTGGTGACATCAGCACTGATACATAAAATTAACAAATAATAAAAATTATTATTATTATGTGATGCATATGAGACTAAAATTACAGTTGAGGTACCCACATAACATATAACTTGGGAAGTCTTCCCATCTCAAAAGTTGTGACTAAAACACTTCAGCTTCCTTTCTAGGAATTCAGGAAGAAAGTTTGTTCTCTATTCCTAAAGTCTGGACAGGGGGGAAAACAAGTGTCCAATTATAATCTAAATCTCAGAGCACCATGTATGAATGTCAGATTTCAAATCAGTTTGGAGCTGACACATGGCATAGTGGAGGGGCCTGGCTCCAGCCATTGCAGCCATGGGGATTGAACCAGCAGACGGAAGATCTCAATTTCTCTTCTTTCTCCCTCCCTTGCTCCTTCAATCTCTTTTTCTTTGTCTAAATTCTAAAGTGTCTAAATTCCATAAAAGTGACTCAATTAATTATTATTATGGGGAAAAATTAAGTTGGATCCCAATTTCCTCTGGTACCTAATCATAATTCCAGATAAAAATAAAGACTCCAATACAAAATTCTTTAAAGTTGATAGAAAAAAACACTGGGAAATATCTTAATGTCCTCAAAAAATGAGGTAGACTCCTATTTGTTATATAAGTCAAAGTTATTTGTTAAATATGAGAAGGGCATCAATTTGGATAGGATTAGAAGTTTAAGAGATTGGAAATTTTAAAGACTTTTTTTTCCAGAAAGTTGAAGGATGGCCAGCTGTGAAAAAAAAACTTTTTAAAATAGGAAGTATAATTTCTCCATAGCACTAAAGGCCAGCAAGCAGAAAACAATAACCAAAATGTTCCAGTGGTACACTTCACAATCCATGCACCCATTTGATTTTCTGCAGGATAAAATGGGATTTAGCCAGATGGGTGCAACAAAATTACCAGGAAGCAAGATCAAGAATTGGATAAGAACCAAAAGCAAAATGTATATAAGATCAAGAATTGGATAAGGACCAAAAGCAAAAGAGGAGACTGATAGATAAGGGAAAAGCAGTAGATGATGGAAGGTATCGATGAGATACAAAGGAAATATGTACTGAGCCAATCTGACAAAGAAAAGAGAAAAATTGTAAATATAAACATACAATATTAAAAATGATAAAATTATATAGCTAAGATATGAATAAGATAATATAAAATTTAATCTTCTTGAAATTGGAATTCCTATAAGAAATAAAATGACTGAAAATACAATTTCTTCATCCTTATTTATTGTGTGCTTTTATATGAGGCAAATTAGACTGACTTACATTATAATGTAAAAGTAACTATTGCTTAGAATCTATTATTACGAAGTACTCAAGGATAAAATAACACAATGCTGCTTTTAGTCCCGATTTTAAAGTGCTAACTTTATTCTATTAAAAATATACATGGATCATCTTATTTTTCTTAGGATAAGTTTCTTAATGGAAAAGACCAATTTTCACATTAGTGTTCTACCACTCAACACAAAGCCTGTACGCATTAATAACTCATAAATGCTATTGAATAATTTGGAAGATGGGAACAAATACTGAAAAAACAGTGGAAATGAGAAATTCTCCAGGTTAGTTCTCAACCACTAGATGTCATCATTTTCCCAAAGTGAGAAGACATTTTAAATCTTTTTCCCAAAATGAATGTTACAGACTCAAACATGGTTCTAGCTTTGCATCACAAGGACAGGGATGAGAAGACTGTGACAGCTTTTCAATTCGCTTGCATGTAGAAGTTGTCCTATAACGTCAACAACAGAGAAGATTATAGACAAACATAGTAGCAGGAAGCTAGGCATTCATTTGGTTGGTCCAATGACTAGCTCTTCCGCCATTGTATAGTCTCCTAAAATCTGACAAACTGTTTCATCCATTAAAAAAATACATAATATTCTTACATAATTTTTCAGAGAAACGTTCTGTATTGCTCAACATTGTATCAACAAATTCTTTAAAATTCACTCTTTTTGCATCTAAAAAGAAAAGAAACATTTTTCAGTATCATTAAGCATAAATTATTAATGATATTGAATTATGCAAAATCAAGTCATATATTCAAGGAACTATAATTATAATCAATCCAGTAATATTAATCATTACCACTATACATTGGTATAATGGGAAAATACAATTCAATTTATAAGCAAAAACTGAGGCACAGTGTTGACATGGCACACCTTAGCCATCTTGTAAGATGTATCCAACTGAAGTGTCAGTTCAAATTCTGGCTGCTTTACTTGGATTCAAATTCCCATTAACACACCTGAAAAGGTAACAAAGATGGTCCAAGTACTTGGGTCTTTGCCACGACATGGAAGACTGGAACGGAGATATGTCTATTGGCTTTGGCATGGTACACAACTAGTTATTGCAGCATTTAGAAGGTGGACTAGAGAGTGGAAGCAAGATCTTTCTCACACTCTATAACTTTTGAATAAATAATTCTTTTTAAAAATTGATGAATACTAAGACAATTTATTAAAATCCTTCTAGTCCCTAAAAGTGTGCAATATTTTAATTTTGATATAATTATCTTGTCTTGGCTTTCCATCAAATCAACAAGAGTTAGTGAAGTATTGGTGTCTTAATTTTCAAATTAAAGATAATACACAATAAATGATTTTTCTAAGGCCACAGAAAAAATAGAAAACCAAGGATTAGAAGCAAGTTCTCTTGGTTCCTGCTCTCTTCCACACCAGCCTATCATTCACAAAAACACTGTTATTCCAGTATACTGCAGAAATCATTAAGTATTTTAGAAAATGCCATTCCTTGATTATATATAATTTCTCGTAATAGTCCAAATGTTGGAGTTTTTTAAATTCTAAACTTTCCAAGGCCATACACCAAGAATGGGACTACAAATAAAAAGGCACACGAGGCAGGATTTGGGATCTCTGACAGATGACTTATCTAAACAGAGCTTTGAAGTTTCTTTGTGATTGCTTTTAACTGCACATCATAAGTTTGGCTAGAAATGCTACGATTGAAAGAATATATAATTAACAGGGAAGCTCAGCAGAAAGATTTGGAAAATTCATAGCACAGCCAGAGGAGGAATGAAGATAAGTGTGATTGGGAAGGGAGAGTGCACTGGGAAAATTGCTAGCCAAAGAGATTAATTAATACAAGTAAACAGGATTTGTGCTCAGCCAGGAAAACACTGACAGAAAAAACCCCACAAGCATGTCAGACATCTTCCAGACTGCCTCTCCCATCCCAGGCCAGAGACCTGGAGGGCAGTACTGTTTCACACCTCCACATGTTTACTCTGGGATTATCCTGAGGATTCATTTTCTGTTCAGTGAGGGAACTGACTGTACATTCTCTGAGTGCACTGATGTTCCAAGCACGCCGAGATGCAGATTTTACTAGCATCAGATCTCAGATCGTTCCATCCTGGCTTTAATAGACTTTCCCGGGGCAACGGTGTAAGTCAATTTTTTCTCTGTATCTACAGATTTAGATTAACATCTGGAAATTATTACATATGATAGAAAATAGGAATACAACTCCATTTTTTTTCCTGTTTGAATAATTATTGCACTAGCATTGACTAAGCGGTTCTTGTTTCTTCAGTGAGCTGTGATCTCTCAAATATGTTTTCCAACTCTTTATCGCTATACCAAATATTCAAGAAAAGCTCCTATTGAAGGAAAGAGGTTTCTTTTCACCCAGAGTTTTGCAGGCTCACAGGCTGACTGAACAGGTGCTGTTGGTTCAGACACGTGTTGAAGCTAGAGAGTAGCAATAGTCAAGCTCACGGTTCTAGATAATGAAATTCTGAGCATTTTCATGTACTTTTCATTACATTTATTCTCCTTTGTATTGGCTTAGCCTTAACAGACTTTTTCTAATCAAAAAAATTAGATTCATTCTGAGAAAAAATAACAAACTTCCATTTTGTCTAAAAATGTGCCACTTACCATCAACTTCAGTCAACTCCTGGATCTTCTCAAATTCTGGCTTAGAAAGGTAAACTCCAAAATTTTGAAGACAATTATTTAGATCTGCATAATCAACAGTTCCATCTTTAATTTTATCAACAGCTTTAATGACATCAGTCATCACTAAAAATAAAACAGTAATTTAGTAAGTTAAAATAAAATAAACACTAGTGACAAATTGAATTTCAGTTCTAACATTAAGTTGCTAAAAATAAAAGTCACATCAGAAATGTTAGACTAAAGCATGATCAGTGAAATAAGCTCAATATCACAGTCAAAATAAATAGTTCTATCTCACTCTATAGAAATCTCTATCTAAGAAAACACTAAATTAACTGCAGACAACATTACAATTTACAATATATAAAAGCAAAACACTATAACCTTTTCCCCACTTAATACAAGGTAAAATTCCCTAATAATTTGTTTCTCAATGGCAGAAACAGACGCAGAAAAATCTCAACCCCAAATTATAAAATGAGGTAAAGTTTTGTGGCAAAATGTGGTTTGGTCCCTGGTAAATTTATCTTATCTTCTTTGAATATAAATATTATTATTTAGCAATCACTTTCCTACAGTGGTTTTTCAACTTACTTACTTGTCAAATTCTTTTTTTAGTGGAGGTTTAAGTTTACTATTATAAAGTAAATTTAAGGTATATAATTGTTAAAATTAAAAGAAAAATAGGAAAGGAGGGAAGTAGGTGGGATAGTGTAGTAAATATCATATTCTCTTTTTTTTAAAGATTTATTTTTATTATTTTTTCATTGGAAAGGCGGATATACAGAGAGGAGAGACAGAGAGGAAGATCTTCCGTCCGATGATTCACTCCCCAAGTGTCCGCAACGGGCCGATACTATGCCGATCCGAAGCCAGGAGCCTCTTCTGGGTCTCCCACGCGGGTGCAGGTTCCCAAAGCTTTGGGCCGTCCTCGACTGCTTTCCCAGGCCACAGGCAGGGAGCTGGAAGGGAAGCGGGGCTGCCGGGATTAGAACCGGCGCCCATATGGGATCCCGGGCGTGCAAGGCGAGGACCTTTAACCACTTGCGCCACCACGCAGGGCCCTAAATATCATATTCTTAAAAGTGTATGTCTGAAACACAGGAAAAAATTTTCCCTTTGCATAAATAGAAAAATTTTAAAATACATAAAATTTGTTCCTTTTATATAAATAAGCATGTTTAAAGAAATTACTAAATTTCTTTTTGTAACACTTTATAAAATTTGTACTTTACAAACGTGGGCAGTATTTTCTCCTTTAAATATAAACAAATTTCTATCACAGTGAAAACACTAAAAGGAAATTCTAGGTGGTGGTACTGTGGCATGGTGAATTAATCCATTGCCCACAATGCCAGCATCCCATTTCAGTGCTGCTTGGAATGCTTGCTGTTCTACTTCCAATGAAGGCACCTCAGAAAGCAACAGAAGATGGCCCAACTCCTTGAGTTCCTGCACCTACTGAGAACCTAGATTCCAGATTCCCAGCTTCTGCCTGGCCCAGCCCCAGTTGTTAGGAGTGATGTTAATAATAGGATAGACTGTGGGATATTATGAGAACTCTTTGTACTCCATTTTACTGCTTTTGCTTTGGAAATTGAAAACTATTCTGAAATTGAATGCTTTATACAAGAATATATTTTCCAAGGGTGTTGTCAGACTGAATCCCCAGTTCCTGCCAGAGACTGGTACCTACAAATCGAAGGTTTGTGAACATCACAACCAGGTGGTCCTTGCCACCCCTACAGCTGCCAGGAGATAACATAACAAGAATGCAGCTACTGCATAGTAGTACGTAATTAGGATCTTGCCTTGGGTCCACCTCCTTCAGACCCAGCATCTGATGAAGCCCAGGTCCTCTACCTACATCACTCGTGGCTAGTGCTCACACACTAAGCCTCTAGACTTGCCCAACATCAGGCATAATGGACCCAGTGTGGCACATATTGCCACCAATCTCAAGCAGGTGTCACCAAGACATCAAGGTACCCAGTGGTTTGAAAAATATTCTAACACAACAAAGACAAATTGGCACCTCATTCAAGCAAGCTCCTTACAAAAATTAAAATTCCAAGTCACTCATAAATCCTATCACAGTGTTAATTACTTTTTGATCCCCTCATTTTCATTAGTATTATTGTCCATAGTGATACTGCTGTACAGGTAACATTTTTTCAGTTTGTAAAAACAAGATGACAACTCTATGAGACAATTAAGTTACCTATTCTTATCCCAAAAAAGCAAAATTTTAAAGCTGGCCCCTGACTTGCCTGAGAGTCAGAGATTCTAAACATCAGTTCAAAGGCAAGCCTAGTTCTGCTGAGCCTAGTTCTTCTCCACGCAACAGTTCTTTCCTCCAAATCATCTTAAGTTGAATTTCTAGCCTACAATCATATTAAAGAATACTTGTTCCTTGGAGGCAGTACTCACAAAGTCATCTACCTCACCATTCCATTTTCTATAGAGTTCAGACTACATACCTGCTGTAATTCTTATATAAAAGGTAAATTCATGAATTTATAAAAGGTAAACTATGAATAAAATTATTTGACCCTTCATTAACTCATCCTATTATTTATCCTTTATATCCGTGTTCTTTCTAATTTAGATTCATTCATTTCAACAATTAATGAGGATATTTGAGTGGAAAGAACTATGCAAAGCATTAAAAACACAAATAAGTGCAACGCAGTCTCTGATTTTTCTGTATCTATTACTGGCAAAGAACTAAACTAGGTAATAAGTTCATAATTGACACAGGGAAAAGTAAAGGTGTCCATACAGATGAACCATGAGAAAGTAAGGGAATCTTCAATATCATTTTAAACCTCATGAGACCATGCAAATTCTGATAGGCATTGTAAGGGCTCAATAACTTTGTTAGCACTTGTTCCAAGAATACACAAGGGCATTTCAAAATGCTTGTGATAAAATCAAGCTAAAAGATATTTATATAGATATTTTAAAATGTGAAATATATACGTAGTTTTTCCATAATGCTTCCAAATTATTCTTCAACAAGCTTACATGAAGCACTTATTATGAAAAAACTATGCATGAATTGTAAATTTTTTGAACCAAAATAAGTTCATCTTTTAATTATACTTTTCCATGCATACTTGAAGATCTCTTGTATTTTGATTTAATTACATGTCCTTTCCTATTTGTTTTTAGTTAAAAATTATTCCCAGATTTTAGGGGTTCATTTTTAATGCTATTCCTAAGACAGTATCTTCCCAAAAGGTTACTTCTTTCCTCACTTCAGATGAAATTCTATAGAGATGTTAGTTACTGATATCAAAACAAATCTTCAATACAAAAACTGCTCCTAGAAACTTAAACTCTACCTTGAATGTAGGCTGGTGACTAGGAAATGCTATTTAACATCTTGATGCTAATAGATTGCTTTGATAACACTAGCTCTAATTCCTCTACATTTTTTACCCTCCAAGGATTTTTTCTTGGATTCTGAGGATATCTGCTTATCACATTCCTGTTAGATATTAGGGTGTTATTACCTGAGCCTATTTGCAACTTCACCTATTACCCATCCGTCCCACCCTAAAGACACAGCTACAAGTAATGATAAAGAGCCCAACCGTACCAATCCTGACCTGTGAAGGGTGTACCCCTTCCAAGCCAATCCTCTAAGTCAGAGCTCCCACAAATCTCCTTCTACTTAGTTCCATTTTTGTATCTGTTATTCTGAATATTCTCTAGAATGGCCATTTTCTGACCCATTCCAAATTGAGATAAATTACTCTAAAATTGATAGTAAGATGAAAAACTATCTAAATTGATCAGAAAGGTCAACATGATCAGCCGCTCACCATCTCTAGCTGCATCTATGGCATTCTCCTGGGACTCTTCATCAAATAAAGGAACTCCTTTTGAAGGCAATACAGGCTGAAGTTCCTTGGCAGCAGTGGAACCCTCTTGGAAGTCACTCATAGGTTCACAGACATTTTCTAAATACACAAAATGGAGAGGGATCACAAAGCAACACAATTCACATTTTTCCAAAAGCAATGGTTGGTACCTAAAGTCTTTATCCGGTAACCATAGAACAAATTTTATCTAATTGATGTTTTCTTTCTTTATTCCAGTGGCATCTTGCATTATACTTAATCATTCTCTTATACTTCCAACACAAAACCATCTTGAAATACTGTAAACTCTATAAACTGCATGATTGGAAGAACAGCCTGTGGCACTGACACAATGTTTCTTGCCTCTCATTAAAATATAAATAACAAGTCCAGAATATCAAATATATTGTTTAAATCCCAGAATTCCAAGAAAAAGATAACTTCCCTTTTCCATACATTTATTCCACCATGATTTCAGTTTACAAACTCAATAAATAAATAAATAAATAAATAAATAAATAAATAAAATCCAGAGAAATTCATTTGGACTTCATCACCTTTATAACATGATATAGGCCTAATAATTACTTTTGTGGTATTTTGGCCAAATATACATAGCGCCAACTTATCCATGCAAAAGTACAAAGAAAGACCAGCATAGTGGTCCACTGGGTTCAATCGTTGCCCATAATTCCAGCATCTCAGATTGGCACCAGCTCAAGTCCCACCTGCTCCACTTCCAATCAAGCTCCCTGCTAACACACCTGGAAACAGCAGAGAAAGGTGGTTCTAGTGTTTGGGCCCCTGCCATTCATGAAGGAGATCCAGGTGGAATTCCAGCTTCCTGGCTTCAGTCTGGCACAACCCTGGCCATTGAAAGCATTTAGGGAATGAACAAGCAGATGGAAGATGTTTCTGTCTCCCTCTCTACCTCTCTCATTCTCTAAATGCCTTTCAAGTAAATAGATACATCTTTATGTTTACATACATGTATATGTATAAATAGATAATACCTGTACACACACACAGAAAATGAAAAGAGGGATATTACACAAAATAATGTGAGGATAGTGACAAGGCATAAGGAGGTTAAGCCTCCACCTGAGGTGCTAATGTCCCATACAGGTTCCAATTTGAGTCCCAGATACTCCACTGTGATCCAGGTCCCTGTTAATGAGCCTTAGAGAACAACAAAAAATGGCCAAGCTCTTGGGCCCTTGTACCCACAGGGAAAACCCAGAAGCTCCAGGTTCCTGGCTTCTGATCGGCCCAGCTTTGGCCTTTTGTGACCATTTGGGGGGTGAACCAGCAGATGGAGGATAACTATCTCTTCTTCTTGCTTTAAATCTGCCTTTCAAATAAAAATAAATCTTAAAAGTATATGGGGAAATCTTTACCATCCGTGCAATTCTTGTGAATATAAAAGCAGTTTAAATAACATTAGAAAACATTTTAAATTCTGAAGGAAGCAATACTTAATAGAATAACAATTACCAAACACTTGTTTGAAAATTGTACCAGGTAAATTATTTCATATTCTCTAAATACAGAAGATTAAGTATAGCAGTGATGCATCATAAGAATTTAGTGATACCAGGAAAGCACATATCACTTTGTTTTTAACATCTCTTCTGCCACTATATAAATACCTATGATTATCTAGTATTGTTCCTTTGTACTTAAATTACAGATAAAGCTTTGGGATAAAGAACTCTTGGAAATAAAAATGAGACATAGAAGAACAGGAATGCATTGATTAAGAAAGCAAAATAAGCACACCTACCCCTCCTTAACAGATCACATTTTTTTAACTGAATAACTTGAATTGTGCATTAGTATATGAAGTTTTCAGTAAGTATTCACTTAAACTACATTAAATAGTAAATCCCATCTTTTAAATGGAAAATACGCTTCTTATGAAAAAATCAACATAACTTTAGTAGCTTCAGCATAGAAAATAGGAAGGGACATTTAAGTAGATTCCAAACACTACACGTCTGTTACGGAAGGAACACAAAATAGGCAGAATAGTGGCTGGGAAACCATGGACAAGCCTTCCAGAGCTGAGATTCATGGCCTCGGTCATTTCCTCTTGAGATAATACTTGACATACTATAAATAATGTGTTTAAATTATATAACTGTAAGTAAGAAAGGTGACAGAATTCCTACGCACCTGTTTAAATTATGAAATAAATATTTTCTGAAGAAATAGGTCTGCTACTTTCTAGGAAACTAGCATGAGTAAACCCTGAGAAGTTCCTCAGATAAAGATGGGTGTTTAAGGAAGGAAATCCAGAAAGGAACTGCCATTGGCATCACATACACAGCTATGTGTCAGAAGTGGCATTTACCCTGAGCACTGACAAATCAATTGCTCACATTTAATAACTAATTAATAACTGATGAACTCCAGGACCTACAATCTGACCTGTATGTAAGATACTGACCCAGAGTATTAGCTGAAGCTTCTTCCTTAGGTGAAACTTGTTTTAGGAGGTTGGAATGCTTTCTGAAAGCTGACTGCTGAAGTTCCGGAATACCAGAAATGCCACTTTCATCCAGAGACTTACTGAGGCTTGCAATATTTTCAGACTTTGAGTCAGAAATTCCAGCCTTCTCTGAAGGCTTTTCTAAGTTTCCACCATCCAATGAATATGGTTCCTGAATTCTTGCATTACTGTTACCAGTTCCACTCAGCACTTTTGTTTCTTGCCAAACATTTTTTGGTCTTTTAAATTCGGAGCCATCATTTTCCTCCATTATTTTACCATGATACTTTTTGTGTACTGCAGAGTCAGATGGCTTGGAAGGTAAACTTCTCTTCTTATGGTATGGTAGATTGTGTTCTGTTACATCTGATAACTTTTGTTTTGAAGTGGTTTCATCCAAAGCTGACGCATCTGTAATTGCTAAATAGAAACATATTCAATCATTTCATTTTATTATTATCATTTGTAATATATTTCAAAAAGCCCAGGTAATGATTTCACTAAAGCCACTCAAGAAATTTCCAGTTGCTTAAACATATAAAGCAAAGTTTAGCAAGTTGAATAAACAGAGTTGATTATCAAAAGATTGAACCACTAACCAGGCTAGATATAACCACAAAATACTATATGCCTCAGCTGGAATAGTGCTTAATTAACATAAGCACGGCATAGGAAATTAACCAAATTAATACATAGCTATATTGAGACCACAGACAAGTATAGAAAGTGGCATATATGTTGGGAACACACAAAAAGAAGCAGAACTAAATCCTTATTTCTCACAATAGGAAGTTTATTATTATTATTCTCTTTGTTTTCTTTGACATTATATCTGTCTCATTTTTTGTAATTTTTTTCAAATAAATTAAATTTTATTTTTAGAAATAAGAAAGCAGCAACATAAACACATTATAAATATCAGTTAAAAAGCTTAACTATGGGAAAACTTGAAGTATGACCAAGCAAAAGAATTTGTAACATATTTCAAGAAATTACAGTTTTTTAAATTACATTCATTTATGTTCTTGGGCAAATGATATTTGGACAAATGAAGGGAAGTGCAAGGAGTAGAATGGTGTGTGATAGCAAGAAGGCAAAAGTAATGTGCTTAATGAAGAAAAACTGAATAATAAATAAACTTCAATTTATTCTAATTTTTAAATGTCAGAATGTCAGAGTATCGCACAAATTATCATTTAAATATCACCTTCTTAAATATTTTTAAATAATCACTTTTTGTTTTAAAGTTTACTTTATGCTGCAATGTTTAAGGGAAAAATAAATAGTATGAGATAGTCACATAATTAATAGAGATTATAAAAAGTATTTAGAGTATTGCATTAAATCTCTCTCTCCCTGATCTAGAAATTATATCAAAGAGCAGATAGAAACCTTTTAAAACTACAAATTAAGATTTAATTTGAAAACAAGTTTTTATTAACAAAACTTGTTACAGCAACAGAATCTTACTTACAAACATCCTCATACTGCTGTAGTAGTTCATTCAAAGCAAATACAACATCTCCAATATCCACCATGTGGTTATCTACAAGGCAAAGAATAGGCTGAAATACTGTATTAATTATGACTGCCATGCTTTTCTAATATGAAAAATCACAAAAGACCAGATATTATGGATTTTTAATAACATTCAAAATCATGAATTAAGAGTAAACATTGAAACTTAAGACCAAGATTACAGTTTTTTGTGGAATCATTTGTGCAGTGAGGCAGTAGATAGAAATATTCCCTCATGTATCCATTTCCGCCCTCTCCTCTCACCTGCTCTCCCCTCCCGTCTCTTCTCTTTCCTTTCTTTTCCTTTCCCTTTATCTTCTCCCTCCCCCGCTCCTTTTCCCACAGCCTAACTACATTTCTCAGCTTTTACCATCACCTTCAACCAATTAACCTTTCTGATACTTCAAAATTTGGTGACATTTTATCTCTGATAATTCCTGCCTGATACTTTCAATATGAGCAAATATTACCGGCCTATGTCCAATGTGTTAGAGTATTTGCCTCATAGCATTTTAATTTTCGGTTTACTTGATTCTTTCCTCACAAGAATATGAACTCTCTCAGAACAATAAAGGTGTTTTATTCATCTTGGATTAACCTAGCATGGTTCCAGAAACAGCAAATATTAAATGACAATTTGTCTCATTCAATGAATGCACCACTCATTGATTAGTCATTGATCAATCCACTGTTAGAGGATATTTCCTGATCAAATATAAATATATAATACAAAAATACCTATCACATACACTGATAATGTTTAAGGCAATCTATATTGTGCTGACAGTAACTGAACATAATATTAATATTTTTGAATGAAAGCTACTTAATAAAATTGAGAATTAAAGAAATTTCATGTTCCTCCATTGTGAAGCCAATATCACTGATGCAAGAAATTACTTCTCCAGATAAAAACCTCTAAAACCCAATTTTATTCTTAGATTTTTACCAAACACACCAGATATATTAATTTTTTTTAACTTCTCATTAGTTTTTACAGACATTCTCTTCCTATAGATGCCAGTATTCAAGGTCACTTGCAAATAATAATCATCAAGAGTGAAAAAGACAGAAACAATGAATCACCCCATACTGATATTAATGGGATACAGATACATATATGTAATGTTATAATAAAGACAAATCACTTACTGTCAACATAGGAATATTTTAACACTTCATGAAAAGTTTCAAGGTTTATAGAAATATCCATCCTATCCAAAACATCCATCACTTCATTAGTGCCAACTCGACCATCTTTGATCCTACTAAACGTATTCAAGGCTTTCTGAAATGCTACCAAAAAATAAACTAATTATTATACCATGAAAATCACAGGTTTTCCATTTTCTATATGGCATTTGAATTTTTCGCTTACTTTTCCATTCGATTTCTCTTTAAAGCTTCAATATCTTCACAAAAATTTTCATCCATATTGTATACTGATTTTTTAAAAAAGATTTATCTATTTTTATTGGAAAGTAAGATAGAGAGGAGGAGAGACAAAAAGATCTTCTGTCCACTATTTGACTCCCCTGGTGGGGCAGGAGCTGAGCTGATCTGAAGCCAGGAGCAAGAAGCTTCCTCTAGGTCTCCCACACAGGTACAGGGTCCCAAGGCTTTGGGCTGTCCTCGACTGCTTTCCCAGGCCACAAGAAGGGAGCTGGAAGGGAAGTGGAGCCTCTGGGACACAAGCCAGAGCCCATATGGGATCCCAGCGCATGTAAGGCAAGGACCTTAGCCACTAGGCCACCGTGTCAAGCCCTATGTACTGATTTCTTTATCTCAGTGTGTTTCTATGTGGTTTTAAATAATCCAGTGATCATTTTTTCCATTCACTTTCAGGCATTTCATCAATTTCATCTTCACTTTCTAATATCGAGGAAGTGTAAAGTTTCTTTTGGAGAGTCATATGCTCTCCTTCTTTCTTGTATTTCTCCATTTACTTTTAGGCAATTCTGGAAGTATTTGTTGGTTTTCTGCTCCGATGATTTTTACCTTTAAGTTATACCTCAATGGTTTGGTGGAGTGACTGTTTCCTCAGTGACTGTGTGCTGGGTATGACCAGCATGCTCTGGTCAGTGCTTAAGTGCAGGTGAGTCTGGGGTGACATCCATGTTGGGCATGGTGAATCTCCTTTTCTGTCAGCACAGGAGAGGCAATGACCATGACTGTTAGTGGAATAACAGCCTCACCTCTCTTTCAAGGTGATAAAACCATGGTTATGCCATGGTAGCTATAATCCCCACCCATGTCAGGAGAAATGACCAGTCCAGTTCTACGTGCCTGGAAACACAGCTACACATCACACACTGTCAGGCAGTCACAGAATAACCAGTTTGTGAATCCGACTCCCAACAGCACAGGGTGCGGAAGCTCCCCTCATCCCTGCAAGTCTACCCCGACCATGAACAACAGAGGTAGAACTAGCCCCCTCTGAGCTTTCCACCTCAGCAGCTTGTGCTGTTGTGCATCCTTTCAGGGCTTGTAGAAGGCCGGGAGTATCTGCATCTTTCACATTCCCAGATAATTGTACTGCCCACTGCCAAGGCCACTAGGCCTGACTCAAACTCAGAGGGAACATGGATTTATACTTTCAATAGACTCAGTCACTTAATCACATGTACCCATACAGAGCCAGGCACACATCGCAGCCACCAAAGCCATGTAACCTCCAAGCAGGTCTGGGCCACTTTAAAAGCAGCAGCTCCTTCCCACTGGCCCAGACTCTTTGTGAATGAATGAGAGAAAGTGTATTCTTCCCCCATGGAAAGCTGCCAGAACTATTCCCCACATTCTGGTTCCTGTCCAAACCCAAAGTCCATGTGCTCCAGGAGATGATGTGACAGATAACGTCACCACTGATTCTGGCTGCAGCGATCTGCTCCGAACTCAGTCTCAGCTGTCTTCCTCAATCCCCAGTGAGATGCCTCTTACTTGAGTGTGAGCAGACTTACACAACTGCAGTTCTTCCCTCATTCTTTTCATATACAAAAGCAGCATCCTAAGTTAGTGTAGCGATCTGCTATTCTGCCATCTTGGATCTCTAAAACTTGGATCTCTACTTATGAATGGTTAAACAGAGTTCTATACACTTACTCAAATATTTCAAATGAAAATAATACAGTCAAAGATTATATGGATTGTTTAGAGGAGAAAAGCAAACTTCTTATTCTTGGTTGTCCTCAGAGCACTTTGGTCATAAATATAAAACAGGCTCAATGCAAAAACAAGGCTTGAAAAACAAATAAGCATATGGAAGAAAACAAGTGATTCTCACTTATGATTAAACAAGCAGGAAATACTTAGGAATATAAACATACATAAAAAGACATGTATAATAAGAATAAATAAAAATGTAAAAATAAACCAAGTAGACAAAAGGGAACCAGGAAAAACTTAATTCCATGGAGGCTAATTAAAATGTCAAGTAGAAAATGAATAGGAAAACATGCAAAGCAGCATATTTAGATTGATCTTTATTGCATGTTGTGTTAATAACATTTATTAAACAAATGAATAAACATTAAAGGGTTTTTCTGGCCTACTGTTTGCTCATCTAGGAAAATGAAGGTGGTTATAATCATATATCCTTGATTCTAAGAAAATCAATATACTTTGGTTAACTACAAACACATAATTCCAGTAACTTGATTCTTGCTAATGGAGAAATGAGGAATGCTTTAAATGAGATCCTGAACAATAGAGAACTCAAATACTTGGAAGTATTGCTTCTATTGTTTTTTAAAAGACATGTTAATTCATTTAAAAGATAGACTTACAGAGAGACAGGAAGAGACAGAGAGATCCTGCACATGCTGGCTATTCCCCAGATGGCTTCAACAGCCAGGGCTGGCCCAGGCTAAAGCCAGGAACTTTATCAGGGCTTCCACACAGGCACCAGGGCCCAAGCACCTGCCCATCTTTTGATGCTTTTCCAAGCACATTAGCAGGGAGCTGGATTGGAAATGGAGTAGACAGAACTAAATCCAGTGCCAATCTGGGAGGCCATCATGGGAGGAAGCAACTTAACCCATTATGCCACAATGCCAGCCCCTGTTCCTATCATTAATATGAATACTGCCTTCAATTATCTTTGCTTACAATTTAAATATAATGTAAACCAAATGTTATTAGAATATTTAAGTATATATGTCATTTTTAGAGAAAAATGCAAGTGGATTTCTAACAAACTTAAGGATCTACTGTCAAAGAAGAAAAAAGGTGTAATTTCAATAAGAAACACTACACACACACATAAAGGCATGGAAGAATAAAACTGGCAGAATTTTTTTAACTGACTGAAGGATTCCTCCCTGCTAAGTATTCTGTGGAGGGAAAGAGGAAGGGCAATGAGCAAAATCACGAAGATGTGAGGAAACTGAAAACACGTTTGGACTACATTTATCTGATAATAGGAAGAACATCTACATTCTTGAGCAATAGCACGGCATTATAAAAATATCATTTTATATAACTACACTTGCTTTTACATGAGTGGAAAACCAGGAATTGAACATAGGAAGAGAATATTGTGAGCAATGATTTAGATTGTTTAATGGCTTTTATTAAAAAAAAGAAAGAAAAACTCATGTCTAGTTCTTTTAAGTCTAAATTCTTGAGAGGAAAAAAATAAATTTTTCTTAAAAAATAAAAATTTATATAACTGCTTCACTGATATCTACTAACAATATCCTCTCTTTATACTGTCAAAGAATAGTTCTTTTACCTGGATCCTGAGAGACCAAAGCAGCTTCATTCACAGCCATAAGAAAATTTGTAAAATCCAGCATTCCATTAACTATTAAAATGGTTTAGAAACAGAAGGAAAAATCTCATCAGCAAACAAAAATATAAGCTGGAAATATAAATAGAATTAACGTATGATATTACAATACTATTTTACCCATACTAAAAGGTTTTGTTTACCACAGCTCTGTATTTTATTTTGAAGTTCGATAATGTAATACTTCCTGTTTCTTTTTGTGCTCGAGATTCTTTGGCTACTTGAGCCATTTGGGGGATCCCATGCAAATTTTAGATTTTTCATAGTTCTATGAAGAATTGCATTGTATTTTGATAGATTGTACAAAATCTATACATCACTTTGTGTAGTATGGATATTTTAAAAATATTGATTCTTTCAACTGTTTTACAGTTTTTATCATAAAAATCTTTTACAACTTTTGTTAAATTTAGTCCAAGGCTGGGCCCAGTAGCATGGCCTAGCGGCTTAAGTCCTCACCTTGAATGCACCGGGATCCCATATGGGCGCCGGTTCTAATCCCAGCTGCTCCACATCCCATCCAGCTCCCTGGGCCCAAAAGCTTTGTGACCCTGCTCCCACGTGGGATACCCGGAAGAGGTTCCTGGTTCCTGGCTTTGGATCGGCTCAGCACTGGCCATTGCGCTCACTTAGGGAGTGAATCATCGGACAGAAGATCTTCCTCTCTGTCTCTCCTCCTCTCTGTATATCTGACTTTGTAATCAAAATAAATATTTAAAAACAAAACAAAAGGAAAAAATTTAGTCCATGGTATTTTGGGTAGCTGTTGTAAATGAGATTACTTTCTCAATTTCCTTTGTTCAAATAATTCGCAATGAGTGCACAGAAATGATACTGATTTTGGTATGTTGACTTTGTGTCTAACACATTTGCTAGATTATTTTTTTAGTTCTAATAGTTTTTGTTGAATTGTTTGTGTTTTTCAATACTTAAGATCACGTCATCTGTAATTAGTGGCAATTAGTCCCTTTCTAATTGTAACGCCTTTTGTTTCATTTTCTTGCATAATTGCTATGGCCATGACTTTCAACACTATGCCAAACAGAAGTGCTAAAAGTGAATATCCTTGTTGTATCACAAATCTTACAAAGCCTCCAACAGTTCACCCTTCAGTATGTTAGCTACAGCCTTTATATTTATGGCCTTTGCTATACTGAGGCACATTCTTTCTATACATAATCTGTTAAATGTTTTCTAATGAAAGGACATTAACATTTGCAAAATGTTTTTTTTTGCATTGATTGTGATGGACATATGGTTTTTGACTTTCAGTCTGTTGATTAAGTACATCATAGTTGTGGTTTTTTGCCTCCCTGGGATGGGGTGAATCTCAATCATGGGGAATATTCTCTCTTATATGCTGCTGGACTCCATTTGTTAGCATTTTATTGAGGATTTTTGCATCTATGCTCATCACTTAAACTGCCCTAAAAATTTTTGCTATCTTTGTCTGGTTCTGATATCAGGATAATACTGAATGAACATAGAACAGAATGGGTTTGGAAGTATTCTACTCTATTTTACAAAAATATTTGTGAAGAAATTCTTTCTGTATTATTATTATCTTATGATACAGTTGCATAGGCTCTGGGATTCCCCCTTCCCTTCCCCTACTCCTCTCCATTCCCGACTGATTCACCCTCCAGTATTGCAACGTGTAGTCCTTCACCTCTGGGTGCAGCGATGCACGCCACACTGTGTCTCCACATCTGGACATGTCACTTGGAGAAGTGGGATTCAGCCGTCTGAGCCTGGGCTTTCCTCCAGCAGGAGGCTTATTACTGTATTGGCCACATCATTTCTTACTGATTACTCAGTTTTTCTATTTCTTCATGATTCAATCTTGGAGTATGTATCTAGGAATTTGGCCATTTCTTCTACTTACAAATTAGTTTGTGTATAGTATTCAAAATGGTCTCCAATGATCCTTTGTATTTCTATGATGTCAACTTATGTCTCATAAAATGTCTCGTAATAATTATTCTTGGGTCCAATGCTGTTGCATAGTGGATAAAGCTGTCACCTGCAATGCTAGCATCCCATATAGGTGCTGGTTCGAGTCTGCTGTGCTCTACTTCCAATGCAGCTCCTAGTTTATGCGCCAGGAAAGCAGCAGAAGATGGCCCAAGTGCTTGGGCCCCTGCACCCATGTGGGAAACCAGGAGGAAGTTCTTGGCTCCTGGCTTTGCAGTGGCCCAGATTTATCCAGCCATTACAGCCATTTGGGGAGTAAAATAGTAGAGATAGTACATAGAAGATCTCTCTCTCTCTCTCTCTCTGCCTCTCTCTGTTTCTTTCTCTTTTTGTCTGCGCATGTTTAACTCTGTCTTTCAAATAAGTCTTCAAAAAATTATTCCTATTAATGGGATACCATATGATGTTTCTCTTTATGTATATATTGCATAATGTCCAGTCAGGGAAAAATATATATATATATACATACATATTCATGCTCAAACACTTAGCATTTATTAATGGTTATTTATTTTTTATTTATTTTATTGGAATCTTACCTTTTTCCACTTAGTCAAGTGCTTGTTGATTTCACTTATCTTTCTGAAAAAACTCACTCCTAATTTTGTTATTTTTATATATTTTGGCTTCTATTTATTTTTGCAGTGGCCTTTATCACTTTTCCTAAAGTGTCCTAGAAAGGAAGTCCATCCCACAAGTCTCCCTGTGGACCTAAAGCAGGTGTGGACTCCTAATAGTTACCAGCCTGTGGTCCAGCACCAGAGGATTCTGTGTGGCAATGGAACTCACAATGGAGTTGCCTAGTCCTAGGCTCTTCTGCAACAGCTTGAAAGTTTATCACTTTGTGTTGTGCTGCCTGGGATTGATAAAAGGATGTGGTGGTGGGCAGTGTCATGGCCATTACCACACTAGACCACATCCTCAGCTCACAGACAGCTGGGTTCAGCACACAGTCAGAGTGAAGGCAAAGAATCAGGTGATGTTATTCAGAATTAGAACACACATCCTTGCACAATACCTAATTAAGGCCAGGGGATCCATCCTTGGGCACAGATTTGAGAGAAGCAGTCATGAAGTGTTGACTTTCATTAACCTTTCACTGAGTCTGGGACAGTCTTTTACCTATTCCCTATCCACCTGCTCAGCAGATGGAGTCTTTTTCAGGCCCAGTTACCTAAGGTTGAGAGAGGGGTGATGGAGGAAGTCCCTTGGCTATTGGAATAACGGATCAAGAGCTCTTTCTGTCAGTGGCACTGACCTAGAGATAGCAGATATGGAACTCAGCCTGGTACCAGATTTCACCACGTGGGCCCGATACTGAGTTCTAACTCCAGAACACTCCCACATGAAGGAGGTACATCTCTTCATGAAGTGCTGCTAGGAGGTGGGGGAAGAGTGACATGGGTATCTCTTTCCTTCATGCCATCTTCAACACAACTTTATTATTATTATGCTAAAATTAGCTAGTTGGCTCTCTTATCTGGTTTCCTTAGTCCTTGTGAATGTAGATGTGTGCATGAACAGTTGTTCAAATTAATGTTTCTATGGGGAAATAATTACTAGAGGATGTTATTCAGCTACAAACTTACTCCACCTGAATACCTTTTTAGATGATAACTGGATATAGATGTGGTCGGCTCTGTGAATTATCTGTCCATGCATCTTGACCACTTTTCTATTCCAGGGATTAGCTTTGTTTGTTGTAGTTATTTTTTATTTATTTGAAAGGCACAGTGACAGAGAGAAAAGGAGAGACAGAAAGATGGCTTGCATATGCTGATTCAATCCCCAGATACTTGCAACAGCTGAGGTTGAACTAGGCCAAAGCCAAAATCCAGGAACTCCCTTTGATTCTGCTGCGGGGTGCAGGGGCCCAAGAACTTGGCCATCATCTGTTGCTTTCCCAGGTGATCTGGTAGGGAGCTGGATCAAAACAGATCACCCAGAGCTCAAACCTATACTCTGATACAGAACGTCAGCATTGCAAGCAGCAGCTTAATCCTCTGCACCACGGCAGTCCCATTATTTATTGGTTCATGTAAGTTTGTCAGTCTTAAAACTAATACCCTGGTAAATGCGTAAACCTCAAATGTTTTCAACATTTTAACTTATTTTTTCACTCTAAGATGCTTTCTGGTAAAGTTCTAAACTTAAACATAGCTCAATATATCAACCTCTCCGTTTATATTCAACCTTTTTCGCTTGACTTAAAAATATTTTCCTATTTGATACTCAGGTATGTAGGAAAAATTAAAACTAAAAAGTTTGAAAGGAAAAACCTGGTGGACATGTAACATCCTGTCACTTCTTTGGAAAACAAGAAAACCATAATAAATGAATTTGTACAGGGATTCTTCCAAAAGTTCATGGACATGGAACTAAAAGATAAGTTTATGTTGATACAAAATCACTGAAATCCATGCATAATTTCTTCACAACATATTTTCCATGAATGATTTAAAAAGCCTTTATGTCTATACTACAGCAAATTCATTTATAATTATATATCCAAGAGGAACTCCAGGACTCACAGATCACGAAACACGTCACGGTAAACAATGTTCACAGTGACTGAAATCTGGTAAGAATCCAAGTGCTTATCCATGCACTCTTTTGAGTGAATGAATAAACTGATATATTCACAAAGACTTTATTTCACAAAGATGTAAGCAAACTAAAAGCAGTATTACAATAACGTAAATAAATCTTAGCCATATAATATTAACTGAACAAGTCCTAAAAGAGTATATTCATCCTAAGAAACTCTACTAGTTTTTAAAACAACTAAAATTTCTATAATTATCTTAAATTACACTTTTAACAATGAAAGTATACAAAAACAAAATCAAGGAGTGATACAGTATTCAGGATAATGATCACCTCTGGTTAGAGGAAGCAAAAAATTGAGTTATTCAGCAAAGTTTACGGTTATATTTAAGTTGTCATCAAAGTTCTAGTTTTGATTTTGAGTGGTCGGGCCAAGTATTTATTAAATGATTAAAATAATACTACGTAACTATGTAAAACCAGGCCATTTTTTAGACTAATGAGCATATACCATAATCCAATGTAGCAACTACTCAATCGAATCATGTGTAACTGACGTCAAATTGTCATTTAATCTTATCTTTGATACCCTAGACACAGTTTTTGTTAAACCCTAGGGGGGGAAAAGTGAGCCTATAAGAAGAGTTAGCAGGAAGTAACAGGAGTACAACGTCCACTTGAGAAACTCGGTCCAAAAGAGAAGGTCTGAAAATGAGGTAGTGACTACAGGAAAGAAAGCCAAACCCAACCTGTGTGAGTGACTTTGCCATGGCAACGCCGTGGAAGGAGGGGGCTCCTTAACCCACATTGATACTTTAAGTATGAATGTCACTTTACAGAACAGTAGGCAGAGGTTCACAGAGAACACTGACTTGTCCAGCATGATCTTGCTCACTGCCTGCTCAATGGCATTTACTTCCTCCTTGCTAAAACCACCCTGATTTTGATGGATGGGTATGTGGTCAGCAATAGAGAACAAATCTTGGTTAGGATAATGGCACTGCCTCTTCTAAGATCTCCACCCAATACTTGCTTTGAAGCTTCAGAAAAGCCATGTGGCAGCCATGGCCAAAGGGATTAGCAGGGCACTTCCAAGGCAGCTTCTGGGAGAGCTTTTCTTTCCTAATAAACAGCGAGTCCTGGCTCCTCGTTTCAGATAAGTCCAGCTGTAGCCACCACGGCCATTTGGGGAGTGAACCAATGATGAAAGATTCTCTCTCTCGTATGTGTGAGAGTCTTAGCAATTCTAACTTTCAAATAATAAATCTTTAGAAAATGTTTTAGATACATAGTATGATGATATTTTAATAATATCCCAAATCTTAGTCTTCTAACGCCTTATGATTAGTCTGAAAGACATATTCATATTTTTAGACCCTTAAACTCTATACTTAAAACACAAAACTTACCATCAATATCAATTGCCTTTAGTGCCTGTAGCATTTCTGAATCATTTATAGAAATCTTCAAGATGGCAAGGATTATTGGCAGATCATTCACATAAATTTTGCCACTTCGAATTTTACTAAAAATTTTGCAGGCTTTATGAAGTGCTGCACATACAACAAAAGATTAATTAAATCAAACAAGCAATCGTTGTTGTAGTCCATAATCTTTTTCTTAAAGAAAAAAAAAAAACACTAAAAGGACATAGGGAAAAAGCTTTCTTGTTGCTGTTTTTGAGATTCTCTGCTTTAAATTTCAACAACTTGTTCAGGTTTTGTCTGGAGCCAGTGACCTCTGAGTCTATCAGTTACCTAAAGAGATCTCAAGAAACTATCAGAAAGCCGTGCAAGCATCACACAGACACTGGCCTTTGCCCATCTTCCCAGGGAAAGCACTTAGTCCACAGTCAAGGTTCTTGGCATTGTGCTTTGCTCCTGGGGCAAGATTTTTCATTCTTTAGTTTCCAGTGCCTTACTCAGAGCACATTCTCAAAACAATGTTGGGCTAAATTTGATGTGCTTTAACGGATACCATATTTTCAGAAAACAGACACTAGATGACAGTGCTAAACACAAAATTAACCCCCCAAAACAGCACTAGTATTTTAGAAGTTGAATCTGGATTTCAATGAAAACAACAAGCAAAGAAGAAAAAAGAAGTGGAGGTTAATGAAAACAACATTTTCAAGAAGCTTCCCTCAAAAATAGTATAAACCTAACTAACCTCAGATCCCAGGAAATCAAAAGAAAATCAAAAACAAATAAAAAGTGAAGGAATTTACCCATGGAAAGAAAACTTTTCCAATGTGATAAAGGGGAAAGGTGTGGATTAAAAAAGAAAAAGAATCCACTGTCAAGTTTACAGGTAGAAGGAGCAAGCAGTTCAGGAATATTATGATCAACGGTTTTATTAAATCTCAATAAAGCAAGATTTTGAAAAGATCTTAGCACTTCCATGCTCATTGCTGCACGATTCAGAATACCCAAACTGTGGATACAATCTGATTAACCAACAATAGATGCAAAGATCTTATTAAAGTGTGCTTTACGCACATGTCAAATTACTGTTCAGCCCCTAAAATAAGAAAATTCTGGGGTGAGTGCTGGGGTGAATGCAGGTTAAGCCATTTCTTGGGACAGCTGCATCTCACACAGAGTACCAGTTCAAATCCCAGCTACTCCACTGTTGATCCAGACTCTGGCTAATGTGTCTGGGAAGGCAACAGATAATGAGTAAGAGGAGCATTTTGGTCCCTGCTGCTCAGATAAGAGTCCCTAGCTCCTGACGTTAGCCTGGCCCCATCTTGGCTCTTGCAGCATCTGCAAGTGTAGAACAGATGCAAGATCTCCTTCTGTCTCTGTTTTTCTGCCTTTCAAATAAATAATTTGTTAAAATGGAAGAGAATCCCGTAATATGAAGCAACATGGATAAATACGGAAGACATTATAATAAATCAAATAAGTCAATCACAGGACAAACACTGTATTAGTCCACTTACATGAAGTATCTGAAACAGTCAGAACTCATAAAAAAGGATAGAATTGTGGTCTGAAAGAGCTTCAAGGAAAAGTGAGCAGGGGTTTGCTGATCTATGGGCATAAATGTTCAGTTACACAAGAAGGATGAGTTCTAAAGATCTGCTACGCAATATTGTGCTTATAGATAATAATACTACAGTATATGCTTTAAAATGTTTTAAGCAGAATGATCACATGTTAAGTATTCTCACCATAATAAAACTTCTTGATGAAGGAGAAAATGTTTGCTTTCATATGTTTCAGAAAAGTTAATAGTAACTACATAAAAACTTAAAAAGAATATGTGATAGGATTGAGGGTTTAAGAAGAGTAATGGAATGGGCACTGATGAAAACATGAAAGAGACCTGTGCAAACTTGGGGGGATGCCAACCAAGGGCAGGTGAGGTTTAAGATGATAGTGGCAACAAAAGGGGAGTCAAGGGAATAACAATTGAAGCAAAGGGAGATGAGAATATAAGAGACTGTGAGCAGAGAACAAGATATCAAAACCTGAGATTTCAACATGATAGCATTATTCAATATGTGGCCATGAATGTTGGTTAGAAAAATACACGTTAAAATAACTGATTTTAGAAAGTGTGAAGTGAGAGTACTATATCTATCATTCACATGAACAACAAGATAGGTAATGTGATTACTGCAGTTAATATAGAATGAGGAAATATGCCAAATTACTCCATTAATATAAAGGAGACATCTAAGATTTAGGAAATGTCAATCACAATGAGTAAAGCCTTCATATTAAGGTGCAAAAGTGAAATTCTAGTGAAACCAATAATTAATACTTTGTCCATTAAATATAACACCTAGTCATTTTTTTCAAAAAATACATTTAAACTAAAAGAATACCTATATATTCCTTATCTTACTGATTCAACAGAATATATAACATATAAATTTATACTATATTATATGATACATATTTATGTAATATATTTTCATATTATATAAAACCATATAACAAAAATTATATATTTGTTGTGTAATTTATAATTACCTAATAAGAAATTATATATCATAAATATATTAGATAAAATATATGATGTTTATATATTTTATATAATATACTATTAATAATATAATAAATGTGTTACACATAATAAAATTATATAGTATAAAATAGTATATTATATATTAAATATATATAAATTAAACTTCCTACTTTCACTTCCTCATAGGCTGCAACATTTGTCATATTATATAACATTGGCTAACACCATAAGCCACAGGGATTATACAAGGTAGTACTAATTGCTGAAACAGTTTCTGAAAAAGCATATAACCAGGAAGTTATTTAAAACATTACAAAATCTCTTATTACCATTTATGTCTTGTGAGTGTAAGTATACTTGGGACATATTATCATACAACGTCAGGTAGAGATTAGAAACAATTTCCTTCTCCCTGTCAAAGAAACGGCCACATTAAAAAAAGCAGCAAATAAAATACAGAAAACCCTACTTAAAATTTGAACAAATTTACCAATAGCCCAATATTTACATACAACTTTCTTGAAAAAGTATCCAAACAATCAAGAGGTATTTCCATGCTCATCACGCCCTTCCCACCTTGTTCTCCCGGCAATCTCTCTCTAACACTGTCTAACCTAGAGGATAAATAACGCCTCTGACCCATCATGCTGTGGCTGTGCTCCAATTTTTCCTGCTCTTCTTCCACGTCACAACAGCATGTTTGTATTTAAACAGCCAAAGAATCCCAAATTCCATCACCTTTAAGTAAAACTGTTTGGAAAAGATGACTCATCTAATATTGTAGCACATGGACAACTGAAATAACTTAATATTAGTGCTGGAGGAAATCTGAATAGTCCACGTAGTGCACGATTTTTATAAAGATGTGCAAAGCAAAGCTTAGAAATGTACGGTGAAGTTTACAAGTGCCTAAGCCAGCATGGAGGTCAGTCAGGACTCAAGCCTGTTTTTCCAGTTCCACAGAGAGTGCTCTTGCCACTTACCCTAGCCTTACCAAGTCTTAGTCTTCATAACCTAGTTGACATTTTTTATGTGAAAGGTATATATGATTCCAAGAAGAAAAAACCCAAGCATGAGATTCAAGCAATAGAATACGATCATTTAAATACCGCAAAATTGAGGAAGATCTATGACTGGGTAATGGCGTCCCGCAAACGCTGGGCCGATCTGGCGATTTGTACAAACAGGATTCTTTTCTAGTCATCTTTTCTGTTGACAGTTTCAGAGAAGGAGAGGAAGTCTAGGGCCAAATGCAACAAGGTTGATGCCTGAGATCATGTTGGTAATCCAGAATTCTCAGCTACTGAACTGCTTAAAATATAATTAATTGTATTTCAGCTCCTTAGTTAACCACGGTTCTGATGTAGATCCATTTCTTATAACTAATGTAATTGTATATACTAAAAATTTAAATAAATTCTATAATTTTTTGCATTGCCTTGCTTTTCCTAAGTATATAACTAATCCCCTCCTACTTACTATTTTGTCAATATATGGTAACAATTTAGCAGAGTAGGGAAAACCTGTGGTACAGTGAAAATAAGATGACTAGACCACCAGGCTCTAGACTACATAAGCAGATGTTGATTATATGCACAAAACAATTATTTAAATTATATAGGTAATTTTGCTTTGAATTATCCTTATCATTGAATAAATTATTCACTTAACACTGCATGTATTAGCATTATCCAAGAGAGGCAAATGGGTCAAGAACCACTTGAGACATGATGACACTAATTACAAATCTATTCCATTTTACACTAAACTTGTAATCTAAAGTTTTAAAGTATGAACAGAAAATGAAGAGAAAATTGGTACAGAGGGTCCACATAAAGTGAAAATCCCCAAAAGTCAGTGTTCTCAGCAAAGAGACCTGGGCAAGGGGGGAGAACTTACCCCTAGAGAAGAAGTATGCAGAGTGAAGTCTTCTGGTGTCTTGGTTCTAGGCTGAAGAGAGAGCGAGTGGCAGAGGATAAAGACTACTTGTCTTGATTAGTTATAACTATAACTCTATGCAAATGCATCGGACTTTTTAGTTAAGACCTGTGATAAACGTGTGGTTCAGAAAAAACAGAAACAAACAAAACCCTTTAAAGTATTCTTAAATTTGTAGTGCTTTTCAGGCACACAGCAAAAGCAAATGCAAATTCTCCTAAAAATAAAATTCTTCCAAAAGATGATATACAAACTATGAGCATCCATTCAATTTCAACCAATTATAAAAGAAAGTATAAGCAAAACATAAAATATCCAAGCAACAAATTAACATGAACAAGAATCAGAACAACAAATAGCACAAGCTGACTGCCATACACTTCATACACAGGGTTTATAAGATCCCAATCTTGAAACAACCATGGAACATGAGTAAATAAAATACCATACGATGGGTTTTAAGAAGTAGCAAATAAATCTTCTAGAGGAAAAAACTATAATCCCTGAAATTAAAATGCCAGTGAGGGCCTGGCAAGGTAGCCTAGTGGCTAAAGTCCTTGCCTTGCATGCTCCAGGATCCCATATGAGCACCAACTCATATTACAGATGCTCCAGTTCCCTTCCAGAACCCTGCCTTTGGCCTGGGAAAACAGTCGAGGGTGGCCCAAAGCTTTTGGACCCTGCATCCACATGCGAGACCTAGAAGAAGACTCTTGGCCTCTGTCTTTGGATCAGCTCAGCTCCGGCTATTGCAGCCACTTGGGAAGTGAACCAACGGATGGAAGATCTTTCTACCTCTCCTTTCCTCTGTAAATCTAACTTTCCAATAAAAATTAAAATATTTTTGAAAACTCAATGCACAGGCTAAGCTGCAGATTAAGTGAAATGGCATTAAGTGAAATAAACCAAGCACGGAAAGATAAATAACACATGATCATACTCATTTGTTGAGCCTAAAAATTAGATGATCTTATAGAAATGTAAAGTATACAAGCAGTTATCAGAAATTGCAAAAGGAACTATGGAGGCAAAATGAGCAGAACCTTCACTGATGTGTACTAAGTTATAGCTAGACAATAAAAAAATATTCTGGGGCTCTATTGCACATATGGTGACTACAGATAACGTACTGCATATTTCACTCAGAAAAAAAAAAACTTTACGGGTGGGGCGTGGTAGCCGAGCAGCTAAAGTTCTTTCCTTGCATGTACTGGGATCCAATACGGACGCTGGTTCTAATCCCGGCAGCCTCACTTCCCATCCAGCTCCCTGCTTGTGACCTGGGAAAGCAGTAAAGGATGGCCCAAAGCCTTGGGACCCTGCACCCACATGGGAGACCCCAAGGAGGCTCCAGGCTCCTGGCTTTGGATCGGCACAACTGCGGTTATTGTGGCCACTTGGGGAGTGAGTCAGTGGATGGAGGATCTTCCTCTCTGTCTCTTCTCTCTGTATTTCTGACTTTCCAATAAAAATAAATAAATCTTTAAAAATTATTTTAAAAACCTAGAAAACTGAATTTGCATATTTTCATTATAAAAATGTTAAGTGCTTGAAATAATTTAAATATTTACACTCTGATTAGATATCACACTGTAACAAAATATCACATAGTACCATAACAATATGTACAATGTCATTTTATCTGTTAACATTTAAATATATAAACAGAAACAAAAAGAAATATACATGACAATGTGTTGTAGTGACTGTACTAGCCTGAATGGTTGGCTCCACAAAAGTATATGATTAGATCCTAATCCCTGGAATCCATGAATACACCCTCTCTTAGAAAACAATGCTTAAAAATGGTCCACCTTCTTTTCTCACTAGCTGGAGGAACCTCTTCTCATGTTCAAAATGATTACCTAGTAACACAGCTCATAAAGAAAGGCAAGACAACTGCTCTATTTTTTCCTTTATTTACCACTTCCTAACAATGGCTTAGCTACTTTGTAATCAAGGTAAAGATTCTTAGCTGAGTTAAGCAATGATAGATTATTTGTTTTTAAAAAAAAAAGGAAGAAGGAGACTTTAGATACAGACTCAGAGGCCATGGGGAAACTGAGGCAAAGGTTGGCATCACACTGCTACAAACCAAGAAACACAGACACCATTAAACAGTAAAAACAAATGTCAACAGACGATACAACAGAAAGGAAAATGTACATGTGTTGATTTAATGAAAAAAGGATAAATGTTTAAAATCTGAGAATATTATTTGTTTTCTTTTTTTTTTTTTACCAAAAAAAGGAAGATGAGAAGGATAATGGGGGGGGGAATGATTAGTAATATTTAAGATTGTAATCTTTTAATATTTGAACTAAAATAGATAGGAATGCCTGAAAGCTAAGGACAACTTGCAAAGGTGAAGGGTAAGATCCCAAGGTTTTATTTACCTCAGTTCTTTTTCTATGCAGTTGTACTTGTAAACTTTTCTTTCTCCTGATTTTATTTTCTCTCAGAAAATCAGAGAATTTTTCTTCTTCATGTAGGTATACTGATGTTTCATTCCTAAATTGTATAGAAATTCAAATAAGTTTCGAACTGTTTTGCTTGATTTTTCTTCTTTTCAACTTCTAATTACAGAAACTTTCAAACATACACAAAAGTAGATAGAACAATATTCACAAGGTCTCACTCCCCAGCTTCAATAACAATGAGTCCTATTCAATCTGTATCCTTATCTCTACACCCATCCTTTACTGTTTCGAAGCAAATTCCTACACATTTTAATACAAAAGGGTTTAAATACAAATCTCTAAGAAGTGTCTCTTTTTTTAACTCAGAAATATCAGTAACAACTAAATATTTATCAATATCACCAAACAGACAATGCTCAGTGATCCATTTGTCTCATCAAGCCCGTAATTTTGTAACATCATCATCAGGACTCAACTAGGTCTTCACATCACAGTTGGTTATGTCCTTTAAATCTCCTTTCATGGGGCCAGTGGTGACTCAATAAGCTTATCTTCTACCTGCAAGTACCAGCATCCCATATGGGTGCTGGCTTGTGTCTGGCTGTCCCACTTCCAATCCAGCTCCCTAACTATGGCCTGGAAAAATCAAGGTCTTGGGACCCTGCAACCATTTGGAAGACCTGCAAGAGGCTCCTGGCTCCTGGCTATGGAGCAGATCAGCTCCTGCCACTCTGACCACTTGAGGAGTGAACCAGCAGATGGAAGATCTTTCTCTGTCTTTCCTAATCTCTGTAAATATTTCAAATAAAAAATAAATCTTTAAAAAAATTAATCTCTTTCAATCGACAAGTTGTCCAATTGTGTCTTTTATTATTAACACTAGTGCTAATACAAGGCCATCTGTCCTGTAGAGGTTTGTCTAGGTTTTGCTAACCATGTCATTATAAACATTAGAGATTGTAAAGGTTGCATCATATTAGCGTCCTGTTTTCTGGGGAGGGGAGAACTAAAAGCACTATATAGGTGGAGATACACTTCCATCAGAAAGTGCATTATATCTAATTTGGACATTTGTTGTATTAGTATCTCCTTACATAGCACTTAGATCCAATAAATCAATAGGGACTAAAAACAGCTTCTAAGTCTATTTTTTCTTCTTCTGCAATGTGCTAGAAATTTCTAAAGCAAGAGAAACTTCTATTCATCCATGATTTGATTACCTAGTGGTATAGTTGATAAAAAAAAAAAGGCAAGGCAATCATTCTGTTTGCTCCTTTATATGTCACTTCTCATAACAGTAATAAGGTAATTTTGATATCATTTTGAAAACACAGATTTACATATATTTGCTGCAGTTTAATGTCCTGTAGTTATTATTCTCAGCGGTGCTCTAATCACTTCGTCTCTCACAGGAGGCTGAGAGCCTTTCAAGGAGGCCCCTGAGGACTTACGTGCAGTCCCAGTGGCAGTCTTTATTAGTCTCCATATCTGAAAGTTAAGGTGTTCCACCTCATTCGCACAATTCCTCTTCCATGCCTGGAATTCACAATTTCTCCAAAGATGCTTTTAACAGCACATGATATTCTTAAGATTAAAGTACAACTTTAATCTTAAATTTCTTAAAAGGCACTAAAAACTGAAATGCTCTTAATTATTATCCTGCATTCCTACTGTTTAGTTTTCTCTTTATCTTTTTTCCCTCTTTTTTTAATTGCAGCTAAGAATTCCATAATATGAACATCCCATAAATTAGACAATTGTGAGATCACTATAGATAGCCTGAAATAAATTTGAAGAATTGGGAATTGCACACATTTCCTAAAATCATCTAAAATAGGCCTAAATTTCAAGGAAAAATCCTAAAATGATTTTTGTGCTCCTAGAACCCTGGAGACTAGGAATAATTCTGAGATGAGCTAGATTCTAAACCTGCATTTAGACTGACATCATCGGGATAATCTAAAACATACTGATACTTTTCCCCACTTCAAATACTGACATTTAATTGTGGTTATGGCCATCTAACAAACAGAAGATGAAGATATTCGGATAATTTTAATATGCAGACAAATCGAATCACTATGGAAACTCCACAGGCTTGTTCCTACCTAGAATTCATATACATAATTTGGTGTTTGCAATTTCTAATTTGTATCTAAAACTTAAATTTCCGTAGCAGAGGTGCTCCCTTTTAAAGCAATCTGGTATTTAAGGACTGCTTGGGTGATACACAGAAGAGTAACTCAATTATAAACACCTATAACACTTTTAGGTAAACTAAGATGTGAGCAAAGCTTTTAAGTGAGGGAAATATATATAACACATACCTCACCCTCTTGACACCCCATCCCTTTAAATTCAATGGCTCCGAAGCCTACCCTGAGATGTCCTTGTCTCATTCGTAGTCCCTTCAGGTTATTTTATGATTAGTGTCTTCTGCAGTCTTCCAGGCACAAAGACAATGACTCTCGACTATTCTGACTACAACCCATGGTCTAAAAAACGTTTTCTATTAAGAGTCAGTATAGGGCCCAGCACCATGGCTCAACTGGTGAATCCTCCCCCCTTCAAGCACTGAGATCCTATATGGGCACAGTTCATGGCCCAGCTCTTCCACTTCCCATCCAGCTCTCTGCGTGTGGCCTGAGAAAGCAGCAGAGGGTAATCCAAAGCATTGATATGCTGCACCCATGTGGGAGACCTGGAAGAAGCTCCTGGATTCTGGCTTTAGATCAGCTCAGCTTTGACCATGTGACCACGAGGGCAGTGAACCAGCAGACAGAATATCTTTGTCTCCATCTCTCCTTCTCTCTGTAAATCTGACTTTCCAGTAAAATAAATCTTTTTTAAAAAAAAAATCAGTGTACAAACACACAGAGAGAAGCAAAAATATAAGTTATATGAAAAGCACTCTAAAGTCTTTAATACTGTTATGATGCATTTCCTTGCAGGAAAAAAAAAATAGCAGTGACCTCCTACACTGAGCCATTAACAGGTAATACTCAAGACCCTACTTTATCTTTCCATAATCTCTACTAAATTTAATCTTTCTCTGTCTGATATAATTACGATTTCCTTCTACTATCTGATTGTCTAGTTTTCAGTTTTCATCTTTCTAGGGAACAAGCTGACTGTGGTCTTTCTAGAAATAACTGCCTTTTTGTCATCCAGCAAAGAGGAATAAGGGTGAGAACATTAGTTTAAATAAAATAAAAACAAAAACTTATGTTAGGTAGAGATTTTGGTTTAAGTGTGCAGGTAATTTCCAAACTCACCATTTCACAAAACCAGCATTTAGCTGGGGCGGGGGGGAGGGGGAGGCGAAGTAAAGTGAAATGGAGTCCTAAGACTTTCTTTCTGATAAATATTTTTCTTTCTCTGTCAGTTAATTTATATGGTTTTTTTTTTTGAAAGTTAGAGTTACAGAGAAAGAGGGAGAGACAAAGAGAAAGATCTCCAGACAGCCACAACGGCCAGGCAGGCCCAGGCCAGAGCTAGGGTCTAGGAGCTTCTTCTGGTCTCCCATGTAGGTGACAGGGACACAAGCACTTAAGCCATCTTCTGCTGTTTTCCCCAAGTAATTAACAAGAAGCTGAAATGAAAACAGAGCAGCTGGCACATGAACCAACACTCATATCACAAGCAATGCCTTTATCTGCTGTACTACAACATTAGCCCCTAGATATATTTTTTAAATTTTCATTTCTTTGAGAAGTAAAGAGATAATCACAGAAAGACAGAGAGTTCCTGATCACTGGTTCACTCCTCAGATGCCAGCAATGCACAGGACAGGGCCAGGCCAGAAGCCAGGAGCCAGGGACTCCACTCAGCTCTCCCACGTAGGTAACAGGGATTCCCCTGATAGAAGCATCACCTGTTGCCTCCCAAGCTGCACAACAGCAGGAAGCTGGATCTGGAAACAGGGATAGAACAGAAACTCCAGCACTCTAACATGGGATGCAAGCATCTCAACCAGTGACTTACAACTGGTCCAAAAACACACACCAATATTGACATTATTAAGCATTTCTCCTAGGTGTGTATGAAATGCTAGTGCTGCTTCTTTAACAAAAGGGAACTGGTCAAGGTGGCACACAGACCACCCAGGATGCAAAGAGCTCAATGTCATGGAAACAATGAGACCAAGTCCCAAGGGAACCTTTCTGTGTCCTTTCTGAAAACTCTTGAACTGACAAAAACATGGACAATTACTCTGCTCTAACTAGTATTCTATGATAGCTCATAGGCTTCCATGTGGATAAAAGAAAAGTGAGAAAACAATCAGGAAGGTTATTTAGGAGTTAAAACCATGCTCCTGAAAGAATGGCAATAAATAGGCATGATCTCATAAACCTATATACATTTTACATTATGAGACACATAGGTTACATTTTTGGCTCTCTTAAACTTACAGATATATAACTCAATAAAAAAGATTCAGAGTTTTTAACTTACTGCTGCTTTTCATGTTCTGGGCTCCAACCTCTAATTTCAGGTAAAATCTTCTCTACTGTTTCAGAAAATTTCATGTATTTTTTTCTGTCAATACTTGTTGATGGCAAGTTGGTTGCAGAAGAATTAGAATTATTACCAGGTAATTCAACATTTTCTTCTGTCTGGAGAATAACCAAGAGATACAATCAGTCATGTTCTGTTCACAAATACATTTTAGGCATATCATTCTGAGTCAAATAATTCATTTTAGAAGAATATTCTTTCTCAAATATCAAGGGAATTTCACTGGAAAGGACTTTACTAGTTAGCATAGTGCTACACCAGATAGATTAGTACATATCTCTGGCTTTCCATAGTCCATTATGCAATTATAAAGCATACAGAACTCATAAATACAGCTAACAGTTACTGAATCTAGTTCACAAAATATCATGTCGAAAAAGTTTACCATACACATTTAAAATTAACACTTTTATAAAACCATATAAATTAGTTTTTCAAAAAATCAACTGTATTTTAAATACAAACCAAAGGCATGATTCATGAAACAATTAATTAACAAGCTAGACTCCACGAAAATTTAAAACTGCCCTGTGAAAAATGCCATCAAGATGTTAAAAGGGAAAACTACAAGAAAACGACGTATCTGAAAAAATGCTATCCAAAATATACAGAGGGCTTTTACAACAATAAGAAAAAGAATAACTCATTTAAACCAAAAAAAAAAAAAAAGAAAGAAAGAAAAATCTGAGCAGGTACCTTACCAAGAAGCACAGATAGCAAATTAAGGCATTAGGAAATCTCAAATTAAAACATATCACTACACATTTGCTAGAATGTCAACATTCAATAATAAAAATTAAAATAGTCATGAAAAATCAATAAGACAAATAAATGGAAAAGATATCCTTTGTTCATGGATTGCAAACAAAACAAACATCAAAAATCCAAAGCACCAACTCCAAATGATGACAACAATATGGAGAACAAAGCATGCTGTCAGGAATGAAAGATGGTGTAGCCGCTCTGGAAGACAGTCAGCCATTTCTGATAACGCTAAACACACTCTCATCACACAATTCAGTAACCTTACGTCCACACAAAACCTTGTATATGAATGTGTGTAGTAGCTTTATTTTAATCAAAGTTTGGAAGCCACCAAGATGTCTTCAGTGGGTAAATGAATAAATAAGCGGTAGCATGTCCAGATAATGAAATAATACGCAGTGTTAAAATGAATGAGTTATTAAGCCACACATGCAGAGGACTTTTAAATGCCTATCACTACATTAAAATGTCAACCTGAAAGGCTATATGTCATGCAAGAATAACTCCAACTACACAACATTCTGGAAAACAAAATACCAGGGAGACAACTAAAAGATCAGTGATTTCCAGGGTTTGCTGGAAACAAGAGAAAAATACAGAAGACGGGGGTTTTAGGGCAATAAAACTATCCTGTAACAGACATGTAATGCATTTATACAAACTCAAAGAATGCACAACACCAAAAGAGAACTCCAATGTAGCCCACACATTTTGAGTCGTAATGATGTGACAATGTATGTTCACTGAACTAATCTGCCACAATAGTTCAGGATACTAATGATGGGAGGGAGGCTGTGCATGCATGCATGGGAGCAATGAGTTTATGGGAACTTTTCTAAAACAAGTTTATTGTTTCTAAAAAGACACAACATACCCAAAAAGGAGCTACAGCATTGTAACAATGTTTAGAAAAAAGAGCTATGAAGGTGGAAATATTCTATTTCTTGAAATTTGCTTAATTGTGTAGCACCATTGAACAGTATCTAGATCAAAGGTGTATTAGTTTTTAAACCTTGAGCCCTTGAACTCAACAGTTCCCCTATTACACAGGTAATTTATAAAGTAGATTATTAGGAAAGTTTAGAAATAACATTTTCACCAAGGATGAAAATTATGAGTATTTCAGTGACTTTCAGAATCCACATACACTTGTTTTAAAACTTAGGCACACATTTAACAACTTGTTTCAAAAAGATAACCTGGGGACAGAAGACAGAACAAGTCAATCAAGCACCTCAGCTATTTGTTGGCAGCGAAATACTGGGCAAATGTAGACTCTATGAGGGACTGTGTCAATCAGTGGATTCTTCAACGACCTCATCATGCTGGGAATGGCGAGATTGGCAGCAATTCATAAATGGTGAACTATCAAAACCACTTGAGCAAGTATCTCAGAGCATGCCCCACACACGGGAGTTGGGGTGGGTAGGAAACCGGGTGGGGCTTCTCCCTCAATATCCCCCTTTACCTCAGATTCATGAAGGAAACAATATGTAAATAATAGTCTTACCCACTTTCCGATAGCCCTTGAACCTTTTTATCCTAATTAACTATGTAAAAATTGTCAAAATATTTTTAAAAAAAGATAACCAGGGGCCCAGAATGGTGGGTTAAGCCTCCATCTCACAGCACCAGCATCCCATTTGTGTGCCAGTTCATGTCCTGGCTGTTCCACTTCCCATTCAGCTCCCTGCCCGTGTCTAAGAAACCAGTGGAGGATGGTCCAAGTCCTAGGAACCCGGCACCTGGCATGGGAAAACCTGAAGAAGCACTTGGCTGTAGACTGGCTCAGTTTCAGCCATTGTACCCTTTTGGGAGAGTGTACCAGCACACAGAAGGACTAAGAAGGAAAAGAAGAAGGAGGAAGGGGAGGAGAAGAGGAAGAAGAATAGGAAAAAGAGAAAGAGAAAGGAGGAGAAAAACTGATTTGCTGATTTGATGAGATGTGTATTACAAATGATGACAGGATACATGAAGAGACAGGGAAAATGAACCAAATAGAAACCAGGAAGGGAAAACAAAGGGCAAGTGGGAAGTTTAAAATACAGAGGAGCACAGAAATCCGGTACCAGGGCATGCCTTTGGCTTAGTAGTTGAGACAGTTGCTGAAACACTTGCAATCTCATACTAGAGTGCCTGGGTTCAATTCCAGGCTGTGGCTCTCTACCCTCATTTCCTACTAACGTAAGCCTTTGGATAGCTCAAGTCATTGGGTCTCTGCCATCCACATGCGATAGCTGGATTGAGTTCCTGTCTCTGACTTCAGCTCAACCCCATCTCAGTCCCAATTTTTGTAGACATCTGGGGAGTGACTCAGCAGTGGAAGTTCTATCTGCCTACGTCTATAATTATATCTACTGAACAAATATTAAAACAAAAACCTGTCATCACAGACATTGTGAACAGAAATAGCCAAATAATTCGAAGAAGACAACCAAGAAAAGAAAGAAAATATCTGACATTGTGATTAAAAGTGAGGAATAAACCTGTGAGGGATAAACCATGTAACCTAAGGAACATTAACTAGTACGGAATTTTAACATGAATGTTTTTAAGAATTCATCTTCAGGTACCCATGTTTTGGTACAGTGGATTAAGCTGCCACCTCCAACACAGGCATCCAATATGAGTGCCAGTGCAAGTCCTAACTACTCAACTTCCAATCTAGTTCTCTGCTAATACATCTGGGAAAACACTGCAAAATGGTCCAAGGATTTGGAAACACGCACAAGACAAACTGATGAAGTTCCTAACTTCTAGCTTCAGCCAGGGCCTGCTGCAACTGCTTCAGCCATCTCGAGTGTGTGTGTGTGTGTGTGTGTGTGTGTGTGTGTAATTGCTCTTCAAATTTACAAAAAAAGCCCTTACCAAAAAATAATTCATCTTCAAAATTGGTTTAAGTAAAAACCTAAAAAAATACCATCAAAAAGAGCAAATTTTTAATCTATATAGATTTATATAACGGTATTTCAAGAGTTTGTGAAAAACGTAATGTACCTCTCATAAAATTTGAACTTTTAGTCTCCTAAACTTACCAAGGTACCTACTCCCCACCAAAATACTCTCACTATATACCACAGAAAATTCTTTATGCAGTATTTCAGGGGTTTCTAGATTGACATCCTACTGCATGGCCACTAAAAGAGTTCAGAAGTCATCTCACTTATTAATTAGGCAGGTTCCTTATGACTGCATTACTCTACAAACTGACTCACTGCTCACAGATAGGATATAATCCAAAACAATAACATTGAATATTTAAAACCTATTTTTGAATGAATACCTGGTAGAAAAAATGCAGTTTAGCTTCCATCTTTCTGTTTAGAGGCAAATTTGGCCCTTGAGGACTCAAAGGCCTTGATGAATAGCATAAATAAGCAACAGGATGACACGATTTCCTATCACAAAAAAAAGGGGGGGAAAGAAGGCCATGTTTAGAAGATTTAAGTAATTTCATTTACTTATCTGACATTCTCTCTTTAATGTAACACTCAGGACTATAATACTTAACAAACTTTAGCAATACAACTACTGGGCTAAAGCAAAAACCAACAGTAGCTCATAAATCACAGGAAATCATCTAGACCCTTAACTTTACTTTTTATGGTATAAGAAGTAGAAAAAATGCAATTTCAAATAATATAAAAGGAAAAAATTAAACATTTATTCAAATAAACACTAAAAGCAGAGCTGCTGAAACAACAGTAATTCTCATGTGACTGAATGCTCACTGCATGCTGAACGTCACAATACTCTGACATGAGCGATTTGTATTCTTTGTAACGATCCTTTAAGGAATTATCACTATCTCTATTTGTTAGATGAGCAAAATAAAGACTTAAAGAGATCAAGCCTCCCAAGATCGGTACAGACAGCAAATAGCAGTCAGACCTTGAATTCAGGTACCCAAATTCTAAAAGCCCACCATCTTCACATTTACCTACAACACTGCCTCTCAGAAAAACAGAATTGCAAACAAAAGATGTTGGTTTTTTTTTTTTTTAAAGATTTATTTTTATTATTTTTTCATTGGAAAGGCGGATGTACAGAGAGAGGAGAGAGAGAGAGGAAGATCTTCCGTCCGATGATTCACTCCCCAAGTGAGCGCAACGGGCCGATACTATGCCGATCCGAAGCCAGGAGCCTCTTCCGGGTCTCCCGCACGGGTGCAGGTTCCCAAAGCTTTGGGCCGTCCTCCACTGCTTTCCCAGGCCACAAGCAGGGAGCTGGAAGGGAAGCGGGGCTGCCGGGATTAGAACCGGCGCCCATATGGGATCCCGGGGTTGCAAGGCGAGGACTTAACCACTTGCGCCACCGCGCCGGGCCCAAGATGTTGGTTTTAAAACAAACTTTCACATTCTGCAAACAGGATAACCATCACTCTCAGAAATTCCTAAAATTCATTTACATTTTATTGCATCACTAGTTATATATGCCACACTGCATGGCTAGTGATCAGTGTCATAATTATCAATCTTTCATAATGTGAAGTTTACTATAAGTAGTAATATTCTAATTAAGTAGTATTATTTGAAAATTATTTGTACTTAGTTCTGAAATATGAGTACTTTGAGTATAGGCCCACCACTCCTGGATTTCAAAAGATCTTAAAAAGAAAAGGAAATCACATTAAAAGAGTCTCAGGAGACATTGGAAGTCTATATATGCCTCTCACACGACCCACTCTGTAACCTGTCTAAACCTTCTCTAACCAGGTCAATCTTTCTAGGTAAACTTCACAACATCACACTATTGTCTTCACTAGCGTTAATATTATGTTTCAACTGACATTAATTATTTCCCTTGTATTTTAAGTTTTACATGTATCACTTTTATATAAACTACAGCCTAAATTTCTGAGACTGGTAACTTGCCATTCGGAAAATTGTTTCCACAGTATCAAGTAAAAATGGTATATACATATGATGGAAGGGAAAAAGGAAAGGAGAAAGAAATGTGTGTAGGGATGAGAGAAGGCGATAAACTACTTATCTAAAGTTCTAAAATCATTAAGATAATTAAGCAGACTAGGCATGAGTCAGGACAAATCTTGACAGGAAAACATAACTTCATAATTTAATGATCTGAATATCAGAAAGTCGGTAGGCCTTAACTTCTCGGATGAGTCATACATCATACAAGCTTCTCCAGAGGAGGAAGCAATGTGAGAAGTCTTTTACCCTTAACTGACGATAGAAGTGTTTTTTTAACTCTTTCAATCAACCTGACCCATCAGTGAACTTGTATGAATAAACCAAGGGAAATAAAGGGAACTGATGAAACCGGGCTGTCCCCTCATGCTCCAACCATAAATTTTATATGCGTGTATTTCATGCTTACTGGGTACTACAGGATAAAACAGTGCATGGAAGGGAAGGAAAGTCATGCCGTCTTGCAGCTTACATTTTAGTCTGAGACAGACAATAAAATAGAAAAACAAGGGTCAAGAGTCGTGGTACTTAGAGTTCAGGTAACACATCCCACACTGGAGTGTGAGGCACTGAGTTCCACCTCCACTTTCAATCCAGCTTCCTACTCCACACTTGGGAAACAGCAGAGGATGGCTCAGGAACTTGAGTCCCTGCCACCCATGTGGGGTACTTGGATGGACCTCTTGGCTGTTGGCTTTGATCTGGCCCAGCACCCACTACGGCAGGCGTTTGCGGAGTGAACCAGCACACAGGTGATATCTCTCTCTCCCCTTATCTGTCACTTTTAAATAAACAAAATTAAAAAAAAAAAATTAGAAAAAATGGGGCTGGCATGTTGGTTTATCAGGCTAATCCTCCACTTGTTAGTGCAGCATCCCATATGTGTGCAGGTTCAAGTTCCAGCTGCTCCACTTCTGATCCAGCTCCCTGATAATGTGCCTGGGAAAGCAGTGGAGGATGGCTCTAGTGCTTGGGCCCCTGCACCCACAAGGAAAACCAGGAAGAAGCCCCTGAATCCCAGCTTCAGATCAGCCCAGCTCTGGCCACTGTGCTCGTTCTGGGACTGAGTCAGTGTATGGAATACTTCTCCCTCCTTCCATTTCTATCCATCCTCTATCTGTAAAATATGTTTTTCAAACAAAAATATTTTTTTAAAAAAGGAAAAAGTTGTATATTGTGTGTGACAAGCAGTAAACGGGGATTGGGAAAGAAGGAAAACATTAAGTGTGAGCTCAGAAAAGAGATGCTGGGAATAAAAAGTTTGGCCAAGGAAGACATATCTGAGAAGACTTTTGAGGACAGATCTTAAGGAACTGAAATGGGACTGATGAATATTTTCGGGGAAAAGCATTTCAACCAGCAAGAACAGCAAAATCAAAGATACTGAACCACTGTGGTTACTGTGAAGAGGCAAATCAGATGGCTCAGCGTTCTGGAAGCTAGGTGAAGAAGGTGTTCATAAATGTGTTAGGTCCGGAAAGTAAGTACCAACTCCTCAGGCTCTGCCACAAGGACAGCACTGGACACTTTGTGAGAAGCCATGTGGGCAGTAAGGAAAGAGGAAAATGTCCTTGGAGTGGATTTAAGAGGAAGGAACTAAAATCGGAAACAGTCTGGGTGGTATTGTGGCATAACAATAAAGCCATGCTTGCAAGGCAGGCATCTCAGATGGGGCCCTGGCAGGACTGCTGCCCTTCCATTCCAGCTCCCTGCTAATGCATCTGGGAAACTAGCAGAGGATGGTCCAATTCTTGGGTCCCTGGGAGACCCAGAAGATCCTGGCTCCAACGAATGCCACCATTTAGGGAGTGGAAAACCAGCAGGCAGAGGATCTCTCTCCTTGCTCCCTCTAAATTCTGCCTTTCAACGAATCTTTTTCTAAAAACCAGAAACAGAGTAGACTCTTTCCAGGAATTCTGCTCAAAGGAAAACAGAAATAATACAGTGACTGGATGGGGACTTGGGGTTCTGGACGTCTACGATGACAAAAAGTCTTCGTGGAGGGTGACCATGTGTGCCATCCCTCCGAAGAGAACTTCTCTTCTCTCTCTCTCGGGGTACTCCCCTCACAAGTCACACACTCACTTCTCCCAATAGGGGCCACAGATGCCCACAAACGGCAGCTGCTGCCATTCATGACAGTACGAACCACTGCCATGTACATTGCTTAGAAAATACAGAGAGAACGTCTACCCAAGAAGGAACTCGAGGCGAGGAGAAGTCCCCCAGGTCCCCCTTGATGAAGACAACGACTTCGTAAGGAACAAAGTAGGTGGACAGGGAAACAGCAGCTGCCCCGCAAGAGGGAAATACGCGGAGTGGCAGACGCTTTAGTTGAGAGGGCTGCGAAGCGTCCCAATCACCACATTGTTTGAGAAGCCACTGGTGAGTGCCAGTCGCGTCTCTGTCCCTTTTACTGTCCTCCCCAAGTCACCTCTCTGTTCCTTTCTGGAATCTTCCTTCACGGACTCTCTCACACCACGTTCCATTTTCTGCCCTTAGCCCAAAGACTCTTCCCTGCCATCCTTTCAGCAGGTCTCGCCTCCACACCGCTGTCCCCTAAAGGTCCCACTTCCTGCCCCCTGAATCCCTCGAGCGGTCTGTGGCTCCTCAGAGTCCACCGCGCCCCTCAGTCCTGAAGGGCTCGCTAGGCCGCGTGGTGCGACCACGGGGAACTCCGCGCTGCGTGGCCCCGCCCCCACGGTCACCTGACCTGGCCCGACGCTCCGCCCACTGGCGCGGCGGCCGCCCCCGCCCGGCTCTGGGCGGCGAGCTGGGCCGAGCTCAGCGCGGCTTCCGTGCGCACTGGGCTGCGCTGCGGCTGCGCCCGGCTGCCCCACCTCATGGGGGTCTGTGACCTCACGTGGCCGGCACGGGGTGCCCTAGGCATGGGCTTTTCCACCGCTGCAGCTACTGGCCTCACTCCTGGCCCGCTTCAACTTTCTCTTCCACCCTCTGGAAACGTTTCATCCTTCTGAGTCTTCCTCTGTAGCTCTGTCAAGGGAAGACACTTGCCAATGTGTAGATGATGCTCTGGCAAGCGAAGAGTGTTTTGAAAGTCCTGTATCTTTTCTTGACAACCTATCCTTGTGTTCACACTTGAGTTATTCTAGCCTGAGTTCTCCGTTATTACTATGCAGAGCACAGGGCTTTAGAGACACCTGGTGGCAGTTCCAGTCCTGTTTATCAGATGCAGCTGAGCAAAACGCTGTGTTCTAGGAGTCTGAATTTTCTCGGGTGTTGGGAGAAATTCGGTCAGCGCATGCGAACTCTCCACATGAACCCAAGCTGGGCTGATCTGAAGCCAGTAGCCAGAAGTTTCTTCCTGTTCTCCCACATGGGTATAGGGCTCCTAAGTTTTGGGCCATCCTCCACCACTTTCCCAGACCACAAGCAGGGAGCTGGATGGGAAGTGGAGCTGTCTGACACAAACTGGCACCCATATGGGACACTGCACTTGTAGGTGGAGGATTAGCCAGTTGAGCCATCCTGCCAACCCCAGCAGAATCACACATTTCAATAAAGGCCAGCAATTTACAAGGGAGTAATGGGCAGTTTCCCTCACTGACCTCACTTCCTTGCTCTCAATCTTATCCCCACTCCCCTGGAGTGGCCCCAGCTCCAGCAGATACAGCTGTCTTTCTGCTGCAGAAGGGCCAGGGCTGGGAACGGGGAGGCAAGGCTAGGGGTGATGGCAGGCGGTGCGGGGGAGCTTTGAGGGTGGTCTTGTCCCAAAGCTACCCTGTCATCTGGAAAGTTCACTGTCTGTCTACTGGTTCCTGGGTTGTGGTTCCTGTGGGCATGTGTCCCAGCTATTCCTGCCAGCCAGGGCAGGAGGCTGCTTGGGGCTGTGAGGAGATGATAACCAGAGGTCCTGAGTGCGGTGGGCACTGTGGCGGAGTACTCCCTATTAGAAAGTTCTACACTCAGATCCAGTTCCCCCTGCTCACACTGTTGCCTCCTGCCCCAGCTCACGGAGTCCCCCGGAGCCCTCTGTCATGCCTCCTCTTTGCTCTGGCACAGGTTTGAGGAGTGTGATGGGGTCTTGGGGCTCCTTTTTGGAAGGGGAAAAACAGACACCTCCCAGAGGACCCTAGTCTCCAGCACCCCCAGGACAGAGGTCCAAATCCTCAACGCGCTCATAGTCTCCACTGCATTCTAATCGCCCTCCCCTGCCCAGCTAGAACACCTGAACTTTCACGAGTGAATGCGACTGTATGGACCTATCTCTCTCTCCCCCTCCATGGCCTCTTGGAATTCTTGCTAAGTCAGGGTGGCTGAGATAAGCCATGCCATCACAGAGGACTGGGTTGAAAGATAGGGGCTCCCCACCAACACACAACACAGGTGTGAGGGAAGGGACTGCACCAGGCTGAGTGTGGGAGCTGCACTGCGCTGAAGAGGCAATAACAGCACTTGCCTCCCACTCCTAGTAAATAGCGCAGATGGGAAGAATACACACAAGAGACATTGTCTTCTATTGAATCTTTATTTTGTGCTCCTGTCACTTTTTAAGATGTGTATCTATTTTATTTACTTAAAAACCAGAGAGACAGACATAGGGCGAGACAGACATGGGGCGAGAGAGACAATTCTCCCGTTCTGTTTCCCACCCACTTGTCACTCTCAAATGTTCCCTGCCTTTTGCCTGACTAAGCTCCCTTCCTTTTTCCATTCAGAAATTCCACTTATTTTTCCACACATACTAGCCATCATTTCTTCCATTCCATCCTGTCCCATCCTGTCCCATCCTGTCCTCCGACTGTCCTCCAGTCCTGCCCCCTGCATGGGTGACACTTCTTTCTCAGGCTTCTCAAGCACTAGGATAAACCTTCAGAGGTGCACAAGGCGTGCAGCAGCGCCCCTGGCAAATCCCAAGGGACCCGCAGAAGGACCCGCCCTGCAGAGGGTAGCCAGGGAGTCTCTGGCCGAGAAGCCATTTCAACACTGTGGTCAGTTTTCCTGGCACAAAACCGAGTCACACAGCCTGGTTATATCTCTGCCTCTTTGTTCATTTCGCTTCCAGCCACCTGCGTGCCTCCTCAATCCAGCCCTGGGTTAGGTACTGGCTCCAGCAGACAAAGTGAGGCCACACGGAGCTCCTGGCCCCTAGCCCCGGAAAAGGCAGATCCCCTAAGATTTTGTGTAAGAATTGCCGCATGTCTACATGTCTACAGCAAGCACCACATCACTGCCCAGGCCCCAGCTCAGCCCAACCCATATCCTGTCCCCACCACCCTCCAAGCCAAGGAGATGCCTCGTACTGTCAATGAAACTGGACTGCTGCTTGACTCTGGGCCTCAATTCCAGTTCTGGCAGCTCTCTACCTTCCCGGTTGCCCACTGTGGTACTCTGCTCCCCACTCGCAACTGGGCTCCAAATATAAATTTTTGATCTCTCAATCACTCTTCATTTGCAAGCTAGTGTAAGGTTTGAGGTTACAATGGTCAAATGGATAGGATACAACCCTTGGCTTTCTTGTTTACTAGCTGAGCAGCCCTGACAAGTTACTTAACTGCCTAAAACCTCAAAGTCCACATCTGGAAAATTAGTAAGTGAAAATATTTGATGTAAACCACTGAGCACAGAAACATGCTTATAGTCAATAAATAACCAATACATGTGAGTTCTGTGCCCTCTATGCTGAAGTCGCAGTTTATATCCAAATCCTGGCATGAGTCAGCATGCTCATGGCTACATCACCATCTCCCCGGGCTGACATTGGCTGAATGGAAGCCAGAGGATGCTGTATACTATGGGCAGTGTCTTTGCTGGTTACAATGAGCCCAGCTTCCTGGTCAGGTTTCTGCCCTGTGCCATCCAATGGGTGGATCTGGTGACTGACTTTTGAGTTTCACTAGTGCAGCTCGGGTTGGTTTCACCCATCATGTGTCTAGCTCAAGTTGCAGAGCATGCATCCCTCTTAACCCTGGGCCAGTGTTCCTTCACCTCGAGGCTGTGGACAAATCCCAAGGGATTTAGGAACCCTTTGATGTGCAACACTTGTGTGATGAACAGCCTTCCAAGTCAACTGTCCTTATATTTCACCAGCTTCTCAAATGTTTCAGATCAGTGGCTCCAGGAGAATTTTCAGGTCTAGAACCCTGAAACGCGGTCTGGGCCACAGGAACTGAGCACTCAAAGTAATGAACATTCACCACGCCCACTGCTCTCATCACATTTGCCTGCCCCACACTAGGACCGGTGCCAGTCCAGTGCCAGTCCCTTCTCTAGTCTCCTTGCCCTGCTAGATAACTCAGGCCTTTTATCTCCATAAGCACCCCTCTGAGAAGGGACACATTTCAGGGCACCTGGGTTCCGCCTCCATGAGCCGTGACCTTTGGGTGAGTCACTGCACCGCCAAGGATCTGTTTCCTTACTCTTGCAACTGGAAGATCTAGCCACATCAGCAATCCTCTGACGGGGCCCCAAGGAGGCCCACTGCAGGCTTGGGGCAGCTGGAATCCCGCCCGGTAGCTCCTCGGCCAGAGCCAGGCTGTTCTCTGCAGCTGCAGGCACTGACCTCCCAGGAAACTCTGTGTGAAAGGCAGGAGAAGGCTGAGACGGCTGTGGAATTTCTCAATGTCTCCCCTCCCAGCTGTGGAAAGTTCTCTGCTTTTCTTTTTTTCTTTTAAGATTTCTTTTTTTTTTTCTCTCTCTATTTCTTTGAAAGCCAGAGCTGGGGGAGGGGGAGATCTTCCGTTTACTGGTTCATCCCTGCCCAAGATGACCAGCCTTGAGCCAGACCACAGCCAGGAGCTTCTTCCGGGTCTCCCATGTGGGTGCTAGGGCCATCCCCCCATCCCATCCCATGCTGCTTTCCCGGGTCATTGGTAGGATGGTGTAAGCCAAGCATGGAGCCCCATATATAACAGAGGCCTGCATCATAGCAGGTGGCTTAACCTGCTCTGCTACAATGTCAGCTCCAGGTCTCTGCTTTTCTGAGAGTACCAGCAAACTCCCCAAACTGGAAGTTCTCCTCAAAAGTTTACACACTATGAATTCTGAGAAGGGCAACTCCGGACTTAGGATTCCTAGCTCCCTTTCACAGGCAGGCAGCCAGGTAGGGCCAGAATTTCCTCACTCCCCATAGCATGGTACCTGCCCCTAAGTCGCTGTATGAGAGTGGCCACTCACACACGTGTGCCCATCCACGTACATGTGCCCCTCACCAACATACATCCACTCACCCACATGGATCCACTCACCCACATGGATCCACTCACACACATGGATCCACTCACCCACATGCATCCACTCACACACATGCCTGCACACACTCTCTCTCTCTCCCTCTACACACACACACACACACACACACACACACACACACACACACACACACACACAATAACCTTAGAGAACACCACAATTCATTCATTAGTTTCAGAACGACAACTCCAAGCCTGGTCAGACTCAGAGAACGGGCCAGTCTTGGTGGGGTTGTTTATTCACAGAGAGCGCAGCGGGCCTGTGAGGTCCTTCGGGCCGGACATGGCTGAATCGGGGCCTGTG